CAACTGTCTAAAGGTACAAATGTAAATGTAAATGTTCTTTATTTAAACAGCTCTTCACAACAACCCTTTCGGTGAACCAAAGTGCTTTACAATAGAAAATAACAATGAATAAACAAAAACAATAAAAAGCAATAAAATAAAGTGTCACCACGCTACTGGGTATAAAGAGCTAGCATAAACCAGTACGTTTTCAATCGTGATTTGAAAAGGCCCAGGTCGGAAATAAGTAATAGTAACTATAAAACAATAGTTATTTGGATTGCTCAACTATCATTAAGTAAAACAATAATAATCAGTTTTATTTCCTACATTTATAGGATTGATTTGGCAAAGAAAAATCTGCTACTTAGGCACTGCTGGTGTGAGCCTCATATTCACAAGAAAAAAGTTCCTATAGCATCTATCTTTTTAACTTCATTCAGCAACAAAGCTAATGATAATCTGACATAAAATGTAAGTGAACCATGTAGAAAAATAGCCTAGCTCTACTTTACTGCCCGCATCATTCACCACATCTTACCATCCCCCCCGAGTCTTCACATCTGTATTGATTATCCAATGCAGCTGATATTGACCATTAACCTTTCTGTCTTGCTGAAAGACATTTGCATGTCTGGATGCAACACTGATTCATGAGAGTATAAAGGCTACATGGGTGAGTTTAGAGAGGGTGAATGGAAAAAGAACAAAACAAAGAATCACTGATAGACAAATAGGAATAGACATGGCCTGTTGCATGTACTTTTGGAGAAGAAACAGTTATATTGCTGAGGATGTTAAAATGACCTTTTCATATTAATATAAAGGCACTGAACCACTGTGGTGTATCTCAGGGATAACCCCCTGCAGTTTGGTGTCAGACTTCCCTCCCTGGGACAAACACATTAACGATTCATCATGTCTTATGTTCATCTCTTTGCACACACATTCACATATATGAGGTCACCTAATCTGTATGACTCATGCAGCACACACACATACAGCTTTCCAATCTGTAACATGATGAAATCACATTTTGGGGAGTTAAGAAAGAGGTCGTCCTTGTGGAAACGTACAGACCTCCTTTATACAGGATGAATTTGAGGTGTTAAGGTTATAACAAATACTAGTGGACCATGAAATGTGTTATATCTTTTATCTGGAGTCAGCTGAGGACTATTTTTAAAAAGCGCATTTGTCCAACAGTGCTGTATCAGCAAAATATGAATGTACTTTGACCTCTCCTCTGTTTCTCTCCTTCTCTCCACAGATTTACTCTGCTAATGCAACATATCTGGAGAAAATTGTTTTCCATCATCGTCCTCATCCATCACAGATGATTTACCGTCAGTGTCATTTTCCAGATAAGCCACTACATACTGATTTACATGTCTGTCTTGCTCACCTTGGACATGGCAAGATGTTGGAGGAGATGGGTAACCTCTTTGTCTAGGTTCTGTCTCTGAGACACTCACACAAACACACACTCTCTAACCTTTTCAGCTGTCCTGATATCGCTGCTTAAATCAAACACAGACAGGAAATTGTTCGCTGTCTTGGTGTCTGAGATAAGGCACCACTAAGATATGATTATGAGAGAAGAAGCATCAATCGAAACAAATATAGGCGCTTCTTCATATTTTATTAAATTTTAAATCCTGCGTACAACATTTTTGTATTCCTGTATAACATTTGTTGAATACAATGTAACATAATGACGTGATGGATAACCTACTATTTTGATGTTAAATTATAGACTCGATAAAAACTTCTTTAAGGCCACTAGTCCTGCAATATAGTCCGTCGGCCATCTTTTTCTTTGTTTCAGAGGGGTGAGCAATTTCTGAACCATGCTGCTGACATGTTTACTCTTTTTGCTGTAAAAATTGCCTTTTCAGATTGGGTGTGTATGTGGCTTTCTGTGCTTTCAGACAGCCTCTGGTGGTCACTTGAGGAACTGCAGTTTTTAGCACTACTACACTGGCTTTAATTCCCAAGTGGGTTTGGAACCATGACCCCTTGACACCCCTCTAGAAATGCCCCAGTGGCAGATCAATAGAACTAAAGGGAACATTCACAACATTTTTTTTTTACTGTCAAGTATTTTAATATACAACCCTAGAAATAAGCCATTTTTATATGCAAGATCAGCCTGTCAATCACCTCAAACTGACTTACAGTTGATGGTAATAAAAATAATCTCCCAATATGGGATAAGAACAGAAATCCATTTTATATTTGGTGAGTTCTCGTGGAATTGGGACAATTAAAACAGTTCAAAAAGACGCCTCAGGGGTACCAGCAGGGAGGGGAAGGCAACCAATTGTTTAATCCTTGCCCTCTGTTTCAACTGAATGTGTGCACGTGCCTTGGTGTGTGCGTGTGTGTGTTTGCGCATGTGTGTGCGAGTAGATTTCATACCTGCTGTGCTGGGTTTATGTGGGGGTACATGTACAGGAAAGAGCTTTGACTAATTAAGTTTCTCCGGAGAGATGACTTCATCCCCGATCCCCCTTTCCCTGCCCCCTGCCTGCCACACCCCACCCCCCCACCCATTTTATCCCAGTACCACCCATTGGTTGCATGGCAGCATGACAGTACGTCTTTAGACCAAATTAGCTGTCGGTGCAACCCCCTGATTCCCAACAGACAGCAGGGTAATTTAATCTTCCAGTTATAGCCTGCAGCATGAACAGACATGCTTAAACACTAGCACCACAGTCCTGGATTAGCATATCATACAATAACACAAGGAAGAGAAATTAAAATCATTACTGCAAGAAATTATCTCTAACTCCCAATGAATATTTAAAATATGAGACAGAAAATGTGTTATTTTTTGGAAAGTTTAAACTCTTCCCATATTTTCATGGCAAATAAATGTATTGTTTTTTTTAGTTTGTATAATACATTTTAATCCAAAAGTGGGAAAGATTCAGATGTCCGCCTGAAAAACTACCTATGATTGTATGTCACATCTGCAATATTACACTTATCCTTTCCTAAACCACTGTAAGTGAAATAATTTATACAAATTAAATTGAAATAGGGGTCAGTGGATTCATTTAAGTTTATGAGACATTGGTTTATTTAGGGGATCACACGTTTTTACAAGACTATCCCAGTTAGAGTTTGGTGTTTGTTTATCAGCTTCACTGTGCCTCACTGCAACAGACTTTTTCTACTGGATTAAGTTGAATGAAACCTAATCCTCATCAGAGAAGATTAAATTACCCAGATCACTATAATAACTGGATTACACAGACTCCCCCTGACTCTGGACACCCCTGCCTTAAAAAAAAGATGTTTGCACACATGAAAAAAAGAGACACTTTCAGAAACTGTTCATTTGCATACATGTCCCTTTTACCCATTCATACTATTCATGCATAATGGCAGACACTGCTATGTAAAACATCCATCAGTAATAAGAGCTAAGAGCAATTTGAGGTTTAGTGTCATGCACAAGGTCACTTCTGGCTGAATGACAAATGACCACCTGTACCTCTGAGCCACAAAGGTATGTGTGTGACTACTGGGCCCATGTTCATGCAGGTGTGTGTCTGTGTGTGAAAGCAGAAACTCTTAATCTGAGAGTCTGTCTTGGGACGTCGGCTAATGAAATGATTGTTTGCAAGTGTAATACACAGAGGTACTGATATTTGGCCATACACACACACAGCCACACACACACACACACACAAAGTGATTGGTGTTAACAGTGTAGCTAATGCAGTACCACAGTAAACAAAAGCCCAGCTGTCACTCTAGAGGCGTAACAATTATGTATGAATATTCATCACAGTGGAGAGTGACTGAGGGCAGGCTTGGCTTTGGAGTCGGCTCCTGAACCACCTTTGTGTTTATGGTATAATACTAACAATATAATAAGTTAAGGTTTTTTTTGTTTTTGTTTTTTTATTGTAGTTATTGTATTGAAACCTTTTTTGCATTTTCATATTCTTAATGGAAAGACCCCTTGAAATAATGATTAAATAAACTACTGATTATTAAATAAACTGAAATAACGTTCTGCAAATTGCCTCTTTTTGACTCAAATAAATATCTTTGCATTACATTCCCGTCAACATAAAATTAGTTGCCTGCTGGGATTACAATGTGTGGTTCCCAATCGTCAAACTTTGCATGTCTCAATTTAGCCAACTAATGTGCACAAATCTCGGCAATTGTGCGGTATATAAATTTTGAATGTTGTAGTTTAATCACATTATATTTTTAAGATTTTTTGCTAACACTACACTGGCATCATCCAGTTCAACTTCATATCGATTCAGGTGCAACATAGCCAGACAAAATGACACATTGAAAAGCACACTAAGTGAAATTAAACAATTACCTTTCCACTTACCTATTTTCTCGTCTTTTCGCCGTCGTCTTCTGTGCCTAGATCGTAAAATACCGGTGTATCATCATTATTGGTCCGCGACAGCTCACGTCCGTTGTGTTTATTATTATTATTATTATTATTATTATTATTATTATTATTATTACTATTATTATTATTATTACTTTTATTTTTGTAGTAAGTAACTTTTTTTTTTTTTTTTTGGCATTGGCACTTCTCTTTGCATCAGTAACTCCTGTTGTGGCTTTTTTTTTTTTTTCTGCACCGCCTTTTTTTTATTTGCAGCAGGCTTCAGTTCCTTTTTTTTTTTTTTGCATCAGTAACTTCTGTTGTGGCTTCTTTTTTTTTTGCATTCTTTTTATTTGCAGCATTGGCAGTTCTCAACCACCGTAAATACTCTCTTGTAACAGAGACAGAGTAACAATAGGGTAAAATATAAACCTTTGTGAGGCTGTTAGTTTGCATGCTCAATTCAAGTGAAGCAGCGACACCTAGAGTAGATTTTTAATATAACAGATCCACTAATATTGTCCTTCTCAAAATGACCACACGGGGGCCTTCAAATACTTGAAGAAACCAGCCTCACACAGGGCGTGTCCTGGCAGGCTAATATATACATAACACACTCCTAGAGCCCGCCTCTGCTTTCACCTAATTGGCTCTTCCGCTCACCGCTGAGGGAGCCGCCCTCTGATTGGACAACGTTCGTGCCCCTCAGATGTGACGGACGCCACATTTCTCGCTGTGTTGAAAATGAAACTGGCCTGCGTTTGACTTGATAGGTATCCACCAGAAAACGAAATCAAGACGGCTATGAAGTAAAAAATCTTTGTAGACTGAGAAGTAAAACCCGATAGAGCGGAGGAGCGACAACCGAGCGGTGAGGACTTCATGTAGGGTGACGTTTTTATGGCGGGGAAGCAGGCCTGGGCTGTCAAACCACGACAATAACAACACCTGAACCAGTCCTTCGGTCTTAGCTTCTATTATTATGTTGCTGCTGCGTCTTCATTTGAAACAGAAAGCTGGTATTTATATCTTTAACATGGCAAAGATGTGTGTCCATAGAGAACACTGTTGAAGACAGCTTTAAGGAAAATGTCTCTTCTTCTTCCTCTTCTTCTTCTTCTTCCTTTTTCCAGCTGGGAATGTTGAGTCAACAGAGCTTGATAGGACGTGCTGATCTTCAATGGAGGTATGAAAAGTGCCCATGATAAATTCACTATGTTTCATTAGTTTGACCACTCCTTTTAGAGAAGTATGTCTTCAAACCGGTCAGTGCAAACTACATCTTGGTTTGTTATGTAATGACTAAAGTGATTGAGCTCTGGATACACTACAAAAACTCATTGTAAAGCTGTGAGAACATCTCAAAGTATGGCTCAATAACCTTTGCTGTTTCTACCGTTACCCACTTTGGTTATGTTCACAGGTTTTAGTTTCAGAATAGTCAGTTTCAGCCTCACTTCAAAGAGAGGTTTCAGCATAAAAAGGGCTTTACCACAAAAGTTTCACACTTGCACAACTTGTACTGCAGCATTTGCACCACAGACATACATTGAAATCAAACTTGGAGTCCGTCTGGGTGGATATGTTATGTCTCAGCTGTGATTCCACCTTTACCAAGTGGCAAAACAGGAGCTGCTAATTTGTTAATTCAAACATCCGCTGCCATCACACCTGTATGAAATGTCAAACCTAAGTGGTATTCAACAAACACCTAGGAGGGTTTGTTAGAAATCGAACTGAATTGAACTGTTCTGATGTCATCTGTGGACATTATAAGGGTCATAAGAGTTGATTATTAACTTGACATTGTCCTGTGACATGCTTTTGTTTGCTTCCTTTATACTACCAGTCTTCACCTTTCTCTGCTTCATAGTTTGTAGCAGTGGGCTCAGTATCTTGGTGAGACTGAAGCTGCTGTCACCATGGCTCACTTCGACACAGAATACCAACGCCTGGAGGCGTCCTACAGTGACTCTCCACCTGGAGAGGAGAACCTGTTGATGCATGTGCCTGAAGGAGCCAAATGTACGACAATGCACAAACAAATCACAAACAAATCTTGAAAGCACAAACAGAAGCGCACGCTCCTCTTTGTACTCTGACTGTCAGAATGAAGGCTATTACTGATTTGTTTTGAATTTTTTACAGCCCAATGGCATCACATAGAAAACCTGGACCTGTTTTTCCAGAGAATATCCTTTGGCATAATTTAAACATGAGTGCAAATATACTTGTTTTCACGTCTGCTGGATAGTGTGAAAGCGTCTGTGTTCCTTAACATCTTTCACGTGTATAATCTGCACCAGAAGAATGGATTCACCTGTATGCTGCTGGGAGAGATCTTTGAGCTTGTGTATGTATCCTGCCTGTCAAAACATTGCATATCCTGTCTGTCTGTTAGGGTGTGTTTATTGATAGAACAGGTCGTGCTTTCTGAATATCTTCTTGAACGTGCTTTCTTTTTTTCCATGCAGCCAGTTGCTGTTTGTGGTCGGCTTCACAGTGTTTCTCGCGAACTGTGTGGATTATGACATACTCTTTGCCAACAAGTTTGTAAATCACACCGATTCCTCAAAAGTCACCCTTCCTGACGCCTTCCTCTCAGTGGATGTGTGCAGTGCAAGGTGAGTGACACTTATGTGCATTTTTTTTAAATTTACAAAACAGCTTAAATTGCATTTTAATGCACAGTGACGATTGTACAGATATGGTACAGTTATTTGGCTCTTTCTGTTTTCCCTTTCAGTATCCGAGACAATGCATTTGTTATCTTCGTGTTGATAATCTCTGGGGTGTTTTGGCTGCATCGTCTGGTCAAATTCATCTACAATGTCTGCTGCTATTGGGAGATCCGATCCTTCTACATCAACGCACTCAAAATGACAATGGTGAGACTGGTTAAATTACTCAAAGAGCATTATTTCAGATGCAGAGTTTGGTTCTTTTGTTTTGTTCAATGGTACTTTCACTTTCACTTACTTTCGCTTTTCTTTTATCTTTTAAGTCAGAACTCCCTTATGCAACATGGCAGGAAGTCCAGGCCCGGATAGTGGAGATTCAAAAGGAACACCAGATCTGCATCCACAAAAAAGAGCTGACAGAGCTGGACATTTACCACCGCATCCTCCGCTTTAAAAACTACATGGTGGGTCCACCTGCAGATAAAAGTGTCTGATTTTTGTCTCATGGAGTCACTACGAATGATTGAAACAGTGCAGCTTTAAACCAGAGGGCTTCTTCCTGTGTTCTCTCAGGTTGCCATGGTGAACAAGTCACTCCTTCCTGTGCGATTTCGACTTCCTGCTCTGGGGGACTGTGTTTTCTACACCCGGGGTCTTAAATACAACTTTGAGCTCATCTTCTTCTGGGGGCCAGGTGTGCCTATGTTTCATTTATACATCTGTGGATGCATTTCTACAGTGAAAGGAACTGATCATGCATATATATTCTTGTTTTTCTGGGTCTAAAACAGCTGTGCTTGCTCCATCTCTCTAGGTTCTCTTTTTGAGAACGAGTGGAGCCTAAAACCAGAGTACAAGCGAGGAGGTAACAGGCTTGAACTCGCAGACAGGTTAGCATCTCGTATTCTGTGGATTGGGATCGCCAATCTGCTGCTGTGTCCAGTCATCCTGGTGTGGCAGATTCTCTACGCCTTCTTCAGCTACACAGAGGTGAGTGATTTCCTGGCACATACAATCTTTAAACAATCTTCTTTTTAATTAGGGGCTAGGGATAATGATTTTCTATGTGTGATCAAGGTGATTAAACGGGAGCCTGGTTCTCTCGGGGCGAGATGCTGGTCTCTGTACGGACGATGTTACCTACGTCACTTCAATGAGTTGGACCATGAGCTCATGTCCCGCCTCAGCAAAGGCTACAAGGCAAGAATAAATCCATCTTAAAATTTTTACTCTTTTATCATTTCCTATAGCATTATTCTTCATTTTTTTCTTTTCATGCAGGCTGCTTCCAAGTACATGAACTGTTTTCTTTCACCGCTGCTGACGGTGGTCGCCAAAAATGTTGCGTTTTTTGCGGGGTCCCTCCTGGCTGTCCTTATCGCCCTGACCATCTATGATGAGGATGTTCTTGCAGTCGAGCATGTGCTGTCGTCAATCACACTTCTTGGAGTGTGTATAACAGTCTGCAGGTAGATTTAAGTCTTCTTATTGAACCCATCCGTCTTATTCTCATTTTAAGAACTGATTTTATGGTGGATTTTCACAGAAACTTGAAATAATGAAAATAACGGTCATGCACACTTGTGTTGTTTACCAACAGAACAATGAATTTCATATGCAAACATTAGATACAGATATTTAATGAGCAGATTAAACACAAGGAAAGATGAGACCATAAGGGTAAAGGCTGTTACCCATGAGCCATTTCTTTTTAACCCACTTTAAAGCTTCTCAGAGCTGTAATCCCTTTGATATTCCTGGGCAGCTTACTCTGCTGTAAAACTGATGAATATAAGAGGGTTTCCTCCCTTAAGTAACTGCTAATAGCTCAAGATTTAAGTGTTTTGGGGTGTTTGAGAAAATTCCCATGAATTGAACTGTAAAGAAAAATCAACTTCTGTCAATGTGAATCTGCCTCTCACATCTTGAGACACTTATTCACAGGTAACTTAGGGTTTAACTTGGAAGGATTTATGATAACATACATCAAATCTCCGACTCTCTCTTTCTCTCTCTTTCATTTCAGATCATTTATTCCTGATAAGCACATGGTGTTTTGTCCTGAGCAGCTGCTGCGGGTTATACTTGCTCATATCCACTACATGCCTGATCACTGGCAGGGCAACGCACACAGATATGAGACACGGGACCAGTTTTCCCAGCTCTTCCAGTACAAAGCCGTGAGTATAGATTCTGAACCGGGGAGTAGCATCAGGACTTGAATTAAGGATGGAAATCAGCCAGAGACAAAAGGGCAGCTTCCATGGAAAATACTCCAGTTTACATCTTAGATCTTCAAGTCACAGCTGTTCCTCTTGATTTCAATAGTGTATCATTCATATCGACTTACAAATTCAAGTTTGAGTAAACCTTTTATGTGTCTGTGTAAACCCTACTCTGCCACCTGAGTGTACATTTTAAGCCTTCGCACATCTGCTTTCTTCCAGGTGTTTATTCTAGAGGAGCTGCTGAGTCCAGTGATCACTCCCATCATCTTGATTTTCTGCCTGAGGAGGAAGTCTCTGGAGATCATCGATTTCTTCAGGAACTTCACTGTGGAGGTAGTCGGAGTAGGAGACACTTGCTCCTTTGCTCAGATGGACATCAGGCAGCATGGACACCCTGCAGTAAGAAACCGCACATAACAAGTGCACCCACACGGATGAATATAAATAGGAAAAGACTATACATATCTAAGTAGAGTCCTGTTTTACAGACTGCATGACCTGTGTTTTCTTGCTGTGTAGTGGATGTCAGAGGGGAAGACGGAGGCATCGATCTACCAACAGGCAGAGGATGGGAAGACGGAGTTATCTCTGATGCACTTTGCCATCACCAACCCTCAGTGGCAGCCTCCTCGAGAGACGACACATTTCATCAGCCAGCTGAAAGAAAGAGTCCACAGAGAGGCCACAGGGGTCTCTTCAGAAACTCATCCACTCTCACTGTCGGAGTCTGAGGTGCTTTTACGAACAAACACTTATGCACAGTATCACAGCAGTCATAAGCTAAGTGTCAACACATTTATAGAGGTTAACCTCAGTTCTTTCTCGCCCTTTTTTCCCCTTGCAGCCAAGGAGCCTCATCGCAAACCTCTTAGCAGGTCCCTCCACTGTGACCTCGGTTCATTTCGGCAGGGACAGCTCTTTGACGAATCATGCGGCGGTTGGCTTAAGCGATGGGGCGTCAGCATTGCGCTCGCTTTCTCCAATCAGTAGCAGTCTTCACCTGAAAGGCAGTTTGAGTGCCGCTCACAGGGCAGGACACACTTCAACCATCAGCAAAGCAATGGCCGGCTCTGGGTAGGAAACCCCAGATTCTGATTATTTTCACTGTGTACCTGACATTTCTTTTCCTCTCCTTTGAGTAACCTCCTTCTTCTGTCCATCTTTTCCTGATATCTCTCTTCCTGCAGGACTGATGCCCGTACAGTGAGCTCAGGCAGCAGTGCGTGGGAGGGTCAGCTCACCAGTTTGATTCTGTCAGAGTACGCCTCCACTGAGATGAGCATCCATGCTCTCTACATGCATGAGGTCATTAAGTATAAGAAGAAAATCTCTCAGTCTGATTCAAACCAATACTCGTCATCCTGCTAATTTCAAATCTTCATCTTGTAGCTACACAAGCAGCAGTCCCGCGGCGAGCTATCCCGTCACACGTGGCACAGGCAGGAGAGCGATGAGAGCAGCGACAGCGTCCCCGACGAAGTGAGGAGCGAACCAAACACCCAGTCCAGACACTTCCCTCGCTCGCACACTTTCCCCACCGTGGTTCCCAGCCCCAGTGCCATTCCTACGTCTGCGTCAGCAAACAGCAGTGCAACCATGGGCCAGGAGGGGGCGTCATCACATAGCAGCAGCCAGCGACGCCACAGTGGACCCACAACAGGTACCTAAATTTGTGATTTCTCTCTATGGTTCATGCCACGTCCATTAGACCAGAATATTATGATGCAATGTCACACTCTTATTCCCAGTGGGTGTTTTTTCTATTTTTGTTTCCTTGTGTTTTCAGACTCTCTTGGTACAGGGGGAAAAGTCGTGAGGTCTGCCCGTGTGCCCATGGGAGGCTGGGCAGAGGAGGGTCAAGCAGCACCAAGACACCATGAACCAGTACCAGAGGAAAGCTCAGAGGACGAAATGCCTCCTCACATACACAAGGTGAATGTTTGATTGTGATACAAGGGGTAATTTTACGTACGATCATTTTGATAATTTCTGTTCTCCTCTCTCTTTCTTTTTAGATTACATAACAAAGCCCTGTGTCAGCCTCTCACCGTCCTCACCCTTCAAGGATCAACACACATTTTAATGTTAACCACACCTTTGTCCAGGATCATCCACCTGCTCGGGCAAGGTTGAAGAAGGACATAATCAAAACAAAGATGGCCGTGGTTGTTAAAGTGAACCCTTTGGAGATAATAATTGACTTTTAAGATGCCACAACTGGCAGACAGGGTAGATTCCTGAATTTGTGTACAGATGAGGACCTACGGGTTCAAACAACTTTTTAAAGCCATTGATACTATTAGATTACTCTAAACCTTACTTTTAATGTGAACGGATCACACGATGAAAGTGCATTTGTGGCTGTGGTGTACAGAAAATGTATTCACATCAGCCTAAGGGATTTTTGCAGGTTGCCACTGAAGAGAAAAATATAAAATACTTTACCCATAACTAAAACTGTGCAATCTACTACTATTTCTAGAAACCTAGATGGCACCAGGGGAAATTTTTAAAGAATGTACAGTGTCTGTCTAACATACCCAACGTTTGAAAACTGTGTTTAAAGGTGCTGAAAACACAGACTTTCATTAATGTATCTGTTCTCTCACCAATAACAGAAGACTGTAGATCCTAACCTGTGCTCTGTCAGCTTGCAGTCTGCCTTTTCAAAACACATGAAGGCCTCACATCGTATAAGTTCACCTTATATTTTATAATAAGGTATTTTAATCCTCAAAATGTTTCATTAACCTCTGCATTTATTGCATTATAGAGCTCATGTGATTTTCTCCAATCTGAATTTTCTCAGAGCCTGTTTGAAGATAATTTCCCCACACACCGTGTTATTCTGCACAAACATGTACTATGTAAATACATAGAAACAGATTAACTTGCTATCATATTTCAGAAGACTGGATTGCTCATAGTTACACAAGTATAAAGCCTGTTTCTTGACCAGAAAGGAAAAAGGGTGCCATAAACAAACAAACAAGGATGTTTGCATGTGATGTTGACTCCTGTGCCATACTAAAAGCCCTCCAGCACAAGTGCATGGCCATTATTCACACATTCATGTTAAGGGTAGGAACACATCTAACACTGGAACTGTGATAACATCACAATCCTTCATGTCGGGTTAAACAGTAGCATGACTTTTCCCTGTTCTTCTGTTGTTAAGCCGCACTTCTGTCGAAGAATGATGCACTTTAATGATTTATAAATGCAGAGGGTGTCACCTGTTTGTATTTGTATGCTGTTGTGTGTAAATATATTTTTTAAATAATATTATTTATCAAAGGGATGTGCCATGATGACAGACAGGTGTGAATCAAGGTAAAAGAAGCACTGTCTCACCTGAAACAGCGTTGAAACGTCTGATTAAAAGTGATTGTGTTCAGGGTTTTTGCTGTTGTTTTATAAATACTGTAAAATGTCAGAATGTACAGCTGTAAATTCATCCATTAAAGACAACAAAATGACCAAAATGTGTGAATGGAAAATGTATAATATTTGATTGCATGCAGAAATGAACGAGTGAAGCAAGACCAGGTTGGACTGATGTAGGGTTTTGAAGTAGCCATAAATGGTTCTTTAAGTTGCATATTTCCCCAGGAAGAGCTGGACAAGGTGGCCAGGGTGGGAAGGCAGGGATTCGTAGCTGCTACCCCCGCGGTTCGACTTCGGATAAGCAGTAGAAGATGGGTGGATACTGTAAACTTTCCACTGTGTACATTGCGTTACACTGCTCACACTTATTTTAGCGTGTTTTTTCAAACACAGAGAATTATAATTGGACAAAACCACTCACTAAAACTGCAACAGAAGTTAAACCTTTACCGTAATTATTCCAATACACACGCACTTAAAAATCCAAGAGCGGCTGAGTTTACGACGAAAAAGCAAGGAGTTGCTACCTTGACGGAATGTAGTGTAAATAATCGTTGTAATTGTCTGGCACTATGACTGTATGACTCATTAAAAACTAAGTACAGTGAAACGAAATATTAAGCGACCGTAATGGTTCGTGTACAGGGCCCGGATAGCTCAGTCGGTAGAGCATCAGACTTTTAATCTGAGGGTCCAGGGTTCAAGTCCCTGTTCGGGCGTCAGTTTTTTCCTCCAGGCTCCGGTTATACTCTGGAGTGTACACCTCGCCTCTTCCACCGGTGACTGAATTTAAGTGCTGATATGTATGGTCAACGTATGATTACCCATCAATCCTGCTTACAGTGACTGTATTTTTCTTCGTGAAAGAAGTCTTGGCTGCTGTAACAAAGTGAATTATAGAGCAAGACGCCAAACATATAACCATTTTGTGCTTTTAGGAGAGATTGAAGAAGTTCAATAAAAGACTCTTGAATGAATTAATGTTTTCCATCCAAGTACATTTTTCAAAATCAATTGAAAAATGATTTCATTTTATTGTTGTAACTTCTAAAAGTTTATAAATATCTTACTCTTAACCTGTTACAGACATTCAGGCCTACTACATTAATCTCTCCTAGGATCCTGTTACACAGATTTTGTGTGTTTGATTAAGCCCTACAGCCAAACATTGTTGCCACGAGACGCACCTGGCATGACTTGCAAGGGGTGAAAGGGGTGTTAAACATTAATACAAAAATGCCTAATATTCAGTTTTCATATCACTTATAAGTGGTCGAAATTTCAACTGAAAAGACTTCGAAACTTTTTATCGGGTTTTGTGAAACATACTACTATATAACACATGTATTATGGTCCTATTGCCATAGCTACGCCAGGGTCATTCACTTTCAAAACACAGAAACGAGTGAAGGTATGTGCAGCAAAGGCCTATTCTGATTGGCTGCGGGAGCCATCAATCTGCGGTTGGAGACAGAAAAATGAAATTTGATTGGTCATTAATTCCCCAGTTTCACTGGTACACAGTTCGGATTCAAGCAGTAGGAAATTCATTGGCTGTAGATGAGCAATGTCGTGATTTGATTGGTCCATTCATCGAAGAAATCTCGATAAGGGCGGGGTTAAGATGGCTTGGCGGCCATACTGAACATTATCTGTTGACAGTTGGGCATGAAGGAAGCTTTAAGATTTTATTCAGTTAACTTGTGCCTAAAGTGAAGGCGTGTTGAGCTTTTAGGACCCATGTCCTAAGCCTCTGCATTATTCTTTTAAACCGAGAGATGGATGAAGATGAACGACAGAGGAAACTAGAAGCTGGGAGAGCTAAGGTTTGTTGCTAACATGTAACACACGTTAGAATGGTATGCTAGCAGTTAGCAAAAGCTAGAAAGCTAGGTCTTTTGTCACAGCTCTGCGCTGGTCCACTTCTGACTAAACTCTCCTGATGGCTAAAAGTTCTGGTTGGTGTGGGTCAGCTTTTATTGAAATTAAAGGCTCTGGTAACTACACCCGTTGGCCGCGCAATTTGGCTGTAGAGAGCTAAAGGATGCATAACATACCAAGAGTAGCTGAATTGAATGCACTTGAGTTTGTAAACAGTGATTTAGAAAAATTCAAATGAGCTTTTTCACCCAGATTATGTTAAATAGTCTTTCAGATGCCAAATAGTTTCTTTATAGATGTATGAAGGGCCGATGCAGGTGCACTGTGTTTTATTTTGAAGTCTTCTGAGGCCTCCAGCTGACCAAACTGGAGTGCAAAAATATATTTTCCTACCTCAAAGTAGTTATAAATAGACATTACAAATATCCAGTTGTTGAGGAAAGTAGACAAGAACTTGATGAATAACATTTCACACTTTTTAAGAAAATAAACACAGTTAACTGTTTTAATCAGAGCCCCAAATGTTAGATGTCAGACATTGGTCGTTGTGATACAACATATTAAAGCAGTCTGATGGACTCCTCTTTTGTCCACCTTTTTCCAGTCTGTGTTGCAAATGGAAGAGCAGCTGTTTGTAATTCAATAGGAATCCCTGTTACTTATGGACCAGTAATCAAGAATGGCCTGTGTTAACAAACAGGCCATATTGTCTGAAAACTAGATGTCAAAGTAGGTCACCTGTGCATGGAAGGTTATTCAATTGCTTTTCCCAGACAGTGTTGTACCTAATGTAGGGCCCGACCGATATGGAGTTTTTGGGGCCGATGCTGATACCGATTATTGGGGGGTCTGATTAATCATTGATTTTTTTTTTAAATATGAAGTTATAAAAAATATATATATGTATATATACTGTAGTATATCTACAGTATATAGAATACTGTGGCTTTACTGTAGGCTACTGCTCTTCACGCTGACAGGAGGACCGACTGATCAAAGTCGGACCAGAAAAGCGTTTTAAACTACCCCTGCCGCGTCTTAACTCAAGTTACTCATTTCAGGTCCGGTGTCAACAGTGTAGCTGGGCTAATAGCAGATGGCTAACTCAAATTTTAGCTTTTTAATTACATGGTGCTTCACCGTTAACTCGGTGTGATCGAGACCAGCACAGCGGGGAACATCGTGAAGTGGGTTGAACTGAAACTTGTTGACTTATTGTGTACTTCACAAACTAGTTTATGTACCATTGAGGCGGACCACTCTCCTCCTTGCGTCCCTGAGCTGCCTGCTTCAGATCCGTCACTCTGCTGTGCTGTGAGGTAGTTAGTGGACGAAGATTGTCAGGAGGTTGCTGCGCCATCTTCAGGATAAGTCGGGGAACTTTTCAAATAGCGGAACATTTTATTTCTATAAAAATATCGGCGAAAATCTGTGATTTTTGGCCAATTACGATTAATCTCAAATGGGCTAAAATCACTGATTTATCGGTTGGGCCCTAATAGAAAGCAGTGGTCCATTGATATAATGCATAATTTGAAATAGCACAACTTAATCGCTGATCTCACTCACAACAGAAATCCTCCGCTATGCCTCGAAACAAGTCGGTAAGTATAGAAACTGGTGACTGGTACAAGCATTTGATTCTCCTGTGGAAGTTCTCTTTGTTATGTTGGTCTTGAATGTGGTTTCTGGGTGATCAACGCTTTCCTCTGCTTTTCTGCACCAGGATATGAATGAATGCTGTACACTTTTGAGATTTTTAAGCCTGCTGCTTCTAACTGGCCCCAAATCATTAAAGAAAAATGAATGAGTTTTCCAGCAATGATTGAAACGTTCAGTGTTGTCATGCCTTGCTTACACTGTCATGCTGTATGCACGCCATCAGGTGGTGCAGTAAGCCCGTGAGATTTGTTAAGGTTGGGTATGTTGCACATCTCACATGAATAGTGTTGCTATGGTAATGCCGCGCTGTCAGTGTTTCACTGTGTGCAATGCATCAGAAAGCTTTTCAGAGAGGGTGCCACACATGTAAATGACAGAATATACACAGACGAGTGCAAACAAATACACAGGAACCAAAAGAAAAACAAAAGGGACAAATGGATGCTGACATGTCTATGAGCGCCATAGCAGCATTCAGCAGTTCATTTGTAAGATCTGATGTAGCCAGAATAAGCTTAGGGTGTTCGTCAGATCCTCAGTGGTGCAGAAGCGGCCTTGGGCTAAACACAGCTCATCTGGCTAATGTGCATTTCTAAGATGTTGTGGCAGGCAGAGGCGGCAAACAAGGTGACAAAAGGACACTAAGTTAAGGGTGGGGCTTTAAGTCATTACCAGTAGAGAAGCAAATGAGCAACATGAGGTGAGAGGAGATTTAAATCTAGTGATGTTTTTTGTGCGATTGTGCAAAGCTTTTACCTGGTTTGTGTTTTAAAAGAGAAACATTACTTAAAAATCGATGCATTGTTGGATACTAAATAGGAGTACAAATCAACCCCACGACGTGGCTTTACAACCAGTCCTGTGACACGTCATGAGCATGTTCTCATGCACACGTATGTGATTCATCAAACAAAGCAACAAGTAGATCTCCGTGGCCTTGCGACTGAGCATGCACACTCAGATGCTGCTCACCACACAGAGCTCTGTCTCCTCCTCTCCATGTGAATGCATCTCCCAGTCTCCACCCTCTTTCCTTTAGTCTAGACACATGCCATCCACTATCCAGTGTTTGTGGATTTCACTGCACTCTACGTTGGCTGTGGCAGGGAGTTTTAGGATGAGAGGTTTTGGCACGGTGTGTTATTCTCTTCAGTCTGCGAGATCTTCTTCTGGATAGCAGAGCAGCTGCCCCTTAAAAGGAAGGACTGACAGATGTGACCATCAGCAGGAGAGGGAGCTGCCGGTTATCTGTCAGTTATTGATGTAAGGCTTCATGAGGGTCCCTGTCACAATGTCAGCTGCTGTAATCTGATTTAAGCTGCTTAAAGAAGAGAGACCGGCAGAGAGAGAGAGAAAGAGGGAGAGAGAGACGGATATTAAAAAATACAAGAGGAGTGTTTTGCAGAGAGACATGGCCTGAGTTGGATTTGTACAAAACAGTCCCTCTGGAATTCTGAATATCTTGTGGCGTAATTGGAGATTATGTTTTTTTTTTTTATGTGTATGAACTTTTCAGGTTCATATTCTTTTATTTTTCGGTTGTTCTCTTTTTTAATCTTTTATCCTTTTTATTTGATTACATGGATAACTCTGTGTCGCTGCGTACGGCTCCAATCAAGGACTCGATTCGTCTCTGACTTTTGCTACATGCTGAGAACTGGAAAGTTTCTGACATGGATGTCTGCTTTCTTTCCCTCTAACCTTGTGCTGATTCTGGTCTGCTGAGAAGTTTTTCTAATATGTGTCACTAAAATCTGCACTCCTCATGGGTTTGACACAGCTCTCAGGAGGTTTGAGAATATTTAGTATCACCTCATTTTGAACTTCTCAGGCTGTGGTGTATTTCAGGTCTGAGTTTGGGACTTCTTCTTGCTTCACTGGGCTCTGTCTTTCTTTATACCGCACAAGTCTGACTCATCAAAAATGACAGCTGCCAATCTGGGATTACAAATGTGTTTATATGAATGCTGTAATGCTGTTTTGATTCTCTTTCAATGAGTCCGCTCTGGGGGGAAATCTGGACTCGAGTTCTCTCTCACCTCTGACCCCTGAGCTTCACCATGCTGCTGGTGTGGTGGTGCTCAGTGGTTCTTACCTACGTCTCCGTCTACCTCTCGCTGTCGTTCCTGCGCAGCTTGCTAGCTACAGACAGAAGCGGGCGAAAAGCGACAGTGCGGGGGCGCCGAAAAAGACGCAGAAGAGGAAGGGCCAGAATGACGCGCAGAATGACGGCGCGGCGCAAGACCACCACGTAGGGGCGGCGCCCCCTGCGGCTAAGGACAAGGAGCTGAACAACAAGACCAACCATGAGGTACACCACCTGATGCGTGTCAACCACCTGCCCTCTCTCTGTATATAATTTACAGATGACAGTGAAGAAATCTGATCTATGTGAGAGTTCGTCACACTAATTACTTGATTGCATGATATTACTTTATTCAGATTATTCACAGATCAATCTACATGACCTCCAGAATGTGTCTAATTTTGTTTGCTCACTAACAAGTGGTCCGTGCCCCCCGCTCAGTAAACATACATTAGAGAAATGGGTCACTAACCATCATGTTGCCTGTAGGGCAGGTTGTCATAGCAACCTGGCCAGGATTGACTGTGGCACTATTTGCTGCCTTTCAGCACAAAGTTCAGACACACAACTCAAAAAATGCAAAAAGTGTTTGTGGCACGTTTCATTGCGCTGGCATTTCCTCAGCGTTATTAACAAGCGAAGCAGAAAAATGTTTTTGACTTTATTCTGAAATTTATTATTAAACCCTGTAGGAACCCCAGAAACCAGAGAAATCAAAGGTCGAGAAAAAACAGCAAAAGGATCGGGCCCCAGAGCCGGAAGAGAGCCCGTCTCCTGTGGAAGACATCCGAGAAGAGGAGCTTGTCGCACTCACTGGGAAAGAGCAGCTTAAGGTATACACAGCATGATGTGACATTTTTCTATAGAGCACTTGAAAGCATGTGATTTAAGCACTCGAGAAAGACTCAATCCAGCCTAAGCATGTCTTGAGATGACAAGCTAAAGAGAGGGTTGGCTTACTGTCATAAATGCACACTGAGCATTCTAATCCTGGCTTCTCAATTCAAACGCTGAAGACTGGAAACTGATCCTGTTTACATACCAAAGAGCTGTTTATTCCCATTTCTGTTTGTCATATAGATCAACATGTCATTGCTGTTGTGTTTTAACTCATAAGACAAAAGAAGACTTGTTATTGTGTTGCTCTGTGTTTGATTTAAAAGTGTTGGGAAATTTGTGCGTCTGTGTTCTGTGCCATCATCATCATCAACCCATGGGGAGGGTAAATGTCTGTGTTTCTGCCCGGCTGCACTGATGTGAATATGCAGCGTATTTCATCTTCTGTGTTCATGTGAAAGGAGTCTCCAGCTGTGAAGATGTAGCAGGTCTAATATTACCTTATGTGAATTCAGGGGTTTTCAATTGGCTTGACAACAGTGTCAGATGGTTTACTTGTTACACTCAGCATCACGAGTCATGTAGTATTTGTTCTCTCAATGATGAAGGGAAACAGGGGTCCTCAATGTTGTTTTACAACGGCTGATACAAGTAATGAGAGCAGGCTGGGAGGCAGCTGCAGGGCCATGATGACATTCTGTTGTTGTTGTCGTAGCTGACATCATTTTGCATTTAAAGCAATTTTATGATAACTCCCATTATTTCATGATCCAGTAACATGCTCGGATGGATTTTTTAAAATTCCTGAAACAGAAATATACAAGGGTTTGGGTTAGGTTTTATGCTAGATTTCAGAACATAACTGGTGACACTTAACTGCATTTTTCTATATACGAATTTAGATTAAGGTAGGGCTGGGCGATATGGCTTCAATTCAATATCATGATATATTGAGCGGTTCACCTCGATAACGATAAATGGACGATAACTACTCCACAAGCTGCTCACCCCCTCCCACATCAACTTTGTCGACTTCAGCCGCTACAACTCTTGAACCATCCTCCATCTCCTCACCTGTCTTTCCCTCTTTGTTACGGACTGGATGGGGTGGAGTCACGTCTTAAAGGGGCATGAGACCATAGCCTACCTACACACATCCAAAACCAACTTTTATTTATTCATTTTTACACTGAATATATTGACATGGGCAAAATGACGTCGGTTATTGCCATAAATTTCGGTATTGGTTAACTTTTTGGTTTATCGCCCAGCCCTATATTAAGGACAAGCGAGTAACTATATGATCTGAAAAAAGGTCATTCGGGATGTGAAAAATGTGTTATCACTAAGGAGAACAAAAACATTTCAGCTGTCTCCAGATAGCGTCTTTTTTTTTTTAATCAGATTATCTCATGATACCAATGATGTGTCCAATCAATTTGTCTATCTGAAATGAAATCGTAAAAGTTGTGGATTACTTTTGATAAACTTGTGTGGCTCGCAGGATTTACAAGCTAGCTTTCAGTTTGTGGTTGGCTGCAGTCTTCGTGTTTGACAGTTCTGGCTTAAATGCTAATCCATATCTGCCTTTTCAGCTTTCGGGTTTTTAGAGGAAACAAAAATAGGCAGATTCAGACAGCGAGACTTTTAGAGTGTAGCACGAATTTCCACATTAAAGACGCTGAATCTTCACTCAACCTCAGGGTAGAATGTATGCAGATGAGTGTATGTTTGTACCTGCCTATCACGGTATGATCCAATCTTCAACTGCACTTACAGAAATTACAGCAGGCTGTGGAGAAGCGTAACGAGATCATCGCGAGGCTCAGCTCCAACCTGCAAGATGCGCTAGCCAGTAGAGACCAGGTGCAACTGGAGGCACAATCACTTGCTGGCCAGATTCAGGCGCTACAGAGACAACTCCAGCAGGTAAGAGACCTACAATTATGAACTTCACTGTTTATACACACTGTAACCGAACGTGAATACACAGTGGAATTTCCTTCTTACAGACCAGTGTGGAGTTTTTACGCATCAAAAATCAGTCAGGGCCAGAAGTTCCCAACAACCATCTTCAGCAGCATCACCTAGGTCACCACTCCCGATACGTGGATGTCAACCACAAGGAGGCGTCATCAGGGGATTCTGCAAGTGGAGGTCCTGCAGACACAGACAGTGAGACAGACAATGTTCTGCGCACACTGAGGGCCGAGCTCAAGGAGGAAAAGCAGAATAGCCGGCGCATCTGTGCTGAACTGGAAGAGGAGATGAGGAAACACCAACATGTGCTTTCTTTACTGGAGGAGGAGAAGAGAGGCAGAGAGGAGGAGCGAAAGGAAAGGGAGGCGCAGATGCAAGACCTCCAGACCCAGTTGAGCTTCGTCCAAACACAGTGCCTTGAGCTGCAGCAGCACAAAGCCGAGAAAGAGGAACTGAACACAGAAGTGCTTTATCTGAGGAAAAGGCTTCAGGAGGAGGAAGATGCACAGCGGAGATTCAGCGAGGAGATGTGCGGCTCTGCCTTTCGCCTCCAGAGCTTCGAGGAGGACATGCGGAGGCAGGGGGAGGAGATGGAGAAGCTCAAAGTGGAGCACAGAGAGGAAGTAGAGAGAGTCCAGCAGCTATTGGAGGAGAGGGAGAGAGAACTTAAAGTTAGAGAAGAAGAGGTCGAAGGACTGAAAGGCTCCAAGAATCGGCAGAACCAGGTGAAGGCTGGTTTTAGCCGCGATGAAAGGATTATTGTGGATGAGGAACAGCTGGAAAATGGACCTGACCAGGACGACTTGAATGTATCAACGTCTGGAGATATCTTGATGGAGCGGTATTTGTCTTCAGCTCCTCGTGCGCACTCCCAGTCTTCAGTGATCCATGAAAGCTTTGAACACTGCGGTCAGCTCGACGTCTCTGCAGATCACAGGTCAGATAAATACCAATAGTTATGTGTATCTGTTGTTTTTATTGACTACTCAAATCATTTTTTTCTCCATCTTTTCACAGTTTCGAGCTGAACAGCGACATTTTGGGAGACGAGCCTCTGTTATCAATAACAAACCGTTTCCAAGAGGAAAACAGCCTCCCGGACAACTCCAGCCCACGTGGCTCCTCTGCAACCCCCCTGGCAGATGACATGAAGTCTCAATCTCTTTCCCACTGGCTTCACAACTTCCCTTCCAACAAGCTGGAGACGAGCGACCTGTCTGAGCAGCAGTTCGAGGAGACGGACCTGGAAAAGGAGCTGCTGAATCAGCAGTGCGGGGAGCTCCGTGAGGAGTTGGCTCTCAAGGACAGGGACCTAGATGTACTGAGGGAGGAAGTCATCAAGAGCGCTGAAGAGCTGGAGGAGGCCAGGAGCAGGTAATGAAGTTATTTAGGGCAGAGATTTAATTAGTTCTTCTCCTGAAATGTTTTCATCACTGAGTTTAAAGTTTTTGTGAAACTTGTGTTGAATCTTTGCAATAAGTTTATTCACACTTTGATTGAGCTCCGCTTGTGGTGTTAATCCAATAAATACAGGTAGATGTCTTATGGCATGTTCGTTAGATAGTTTTTCTATGATTTGTCTAGATTTATTTTTTTTAACTTTTTGCATATTTTATTAACATTTTCACTCTGCGTACATCAGCCAGCATATAACGCAAAAAGAAGTACACTTTTAGACTCCCTCCAGCATACAGTAAAACTTCCTTTGAAAAATGCACAATGGTTTTACAACAAATCCAAGACAGAATAAGAAAGTAGATAATAGAAATTCATAACGCAAAAGTCAACTAAAATAAAACTGAATAAACTGAAAACAAACAAAAAACACGAGTTCAGTGACAACATTTTAAACAAAAACATAGGTATAAATTCGTACATGTTTCCTTTCAGTATGTCCCTCAGGGATGTGTACGTAAATTTTCTAAACATCCCACTGAGCAATAGACGGCTATTAGACGTGTTACCTAATTTCAACCGTCTAGATTCTGTATATTTTTGGACGGTTGCACTTTAACTCATTATTCGAAAACTATTTATCCCAAAAAGCAGCTGTGAGTTGCATAACTGATCTCCAAGTACTTCACCAAAATAATAATGATAGTCGTTAAGCAAAATACAGTGTAGTAAAGATACAGCCCAGATTTAGACTTGGTCCAAACTTGGTCTAAATTTAGACGTCTAAAAAAACTTTCATTTTTAGACCTGTGGTAGCCTGATTTTAGACCAGCTGTCTAGACTACATTGAGACATCTATTAGACCTCTTTTAGACCAAAAAACGCTCAGAGGGATGTTACTATAGGGAGCCAAAGATCTTGAAAAATGTAGCCTTTATTATACTTTTCTAAAGTCAGTCTCTCTAAAGGTAGAAACTCAGAAATCTGCTCTAGAAACATCTTAAAGGTCAGGGCAAATTCATTTTTCCAAAATAAAAGAATACTCTGATGATGATTATTAATAATCTGCATTTTTTCATATCAAACTGAAAAACTGGTTTGTTATTTAATAAATACTCACTGGGTTTTTGATCAAATTCTATTTTTAAAACTTTTTTTGTGAAATAATGAACAGAGTTCCAAAAATTCTTCAAACTATCACATTGCCAAAAGAAGTGCATAAATGTTCCTTCTTTATGTTTACATCTTGGGCAGTTTGGTGAGATATCTTTAGATGTTTCATGCATCCTAGATTTGTCTAGATTTTAACCTTCTTTGTACATTCAGGTGGGCCCAAGTCACAGAGGAGCTCAAGGAGGCTCTGCTGGAGCTCGAAGAGGAGAAGGAGAAGAGGAGACACATCGAGGAGGAGATGAACGAAAAAACCCACGAACAAGACAACCTGAAGAACAAACTGAGTGCCTTAATGGGAGAAAAAGAGAAGAACGTGGTCGCGTTTACAGGAGAGGAAGCTGCTGAAACTTCCCTGCTGCTCCCTGATATTTCCTCATCAGAAGAGACAGAGAAATTGGTGGGGGGGATTAAGAATGAGCAGGAGAAGGAAGCCACACTCCTGTCTCATCAGGCGCCGTCTCTGCAGGAGATAAAGCAGGCGTCAGACTCTGCCAAACAGAATGTGGAGCTTAAAGATGACAACCAGCTGCAAACACTTCAGGTATAACAGAATAATCTGTGGGTTTGTGTTAACAGCTTAAGGAGAATGTAAACACTCTCGGCTCTGCACTGAAATTTAGTTAAAATTGTGCCAGACAGCAGCAGTAGCAATGTCTGTGCTACAAAAAATGATAAATGAGTTCAATTAACAAAAAGCGATGACTAATTTTCTCCTTTTCTTTTCCTCAAGGCTCACTGTGAACTTCTGAAGTCGGAGTTGAGTCAAATGACGACGGATCGGGATAAAACGCACAAGAAACTCGAATCAACTCATGAACAAATTCTTGAGATTGAGTCAGAGGTGGACAGATTACAAGGAGAGCTGATGCAAAGACAGAGAAGTCTAGAGAGAGCTGAAAAAGCGAGGAAGGAACTCGAATCTCAGATCTCTTGTTTGAGACAAGACCTGGCTAACCAGGAGGAGGCCAAAACCCAGGCAGTGCAGGAGAGGGAGGAGCAGAGGAGAAAAAAGGAGGAGATGGAGGAACAAGTCAGACAAATGGAACAAGTCTTAGAGGAGGAACTGGAACAGTTTGAGAACCTGCTAAAAGACAAGGATGATGAGGTGAGGTATTGAGAATAATCACTTTTTATTTATTTTTTTTCAATTTAATTCTAACCTGAACATGATTATTTATAATCTGTTTTAGTTGGCTGTCGAGAGGGAGAAGTGGGAAGACGAGAGGCAGGAGAAGGACAAGGATCTTCACAGTATGAGGCGTCTTCTGGAAGAACAGAGAAGGGAGAGGGAGGAGGAGGTGAAGGCGCTCCTTGAGAAGCAGGCCATGGTGGTTGAGGAATCTACGGAAAGGCTCAAAACATCTCACCAACAGGAGATCAAAGACTTGATGGAGAAACATCAAAAAGAGGTGCGAGAAACTACAACTAAACTGCGTGTAGACTTTATTATTATTTTATGGTGGCATTCATATTGTGAAAATATAATATAATGTGAATTATGTAGCGTTTACCTATGCTGCTTACTTCTTGTATAATGTAAAATGATGCATATTTAAAAAGTCACGAGTTGCTTTGCCCAATTTCCCAGATTTCTAAGTTGAACTCTCACCTGGAGTCAGAACTGTTGAAGCAGCAGGAAGAACAGAAGAAGCAGATCAGCTTCATCAAACAGGTATCAGAGAATATTCCACCTTTAATCCATCATCCTGCTCTATTTGTTCATTTTTATTTTAATCCTATTTCTTCTTCTCATGTGTCCCATTTTCTGATTGTTTTTTTTCCCCTCTAGGTGACTGAACGTGAGCACGAGAGGATGATCTCAGAGCTGTCAGCCGAACACGGTGAGGAACTCAACCAGCTGAGGACAGAACTGTCCGTGGAGCTAAGGGAGAGCCTGGAGGCTGCCCACCAGGCTGAACTGCAGCAGGCTCAGGTATTCTAGATATATTTGCTGCATGTGTTTTGACATCTTCATTACTTATGCAGGCCTTCTCTTCCTGTCTTCCTCCATTTCTAAGTTACAGGAATTATATCAAATCTTAAAACCTAAGACAGCTGTTTTGTTACTTGAGGGATATTAAGTTTGATGCTATTTTTCACTTGATATAAATAAAAATAAACTGGAGGTAACAGTGTGAGTTTAAAGTCTAAATGTATCACACAACCCTCCATGCAGGAAAAGCTCCCCCTCTGACATACTTTCATTTCCTGTAGATCCAAAAGAAAGCTGAACTCGAAGCCTTGCGTCTGAGCCTGACCAGCGCCCACACGTCCCAGCTGGAGCACTCCCAGTTGAACTTTCAGCAGGAACAGGAGTCTGCGCTCACCAAAGCCCAGGCTTCTCTGAGGGACACTTTTACACAGGAAAGTACTCTCCTGCAGGCCTGGCATCAGCTGGACTTGGACCAGCTCAGACAACAGAACCAGCAGGAGCAGGAGAGGCTGCGTGAGCTGCACCGACAAAGCATGAGTAAGTGTGTGGATGAGACACGAGAGGGGCTTTCAAACTATTCAGACCGTGTTCTTTTTCATGTTTGCTTACAGGTGCATTCAACCTGCGTGCTATTATGAATATGGCTGAGTCACCCTCATTCTTTCAAGGCTTGTTCAGGACGAAGTAGAGCACAGGCGCAGCTGTAACCTTCACATTATTTGATATGGGCGAGCCTTTTATTTGTTTGGTTGTTTAAACTTTTATTTGCACAGATGAGCTGAAGCAGCAGTGGGAGAGGACGATGGCTCAGGAGAGAGCTGCAGTGGAAGAAAGGCAGGCCAAAGAAATGAAGGTGAAGCTTGTTCATGTCTTCTTGTATAAAACTGTGTCAGATCACTGCACTTCTGATTTTGGAAAGGCCTTTAAGTGCTCATCTCGGTAGTTACACCTTGTTAAATAATGAAATCTGCATTCCAGCTCATGTTAGTCTCGTCTTTCTCCCAGGATGCCGAGAGCACCCAATCCAAACTCCTCTCAGAGAGTCAGAACAGCCTTACCGCAACCCAGACAGAACTCGCTAACACCCAGACGTCCCTCACCCGGACCAACAAAGCTCTCAGCGAAGCTCAGGCTGCTCTGTCACAGACACAGTCGGAGCTGCAGGAGACAACAGCCCAGCTCGAGGAACTCAAGACCTCCAGCAAAGAGCAGAAGCAGAAACTGGAGGAGGAGCTGAAACAATCCTGGGCAGACAGAGACGCTGCTGCCCGTGAGTTGTCAATCTGCTGATCTGATTAGAGCTTTATATGAATTGAATAAAAGTCTGGGTGTATTTATATTTTGCGTTCCAGTTTACTTAAATTGTCAGTATCTTAAATGTTACCCAGGTGCTCTGGAGGAGTTGGTTTCCAGTCACAAGACAGTGCTGCAGGAGAAAGAGCAGCAAGCACTCCACCTACAGGAGCAGGAGCACCAACTGCAGAAAGAGGTGATCCAGAAGTGTTCATATGTAGCTGTGTTATACTCATGTCTAATTTTAGTACACTGGCCCTCTTATTCATAAATAGCATTTAATAAATTCAGTAAATGTTTGCCTTATCCGATCATTTTAGATATTTAACTTGTTAAGAGAGCTCCAGAGTATCAAACAGGAGGAATATGAAAGTCCGAGTTACAGTAAGTTTCATTCTTACTCTCTGTGAACCAGGTTTTGCGCCTGCAGGAGGAGAAGACCTTATTAAAACAGAGCTCAGAAGAAGAAGTAGGTCAACTGTGGAGCCAGCTGGAGAGTATGAGGACAAGTCGCCAAGAGCTGGGAGGTGAGCTTGTTAAACCAGCCTGACATGTGCTTGACAGAGCTGTATTTTAATCAACTGCTTTCATTCAAAAACAAAAAAAAAACGCACAACAACCACACTCAAGACCTCTCAAGTGAAAGCTGTAAGAAACACACACGAGCCTGCACTTTCGTTTTCTGTCTTCTCAACACGCCTCGTGTTTTTGTGTTCTTGCTTTTTGTTTTACAGAGCTGAAGGAGCAGCTGCGCGCTCGCTCGTCTCGTGTCGATGACATTGAGTGCCTGAAGTCGGAGTTTAACGATCAAAAGCGGGAAATAAAGGAGCAGAATGAGGCTGAGCTGGAAAGCTTGAGGAGGTATGAGAAAAGCAGGAACACACACTCACAAACACACACACACATACTGCAAGAATTGATTCGTGTTTTACCCTCAAAAGACTCGCCTTAAGTTATTTTCAATGTTTTCCGAGGGTAAAAATCTCTGTCCTTCAATCCCCAAATGTAGTTAGCACAGTATGAGCTGCATTTCTCAAAGTCACAAATTAAACTTCATCCCTCCTTCAGGTACTTCGAGCAACGGTTGCAGGTGACAGAGGAGAGCTACAGAGAGGAAATCGCTCTGCTCCAGCTGAGGCTAGTGGAAGGTGCCATGGAGGAATCTGTACTAACCAGGTTTGTTTGGAGAATTTCATATAAGATCAGATACAGTATATCCCCAGTACGCTTGCATGGTTTAGTCAACATCTGTCTTTATGTTTTAGTTCCATATCTCACAGCAAAATGGTCGAGGAAAAGTACCACGTGCTTCCTGATGCTGACCTCAACCTGGAGAAACAAAAGGTGTGTTTATACTTTAAAAGGATTTATAGGAGTTTATTGTTTTGATTTCACGGTCACAAAATTCACTCTGCATCATATCGTGTCTCGTTCATCAGGAAATGCTCGACAGTTTGCAACTTGAACTGGAGGAGAAACACTCACTGGAGCTTTCAGATCTTCAAACGTCCATGACTCTTTCGTTCAAGGAGGAACTGCAGCAGGTCAGATGAAGACTCTGATTTTAAAACCATTTCAAGAGGTTTACAGTGTAGATTTTAATGGCTCTCGTAGTTATTACTGAGTAAATTATTGTAAAGTGGATTTGAATGTCACATTCAATGAGTCAAAGAAAATGTAAAGATTTGTAGCCGTATGACTATGAAAGGATAAATTCTGGCAGAGAAATCACCGCCAACTCACTCACTCACTTGTTTAATGTAATTGTTTGTATCTCAGGTGCGCTCAGACCTCACTGACTTCTACTACGAGGAGCTGCAGGAGATAAAAACTCGTCATGCTCTGGAGCTGGAGCAGCTCAGAGCCAAACTCTCTGACCGCCACTTGCAAGGTTTCTTACACACCAAATACACGGTTTAAACTGAAATGTACGTATGATAAGTTTTAAAATTTCCTCTGTTTCTTTTCCAGAACTGACCCAAGTTCATGCTGATGGAGCAAGACAGGTTGAGGTGAGAGAAAACGGATTGTAAGATTATTTGATTGGAATACTTTGTGGTTTTGTGAGTTATTTATGGTGTTGTTTCGATCAGGTGGAGGTCGAACAGAGGACGTGGTGTCACACAGAGGAGCTACAAGCAAGCATGACCATCATCCACAACCTGGAGAGCAGACTGGCTGCCCTGAAGTCAGACCATGATGGAGAAATGGAGAAAGAGAGGACCAGCTTTGAAAAAGCACTTCATGAAGAGAGAGAGAAGTTGAGGTCTCTACAGGGAGCGCTGGACAACGATGAGAGTAAGACAGCTGCTGGTTATCAGGATTCCTGTCATGAGATTTGAAATAGATAACATAATGTGTTTGTCTCTTAGGTCCACAGATCCTGGTAGTGAGGCAGAGACTTGAAGCCCAGTATGAAAGTGAGCTGCAGCAGGTGAAGAGCCAAATGACAGCAGACATTAAGGAGGTCACTGCTCTCCTACAGGAACAGGGCGAGGAGCGATTACAACAGGCCCATGACAGGTGAGCTCTCCATCAAGGTCTTCTCTGTAACTGACTGAGACAAGAGTATTGCCTTTGTAATACCCACAGTGCACCTGTGCTGAGTTTACCGAGACACCAGCTGCTATTTGGGTAATAAAAAATATTTCTGATTTCTGATTTCACTTTTAAAAAATGGTGTTGTATATATTTCTAGGAGAAAAAAATCTAGGAGATTGGTACACGTCTTTTTTTCTTAAACAATTTAATTTACTTGAATCTTTTGCCAATAAAAGGGACACTTTTATGTTGAATAAATATGTTGAATTTACCTTTTTTGAGGATTTTTGCCTGGTTGGTCACAATTTTACTACAAGTTGTACGATGCTATGGTCAAAGTTGTTTCTCTGCATGTTTTGGGTTACATGATGATAGGATGTAGCAGTCAGTGATTCTTTTTTGTTGTTGTTTATTTTTTCTGCATTTAGCCTTTTTTTTGGTGAGACAGTGTAGAGAGTCAGGGAATATCGGAAAGGAAAAGTGGGAGTAACAAAGAGCCACTGCAGAGGAGTATAACTTCTGTCAACATGAGTCAAACTAGCATCTCTTGTTAAGACTACTCTTACACACTGAGAACTGCTTTTGCTTCCAGTTCTTTTGTTTTTATAACTTTTATTTATGAGAGGCAAGTATACTGGTCCACTTCAGAGAGGTACAAGTTATTTCCTTTTTAACTTTGAACATAAATGAACCAAGAACACCCTTCCTCCCCCCAGCCCCCAAATCTCCCATTCGGACAGATGACATTTAGAAAATAGACAATACACTGACAAAACAGACAGTAAATAAAATATAAATAAATGTACATATATATTCGTACATACATACACATATCAGATAGTAAACATGACAATAACAACAGTGATTAAAATAAATACATGGATCAATAATTTCAAAAAGAAGAAAGAAAGAGAATATTAATAAAAATAATTAAAATAAATAAATTAAACTTAATTAAAAACTAAAATAAATTAAAACTAAATAAAAAAAATAATGATTATGATAATAAAGTTAAAAATTGAAAATTCTTCTGCTTGTCTCTTGGATTCCATGAAGCTTGAGCTATCATGGCAAATATAGTTTAGCGGGTAGTTACCTCCTGGCGGACGGGCACATTACGACGGATGCCACCCCAATCATAGAAAAATACTTATAGAGAGATTACTTGTGCTGGTAATCTATCTAGATACTCCAACAGTGGTTTCCAATGTTTGTAAAACCTAGCAGTTGAGTGACAACTTAATTTTTTCTAGTTTTAAAAGACCTAAAGTGTCATGCCACCAGATTTTGATAGACAGAGGTTTAGGAGATTTCCATAAGAGTAAGATTCGCTTACGAGCAACGAGAGAGGAGAACGCAATAATGTTATTTTGAATGACAGAGGTGTGAAGATCCTCTGGTGGGTTACCAAAACTGCTTCCAGTTCTGTTAAATAAAAAGACAACAGGATGAGGTCGCCCATCTGCCTGTTGAACTGTGCACAAATCCCTTTGCTCCATTTACACACACTGATTTTTACATGCACATTACAGTAGTAAAATGAGCTCTAGTTTTGTACTGAAAAGCCTCAAAAATCCTGCATTTGTTTGAGTTTGGATTACTTTTCTTGTCTGTGTTTAGGTTCCAAGAGGAAAAAGCATCATTGGAGCAGCGTTTGAGCCAAAGATATGAAATCTCTCTGGCAGAGCTGACGAACAGACATCAAACTGAGCTGCAGAACGAGAGGGAAACATTGCTGAACAAACACTCCCAAGAGATGGACTCACTCAGTGCCAAACACAAAGCACAACTAGACTCACTCAGTGCCAGTCACAAAGGTCAGCTTGAAGCTCTGACTGTTGAGCTTGGATCCAAACACAACGCTGAGCTTGTTGCCTTGGAGGAGGCTCTCAGTTTGAAACTAAAGGCAGAACTTGGAAGTCTAGAGACCGAATTGAAAGAGACCAACCAGGCTCAGCTGGAAGCTTTGGAGGCCGAGTTAGTTCGCAAACACCAGGATGAGAGGGATGAACTGGAAAAGAGGATGCTGGGTAATATGGACACTTTGGAGGCAACGTACCTGAAGGAAGTGCAAGTAAGGACACAAAGACACAGTACTACTTTTATTATGTTTTCATCCACAATCACTTTTGAATGTTATTATTATTTTAATGTCAGACATTACATGATGAAATGGCGCAACTCAAAGACCGCCATCATCAGGACCTGAACCACCGAAGGTCAGAACAGAGGCAGCTGATGGAGCGCCACGCTGCAGAGCAGCTGTCCATCAGGGAGGAGCTGAGGAAGGAGCTGGCTCAGGTGCACATGGAGAAGTTTAGTGCCATGGCAGCTGAGCTCAGCCATGTCCACACGGTGAGCACAGAAGATGCCCAGTAGTCCCCCATGTAAACAGAATCAGCACTTATGTTTTTCAGAACTGTTATGATTGTGTGTCAAACTTTGTTTTACAGACTGAGCTGGCTGCTCAGAAAGAGGCCTTAGATACTGAGCACTGCAAAGCCCTAGAAACCCTAAAGAAGCAGGTACTTAGAATTTACTTTATTTATTTACTTTGTTTGTTCAACGTGGCTAAACAGGGGATTACAGAGTCTGTGGATTAACAATGTCAAATGGTTTGCCATATGTGTCTGTCACCTCAAACTCGCACTACCAGCCTTCAGTCCTCCATAAAGTTAATGACCACATGCCTGTGTCGTTAAAGCATCGCCCGGTCGAATGCTAATCTGCCAGTTAACCCTGACACCACCCAACTGCAACATTTTCAACATCAAAACACGCAACAAGATGCCATCTGTTTGTTTACATTGTTGATATCTGAGTGGAGCAGTGGAGCATCATGGCAGTAGCACTAGGGATGGGAATTGATAAGATTTTATCGATATTGATGCCTTTGTCGATTGTGCTTATCGATTCAGTTCTTTAACGATTCCCTTATCAATGCCTGTCTTTGATTTAAAAATAGACTATAGGTTTTCACCATTAACCCCAAATTTTATTAGGTCTGTGATGACAGAAAAAGATGTTTGCCACCTTCAGTGAGAGTCTAAAAATAGTCAAACGACAAACAATTTGTACAGCATTTACTTCGGTCGGTACCAAGTCAAATTATGGTGACCATATTCTCAATCCCCTAAAAGAGGACACTACTTCGCAGAGTCTCGTGCAAAATTTTTGAGTGTTTTTTATGCGCTATTACCTCAGTTAGTCCATGGTACACAAACTCAAAACTTCGATACAAAACCCGTTGTCGACTTTCTTAGTAAAATGAAGCCACATCTTAGGTCGTTTCTGCCTACTTTTTGTACCATTCGCCATGTTTTTGTCCTCAAAGTCGCTGTTTTCGTTCACGTAGACTTGCTTGTTCTTGTTCTCAACAAGAACCGGTCCTCGATTCCCATCCCTAGCACCAACTAGTGGTGGATGGCTGCGCTACATCTTAGACGCAACATGTAACTTTTGGGAATATTAGTAATTTAGGTAATGAAGCAGTAATTTCACTGCACATCCCCAGAAGACGCTCATACAGACAGACCAGACGCGTGTTTGTTAGAGGAGCCTTTCATTTCAATATTGTGACATGCAATGATCAATATGTGTTTTAAAAAAGCATAAATTATAGATACAATTTTGATGACTTTTTACTGCTGCCTTGCCCAGTTTGATGTTTTTTTTTAATGATCAAAGAGTTATTCATCTTTTCATCAATTTGCAGGTTTTAGAGCTGGAAAAACAACACGGCGCTGCTCTTCAGGAGCTCTCAAATACCTACTCCAGTGAGAAAAAGCAACTCATCGAGCAGCATCAATTCCAGCTACAGGTGTGTGTGTGTGTGAATTTCCGTCTCCTACATGGTGATTTAACATCCAAAGCTCTGCCTGCTGAGTTGTTTTTAATGCCTGTCGGTTGAGTTTTTGTCTTTGTGGGTCTTACACCCCATTAGGGAGAGGATTACACAGAGTTATTGTTCATCCTTTATAATGGTCGACTTGTGCATAGAGGCAAAGAACATTTATGTGGATTCGTTCTGAGAAGCCCTCCGCATGTGAGCATTTGACAAACTAGATGTTGTAGTATTAATCCAAACACACGACACGTGTTCGCTGTAGGAGCTGAGGAGCGCCTCTGCACGAGAATCTGAGGCATGCCGCAGGGAGCTGGAAGAGGAGTCGTCAAGGCAACGGCAGCACTTCCTAGAAGAGGTGGAGCTCATAAAAGTCCAATCAGATGAGAGGCTGCAGGAGCGGATTAATCAAGTGAAGGTAGAGGGGAGATGAGGAGAAAGATGGCCACAGGGGAAGCTTCAAGGCTCCTTTTAGGGGAACATTTTAACCTTTGTGTCTGCCATGTTTCCATCAAATCATCATTTAATATGTTAGAAACGTCATTGTCATCTTTCTCTAATTATTCAAAGTTCAATATTTATGTGAGAGCCTGTTTAAAAACACATTATGTAATAGCTCTGGATTATGGAAAGCTGTGTGTGTGTGTGTGTGTGTGTGTGTGTGTGTGTGTGTGTGTGTGTGTGTGTGTGTGTGTGTGTGTGTGTGTGTGTGTGTGTGTGTGTGTGTGTGTCTGTGTGTCTGTGTGTCTGTGTGTGTATGTATTTGTTTCGACATTGGCTGCTCTAAGCTCCAGCTGCACCAGTTCAGACTCAGGGACAATTCTTCCTGTTGGACTCTTTCCCACTGGAGCTTTATTCAAACCCAGTGTCCACATAATCCCACCATCATATATGTAGAAGTGTTGGGTGCATCTGTCTCTCTGTTCCCTGACTCTGCAGGGTTGTGTGCATGTGTTGGTGTTTTTGCAATCTCAACAGTGGCTAAATGGATGGATCTAAGCTTTTTATCCTCTAATGCAGAAGATTTGGAGGCTGACTGTACTTTTTTTTTTTTTTTTTTTTAAACCAGACATTTCACCCATAAGCCAGTGAGACATGACTAGAGATTTCTTTAGCTGTGGCGCTACCAAACCTTCACTTCACAGCGGCTTTTTAAGATGATGATCTGTGTCTTTTTCTTGATTTTTCAACATCACTGTTTCCCCCAAAGACGGAGTCTGAGGAGAAGAAGCAGGCGGAGCTTGAGGACCTGAGGCGGAGCTTCACATCTGAACAGGAGGAGAAGGAGCGGAGCTACACTGGCAAAATGAGTCAGCTCACTGCCCAACTGCAGCAGCTGGATGCCGTGGTGGCCCAGGTACTGCGCACTCACACGGTCCCTATCCAGCCTTTTACCATTTTGTCTGTTTTTGCTTCAAATGGAAAGCTTGATTAAGGGGACACCTGCAGCTTCACTTTTGAAGTGGGAACACTAGACGGGCAGGAGATTTAATTTGTTGCATGATTAGAGTTGAGGCACAAAGTAGGAGCCAATGAGAAACTACTGACCAATTAGAAACGAGAAAGAGAGAGAAGGGAAAAACATTCCTGCTAAGTCACCCTCTGCCTTTAACATCTTATTTTGGAGATCACCTGATCAATCAATCACTGCAGACATCTGCTGAGTTTGTGTGTCCAAGTAGAGTGGATCATGCACTTACGCAGGAGAACCAGAACAATGAGCTGATTAATCAAGTGGCGAATCGCTTGAAGATTAGTCTGAAATCTTTGAGGTAATTGGATAATCCTATTAGAAATTGCTTGAGAAAAGCTCCCTGCGCACTTATTGCGGGGATTTTCCACTGATTTCTTTCGGTCACTGCAATTACTTTTACATCATAACAGAACTTACATGAATCACTAACCTGTAACTATTTTAGATGTGATATGCTGCTGACGGGGAAAGCTGTTGTTCTCTTGGGGGACGTTGATATTACTCAACAGCAGCTACACTGAAGAGGCTGCCTGCAGTGTCTGCAGACATAATCTGTTCATTTATTCAATTGGCCTTGCGAGCATAGGGTTTATGCCACTAATCAGACCGATGACCTGCCGAGACCAATTCTTGAGTCTTTCTCTAATCTTACATATTTGAAGATTAATTATAATTCAGTAAGATCGGATCACTTCATGTTAAATTTTCCAGACCGGGACCTTTGTGGTTGCCTACGTAACCCTGATAATCATATAAAAATAGATGAGCTGGAACTCTTGAAATGAAAACATGTTGAAATCCTTTTTATGGAAAAAAAATCTGAAAACAAAGGGAAACTTTTTGTGTATTCATATATCATAATATTCGATCAGTTTGGTTAGATTCACTTGAGACGACATTTTCTGGTGATGGCTTTTGTTGAGATGTAAAGCAGCGGTCAGAATGTTAATCATTTACCACCCTCCTTCTGTGCTTGCTTAAATTTCTGTCTTCTGAAACATATTTTTGACAACATATGAATCCTCTATGAAAGAGTTGTTTCAGAAGTTTCACTCTCTTCCTAGAACCCAAACATTTAAGATTGATAATATATTGCCATTAATCATCATGACCATCATGGCCTTACATATTCAAATATTTGTTTCCATGGCACCTTCCCGGCTTGCCTGGCATGGTTAGATATTAAAACACACACTTGTACACTCCCCCCTCCGTGAGGTCTGCGGAGAGAGGCTTAAGAGTGGTTGGGAGGGTGCTGTTGTCAAGGCAACAGCATTGTTTGGTCGGGGCAGGTGGCTGCTCGAGACATGTTTGATGTGAGAGAGCGGGAGGGAGAGCGGAAAGAGAGGGAAGTAAGCCGTAGTGAACGGACAGAAAGAGAGGGAGAGAGGGAGAGAGACGAGGCTGAGGTACCAGAGGTGAGTAAAACTAATTCAGGCCTCGAAGAAAACTCTGAAAGTCTCTTCTGAGAGGAAGCGCAGCTGTGAAGTCAGAAGTTCGCTCGCTTTAATCCCACTCTGGCTTGGAAATGAACAGTGGTACTTCTGCCAAGGATGCTTGAAGATTACAGTCAGTTTGTGTGTCTTTTTGCTTACGTAGAAATGCATTTTCTACGCATGTTTAGATGGATGCTTTGGTTGTCTATGGATGAGGTTGATTCCCTCATGATCAACATCTGGCATGATTGACTTTTTGATGCAGAACCTGCCATCTGCTTTTGTCACACTCCTGGCAGTGTTACGATGTTGATGGCCATGTGACTTTTTTTATTTAAAACATCATTCTGATCACAGTCATGGCCGCAGGCTTTATGCTGTCTCAGCATCTGTCCTGAAATCCGATATCTAATAGAGGAAATATGCTGATTATGGCTCCAATATTCCCATTTTTGACCATAACTTCAGATGCACACACACTGAACCACTTTTTTACACCTACATTTATAATCCTGGAAAAAAAAACTCCGAAATTTTTCTAAAATTTAAATTCTTGGCTGAACTACACAACTGAGAGGCACTGATTCATGTTCATCCAGACCTTCATGATGCTTTTCAACAAAAACAACAAGCTTGTATTTGACTTTTTTTCCCCCTTTTTTGTTTTTTTCATCTCCTGAATTTCAGAGGGGTAGTTAATACGCTTGTTTTAATTTGACATTCCCGTGTCTTATTTGCCCAGTTGAGAGCGGAGGTCGGCTGTCTTCAGGGAGAGTTGGAAGGGAAGCGAGCAGAGATGGACACGTTAGGCACTCTCCTCCAACGAAGAGAGCGGGAGAGTCAGGAGGGCGGGAATCTCCTGAAGATGCTCACCGACGACCTGCAGACTTCCAAAGAGGAAAGGTAAAGGCTGTACTGCATTGGTGTGAATACAAGCTAAGTAAAGCTTGTGCATTAAGAGAGAGCTTTAAATACTGTCAGTTTGTGTTCTCTGAAGACCAGGTGACAAAGCGAAGGAAGCCTGATTATTTCTAAATTATTTTTTGCCATTGGGCTGTTTCTGGGGAAGCAATTTATAGCGCACTCAGCAGAAGTGTCATTCTTCGCCGTTGCTGCAGAAGATTCACACAATATGATATTTTTGATGATATGTTTGAGGGACAGAAGGAGGATTTTTGGTGACAGAATATTACCTACACATGCACAGGGAAAGCAAAGGCGCACTTGTTACATGTCTGATGCTTCACTCCTGTTTTCCAAAGGTGTAACCTCCTTCAGGCCAACGAAAAGCTGAGAAAAGTGCTGATCGAGATGATTCGCCATACAGTCGCTACAGAGGAATTGATCGGACAGAAGATCGGCGGCAGAACCAAAACATCTGAGCAGGCGGCTCATCGGAGGAACTCGGCCTCAAACAAAGATGCACAAGAATCAGGTCTGTGGATGTCTGATGTATGTAATATGATTTTAGGTTGCAGCACAGTCCAGACAAACGGTTCTTAAGATGTTGGATTTAAATATGTGCATATTTGCTTAGTGGTCTTTTTTATGTATTTTAGTTACAGACTTCTCTGCAGATGAACTGGAGCTGACACATCAGCTCTGCGAGAGTCTGCTGGTCTCAGACACTCAGATCAATCCTGGGGGAGAAGAAGCCGCTCTGAATGCCTGCAACAGACTGCGTCACACTGTTGACACACTACTGGAGCTGCTCAACCAGGCCAACACACAGGTAGAGGAGCATACCTCCACACCCACCGTTTCCTCAACCATCAATACAAATCTTATTAATATTATTATTTCTCACTTTCTTGATAGCTGGAGCAGACTCATCATGTCCATCTTTCTCTGGAGGAAAAGTTCTCCAAGGGCAGAGAGGACTCCGCTCAGCTCATTGAGCAGCACAAGCTCCTGTTGGAGCAGCTCGATCAGGAGGCCAAGATGAAGAGTCACCTCCAGCTGGAACTCCACAAAGCTGAGGGTGAGTGTCGTATCATCCCTGACTCATCCTCTCAAGACTGACCCCACTATGAATGAACCCTCTGATTAACACGGCTCCTTTGAGAACATGATAACTGTTTTTTTCCCCTCTAACATAAATTCTCTGGCTGTGAATGATGTGTTCAGGGCTTCTGGAGGGCTACGTGGCTGAAAAAGCAATCCTCGAGGAGTCCTTGCAGCATAAGGAGGCTCAGGAGGAAAGACTGGTGGAGGAGCTAGAGGACCTGAAGATGAAGCTGCACCTGCTTCAGGGTCTCCCTGTGGAGCTGGACGGCCTCAGACTGAAGCATCAGGAGCTCAGTGAAGAACACACACTACTCCTGCGCCAGAAAGAGCATCTTTCTGCGGGACTTGGGGAGAGGGAGAAAGGTAAGCACAGCGCGCACAAATTTGTGTGTCTCTCTGCGTAAAATGTTACATGACCGGTTAAGTGCGCTCGACCGCACACTTACATAATGTCTGTGCTCAGATGTGTCTTTTCTCCGTAGGCCATTGGCTCATTTTAGATCCTGGGAAAGGTTTGTGGGTCAGAGTGGAGTATGAGTGTGTGGTGAGGGGTTGGGGATGAATATGCACTTTATTTGCGGTGCTGTGTGAGGTTGCTGTTTGTAATCCTGCAATTGGCATTCGCTGGTTGCAGAGACGTGGAGTGCTGTGTCAATTTTCATCTTAAACACTTGTTTGTCTATTCAGCGTCTTCTCTGTAGGAGAGGCACATCATGTGTAATAACTCCATATATATCACTTGTCTCGTGTGTAATCTTCTCTTTGTGTTTTCAAACTGAAACAGTCACATTAAGATTTCTTTTTTTTTATTTTTGTATCTCTAGCTCTTCTTGCAGAGACGGAGCGCTTGGCCCAGGATCGGCTGGATTTGCAGCGGCAGGCAGAGAAGGACCGCACTTCTCTGTCGCTGCGCCTCAGGGCCCTGGAGAGAGAGCTAGAAGAGCAGGAGACGAAGGGCCTGGAGACGGAGCAGCACCACAAGACTCACACTGAAGACCTTCACCAGCGAGTCCAAGCCCTCGAAAAACAGCTGAAACATGACCGCCAGTTTATCGAGGTGAGTTTTGAACGAATAAAAACCACCAGAAAAATTAAAACATTTTATTTAAAGATAAAGTTTAGCTTTCTATTTGTCTCTTTTATTCACAGATGAAATCGCTGTAATTGCCTCGTAATTCCGTCTATTTTTAAGGATGTCAGAGACAGTTATTTCACGCTGATGCCTAATGTGGTGGTCACACTCTTTCGCATGGTTTGTTTCTGCACATATAGGAGCAGGCTGTGGAGCGTGAACATGAGAGGGACGAGTTCCAGCAGGAGATCCGAAGGCTGGAGGCCAAACTCAGACAGACAGGCGGCGTGGATAACAAAGGACACAGGGTGAGACCCACAGAAGATGCACTGCGTTTGTAGAGTGTGTGTGCTTCCTGACATGTATTTCTGATGGGATTTTTAACCATTTAAAAACAGATTTTGATTGAAAAGGTTGAAGTGATGAGTGCATTGTTTGCCGATAAGCCTGACTTTTGCCATGTGTTTGTCCCTGTGCTGAATGGATTGCTGTAGTTTGAGGACTTGGTGCTCCAGGTATGAAATCTAACTAGCTTACTCTTCCTAGCTCCTCCGACTCTTGTGCATGGTGTGCATCGCTCATTATTGTTTCCGTGCAATCATCCATAGATTCATTCTTCATGCTGATGTGCTTGTCTTCATTTTTACAGTTGTTCCCATTTCATCGCCTGTTTTTAATATTCATCCGCTTCTGTTTACACTTCATTTGTCTTTGACCTCTGCATCACTGCTCTCTGGCATGGCTTATATTTTTACATTTTTATATTTGGTAACGGTGGCTGCAGATCCAGAATGGCTTGTTTTTTCTCTTTAAATCATGTAGTTTTTCATCTCAAATCCCCGTTTGCTGTTTAGTACTCCTGAAACGTTTCTGTAAATGTCTTTTTCTCTTAATCTCTGTAGGTGGAGAGTCTGCAGGCCGTGATCAAAGACAAGACAGAGGACCACGCATCCCTACTTGCAGCCAATCAGGAAGCCCAGCGAGACCTTGCAGAGCGCAACGAGGAGATAGACAAGCTCGCCGGGCGAATCAGAGAGCTCGAACAAGCCCTGCTAAGCAGCTCTGAGACCAACAGATCCGTCAGTCACCTGGAACAAGAGCTCCACAGATCAAAGTTGAAAGAACAAGAGCTGACGCAAGTACGAACACGCACAGTAAAACACTTTGAGTGGATTCGAGGGTTTCTCGGTTCTTACGAATGCGCTCACTTTTGTCAGTATAAACAGGCTCTGGAGCAGCAGCAGCTGTCCAACAGGCTTCAGATCTCCGCCCTTGAGTCCAAACTGGATGAGACGAGACACTGTTACCATGACAACACACGTGAGCCCACCAAGGAGTTGAGGGACGCCCTGGACACTGTTCAGCAGAGTCTGCAGAGCAAAGAGCAAGAGGTCTGTAGGATTTGGACTGAAAATGATTTGGGCTTATACCTGATGGTTGTCAAAATACTGTTGAGCACACTGCCACCTTTTGGCACAGATGAATATTGTCCACCCACTACAGGATACAGTTGACCCAAGAACTAGAGTGGATTTACACTAAATAATGTTTGATTTTCAGGTGGAGATCCTGCTGGACCAGCTGGAGAACACGCAGAGCGCCTTGAGTATCAAAGAGGTGGAACTGAAACACCTCACGCTACAGCTGGAGCTGCTGACCAATCAAAACGCAGCTCATGTGAATGAGCTCCAAGAAGAGATCGCTGCTTTGAAAGTAAGAGCGTTTTGTCTTTACGCCAAATCTCTCGAGGAGCAGTTGAGGAAAAATATTGACAAATGGATTTGAGTCGAGATTTTTTAAAAACTTGGATCAGCAGATGATTTAAAAACAAAAAAACTACTCAAGACGACCCATTGGCATGCCTGTAACAAATAAAACTGTTATTTCTAGGCTCTATGAATTTCCACTCATCTTTAAAGGGTCTTCATCTTCCCTCTGTGATTATTCTGTTTGTTGCCTTGAAAACGACACAAAGAAAGGGGAAGAAAAAAAGGCCTGAAATCAATCAGAGTTTTCATTTTAAAGTGAAATGTACGACTCTGCCTGCAGGAAAATGTGTCCGCCCTCACCATCCTCAAGGAAGACAAAGATGAGCAAAGCGACGAAGGTGAAACAGAAGAGGAGAATCTCCCGTCTGCGTTACTTCAGGAGAAGAATCTGGAGATTGACCACCTCAACAATGAGATCCACAGACTGGAGCAGGAACTGGAGAGCACCAGAGACAACAAGGTAAGAATGAGTTCATAGAGGATCCCTAAAGAGGGTGTGGACTTGAAGAGGCTGTAATCAAATATTCAATGGTTTTTATCATTCTTGTGTTTAAGGTCTTGGAGTCTGAGCTGGAGGATCTGCGCTCACAGGTGGAGCACCTTCAGTCTGAGATCGTGAGAGTGCGTGAGGACAAACAGGAGGAAGAGGAGCGTCTTCATGAGGTCATCAGCACTCTGCAGGCAGAACTCGCCACTTTAGGCCCAAACCTACACGAGGTCAGCGACTCTCAAGACGGAGACAGTATCAATCCCTCGCCAGCTCCCAGCCCAGAACCTCGTCACTACCCCGTCCAGGAGCAAGAGAAGAAAGGAGGACCGAGCAGCCTGAAGCAAGAGCTCAGTCTGACTCATGCGAAATCGTCCCGTCCTCTTCGGTCTCGCCTCAAAGCGCTTCAGAGTCAGCTGGATATCGCCGTGGCAGAAAAAGACGGACTGGAGCGACTGCTGCTCACTCAGGAGGAAGAGTACAGAGGGCACGGAGAGGAGTTCGGTAAGAGGCTGAAAGCGGAAAGAGAGAGGAGTGATGAACTCAAAGGTCTCCTGAACACGAAGGAGGCAGAGCTGGAGGAACTCAGAGTCAAGATGGAGGAGGAAAGAGAGAAAAGGAAACTGTCTGAAGAGGAGAGGAGCGGCTATCAAAGTGAAGCCAAAGAGAAGAGCGCACTACAAGAGAAGAACACCCAGCTCAGCTCCCAGGTTTCAGAGCTCCAAAAGAAAGACCAGGAGAGCAACAGCGAGATCACAGCTCTCAAAGCAAAGGAGCAGGAGATGAAAATGGAAACAGACGTCCTCCGAGAATCCGGCCTCACCCTGGAGAAACAGGTCCAGGAGGTGCGAGCCGAGTTGCGGGACCTGGAGGAGCTGGTTGCCGAGGAGAGGGCGAAGGTTCTAACCCTGGAGACCGCGAAGGAAGAGCTGTGCGCGGAACGAGAGGCTCTCAGGAGGAGGGAGGGGACGCTTCAGGAGGAAATTGAAAGGCTCAGACAGGAGGTGACCTCGATGAGAGCCTGCGTCCAGAACCTGACACTGCAGCTCAATGAGAGGGACAGCAGTCAAGAAGAGGCTCAGAAGGAGGTGTTGGTGAGTTTCGGCGATGAGGTCGACGGCACAGTTTCATGTAAATGTGACCAAAACTGCAGCCGTGTTATTGATCAATTAAAATCAGGAACATCTGAAATATCTGAGGCCAGATTATAATAATTAGTCTGCAAAATATTAAGTTTAATGGACGTTAAATTATCTAAAACTTTTATTGCAGCTCTTTAAATGATGGAAAAAGTGAAACAAAACCTCTTCTACAGCTTTTTCTTTGGTTTTTATCTGGAGTTTGGATTTTTCACCCAGCAAAGCACTCAGGCAAATTTAGTTAACTTGCTTCAGCAGGCCCCCCCTGCGTAAAAGACAGGAAATAACTTGCCGCTGTGTTTATGCGGCTGCAGGCTGAGATCACATCTGGTTTAAGTTAACGGCTGCAACACGTCATGACAGCGTCGTTCCTGAAACGGCAGAATCTGAGCGACGCAGGGGAAGTTACGTTCAAAAGAGGAAGAAGGAAGAAAATCTATGTTGGCTGTTGTTTTTACAGATCTGGTGCACTTTAGTTTTCAGAAACTTAACGTTCGATCTGGAAAGGATGTGGTAGGGGGGGGGGAGTTGTGGGTACTTTAAGGAATGCAAGGAGGCTTTAATCTGTCTGTTAGTGTGCTGCATGTGTCTGCAGCTTTAACTGTTTTCTGAGTTTATATGCTTGTTCCAATAGACTAAGAATAGACCTGAATGACTTATGTGCATGTGAGCTGCTGTCTAAATCTGTTGTGTACTTTGCGTTAAATGGAACAGCAGATTTGTGTGTATTTTTTATAGTAAAAAACTGAGATTTATGAATGCAGAGAATGCAGAGCTTCTCTTCAACGGTGTGTTTCTTCATGACAGACACACGCTGAGTCGACCCTGGCCAAAGCAGACGCTGCCTTGAGACAGAGGGAAGCCGAACTCGCCACACTGAGAGCCGAACATCAAGCTCTGAGGGCAGAGCTGACCGCGGCGAAACAAGGACTGTGCTCCAGTACAGAGAGAGCTGAGAAACTGCATGTGGAAGGACAGGTAGGAATCTAGACAAACAAAATATAGAAGCTGAAGTCGATCCGTCTTCTTTGCAGTGAACAGTGTTGACAGCTGTCTTGTCCTGTTACTACATCTCTGTACACGTCAGACCAAAGACCGTGCCCTGATCGAGTTGGAGACGGACAACGAGCGGCTCAAGGAGGAGCTCCGACGTCTGCAAGACGACTTGGCCGTGCAGGAAGAGGAACTGGCCTATCAGCAGAGAGAACTCCAGCAGCTCAGGCAGATCTATCAGCAGCAGCTCACACCACCTCACCAAAAGGGATTCTCACAGAAAGGTAAACAAATGGTCACCGCTTTGAATTATTGTCCTACTGAGCAGCTTCAACCTTACCTTATGATCTCAGGGTTGAAACTGGACAAAACTTCAGCTTTTCCCATCCATTTAAGTCCTGCTACAAAATAACAAAGCAGTTTATAGTCTTTTTTTCCCCTGTTTTGATTTTAAGTAGTCAGATTATTCATTTTTACACGTTTAAGCCACACATATTATGCAAAATGTCAAATCTTAGAAAGAATCAGCTGCTTTTCTCTCTGTTTTTATTGATAATTTAATATCTGTAGACTTTAGACTGCTGCCAGGACAAAGCAAGAGTCATATTGGGTTGTGGAATAAAGAGTACTGTAAAAATCTGTAGAATATTCCAGAGCATCTTCACTCTTTGACATGCGTAGTTTTATTGTAAACAAAGAAAAGTCAGTGGATAACAGATGAACATTTTCTTCACCCGTTAGACATTTCTCACCGAGCGTTCGAGGATGGTGTGAGCGTCTCCCGCGACGAAGTGTCCCTGAGCTCCCCAGAGGTTCTGAGGAGACTCGAGTGCTCGGAGGACAGAATCCCTGAGCGGCTCCACGCCTCGGTTCTCGGCTCTCGTCTGTCCGAGCTCAGCGCTCTGAACAGCACGGGCCTGGATTTCTCTCAGGTCAAGACCTCCCCCAGGGTCGTGATGGAGCCTCCTCGCTCCAGGACTATCACACCGGAGCCAACCACGAGCAACCAGAGCACTCACTCTCCAGGCTCCATGTCAGACAACTACTCCATGATCGACTCTGTGGATGCTGACAAAGTAAACAGTCGAACACCTGCAGACATCTACATTTGAAGGGGTTCTGAAAAAGCTTTGGGTGAAGATGAAGTTGAATATTAGTTCCCAGTTATATAATTTCTTTTTTTTTTTTTAAGGTGCGTGAGTTGGAAGGACTTGACCTTACAACACCTCCATCTCTTCTTGGCTCCACCTCCTCCTTGTCAGCTCAAGAATGGGCCAGTGATGGATACGGCAGCAGTAAGTGCCGGCACATTTATACTGAAAACCAACACGAGACGAATGTAACAGAAGTTTTTCTGTCACCAAACATACAGTTGAGGCCAAAATTATTAGCCCCCCTATGAAATTTGAAGTTTTTTTCCAAAATGATTTTTTTACACAGCTTTTCCAAACATCCTAGTTTTATTTTGGATCCTTACAATCCTTTGCACACAGAAACGAAATTATTTCACAAAAACCAAAAACTACCAGGGTCAAAATTTCTTCCCCCCCCCCCTCTTTTCTTTCAGACGTGAGCTCAGAGTTGGGCGCGAGGCTGAGAGTGGAGCTGGAGCAGACCGAGCGGCTGGACGCTCAGTTTGTGGAGTATCTCCGCTGCAGAGGAATTAACCCCACAGTGAACACAGACAGCGCAGCAGGAAGTATGAGCTACAGCGATGACCTGCTGTCACCTGAGCTGCAGGTAGGTTCCACTCACAGGGTATCAAATCAGTTTCAACTTATTTCAATTTAAGTGAAACTCTTACTTAAATCTTTCTCCACTCTTCCACAGGCTTTGTTGAAAAAAGTCTATCAAGAAAGCTGCAGAATCCTCACGTTATCCCAGCGTCGGGGCACTTCCTCATCCCAGCCTCACGGCATGGACCTGAAAGCCTTCTCGTTGAGTGAGACTCAGCATTATCCTGAAGAAGGCTCCACTCCACTGCACCACCTGGACAAATCCTCCTCCAACCCTCCAATGAACTGGCAGCAGGAGAAGAGGGCGCTTCAGGAGACTGTGATCGCTCTCAGGGAGCTGCTCTGTCGGATGGCCCAGAGACACACACAAGTATGTTGAATAATGAAAGGAAATGTCATCTTACTGTGTGATTTTGCACCTGAATGAAACCCAAAGGTAGAAACTTGCTGATAACTTTTTCTTTCTCTGCCACAGTCTGACTTCAGGGGTGGTGACGATGGCTGGCACAGAGATCAGCTTCGAACTGAAGGACAGGTCGAATACCAACTGAGGGTGGATCTCGATGACAGCCAGAAACTCCTGAAATGTGCTCATGACACTCAACAAGAGCTGAAGAACAAGATACAGTCGCTGAGGTTTGTCACACACACTCCCAGTGATCGTAGTTAACAAATCATGGACTGTATATAGAATGGACGCCGTCTGCCTCCTCGCTGGGTGAAGCCACTCTGAGAACAGCACCCTCTAGTGACGGGCTGCAGTATAGGTCATAAATCCCACCTCCGCCAGCAAAGCTTATGGAGCTGTGGACGAACTTTAGAAATTTATGACACAGAACATAAATTTTTCTCCTTCCTGCTTGTGACTGTGTAATAACCACACATGATGCATAATTTATTATAACTCTAAGTCTTCATTTCTTTCTTTGGTCTTAAGTCTTGGTTGAACTTTGCTCTCTTCGCCGTACGTCTGTCAAACTCTAAACTTTTCTCCAAGCATCGCAAAGAAATGAGAGCAAATTTCGAATCTTTCCTCAGGCTGTCCGTTGAAGAGGGTGAGGAAGCTCTGAGGAGGGAGCAGAGCCGAGTGCAGGAGCTCCAGCAGCAACTGGAGCAGGAGAGAGCTCTGAGTCTTCGCAGGGACCGGCAAGAGGAAGAAAGGAGAGGGGTAAGAGGATAGGTGTACACAACGAAATGTAATCAATCTCATTAAAAGCCTGTCTGCAAATGAAAACCAAGTGCAACTTCTAAAAGTCGAGAGACACAAACTTTGGTGTTTGTACTGGATTCTAAGCTTCAAGCAAGTCAGTGCTTTTCTTTTTGAATTCTGAAAAGTGACCCTTCTCCTCTTTCTCCAGGCTGTCCAAATATCCTCTGAGCAGCAGAGGTCAGAGGTCATGGCTCTGAAGGGTCAGGTGGAGCAAGAAAAGGTGGCCTGCAGCAACCTTAGACGGGAGCTCCAAATCGAACAGTCCCGCAGCGTCCTGCTGGAGAAACGCCTCGAGGACACCCAGAAGGAGCTCGAAAATGAACGTCAAAATGCTGCACACCAGCAAGAGCTGAACTCGCAAGAAAAGACTCGTCTCGAACGCCTTTTTACCGAAGAAGAGTCTCGCCTCGCAGAAGTTCGCTCCAAGCTTGCAGACGCTCACAAAAAGCTGGATGAAGAGAGAGGTCGCTACTCCAGACAGGTGGAGGAACTCAATTGCAGACACCAGGCCGACGAAGCCAGAGACAGGCAGTTCATCTCTGACCTGCGTGCCCAGCTCGAGCAGGAGCGGCGCCAGGGGGAGGAGCTGGCCGCTGCAACGGACAAGCTGAGAGCTGAGCTACTGCAGAGCAGGAGGAGATGGGAAGAGGAGGACAAACTGAGGAGGGAGGAGCTGCAGAAGGAGCAGGAGGCCGCGATCAGACATCGCGTCGCCGTGGATGCCTTGAGAGAACAGAAACAGGGAGCGTGTCGTGCTTTGGAGAAGGAGCAGGAGCAGACCAGACGTCAAGGGGCGGAGCTGAACGAGCTGAAGGAGAGACTGCGCCTAGTGAAGGACAAAGAGAGGGAGAGGGAGGAGGAGTGGGAGAGAGAGAGGAGAAAGGAGAGGCAGGAGCAGATGGAGAGGGAGAGGCGACAGGAAAAGACCAACAACAAACTGGTACTTAAACTCTCTTCACAACTTTTACAATTGTGCTGATTATTGTGGATCAAAATAAACACACTCACATATAAAACTATTGTTTTTTAGCATGAGCTGGAGTTTTTGAGGCAACAGGACCAGCAGCGCATGCAGGACCTGCAGCACACTTTGGAAGAGCTGCAAAGAGAGGAGAGAGAGATGGCTGCTCAAAGGCTGTCCGGAAGAACAACAGGGCAGCAACACAAGGCTTCATCCTCACAAAACAACCTGAAGACGGGGAGCACACTTCAAAACAAGCAGGTACACTGAGGTTCTCACACCCAGATTTGACGGATGTGAACAGGGGAGATGTGGCATGACTCTGTTAACTCACAGGTCTGATCTCAATTTTTTTTTTGATTGAAGAACCCGTCTTTGCCGTCCTCGCCCAAGCTGCTGGAAAGGCTGCTGGAGGAGAACTCGGAGCTGACCGAGCGCGTGACGTCACTGAGTCAGGAGAAAGCGACCCTCAAACACAGACTCGCCTGCCTGGAGCGAGAGCTGCAGCGCACGGAGTACGAGCTCGCCAAGGTCACCACAGAAACTGAAAATAGACCCATCAATGATGTGATGAACAACAGCAAGGTCAGCCAAAAAGAAAACACACACACACACACACACACACACACAGCTCATCCCTGCATTATAAAGATTGAGAACTCCAAAAAAAAGTTCCGTAACGCTTTCTTTTACGGCACACTTATTACCAGGTAATTACCTAGTAACAACATGAAATTATCTGGTAATTACATGATAACTACTAAGTCAATACTGTCTAGCTACCAGGTAGGTATCCTTCCATCATCATGCAAATTTGAAGCCGAATTGCGCAGTAGCATTGTACGCATTCGGCAGGTGAGTCGCTCTGATAACGCTCAGCTCAAACAGCGTATCGCTACGCAATCTTCGCACGCCCAAAGGCTGTATCAAGTGTCAATCATAGAAAATAAGAACCCCAAATAGCTTTTGAAAATGGAGCTGCACAGAAAAAAGAAAAAAAGAGAAACTAGACAGTATTGACTTGGTAGTTATCATGTTATTACCAGATAATTTCATGTTGTTACAAGGTAATTACCTGTTAATTACCTGGTAATAAGTGTTTGTTGTAAGCTATATTAGTTATTGTTGTTTAGCTATAGGCCACAACTTTTGAAACGTTTTAATTTAGGCCCTAATGAGTTGATTCTTCACAGTAATGGTTCTTTTGATCAACAGGTGCACCGCTTGTATGAGCGGTACCTGCGTGCCGAGAGCTTCAGGAAAGCTCTGGTGTATCAGAAACGTTACCTGCTGCTGCTGTTAGGAGGTTTCCAGGAGTGCGAGCAGGCCACCCTGTGCCTCATCGCCCACATGGGAGCACGGCCGTCGCCCCCGCTCTCCTCTCAGAGCAGACCTCTCGGACGATTCCGGGCTGCTGTGCGAGCGGTCATAGCGGTCTCAAGGTAGGGCGCGCCATCTAAGAGACAAGAGTTTCTTTTGCATGTGTGTGTGTGGGTGCTACTGTAACCAAACTCTACATTTTCAGGATGAGGTTCCTGACAAGGAAGTGGAACAGAGCCATCAGGAGATTATCTTCACCTGGAGCGGTTAATGGGCATGCTTCAGGTCAGCTCAGGGAACATGTTATATGATGACATGTATGACTTGAGCTTATGTCAGATGTTTAAGTGTGAGCGTTTCAAAATGTCTCTTGCAGGGCCTAGAGCTGAAGTTTTAAGGCAGCAACACCCGAGATTAAATTCAGACCCACCACCAAACAAAGACAGCAGTGCCATCCACAAAGTTCCAGTCTCAGCACTTGTCCCACCCATCAAATCACCCTTCAGGTTGCACAACAGGTGAGAACCCCTCTTCAGCACAGGCTTATCAACTTTAATCTGGTTTAAATCCCTTAGTTTCCACACAAACTAAAGTGTTTTTCCCCACCTTAGGTCATACTCCAGCAGCAGTCTGGCCTCCGGGCTTTCAGGAGGAACGTCTCAGGATCCTGAGCGAACCCTGACAGAAACTATCCAACACCTAGAGAGGGTCCAGCAGCGGTTGGTGGGAGCAAAGCGAGGTGAGCTGCATGGACAGATATGGAGTTGAATTCACCAAGGTTAAAGGCTTTTTTGAACCACAGTGGAAACACTTGGGCCGGGGGGTATTGGGTTATTGTCACCTCTTTGCTTACATTTCTTTCCCTTTTCTCTGTGACAAACTTAGTGGAAAAACTATATTTGTACCGTGATTTTTTTTGTTTTTTTGCGAAGTGCAGTATTCTGGAAAGTGTGCATTCAGGTTAGATGGCATGAAAGCACCCACTTCAAATGCCTAATCCAACACTGTCAATAGATTTTTTTCTCTGATCCCAGCATCGGATGCATGTCACCTAATTTGGGCACTTGTTTTTTCAGGAAGCTTTATTTAAAAAAGAAAAGAAAAAAAAAAATTGCTGTTTAGAAAGTAATGCACAGTAATGAAAATTAATTCTTTTGGACGTCTTGAAATCCCACTATGCCTATATGCTCTTAAATCTCCCAACATAGAAACCAAGAGTGATATAGCCACACCTCCTAAAGAGGAGAGAAGGATACAGTCAGCCTGTTCCCCTCATATGATTGGTTATCGGCAGCGCTGGCTGCAGGAGAATAGGACATGGCTGTACCTGAGTTGCTTGTCGCCCATTTACCTTAACGGTCCAGGTGAGTGTGAGTGTAATATGCTCACTCCACCAAACAATAAAGCAACACTGATCACGTCTTGGGGCGGGTGCTGGGTCACTGGGTGCACTAGATTTGAGGTGGTTATTGGCCTTGTTTGGAAAGTACAAACATTGTTCTAGACTTCATAGTAGCATACGTGTAGATTTATTGTTTTTACACTAAATAAGGATGTTCACCTTCTTTTTTCTGTCCCATCAGGTTCTCCAGTGCTCCAGACTGACCCAAAGTAGTTGGACAAGTGAAATGATGAATGTCTCCCATCAACATATTGTTCAGAACTTGTCCATGCCTTATATCCATGTAGAAAGAGGAGTCACATGTTGCATTTCTTGATCTTTTTTTATTGAGTGCATAAATTATTTTTCACTATTTGCTATCGCATCTTTTTTATTCTCTGTATGGAAGTATTTTGAAGTTCACTCCTTACACGTTGAAAAACAAATGTTTTTCATTATTTTAAATAAGGCTGTTATTTTTCTACTAATTTTTTATACCTTTTTGTGCTCTGTAAATACTACTGATGTTCATTGCACATGTCCAAATTTGCACTGGTTTTGACTGTAATTCTATGATGACTATATGTAGTAATTTGCATAATTGTTTAAGGTGTAATGTTTCTGTTGTATTTTCTATGTTTTCCATAAAGTTGATGAATATTTTAAATGTGTGTGTATGGACATAACAGACTTGTTATTTTATGGCAGCTTGTGAAATACACCTAACAATGCAAGTAAAAACCACATACTATATTGGATTGTGTGCTTTGTATTTAATCATAGCCTGGGATGGGATTGAAGAACATGGTTCATTAATGACTTTTCCTTTGCTTTTATATTTAAATTGTGATTGAGAAAAAAACACTAAGTTTCCTTTAATCAAATAACTTTCTATAAAGAAGTAAGCAAACAAACTAAGGCCCTATTAGCTAGATCCATCTTTTTACTTGTTAGCAGTTTCAGGATTACTATTTATGATTACAACAGATTAGAAGAAGAATCTAAGAAGCGCGCATATGGTAAAAATGCCTTTTCCATTCAGATGTGATTTACAAGAAATATCACTCTTTCCCTGAAACTAAAGTTAGTTTTTTGTCTGGATGTTTGCAAATCTCAGTTGATTTCCTGATTAGTCACATGACTATAACACTAAAAGTGCCGTTGAAGTGCCATTCCTAATCTAAACTGAGGAACCTTTTTACTTTAACGCTCATCCCTCTTCTCATTTCCTCTTTAAACAAACTACTTTTTATACTTTAAATCATCATCTTAAAAAAAATATATATTTTTTTAAAACCTTTTTTTTTAATCAAATTTGTAAACCTTTTTACTTTTACACTTATTTTTTCCTCTTTAAACAAACTACTATTTATACTTTAAATCATCTCTTAAAAAAAAGAAATATTTTTTAAAACTTCTTTTTTTGAATCAAATTTATAAACCTATTTTTTATTATCTTAAATACCTTTTTTATATTTTGAACAGCACGTTTTATTTTGTAAAAAATAAACTAATTAACTCACGTTTTAACAATAATAATAATAATAATAATAATAATAATAATGATAATAATACATTTATGTCTGCGAAAACAGATCTTAAAGTACATACAAGGCAATTGTAAAAACAACAAAAATATTTTTTTCAGTGAAGTCTTTCATAGAAATTCCCTGATTTATAGTTTTCTTGTCGATTATGTAACTGAGCTGCTATGAGCGTTAGCTGCCGCCGCTGTTGCTGCTGTCCTGTTCCCAGGTAAACTCAGATAGGGGTTCGTTTGTTTATTTGAAAACCAGTCCGCTTCTGACTGTTTTCTTCTGGTTCTTGCCCCCACTCTCAATGTGCACTCAGGAACTCCGCCCGCCCGTTCTGCGAAGAGACTGCAAACATTCGCACCCACAACAGCAACACTTTATGACGCACATCCTTCGCAGCTCGGTACTAGCGTTGCTGCTAACGGTGAGCTAAGTCAAAGGAGGACTCTGTGTCGTACATCGTTGGTTGACATCTTACAGGGTTCTGAAATCGTCCTGGCCCGCAAAGATACCCCCGTTACACTATTCTCGTATATCTCTGGGATGTATGGATGGATAGTTGACGGAATCTCGTCGCTATTTGAGTCCGTTTCGGGGCAAAACCCCTCCGAGTGGCCCGGGAAAGGTACCGCTGGCGAGGAGGTACCCACGCGACCTGCGGTTACAGCGCAGCAGCAGCAGGAGAGCCACAGCAGACCGGCTAAACGAAACTACCAGAGGTGGGCTTTTACAGATTAAGACTATTTTTGTACACATAGTTTCTCAGGTGTACTGGCTGAAGCGTTGTTAACCGTGTTATGCTACCTTGTTACTCAGTGGGATAGTTAGAGTGAGATAGAAAAGATAGTTGTGTGCCAGTATAGTGGCTAACATGTTGATGATGGCTCGATGCTCAGGTTAACATTTTCTTCCTGTTTCAAAACCTCGACTAAGAAGTGGCGATGTTCATATTCTGTTAAAAACGAAAGGAAGATGAGTTAAGATGTTCCTTTTAATAGTCCCACAGCATATAGTCATACAAGAGAAATTAAAGTCTAAAGCAGCTTAGAGTCAAGAAAAAAGATAAGATATGTACATGAGTTCAATTTACATGTGTACAGAATATAAATAATGATATGGAAACGATTGAAGTAAACGAATATGACATCTGAATGTGTTTATTTGTTTGTTTGGAACCCCATTAGCTTCCATACAGTGGTTGCTAGTCTTCCTGGGGTCCAAAAACTCAACAATAACAATTAGGGCCCGACTGATTTATCGGCGAGCCGATTAAATCGGCCAAAACTCGCCGATTTTCGCTGATATTTTCAAAAATAACCACCCTAAGGCAGTGAGTAAGGCAGTATAGGATTATAAGAAAACATTTACATTAATCATTTACAATGGACAGTTTTACATCAGATATCTATACAGTGTTAACCTTTCAAATGGGATCCCCAATAAACTAAATAACATGCATTACTATGACTATACCGCAGTACACTTTTTTAATGTTAAATCTTTTCCTAAAGTGTTGCATGCACCAACCAGCCATGCTGAATATCAGTCTTTGGCCCTAGTGTCAGATTTGTTGTATTAAAGACTGAACCAAGAAAAACAGGCTTCATATCACAAACTGGAAATGTGTCTATGTACATAAAAACCTGGACTTATATAGTTCAGTTTCACTTACTTTTCCATATTGTTGTAAATATTTCAAAAATATTGTAGTGCCAGGTGTTTCAACATGGTGCAGCCCTAGTTCATGTTTGATATTTTTCTGTTACAGTGTTGATGTTGCAGACGGTGTGTGCCAGAGCGACCCAATCAAGGCGAAAAGGCGTAGGCGAGGTTTGTCTAAAAACACACAATTTTTTGTTTCCCGTCAGTGACAAGATGGGTGGTGTTTGTGAGTAATGAGGGCGTTTGTTGATTTCGCGGTGTCCTCGGTTTCAGATGTAGTCATTAGCTTCGTGAAGAAGACTGTGGCAGGAGTAGCAGGTCTGCTTGGGCTGCAAAACTCGCTGACCACAAGGTGTGAGAAGCCCAAACAATATGAAGACACGCAGGTTTGTGCTTTAATTCTCAAGTAAAATGACTGTTTTGATTATGCTGCATTGGCCTCTTTAAACAATCTTGACCAGGTAGCTTTATTGATACTCTGGAGTTAAGTTTCTGGTTTTCATACTCAATCTTTGTTTACCTTTCTCTCTGCTGATTCAGCCTGTGACTCTGATGGGGATAGATGAGCTCCACACCTCATGGCTAAACAGTTCTGAATGGAGAATGAGTAAGTGAGGGTAGCTTTCACCCCCAAAAACACAACAACTGTTTACAAACATTTCTGTATTCTGTTTTTTTCACTCATTTAAATGTTTTTTGTTCCCAATCTAAAGGTAAACCAGTGGGTGGAGTGAATGAGAGGGGAGGGAAGAACCCCTTTCAGAGCTCCTCACCTCCTTTAATGAGAAAGTACAGGTAAGTTCTACTGCCATGGTCTCCTCACTTATTCAATTGTTAAATGAGTAACCCATGGTAAAAAATACTCCCTTGCTAATGTACATATAATTCCAAATCCAGCGGGGCCGGGCTGCCTAATGGGCTCCCTGACAAGGGTAAGGACCGGGAGAGGAGAGGCTCCCTCCAGCTGTTGCCCTCCAGACCAGTTTTGAGGATGGGAACCCCTAATCCTGACCCAACTTGCAATGGCTTTGGACACCAACGTTGCTATAAGCCTAGTCTCACTGTAGAGGAGGTAAGACTTGATGAGTAAGCGTGCTTGGTTGGATTTGTAAAAGGGTACTCTAAATTTTATGTTTATGCATGAATCCATAACAGCACTTGCGTTGTTTTTGCTTATTTTGCTGTGTCAGTGATCATTTATTTGTCCTCCGCCTCAGACCATAAAACAGAATAACAAAGAGCATTACAGGCGCTTGCTGGAGATGGTCACCGAGAAATACAGCAAAAGCCAACCTCTACCTTTCAACCAGACTAAACCACAAAAGTAAGTGTACCTATGTCGTCACATTGGGTTTATTACACACTGAGTAACCTGAGCTGATCATTCCTCTCCAATACGAACTCTTGCAGTGAGTTGCTGTCTCAGAGTGAGCCCAAAAAAACAGCTCCAGGCAAAGCAGCTGAACCATTGCCCAGGAAGATGGGTTACACAGGTAAGACGCCTCTATAACTAAGCTGATCTGACTGGGTAGTTTTAAGTCATCTTGAACAGGCTGTTATTTTAAAATAAACCAATTTTAATGCATTTAAATGTCTTTTTGCACAGCTTCCCCAAGTATGTACTCATGGAGAAATGCACCTGCGATTAAGGAGAGGTTGGTGTGTTATATCTGTACTATATATCTAGGTATTTTTCATGTATGGCTTGCGCATATTTTCCAATCCCCTGACGTATTTTTTGATCTCCAGGCACAGCAGCTTGACTTATAGTAAAACCTTCAGTGGAGCTTTTGAGGACACACAACCTATAAGATGTGCAAAGGTAGTAACTTCACTTGCTTTCTCATGAGAACGCTCACTAGGTTGTAATTGTGGTTTGAAACTCTAATACATCATTTCTGTAATCTCAGCCTGTGTTACAGCAGAAACAAGCTGCAGAGGTGGACCTTTCTACAGAAGTCGCCACTCGTCTCAATCTTGTTGACAGAGAGACTCCTTCGGCTAGCGTCTCAGACACTCATACCGCACAAACGTCGCACACTGCGCATGCACGACACAGTAATGAAGACATACCTCGGCTGACGAAGGTGAGCTGGTCAGAAGCAGATGAAGTCCCCGTGTTAAAAAGCATGGATACGGTTCACTTCACGTAGCGTGTGTCCTGTTTTTTTTGTGCGTAGGAAATGGCAGCAGAGGTGAGCTGTGCGCTGGCTCAGAGTGACCCCAACCTTGTTTTGAGTGCGGCTTTCAAACTTCGCATCACACAGAGAGACTTGGCCACACTGCAGGAAGGGGGCTGGCTCAACGATGAGGTAAGAGCTTGAAGGCGGAGATGATTAGTTTTCAGATTTTGACACAAGTTAGATATATAGATACTCATTTAATTCTTATGATGAAATAATGATAATAAATATGAAACACATCAGGTTCAGTCGTGCTCAGTGACAACATGGATTCAACAGAAACAGCCAAAGAGCTTTTGTAAGAGAGCCGTTAATGCTGACTGTATCCATGCTTCTCTTGTAAGGCTCTTAAGCAAATATTGAACTATTTCAGTTTATTTTAAGGGTGCAGGTCTATCATTCACAGGGTATCCCAAATGCTGCTGACATGTGTAAGAACCAGGAATGAATTTTGCTTCTTTAATCTTTTTTTTTTTTTTTTTTTTTTTTCATTAAGCTGTAAATAATTTTCAACTTGTCGTAGTTTCCTGCACGACCTCTTCCTCTTTTTTCCTCGTACAGGTACAAATGTGACTCATTTATTTGCAGCGTTGATATTTCCAAAACATAGTAACAATAACGAATGCTGCCTTCCTATTTACGAACGCTGTTAATTTTATTGTCTGATGGCGTGAAGTGTAGGTGTTTGGCACCAGACAAGTTCTATTTTGTGGTAGTAGTAGCTCCTGCACCCAGTCACCATGGAAACAAAGTTTGTGGCATGACCTGCTTTCTAATATTAGCAACTCAAAATGTGGCTAATACCACTGAGATGCTCAGTATGCTTGTGTGAATGTTCCCCACACTATTCTATTAGTGCTCTACTGCTCTGGCTATATTTAGTAACACTATTAAAGCCATTCTTCAATACTACAGCTATAGTGGATGATTAATTATGAGGCCATGATTTAACAAATCATTAAAAAATGATCCCTATTCTCTTACTGAAAGCAAAAGAAGATCACAACCTTTTTTTCTGTTCTCCTTCTTCTTTCCTCTTTGAACAGGTGATGAATTTCTACCTTTCCCTCATCATGGAGCGGTGCTCTGTTGAAACGTCCGGATTAAAAGTCTACACCTTTAGCACCTTCTTCTTCCCGAAGCTGCGCGGCGGTGGAGGCGGGCAGAGCGGAGGTCACACCGCAGTGAAGCGTTGGACCAAAGCGGTTGACCTTTTCCTCTACGACCTCATTCTGGTCCCTTTGCACCTGGGTGTCCACTGGGCGCTGGCTGTGAGTTAGAGTCACATCTGTTTCTGTTCTAATTTGTGTTCACCCATCTGGACAGAGATTTTGGACATCCTGTGCCCTAAGCAGCTTGTGTCATAAATGGATATTCTGATGATGCTTGTTCTTCACCTGTGTTGAAAATGAACTCCATACACTGAACATGAAAAAAGGAACATAAGACTGATTGTACCCAGGTTTTGACTTTGTTCTTTCCTCTCATCCTCATTCCCAGGTTATTGATTTCAGGTCAAAGACAGTGAAGTCCTATGACTCAATGGGACAGAGACATGATGACATCTGTAGTCTTCTATTGTAAGTCTTTATCATTCTCATAAGCATGGTTATCAGTCACTTTAATAAGCCTGTCATGTACTGGGTCTTGCTCCCACTTACTAAGCAGCATTGTTGTGTTCACCTTCCAGACTTTACCTTAAAGAGGAGCACAAAGTTAAGAAAGGCAGAGAGCTTGACAACTCCAAATGGACTGTGGGCAGCTTAAGGGCCACTGTAAGCTGAACTGAAATTAATAATCGCTGTGTTTTTTAAATATTCTAATTGCTAGTGTTTACTGTGAGGGTAACTTTTTGCACTTTTCATAACTCGTACAGGAGATTCCCCAGCAAAAGAACGGCAGCGACTGTGGTGTTTTTGCCTGTAAATATGCTGATTATATCGCAAAAGGGAGGCCTCTCACTTTCAAACAGGTATTTACATTTACCTTTGGATAGCAGAAACATATCTTGTAACAGCAATGTTAATATGTTTTAAAATCATTTGAACGATGTTGACATCTTTTGTAATGTTGACCTCTTTTCTCTGCAGTGCCACATGCCTCTCTTCAGGATGTTAATGATTTGGGAAATCATCAATCAGAAGCTGCTGTAGATGATCGGAACAATCTCACTAACAGCTTAACATCAGAGACGTTCTCCTCAGAGGGAGTGACACATGTGAACACTATTCGGTGATGAAGCAGAAGTGTATGGGCCAAAGAACTGGACTTAATTGACTGAAATCGAACCCAGTCTAGCTGCTCTGGTCTGGAAAAAAATCAGACACTAGTCTTAAGAGTTTCCCACCAGGAACACATAAACACTTTGTAATCTCTAAGTTGTAATTGGAGACATTATTGAAATGTAAGATTTGTATGTCTTATACAAGCTTTGGCACTACTGATTGAGTGGCTTTTTTAATTGACCTTTTGATTGTTAGTTTTTCTGTTTGAAGTTCTGCCTGAAGTGCCTTCCGCCCTCTGATACTGAACTCAACTCAGAGCATGCTCTTGTCTTGTATATTATTAGGAATTACTTTGTTACACACAACTCTGGGTTAAATCTTAAGAGCATGACTCAAAATTAAACCAATAAGTCGCTGTCAGTGATATTTTTGTATAACTCGGTTATTCTGACAATGAATATCAAAATACCTCCTTTACAGTCCCTTTAGAGAACAAAAATGCATGGTCGAGTGTTTGTAATTTACCTATTTTAATATTATTTATGGCTGGACTGAATGAGAAAATGTTCAAGTGTGTGCAAGTTGTTTGTCCCCCATTAGTGGAGCATTACTTGATGTGTTCCTATATGTAACATAAGGCGCTGTTATCTGTGAATCTTTTATATGAGTATTTCGCAAGAGGCTGCCTAGGGCTATTACATTGACTTACAGTATAGCATATTGCATAGAAAACTACTGTATAAAAATGCATGTTTGAGTTCATGCTTCAGAACTGTGATTTTTTTTTTTTTCCCCTCCAGTGTAATAAAGTATTGAATTTTTGGAGCTGTGTTTAGTATATGAGTCACTTTTTACAACTCTATTCTTAGCACTACTATTTAGAGTCTGACAGAAAACAAGACTTGATATGAAATAGTGTTGTCGTTCACGAACGATTCGTTCAAGAGAACCGAATCTTTTAAGTGATCTTACTGAACAGGATCACTTCCTTAAGTGATTCGTTTGTTTCTCACTTCAGTTGAGCTGTCAGCAGTGGTATGGCATGTAACAAGTAGTGCATTAAACCCGCAGCATCCTATCATTGTAGTGGTTTGCGAAGGAATGATGCATGTTCAGTTTGAATTCCTCTAAACGTTCAGTGTACAATTCACTCACTGAGCCCAATTAACCGAGCAGACCTGATAAAAAGCATACCATAAGACAGAACACTTAAAACAACATGACTTATAAACAACTTCATTTTTACAAACCTGTTTGCCAAAGCAGCACAGCCAAACACTCTCGTCTCCTGGTCCCAGAAGCTATGATCTGAACTGAATCCTGAACGTTCAGCTGTGTATCAGTTCAGGAGGTCAGAGTCGCAGGCTCTTGGTGAACGAATCTTTCGAACAAATCTTTTAGGTGAACTGATTCGAGTGATTCAGTACATCTAAAAGAACTGCCGTGCCCATCACTAATATGAAATTTGGCTCCCTCTGTGGACACAGTATCATACTTTTTGATCTTCAGAACCTGATTTTTCTTCAGGTCATCCTATTTTGAAAAAGTAGAGTATCACAAAGCCTCTTAAGTGTACATTAGGTCGGCTCACTCTAGTATGTCAGACAGAGCAATGGATAACAAACAATTAATATATAAAGAATAGATAAATAAATTGTAGAAAAAAACACAAACAAAGAAAAACAATTGAGGTCTGAGATTTTCTGCTGAAATGTGATATTTTTATAAATTCTGCCTTTTTTTAAAAAAAATATTGAAAATGCTGAAATCTGAGGGCAAAACTCTGAATTGTGAGTTTGATGAAACAATCCCAAGAAAAATTCTGTTTTTTGTCAACGCTTTTATTTTGAAAGTCCGACCGGAAAAACTGCGTGCGCATCGGCATCGCTAGCAGGAGTGAACCGCCGTTGGTTGGTTGGTTAGCTGAGATCAGACCGGTTTGCCTCGAGTCTGCAGTGAATTTGGCTAACAGTTGAGGTTAATCGGTCATTGCTGTCCGTTTTCTTTTGTATTTCTTGTACAAATCTGCTGTCTTGTTACGTGAATATGAGCGACAACGAGAAAGATTTCAAAGAGGAGCGGGTGAGTTATGATTTCTAAGTTAAGTAGAAGATGGTTGAACAATGTTGGGCTGCTAGTCGCGTTGCAGGTCTCGTAAAAAAAAACAGGCCTCAAACCTGAGAGAAGACTTGTTAATGCTTAAAACTCAGATTCTATACTTTGTATGATTAAATTTGAACAAAAAACACATTCTTATTACACAAAAGGTAGTTAGCGGACCATGCTATTTTCTTGTATTAGTATAATGAGTGTTTACAACTAGGGATGCACCGATCCGATGTTTGGATCGGATATCTTTTTCTTTCTTGTAACTAATATCATACACAGCAACACAGCGATTCGGTTCTCCCTATATTCTATGTCTGTCTATCCTTTTGCACTAAATGTTTACACGGAAGTCTTTGCTGTGTGCTAATGAGCAATTTGTTACTTTTTAATAAGTAATAAGTAAATTTATATCTGTTAATTTGTTACCTTTTTTTAAACAAGGCTAATGTAAAGCCTGATGCCTTCACTCAAAGGGAAAGGTATAGAGTTCATTCATTCAACATTAGTATTGGATCGGTATTGGATATCGGCCGATACGCTCAGTCCAGGTATTGATATTGGATTGGATCGGAAAAAAATGGATCGGTGCATCTCCATTTACAACATTAGTGTAGACATACTGTTAGCTATTGATAAAGATATTGACATCCAGTCAATATTTGTGTTTTTTGGTTTAATATCAACATGTAGTAGCCTAAGATTAATTTTTAAAATGTGAATATGAAAGTGTAATCAATGTGATTTTTCTGGTTTTGCTGTTTTCTTTGTGTTTTTTGGTTCTAACAGAAACCAACATGCCTTATCCCCCCCTGTTTGTTCTTTGTTAAGGTTGAGTTTGGAAGAAAGAAAAAGGCGGAAGACGTTTCAGATGTGAAGTTGTTAATGTTTGAAGCTGATGGGGTTGATGCATGCTAATGTATGGGATGCTGAAAAGAAGCGGTCAAGATCTGTCCCCACTACTAGTGTTGTAATGGCAGATGGTAAATGGGGGAAGAGGAGGAAAAAAGAAGTCATAATGTCAAAAAGAAGAAAGAAGAAATGAAGGGGTTGTATTGAAGTAATGAAGTAAAAGAAGTAATGAAGTTAAGATCAGAAGTTGACCAGGGTATGAGTAATTTCCTAACAGTCTGCTATGTTATTACTCTATTTCATCCTGTTTCTTTCTCTTAAGCATGCACAATTTATTTTCTTCTCTTTATTGGAACATCATTGGTCAATCTTACATACATTGTAGGTTTAATTTGTTTAATGATCTTTCTGTCAGCTAAATTTATTTTAATCTGAATATTTGTCATTTTTGTATGATCAGATTCCATAATTTTGAGTGTCTAATCTGTTAAAGGCCAAAATGAGGTGCACTCTTGAGAGGAGCATGTAGCGGGAAAGTGCTGTCACCTCCTGGCCCTCTTGTACATGTGCTATGAGCTGTCTCTCATCTCTTTGTCTTATCTGTCCAGGATTCTCGACATGGCTCTAGGAGCGCGTCCCCTCACGGATCAGCCAAATCCACCAGCCGCTCGCCAGCGCGCTCCAAAGGCTCTCGGCGGTCCAGGTCCAGGTCTCGTTCACGATCTAGATCAAAGTCTAGGTAAAAGAGGCAGGGTGTGGCTAAAGGACTCAAAGTATCTGAAGCTTTTATGCTTGGCTGTCAAGTAGTTTAGCTCAAGTAGTTACACACAGCAAAAGTGAATAATAATACTACTACATAATACTGATAAGGTTTAAGCGCCTTTGTCTCAGTAACAGTGGATAAAAAAAGTACCTGGCTTAAGTAAGTGTCTCCTTCCAGGTCCCGTTCTCATCGAAGCTCACGCAGGCACTACTCCCGCTCTCGTTCTCGCTCTCGCAGACGCCGTTCCAGAAGCCGTTCTCGTAGCTGGGAGTACAGGCGGCGTAGGAGCCATAGCCGCTCCCCTATGTCAAATCGTCGCCGACACATCGGAAACAGGGTATGTTTACAGTCTCTTCTTGTTTGGTTTTGGGTCGCAGTCGGAGACAAAGTGTCCATGAATATAACAGACCTTTGATTTCCTCTGTTATGGAAAGTTTCTACTTCAAACATCTGAGTTTGTTGCAGTGATCTTGCAATTCACTGGTTTACACTCCATCTTTCTTTCTTTTCCCAGGCTAACCCAGACCCCAACAACTGTCTGGGTGTGTTCGGACTGAGTCTTTACACAACTGAGAGGGATCTGAGGGACGTTTTCTCTAAATATGGTCCTTTAAGTGATGTCAACATTGTGTATGACCAGCAGTCACGTCGCTCAAGAGGCTTTGCTTTTGTCTACTTTGAAAACTTTGAGGACTCCAGGGAGGTAAGAAGGCAGGATGACTGGCTTATAGCATGTCAGTGGTCGTAAAAAAAGTTTAAAAAAAAGGGGGGGGTAAAACTGGTATCCCTCTGACATGTTAAAATTAGTTAAAATCATGGGAACAGTTTGACAGACAAAAATCTCCTCAAACCAGAATTTCCACTCTGACCTGTTTTGTTGTGGTTTTCAGGCCAAAGAGCGCGCCAATGGGATGGAACTCGACGGACGCAGGATTCGAGTAGACTTCTCAATCACAAAACGCGCTCATACTCCCACTCCTGGAATCTACATGGGACGTCCAACTTAGTGAGTGTTTGAGAACCAGAGGGCATGAGTATTTCCCAGTCACTGTGCTGCATCTTTACAAAAATGTGTTTACCTACAGCGGCGGCGGCGGTGGTGGTGGAGGTGGTGGTGGTGGCAGCAGTGGTGGTTCGTCACGACGCACTTCGAGGGACTACGACAGAGGCTATGACAGAGGCTACGACAGGGGTTATGATCGTGATTACGATCGCTATGATGAACGGGATTACAGGTCTTACAGGTTTGATCTTTTGTTATGAGACATTGATCATGTATAGCAACAAGATTATTGACTGTTTTTAGAGTAATGTGTTTAATTTGAGTGCAGTTACATAGAGCAAAATACAAGTTGAAACAAGTTGCCAAGTGACTTAAGGTCCTTTCACACCGGGACCGTTTTTGTCGTGCGATTGTTTCGGACGTCAATACAAGCGTTCACATCAGCAACGTTTTCCCGTCCTGCGATATTGCAGCATTTATTTTTTCGGATCACAGTCGATTTTTCTAAAGTTTTGCATACTGTATGTCCACTTCTGACCAATCAGATAGCGTGTTGTTGCAACGTCTGATTCACTGGTATATCCAACGTGGCCGACCGGCTGATTGTTTGCATGTCTGAAAACAGAGTGCTTTACGATAAAAGACACAAACATTACAAAGATAACGACCTGAAGGTCAATATAGCATCGCATCTCTCATGTGACGATGGTTTGTGTGCTTTAACAGTTTGCTAAATGTCTTTTATCTGTGCTAACGTAAGCTAATGGTTGTTACCATAGTTTCATGCGCTTATCTTATCGCCTCTGATTGACTATAAGTGCTGACCATTTGACTTGAGCGTGTGATGACGTTTCCAGCTTTCTAGCCAATCAGAGGCCAAGGAGGTGAGACTTTCCCCTGGAAAAGTCTTCCCCGGGATGCATCTTTTCCCCCCTGGAAAGTCGCAAAATCGCATCAGGCTTGATGTGTATAGTCAGGCACGTCAAAATTCGCCTCTGAATATTAAGTAATTTCACGTTCTATATTCATGTCAGCTCCGGTGTGTAAGGACCTTTTAAAGTTAAGCGATTTATTAATGTCACTTATTCAACGGAGATAAAGTGTTTATGACTTTGCCGCTCCCCTACAGACGCAGATCTCCATCGCCATACTACAGCAGAGGATACCGTTCAAGATCCCGCTCACGATCCTACTCACCACGTAAGTCTTAACTGTGTTTGATGAATATTATGAACATTAATCTAAATTAATTTCTGTTTGGCTCATACATAGTGGAGTAGTTTGGATAATCCATAAAACCATCTGTAAAAAAAACATGATTCCCTGAATATTATAATGACTATGTTTATTTATTTGTTACAGGTCACTACTGATGAGAGAAGAGTTCCCTGTTGCGGCTTGGGTGCTTGCCTTTTTCCGTTTCCTTTCTTTCCATGAACGTTCTTTAAAGTAGATGATTGGTTATATGTAGAAATATGGGATTGTTTATGTAATAAACTTTGTATTGAAAAGGATGCCTATGTAAGCACCACACTGTCAGTGGTGGATTTAACATGACCAAATTTAAAAGAAGAAATATGAATATGTGTGTCCACTCTGCTGACTTAGCAGAATTGATTTTACACACAGGAGTTCGCTCTGGCTGTCCAAATACAATTTTTCATCTTGCTGTTTGTATGAAGCAGGAATGTTTTTGAAACCACATTTCTTTTGTTTTTCCAAATGGTAAATACTTATTTGTTATATAAGTATGTGATAAAAGTTCACTTGGGTCTTTGCTGTGTTGTTGGACATTGTTTATGGTCATGTTGCATCTTCATTTAAACATAAAAATACAGCAGGTATTGTACCATAAAGTTAGGTACTTGGGTTGCATTTATTCTGTTGTTTGGTTGTTGTTTCTCCTTTGCCATGAAAAAGAATAAAATATTACTGCTCAGACTTGATGCAAGAACCCTTGTGTCGCATGACTTCTGTAACCATAGTAAACCCTTGCTGCATCACAAACTAGACTTTTGTAAAAGAATCTAAGGAATTGGGTATTTGATGTATACTTGATCCCAACTTTTCATTTAGCACCTTAAGACACCTCTGATATCAACAATTTGGGAGAAAGGGTCCAGAGAAATTTAACATGCACACAGTCAAAAAATAAATGTACAATTGTTTCAGAATCCAAGATATAAGTTCTATGTTTTTTGAGAAAGTGTTTAGTTGGATAGATTAAGTGAATCATTTTGAAATAAACCTCAGTCACTTAATTGTTGATCAAATATTTTTTGTAGTAAATCCAAACCCTTTTCCAAATAATTCCATCAAAAAAGACCATTCCAAAAACTTTTGGCACAAGAATTAGAAGAACACTGCAAGATATTTCTAAACGGTTTATTATTACATTTTTTATCTTTGATATTGATGCCATTGTACGGTGGCCGAGAACCGCCCCTGCTGCAAATAAAAAAAGAATGCAAAAAAAAAAAGAACGGCAATGCTGCAAATAAGAAACAATGCAAAAAAAAAAAGAGGAAACAGTACAGATAACAACAAAATAAAAAAAATTCTGACCAAATGACACATTAAAAGTTTATGAAGCGAAATTAAACAACAACCTTTCCACTTACTTCTTTGCTCGTCCTCTCGCCTTCATCTTCTGTGCCTAGATTGTAAAACACCAGTGTATCATCATTATTGGTCCCTGGCAGCTCACTAATGTTATGGCATTTTTTATCTGCATCCTTGTATTTTCACAGTAACTTTTTTTTTTTTCCATCACCACTTTTTTTTTTTTGTCGTTAGCTTCCGTTGTGGCTTTTTTATCCAGACCGTTTCCTTTTTTATTTGCAGCGGCCTTCAGTTTCTTTCTATTTTTTTGCATCAGTAACTTCCATTGTGACTTTTTTTTTTTTGCATTTTTTTATCACCATTTTTTTTGCATCATTAACTTCTGTTTTTTCTTTTTTTTTCTTTTTGTTATCTGCATCGTTTCTTTCTTTTGTAGCAGACTTTGGTTCCTCTTTTTTTTCCCGCATTTTTTATTTATTTTTTTATTTTTTTATTGTAGCAGTGGCGGTTCTCGGCCACCGTACCATTTAACATCACTCTTCAACATTGGTTGTGCGTAACTAACAAACACATTTTACTCAGTCCGCTAACGCGTCGGCTGACGTAACGTCCTTACTCTTTCCCCAACCAATCACAGTACCCTCGCGTCAAAATACTTCCGGTGTTCTCTCAAACTTGTCTTTTCACCGGAGCGGCTGGTGTGAGTGGATTCCAGTGCGAGCACCACGTAGTCCATCGGCATAAAAACCCTCAAAGGTAATCAGAAATAATCCCTATCATCTTAATACCAGTAGGATATGTTCGTAATAACTGTAAATTGTTGACAGCGGTGTTAAACTTGTCGGATATTCAGGCTAACAGGTAGCGAGGAGTGGTTTCAGTCAACGCTAGCATGCTGTGTTTGAATGAGCGTTTTAGTACAGCTGCCTGAGCAGGAATTTACACATTTGCACAGTATTTCACTCATGAGAGTAACTTCGTCAAATTTCTCTACATGGAGCATTGTGTAACTTATAAACTCTTACAGATGCCCCCCAAAAAGGCAGAAGCCCCCAAACAGCCTCCTTTAATCGGACGATTCGGGACCTCGCTGAAGATTGGAATTGTTGGTCTACCTAATGTCGGGTATGTGCAGTGTCCAAAGTGTTACCACGTAGAAAGGATCTGCCTCTGACCTGCAGCTGATGCTTTTATTTTTCTGTCCATTGCAGGAAGTCCACTTTTTTCAACGTGCTGACCAAAAGTCAAGCAGCTGCTGAGAACTTCCCCTTCTGCACCATCGACCCAAATGAGAGCAGGGTCCCAGTCCCTGATGAGCGCTATGATTTCCTCTGCCAATACCACAAACCAGCCAGGTGTGCATCCTGAAAGGCTGTAGGCGATCCGTCCAACACCAGCGGATTCCTGACAACTTCTTTGTCTTGTTTTGTGTCTTCTAGTAAAGTTCCTGCATTCCTGAATGTTGTGGACATCGCCGGTCTGGTGAAGGGAGCACACTCAGGACAGGGTCTTGGAAACGCCTTTCTCTCTCACATCAGCGCTTGTGACGGCATCTTCCACATGACCCGTGAGTTGTCAATACTACTGCAGCTGCTGAGGAATAACGACTGAGCGAGGAGAGGTGACAGGTGTTGGGAGGGCATGTTAGCAGTGATTACTAAACTGGTGAAATCTGAGCAGGCTTGTGGTCGAGACAGGATTACATGGCTCCTAAGTAAGTAGGCCTATACTGGTTACTTCATGGCATCAAACTATAAAGTATGAAAAACAGAGAATCAATTTAGCCTGAATGGTATCAGTAGCAAGACAAAGGTTTGCGCTTGCACCCCTGAGAAAGAATAAATGAATTCAGTTCATGGAGTCAAAACTTTAAAGGTATACATAGGGCTGGGCGATAAAACGATAACGATATATTTCAAAAATTAATTTCCTTCGATATCGATAGAAACCTGGTCAGTATCCTTTTCGATAGTCAGCATTCTGCCATGTTTTGGTAGATTATACGAATAGCCAATGAAAAGGGGAGTTGCTCCGGGTCCGCTTTGCGCTGAACTAATCATGAGCCGAATAAGAACCAAGTAGTAAGGCTGTAAGATATCGGAAAAAACTAACATTGAGATTTTTTTTGACCCAGCGATATTGCGATATTAAAAAATACAGGAATTTTCACCAGATGTCCTGAATAGCACTTTATGCTGAAATCTTTTAGACAGTTAACCTGCAACGATCTTACCTTTTTTTTTGTAGAATGGCTTCTGTCTGTCTCAGAGATATTTTTAGCTTGTTATTATTGTGCTGGGACGTCATTGTGGCAACAGATGAACACAGAGCACGTGTTTTGGTCGACATCATTCTTCTTGTAACCGAAAAAAAGTTCCAGATAACTGACTTTACATTTCTTTTTGGCAACAAGTCTTAATTTTCGGTGGTTTTCTCTTGTTCGTTGCTCATTTTGCAATCGTTGTTGTGCCGAGAAACGTATGTCCTACTAAACCTGCCATTTAAATGCAGGCTCCAAGTTATCAACATGTGTCAATCTTTTTCACCAGTTGATCACAATTGTCAATGTTTGTGTTTTCTAGGTGCATTTGATGATGAGGATATAATCCACGTGGAGGGAAATGTTGACCCTGTGAGGGACATCGAGATCATACATGAGGAACTGCGACTAAAAGATGAAGAGATGATGGGTCCAATCATTGACAAACTGGAGAAAACTGCCGTCAGAGGAGGTGACAAGAAACTCAAACCTGAATACGTAAGTGAAGGGTGTTCGCACAGATGCCATTTAACCGTTTCCCTGTTTTAAATTTGTGTCACGGGAAAAGGAATATGAGAGATTGTAATAACTGATCAGTTCGTGTATGAGACATAAACTACTGCTTTTGGTTTCAGGATATCATGTTGAAGGTAAAGAACTGGATAGTGGAGGAGAAGAAACACATCAGATTTTACCATGACTGGAACGACAAAGAGGTAATGACGTGTACTTGTGTGGGCTTCCAGTCAAGTTGATTAAAAATGAATTAGCATTACAGAAGATTGTTCATTTCGTCCCTTTATTGTATCCTTGCTTGCGTTATTACATACTATAAAGAAATGTCACTTATGACTTTTCAACTTTCCTGCGTGTTTTGTGCTTTTTGTCTTTTTTGTTTCAAACTCACGCTACATTAAAGCGATCTATGTTATATTGTGCATTTTCCCCACAGATTGAGGTGTTGAACAAATACCTGTTTCTGACGTCCAAGCCCATGATCTACCTGGTGAACCTCTCAGAGAAGGATTACATCAGAAAGAAGAATAAGTGGTTGGTTTGCATCACCTTTCAGTATGTATATTTAGCGTAAAAAATAAAACCGTCTCACTCTACTTCTTTTTGTTCTTAGGTTGGCAAAAATCAAAGAGTGGGTAGATGCTCATGACCCAGGCGCTTTGGTTATCCCTGTGAGTGGAGCTATTGAGTCGAAACTGCTGGACATGGAGGATGAGGAGGAGCGGAACAAGTACTGTGAAGAACAGAAGACACAGAGGTGACACATGAAAACCAAGTCTCTGTTTTTGTGTGTGTTTGTTTGTGTCTTATTTTGTCACTGTTTAATCATGGCTGCTCCGTGTTTATAGCGCCCTGACCAAAATTATAAAGACGGGCTACTCAGCTCTGCAGCTGGAGTACTTCTTCACCGCCGGAGTAGACGAGGTGCGAGCGTGGACCATCAGGGTGAGTGCAGTGACCTAAAGAATTCTTCCTGTAAAGTTTTCAACTTACTGATTTTATGTTAAGAAGGGCCCGACCGATATTGACCGACCGAAAATCGGCGAGTTTTGGCCGATTACCGATTAGTCTCAAACGGGCTAAAATTGCCCCTAATGTTAAGAGTGACTCTTTGGGCCTGACATTTGCCCTTAAGTGCTTTTTCTTCACTCTCACAATTCAGTAGATCTGAGATATGGGTTGTAATTCAATAGCGTTGGATTGGGTTCTTAATTTTTGTCTGTAATTTGTACTCAGGCTACAAAAAAAACTGATTTTATTTGCCAACTGTCATTATCTATATCTTCTCCTTTTTATTCATTTATATGAAATATTCTAAGCTGTGTGGCTGTGCGTATTTACTCTTTTATTGATCAACTCTTAAGGCAAGTGACGCTGTTCAATAACCCTCCTTGTCATCGAACAAAACAATCAGTCATGCGGCAGCCAGCAATCATATTCTCAACCTTTTTCTCTTTTCTCCAACAGAAAGGGAGCAAGGCCCCGCAGGCTGCAGGAAAGATCCACACTGACTTTGAGAAAGGCTTCATCATGGCCGAGGTGATGAAGTACAATGACTTCAAAGAGGAGGGCAGTGAAAATGCAGTCAAGGTATGTTTGAAAACAGCTTCAGTGTTTGTTTGAAGTGTTACAGCAGTGGATTTCTGCCATTGATATGCTCTCTCTTACATGTCCTCTCACAGGCTGCTGGGAAATACAGGCAACAGGGCAGGAACTACATCGTGGAGGACGGGGACATTATATTTTTCAAATTCAACACACCCAATGCACCTAAAAAGAAACCTTAAAGCGCACAATCACTCGAGGGAGAGCTCAGAATACAGTTCAGTTTGGTCTCAAGAGTTACACTTTCTGCTGGTTTTTCATACGTTTCTCTTTCATTTTGAGGGCCAGCTCATAACCTGGAGGATGTTTACTCCACTAGCAGCCAACATTAGGACCAGAGTACATTGAAATGATTCCATTATGACATACCAGTGTGTTCCTGTACTAGAGCAACTTACATTCCTACTGTTTATGCATACATAATATTGAACCTGCTTTGAGAAATACATGGTTTGAAATCTGATAACACATCTGCATACAATTTTGTAACAAATCCTATTCATATGTTTTCATATGGTTTAGCTGTTTATCAGGACAGGCTTTTGCTACAAGAGTTTGCGAATTTGAGCAACAGCGTATGAAAAGATTAAACCCTTTGTTGCTCTTCTGCAGATAAGACATTGTTAAAGACCTCACACAGCACAGTTACTTATTGGTAAATGTACTCAGATGACTACAAGGAATACAAAGCCTGTGTTGTGTCTTTTCAAAGGGAACAATGAAAATTGTAATACTGCTCTATGTGCCTAATTAGCAATTACGACGCTGATATAGAGTCTGATTAATTGTTTAATATCCAGGTTTTTGATGCCTTCTCCGTAACTTTTTTTCCTCATGTTGTTTACAAAAAAAGAAAAAAAAAAAAAAAGGAAAGCCAAGAGTCTGTGTAACTCTTCAGACCAGTCCTGGTTTGTATTCTGAGAAATAATGATTTTATTTTAGAGGGGGCAAAACAGGCACCTCTGACAGTAACCGAACACAGAATGTGGTTGAACATGCTGGTTTTATTGAGTTTGTTTGGGCTAGTGTTAAAAAAATAATAAATCACAAAATTCTGCTTTTACACATTATGAGCTCCACTTGTAATGAGACTCCTTATCTGAGATCAGCAAGGCTCTGTGGATTATTTGGACTGTACAGCTTCCTTCAATGGTGGGGATTTCTTTTTCTCCAGAGCACCTAACAAACCTCTCGCCAAAAGATTTTCCAAACTGTGCGCTAAGCTTAAAATTGTGTAAACCAAGGGAGCTAAAATGTCTACCCCATCAATATGCATGTGTCAATAAAAGTCACGAAACCGGTTTGCTTTTTGTGATTCTTGTTCAAAAAATTAAATATAGGATATTATGGATTTATCATGAACTATAAACCAAATATAAAGAAATCAATCAGTCAATTAAACTTTATTTTTAAAGCACTTTTCATACATGGAATGTATTCTCCATTCGTGCAGGATATTAAAAAAAACTGAAATAAAATAAATAAAAATTCAAATACCAAACCCCAACCCCCATTCAACACATACAGCACTCACACACACACAGATGCATACACAAAAAAACAGGACTCATCAACTTGCCACAGATGACTGAGGAGACGCTATCTTGAGTTGAAAGATGAGGAAAACACTGGATCTAGGACTAAAACAATAAACCATGATCAAATATGATAAAGATGATAAAGCATTAAAAGTTAATTAAATAAAAGTCTTAAACAATAAAAGAGAGTACATTTAAAAAAGAGGTTACTCTAGGACTTAAATAGCATAAAATCACATAATGCAGATTAAAACAAAATTCAGCTTAAAGCCAGACTAAAAAGGTAGGTCTTTATTTTACTTTTAAAGATATGAACATTAGGTGTTGCTCTCAGGTCTGCAGGTAGGCTGTTCCACAGATGGGGACAGTATTATTGGAACGATGGTTCACCATGTTTTTACTTTGGGGACGATAAAAAAGACCACTACCTAATGACCTGAGGGCTCAAATCAGACAAACAAGAAGGACCGAGACCATTAAGAGCTTTAAAAACTAATAAAAGAACCTTAAAATCTACTCTGAAAGACACAGGTAACCAATGCAGAGATTTTAAAAGAAAGAAACTTGTATGTCCATTAGTAAGGTATAGAAGTTGATAAACACTACTCTACACATAATTGATTCATAAAAAGGTCATGTCTTGACATGCTTTTCAAGGCACTCGCAGTATATTATTTCCAAAAACTTTTATGTTACAATATTGAATTAAATAACAGAAAATCTGGGACTTTTCATTTGTAATGTTATGGTTATTTGATTTAATACAACTGGGCAAACAATGCAAGGTCAAAAATTAAAATGTTGCTGCAATGCTAAGAAAAAAAAGCTTTTTGTATCACGAGGATTGAATCAATTAAACTTCTGTTGAACAATTACGACATTAAGGACTCCAAGTTAACTATAACCAGAGGAAAAGTTCATGTTGGGGGACTAAAAGAAGTTTTGAAAAACTTTGAAAAGTAAGTATTAAAAGCTCTTGAGAGATGAAAACCGCAAATTAAGAATTATTTGCTCGAAATAACTCAAAATAAATGAGAAAATACTTTTTTAAAAGATAAGGCACTCACAGTATAGTATTTCCAAAAACTTTTATGTTACAATATTGAATTAAATAACAGAAAATCTTTTCATTTGTAAATGTTACGGTTATTTGATTCAATACAACTGGGCAAACAATGTAAGGTCAAAAATAAAAATGTTACTGCAGTGCTAATAAAAAAGGCTTTTTGTATCACGAGGATTGAATCAATTAAACACGAATAAAGTAACTTCTGTTGAACAATTACAACATTTAGGACTCTAAGTTAACTATAACCAGAGGAAAAGTTCATGTTGGGGGACTAAAAGAAGTTTTAAAAAGTACGTTTAAAAGTGCTTGATAGATAAAAACCGCAAATTAAAGAAATATTTACTTGAAATCACTCAAATTAAACGGGAAAATGCTCTTTAATGCTTAAAAATCTGTGAATCTAACAACTACATTCCATCTCTCTTCTCACTGAACAACAAACAGGAAACCTACGCACTATAAAAAATGATTGACGTAACGTCTGCCCAATCGCCTCTATCAAACCCCGCCATCAGCCAATCGCCTTAGAGAAGAAGGGCGGGACGTCCTGTAATGTGATGCAAATTCGACGGTCAAGCATGTTAGTCCCACCTTTTTGTGTTTCCCGCACCGTCAATCAAAATAGAAAAAAAAATCGACCCGAATTCACCGATCAACACTAGCCCGCCTTTGATAAAATAATCATGTTTGGAGTTTAGTTTAACAGATAATCCTCCCGGTTACTACCGCTCACACTATGACCGGTGCGTAAGCGTTTAGCGCATCGAGCGTGCGACTAATCGGTGAGTTTGTTCGACCGACAGCGAAGCGAGCTGCGCCTTTTTTTATCTTTTGCTCCGCTGCTAACTAGCTAGAGATGGTGAGCTAACTGAGCTAGCCGAGCTTGGCCGCGGAGTTGACAAAGTAAACAGTGAATCTGGGCCGAAATTGCCGCACAATCTCCGCCGCAAAGTTGAGTTTCGCAGTCAGCTCCTTTCGGACTGGAGAGTGGGGATGCTTTGCGGGCTTTTCTGGCAGGGCAGAAGTTGAAGATTACAGAGTTTTTGCTCAGTTTCCCCCCTCTCTCCCTCTCTCTCTCTCCCTCTGCTAGCGCCACAGCAGCAGCAGCCCTCTGGAACAAGGAGAAATGGCGTCCGCGGACGTGGACAGCAGTCAAAGCGAGTTTCTGCAACCCGGCGGCGGCGCAGCGGAAACACAGGTATCCGACATTTTCTCGCTCGTCTTTCGATTTGCTCGATGTGTTTTTTTGAGAGCATGAAGTTCACACGTTTTAAAATTTTGATGGCATGGGGTGAAAGCCGTACACTTCCTGTGTTCCCCCTCAATAACGGCCACCCACTTTACCCCTGTAAAACCCGCCCATAGTGGGTAGGACACTGAAGTCAGTCACTTGGGTCGGCTCGCTGGAAGATAGCCGGTGATCACTGGGCTGGGAGGATACCAGAGTGGGATAACATTGCAGGGATATTGTCTATATTCTCAACAGGAGCGTTCAATTGTGTTGTAAAAGTCACCCATCCCCCACACAGCCTGCCTCGACCATTTCTGAGCCTGTTATCTGAACTCTCTCTCTCTCTGTGTGTGTTGGTGGTTGCCTCTGGCTTGTATCTTTTGCCTCACCCTAAATCTTCCATGATGATCCCCCCTCTAATGACTTTCATGTAGATTCACAGACTGACTGAATGAGATGTATTGATTGTCTTTTCAATGTAATCTTTCAGACGACAGATATGTCAGCCATTCAGCTGACGGGTTCAGACCGATGGGAGGTGTTAACTCCTGTCTCAACCGGGAAGGAAGACCAGGGAGTAGTACACATTCAAAACTCTGGGATCGTCACGTCAAACGGGCAGTATGTGCTTCCGATCGGGGGTCTTCCAAACCAGCCCATCTATGTTACAGCATCTGGGAGTGAGGCTGCGGCCAACGGCGTGTCGGGGATTCAGTATCAGGTAGAAATCAACGTGAGCACTTTGTTGTCGCCACAACGGGGGTTTCGCTCTTCCTGAAATCAGATTTCTCTTCCAGGTTATCCCCCAAATCCAAAATGCAGATGTGACTCTAGCGGGATTCTCCACACAGGGGTTGGATGACGGCACAGGGCAGATCCAGCTCCTACAAGATGCCAGCCAAGGCAGCATTGGAATCAGCTGCGCCACAACAGCGACCACGGACCTCCTAACGCAAGCGGGGCATGTTCAGTCGATTCAAGGTGTCCCGCTGGGTGGGGGGTCAGCGTACACTGGCACGGTACCCGTAGGGCTGCCGGGCAACATCACATTTGTCCCTATAAACAGTTTGGACCTGGAGTCTTTAGGACTGACCGGAGCGCAGACGGTTCCCATTGCAACCGGCGTAACAGCTGAAGGTCAGCTGATCATGAGTGGGCAGACGTTGGAGAGTCAGGGTCAAGACGCTGGCGCCAAACAGCCGCTGGTGACTGTGAGCGACACCAGCGGAAACCCCGGACTCTATGTGCCAACCACCACCACCACTTCCTCCTCCAACTCCTCCAATCTTCCCGAGACCATCGACGGCACAGGGGTTCTGACCCAAGCTACAGCTGTGTCTGCTGGCGTGTCCGACCCCTCGTCCTCGTCGAACTACAACTCCCACAACCACCTGCAGCAAATACAGGTCAGCGTGTGTTCTTAACAGCAGGCGGAGTCAGTCCTCTGTCTTAAATTTACAACCGTAGCCAGTCGTCATGATGAGATACTGTTTGAAGACTTTGGTTTGAGCACTTTTTTTAATCGTGTGTTTGCGTCAGCGGTGGACAGACTAAGAGTTTTCACCTCATGTTTGAGCAGATTGTAGAACGATGTCTGCAGACACTGCAGGCAGTTAAGAGTGGCTGCTGTTGAGCTATGTTGACGTTCCTCTCATAGAAAACATGTTCAGTAGGTTCAGTGTTGGTTTGGACAGAAACATCAGTCAAGTCCTGAAATCTGAAGCAAAGCCTTAAGTGTTTTTCTGTTTTATGAGCTCATTAAAAATCCATCTCAAACACGAGCAGCTGAAACAAACATGTATATTAGATTGTTTTGTTTGTGGAAGAATAGATGATGTTGTGAAAATTTGTGATCTCAAGTTTCTACTTTGTTGTTTTATCTGTTTGTCCACTGCACTGTTAAAACTGAACATCCTTCTCAAAGCATGACTTCAGTACCTTCATGTTTATGATATAATCCTGATTTCTTTAACTTCTTGTACTCTGCAGGTCTCGACCTCTAATGCCACCACTATCTCACAGCCCATCCTGCAGCTGTCTGGGGACACTCAGGCTCAGGTAGCTCAGGGTCAGGACCTGAACGCAGCAGGAGGTCAGACTCTGCAAAGTGTGCAGCTGGTCAACCCTGGGACCTTCCTAATCCAGGCCCAAACTGTCACTGCGACGGGACAGATCCAGTGGCAGACCTTCCAGGTAACTTATCGCAGGGTCTCCGCGGTAACGATGAAGTGAGGTTTGGAGGCTGGTTAGAGGCAACAAAGAAACGCGTGTTTTATGCTGTAAGACTCGCATGTTTGGGATCACAAGAGATTAAAGCCGTTGAACGCAGCATGAAATCTGGAGGACTGGAAATGTATGCAGCACTTTGGTTTCTCTTTGAAAGAGTCATGTGATCCGTTTCTAACAGCAAAGTCACATTCCTGCGCCCATTTTTTGGTTTTGCATCAGCTGTTTGGCGTGAGAGGATTATGATTTGATTGTATTTTTTCTAAGATTCGATATTTATCTCAGATCACAAACATGCATCCTCTCTTTCTGCAGGTTCAGGGTGTTCAGTCACTCCAGGGGCTCCAGCTGCCTCAGGGCCAGGGTCAAGCACAGCAGCTAACCTTAGCCCCCGTGCAGACCCTCCCTCTGGGCCAGACGGGACAAGTCAGTCTGCCCAACCTCCAGACGGTCACGGTGAACTCTGTAACACACGGCGGGGTGCAGTTCACGCAGGGGGAGGACACGAACAGTCCAGCGGGTACTTAACAAACACACCCTTGTGTTTTTATTCTGTTCAAATCACCCCGTGAGATTTTCTAAGTCCTCTCTTCTTCTCCGGTCCAGGTATCCAGATTAAAGAGGAGCCAGACTCTGAGGACTGGCAGCTGAGCGGAGACTCAACGCTGAACCCCAGCGACCTCAACAACCTGCGCGTTCAGATGGGAGACGAGGACATGGACACGCCGAGCGGAGAGGGCAAGAGGCTCCGCAGAGTGGCCTGCACGTGCCCGAACTGCAAAGAGTCTGGAGGAAGGTGGGCATGTGGACAACACTCACACTTCTGGATCCTGAAAGAGCCGCTGTTTAGATCAATTTTGTCCAGAGAAAATCAAAAATATCTTTTTGGAGTTATAAGAAAAACAAAACTTCAAATATCTTCCTTCTAATAGTTTAGGAAATAATTTTATTTAAGGTTGATATCTCGATCAAATTTTAATGTTTATGCAAATCTGTAGTTACATGCTAAAACCATTCATGCAAATATTTATGAAAATGTTTCGGACAATCCTGTGAGAAAGTATGCTTGTGTTTTTCGCTCATTTCTGCCCCTTGTTTTGGTTTCTCTCAGGGGTTCCGGCATGGGGAAAAAGAAGCAGCACATCTGCCACATCGCCGGCTGCGGGAAGGTTTACGGGAAAACGTCTCATTTGCGAGCTCACCTGCGCTGGCACAGCGGGGAGAGACCCTTCGTCTGCAACTGGATGTTCTGCGGGAAGAGGTTCACCAGGAGCGACGAGCTGCAGAGACACAGGAGGACACACACAGGTACTGTTGTTTCTCAGATCACCTTTTCACACAGGAACAGATCCAGATTTGTTTGTTTTTTATTTTGCTTTGTACTGTGAATATATAAAATACTTAAACTAAAGGTGTTATAGTTGATGTACGAGTCAACTCTTCGTCAAAAAAAAGTCGTTACAAGTTGTATTACTGTCTGTGATAGTAAATGATGATTTCCCGTTGTTTGATGGTGCTCTTTAAAAAGAAACTATGAATAATGTTCATCCAGATCCAGCTGCTTTTCTATAAAAGCAGCAGATAGGAAAGTAGGAAGGTAACATTGCCTCTAAGCCTGTCAAGCAAAAAATAAATAAATAAATAAAACAGAAGCAAAGGTCGCTGTAGCAAACATCATCTCTGCCCCATTACGGACTGCAGCAGGGGGGACGCAGCTCAAGGAAGAACATTTATGATCATTTCTTAATCATTTCCTTGAAGTTATAATCATCATATTAATCATTTTGCACTGCCGACACGGTAGTTCTAGAGTCTCGGTCTGATTGCATTTCCATGAAGAAATGATCATAAATGTTCTTCCTTGAGCTGCGACACCCAGCTATAGTCTTTGATGGACTGGCCTGAGGTCTCGCTACAAACAAGCGGCTGCTGGAAGAGAGTAGGTGAGTTGTGTTTAGTCTCTTTGTTAAAGAAATCAGGCAAAGCTAAAAAGATGTTTGGTGGCTAGTACTATGGCTGGGACCCTATATGTACTGTTGATGAAGTTAGGTGCTGTTCTGAGCGTTATTTGTGGTTATAGAGTGGTGTTTTGGTTGAGGTTTGTTTATGGCTCCTCAGACCACTGTGTATTGCTAGCGTGCGGTCATTACTAAAGTTGGTATAACTAGAGAAGCAAGCAGCCGGCAACATCTCTTGAGGAGGTGTCTAACTCGGTGTTACGGTGTGTTTGACCCTAAATTAATTTTACGGGGGAATATCCCTTTAATACTAGTCCTTTTGCTTTGCTACAGAGTGGAGTGGAGTCTAAAAAATAGGAGAGTTACCTATTATACTTGTTTTTAACTTTGACTGTGTCAGTTCAGGACACCTTTGGAGTAGCTTTGTATAACATTCAACTTCAAAAGACCTCCTTTATTTAGTGGAAATGCTGATTAAGCATTTCCACTTATTGTTATTCCTGTCGGCCATTTTTCTTTATTATTATTATTCTTCCGCTGTATTTTTTCCGCTTTCTCCTCCTTCATACTTTGTGCTATTTCAACCGTTTAACTTTCAAACTGTTCCTCTCCTTCAGGACAACTGCGGATGTATTTTTCACTTTTCTACCCTTTATACTTTTTGATATTTTTTACTTTTTGTGCAAATTTTTTTCCTATTGAAATGAATGAGGAAATGCAATTTTCTAGTTATATACTGATGTATGCCAGCTGTGCTCAGCTACTGCCTGAAACACTTTGAAACACTGATGACATTAAGTTAAGACATTACTTGGATGTTACTTTTGACACAGTTTTGTTGTCATGAAAGCATGTGCGAGCTGTTCTCACAGTTCGTGGTTGGAAGCAGTGACTGGAACATCTTTTTTTTGTCTGTCTCACAGGAGAGAAGAAGTTTGTGTGCACAGAGTGCTCCAAGAGGTTCATGAGGAGCGACCACCTGGCCAAGCACATAAAGACTCACCAGAATAAAAAAGGCGGGGTCACTGCCACATCCCCGCCCACCGCTGACGCCGTCATCACCGCGGATGGCACCACGCTCATCCTCCAGACCGCCAGTCACGACCTCGTAGCCAATCAGGAGATCCCTTTACAACTAATCACAGTGGCGCCTGGCGAGGTTATGGAATAAACGTGCGAACGAGGTGATTCGGTTTTTACGAGAACTGGCCTATCACAGGGACCTTTTGGGCTTTTCTCTTTCCCTCCTACCTTTTTTTTTGTTTGTTTTTTACATATGAATATATACGTAAATATATATGACAAATATATATATTTTAAGTAAGAGTTATCATGACTTTATGTTTGTTTTTTGCAGTCTTTTTATAGGCAGGCAAAAAAAAAACATTAAAATGTGGTCGCTATGTACACGCGTCAACACTCACATTCTCACAGACACACACACACACACACGTGACATATTAACACTTGACATGAATACTCAACACAATGAAATGCCTTATTTTGTATCATACTCTTGTATAAAATGCTGGAGGTGCATGTGTTTTTTTAAGCTTTGCAGATGATGTAACTGTAACAGATATTAATGTGTTTGTGAAGCGGAGCAGAGGAGGCGTTTGTTGTGAAAGAGGAAGAAAGGCAGTAGTGAACCTCTCTGATCGAATTGTTGAGTTCTGACAGTACTGAGCAGTCACAGTGCGTTTGAAGCAGCACTGCATCCTCGCATAACTGTTGCGCAACCGCCGCCACAAATGGTTTTAATCCGATCGGAGTCATTCAGAATTTTCTTGCACGTTTGCCTAAGTTCGCTGAGATGACTGATGTCTCGTTTTTCCGCTGCAGATGTCAAACTAACTGGCTTAGCGTGGCACAAACGGCGGACACTGAGCAAACTGCTACTCTGACTCTGTCCAGGTGCGACACATTTGTCTTTTAACGCCTCGAAAGCGCATCCTTCAGTCTTGTGTGTCTTTGTTTAAAATGAAAAACAACTAATATTTCCTGCTAGTAATCCAGAGCTGTCTCTGCGAACTTCGGACAAAGCCAGGCTAGATGTATCCTGTTTCAATTCTTTGTGCAAAGCCAAGCTAGCTTTCTGAAAGTCGATTCTGCACAGACGTGAGTTTTCTCATCAAACTCTGCAAAATGAAATATCAAGCTTTCTTTCAGCGAGTCAAATGCAGTGCTGCTTCATGCAGGGTGGGGTTGTTAAGCCGGTGCTCAGAGTAGAATGGCAGTGCCACTGTTAACTGAACTGAACTGAAGTTGGTGTTTTCCGTCAGTGAGGAGAGGGAAAATTGATGCAAGCCGTTTTTTTTTTTTTTTAAAAGGGCGACTTCTTCCAGCATCTGGTCAGTCTGAACAGAATGTCTCTTCTGTCCTCACAAGCCCACTGTCCACTGTTTGTCCACGTCAAATCGTTTAACTTTTTCTTTCACATATTTTAAAATGACTTTTTTTTTTTTGTCTGTTCACCAACCTGAGTGTCATCGAAATTACAGCCTCATGATGGAGACCGTAGATGTGAGAGAATCGAGGTTAACCTCTGAATTACCTGCAGTCTGAACTGACAACCACACACACACACACGCGGGTGCAGGAGGAGAACATGCACCGATGCTTCCATGTGAAGAAAAACCAAGAAATGGATGCAAGCGAAAACCCCCCGAGGTTGTATCTGTCATTGAACATTCCAGTTGGACACCAGATGATGTGGGATTAGTTTTGCAATAACTGCTCTGTTTGGTTATTCTTGCCTGATGTCACCCACGTATAAAAGGAAAAACAATCTTGCCATCGTTTTTTTTTTTTGTTTTGTTTTATTTTTTCTAATAAATGTAACCTTTCTTCAGTTCGTCCTCATGTTTGTAGCATCCATTTACATGTATATTATCTTATTTTCACATTGTTTATAGAAGCCATTTACTTAGTTAACTGAATTTGTTGTATCGAGACCTTATTTTAAGTGATTTTTTTAAAGAAATGGTGTAAAAATTGAATGTTACCTTTTGTAAAAGCTTTTTTCAAATGGATCATAATAAAAGTCTGAAACATTCTAGGAACAGATTTTGTGTGCACAGAGCAGCATCATAAATGATTCAGTGACAGTGCGGTAATTGTTTCACAACGATCTGCGTTTAGTCCAGCCGTCACAGAATCCGTTAGTCATCACACTTTTCAACTTAAAGCTCCAGCGAGGAACTTTTTTCATTTGTGTCAATTTTGGCGCCCCCCTTTGGACAAACCTGTCTATGCTGAAGTAATGCCTTCTGCAAAAAAATAAAATAAAATAACCCTGCTAACTTTTGACAGTCAAATCGATCATTTATGTGAATATTTTTGTGGGAAATATTTTACAAAAGGTTGTTTCTGAAGCTGCTAACCCACAACCTTTCCACCCTTTTTTATTTAAACACTGGCCTACAATAATTCACAGAGTACTGGATAAGGATCAAACCTACAACTTCAGGAGTCCCAGGCAGACTCCTTTCCCTTTCCTTTCTTTAAGCTAGCCTTTAAAAGTGAGAGTGTGTATATGGATGAGGATTTGAACCTTTGACCCCAAGAGTGCCAGCCATATAGTAGGATAAAAATGTCATCCTATTGTATGTTAAAAATGGTAAATATAATAAAATCAAGATATCATAGTATGACAAAAAATATCACAGGTTAGTAAATAAAAATGTAAAAGTATAATAGGGTAAAAATGTATAGTATAATAAAAGTATCATAGTATAGTGTTATAAAAATGTCATAGTACTGTACAACAAAAATTAAGTAGTATAGTGGGATAAAAAGATCATAGTTTTGATAAAAATGTCAAAGTATAGAATGATAGAAATATAGTATAGCATTATAAAATATTAAGTTTGATGAAAATATCCTAGTATAGTATGATAAAAATGTCATTGTATAGTATAGTAAAAATATATTATAGTGTAAAAAAAATTGTCAAGTTTGATAAAAAATATCATAGTATATATGTTTAAATATCATAGAATGGTATGTGTAAATATCATAGTATAGTATGTTTATATATCATATTATAGCATAATCACCTGTTTAGGGTGTTTTTAAGTTAAATAATAAATAATTCCTGCAATTTCAACAGTGCTCTCTCCCGCTGCTTGCAGGGTCAGCTCTGGCCCTTATCTAAAAATACAGCCAAATATTTAAATATTTTGGACCCCCAAATCTGACCTGGAAGGTTTGGGAATTGTTCAGCTACAAAGAACAGGGTAGTACTCTGTTTGACACACCCTTTTAAGAACATTTCCCAATTGGTGATGTCATGAATTGAGCAAAAAACCTCTCATGTGACTGCAGTCTTATCTTGGGATTACTGTGACAAACATTTACTTCACAATCTAAAGTTTTGTCAGCATTTAGTTGTGACATCCCAAACTTCCCCTTTAGTTTATTAAATATGAGAAGTACACGACACCATCTTTTTTAACCTCCATGCTAACCCCCTGAGAGTGAGTACCCTTACCTGGATGTTAAGCAGCAGAACACGCTGACATTTCAATTAAATACTCAAATAAAAATCAAACAAATAAAATCAATGTCTTTGTTAATACATGGAAGCAAACATGAAACATTTGACCGGTTATTATTGGGGGGGTTTATTTAACAAAAATATTTCACTGCCAAAAACAGGGAAAAGACAGATTCCTGGACGTTTCCAGAAGAGGAGATTTCACATATTTTGCAGCTGAAGTCAGATTTCATGGTGGCCTTTCCCTTAAAATACCTCAAACTCTCCTCTCTCCATACAAGAAACTGGATTTAATCAAACCTGCTGATTTTACTTTTCATTATAACAGATAATTGTAAACAATATCTCAGTGTTGTCATTCATTTCTAGATCTGTCACCCATGCCCTGAAGTGCTGTGTTTAGATTTGGTACCAACATGGCGCTGAGAGGAGAAATGAATTAGAGAAAACAACATATTCATGATCTGAATTTTTCAGCCTGAGTCTGAAGTTTTGATTTTTTTCCCAGAGCTTCATTTGAAGTCTAGAAATCTAGAAATGTTACCCTTTACCAGCTCGTAAAAAGTCTCATAATAATTTTATTCCAGTGAGTGTGCAGAAATCCATCCCAACACCAAATGTTTGGTTAAGATTAAATCCAAAGATAACCAGCAGTGAGGTTTTCTAAAGCCCTCCTCAACCACAGCCTGAACCAGATCTCAATCAGTGCAAACATACAGACTGAGAAGTTATATAGAGGACTGAAAACTGTACCCCAAATAAAAAATAGACTTTGAAGTTGATGATTCTCTTCACGGAAAACATCCTCACCAATGCACTCACACATACAGTAAAACCCATTGACGCTGATAGCTTCGACTCCCCTTCACGAGTTATAAAAGACGAGAAACAGTTTGAACCATTGAGCACTGGTTTGCGGTCAGTCTATCAGCAGCGCCCCCCTCAGGCAGAAGAGAGGCGTTTTCATGAAGAGGACTCTTTAAACAGAGTTCAGTATTCGTCACCGCCGCAGGATCCTCACAGCTCCGTGTGAGGGTCTGAAAGAAACAAAAAGGGAGGACAGAGAACAAGTCAGGTTATGATCTTTTTTTCCAACACTGCCATCTGCTGGTTGAACCCCCATTGACACTTTATTTGCCTGTCAGTGAGCGGTCAGTACCTGTACTTTGCTGTTTGGCTGTTTGGTCCGCTCCCCCCTGGACTCTGGTCTGCAGACGTTTAATCTCTTTGTCGTAGTCGGTCCACTCAGCCACGATCCTGACCGCCGCCTGCAGCTTTGGCTCTTTAGTCATGGGGTTGTTACACTGAAGATCAGAAAAATCAGACATGATGGACGAGGATCAGAGATGATGTTCACACGGCTGGTGGTCTTTTTCTTCTTCTATGTTTTGAATTAAATCAACTTCAAAATAAGTGTTGATCTACCACTTTGATTATTTATTTATCTATCTTTTTTAAAAAAAACAAGAGTTGCACATATTATTATACGTGTCTTAATTTTACTACTGAATTTCTGACTTCCTTACACCTTGCCTGTCTGCCCTCTTGTGGCTTATATTAAGAATGACACTTACTAAAAACCTAATTTTTTAGTCTTTTTATTTTGGCCTTGAGCCGATTTTTGTTTTATTCTTCTAGCCTCTCTTTTAGTCTACTTTTTTTAGTATTTTTAGTATATTTTATTTTTATTTTTTTTAGTATATTTTAACACTATTTGTTTATTTTCTTTTATTGTTTGATTTTAAAAGTTTTATTATATAATATTTTATTATTATTATTATTGTTATTATTATTATTACCACTATTATTATTATTATTGTTATTGTTATTATTATTATGATGATGATGATTATTACTATTACTATTATTACTATTACTATCATTATTATTATTATTATTATTATTATTATTATTATTATTGTTTTATTTCCTTTATTTTTTATATCTTGTCATGGTTTTATCACTTTAGGTTTAGCTCCAGTGTTTCCCCATTTTAGTTTAAGATAGCGTTTCCTAGGTCCTCTGTGGCTTCCTGTTGAGCCTCGACTTGGTGTCCCGATCTGGGTGTGTGTGTGGATGGGTGGGTGGGTGGGTGAGTAGGGGGGGATCTCTGTTAAATTCGGGCTTGGAGGGTGGGTGGGGTTTTTGCAGTTTGTATTTGATTTTGTATCCCCTGTGTGATACAAGCCATGTATGAAAAGTGCTTTATAATTTAAGTGATTGATTGATTGATTGATAATTTCCTCACCATACAACACAGCTGAACTGTAAAGGGTTGTGTAGGTCAACCACACTATGTCCTATCACATAATAATATTTCGTCCTATCTTGCAAACAGACTAAGTGTTGTTACCAGGTCTATTGTCTTGGCGCTTTTCTTTGAGCTGTCGTCACACCATGTTTCGCACCACAGCCACTCCTGAGGCAGAGACTTGATAGGCACCTGATGGATCATGTTGTTGGGGAGATCCTGGGAAAAAAAAAAAACAAGAAAAAACATTAACATTGAGGTTGACGACATGCTGGAGACAGGTAAGAGATGACACATTCAGACAGAGTTCAATTCAGGCTTCATATTCAGCAGCATCTGTTTCATATACAACCTTAAATCTGCAATGTCACAATCTGCTGCCTTTGCTTCATTCTGGATTTAAAATATGAGTGTTTCAAAAGCTCCCCTTGTTGCTACATTCGAGGACACGAGAGTCTGAGCTGTTATATTTCTGCTGTCATAAAAATCGTGAACAGAGAAAATAACAATAAGCAAACAGACGCCTTTTCAGGATCAGATGAAATGTGTTGTTTCTCACATTAAACAGAGACGCTGTTTGCCAACAAAATCTCAGAAGCCACGAGGAATTTCTCGCAAACACGCAAAAGACAACAAAGTATTTACTGTGAAGATCTGAGATTTGCAGAGATTTCTAAAAAATAAAAAAAATCTTCTCAAAAGGATGAGAGGAAAAAATCTGCCTGCTGGATGATACTTCTCTCAAAACTGTCTGGGACTTAAACAGATTCAGAGTCATATTAGGAGGAGGAGTCACAGACCTGGTCCAGGTTTGAGAGACTGTTGGGGTCTTGACTGAGCCCCTGGTACTGTCCTCGGAGTCGATCTCCTGCAGCGATTTTTCTGAACTTCTTCAGGTCGACCACGTACAGAGCGCTGAGGCAGAATAAAAGACGGTAACACGTGAAACATGCAGGAAAGTAAAAAAAAAAAAAAGAAGTGCCTGTGTGAGTGTGTTTGTTCGTACCTGATGTGGTATTTGCGTCCGGCCAGGTGGCTCGCCCAGTAGCCAGATTTCCAGAAGCGGTAGCCGTCCATTTCGCGCCGACTCTCGCAGAAGGGAGTGTAACCATACGGCGCTCCGTCTAAGTCAAAGTCACGCAGCTCCTTCAGATCAGTTCTCACAATCTGTGCGAGACAAAACAAATCAGCGGATAATCACTTTTCTGACGCAGAATTTCCAGTTTTTTTTTTCTTGATTATAATCAGTTAAAAATGACTTTAAGGAGCTTTAACCTCGAAATGAATAAAAGATTGTCAGAAGATGAGTGTCTCTCCATTTGTAAAAGACAGCAAAGCTCTACTAATTCTCAAAACTGGCGTCTTTTTGGATGGAAGAATTTATCTTGTTTCTTTCTAACACCACACATTACTGGTAAATATGTGGACAAAAAACAACACTGTTGGAGGCAGTGTGGCCAGAGAGACGCCACACATGCCCATATTTTCTGGTCATGTGTAAAGATAAAACCTTTCTGGGACGACGTGAACGAGAGTCTGGAAAAAATCCTGCACTTTATTATTCAAAGATATCCTAAATTCATGTATTTGGAAATAGAACAAGGAGATGTTTATCTATATTTAAGGTCTTGATTATTGCATGTAAAAAGGCTATAACAGGGAACTGGATGAAAACTGATCGCCCGCTACTGGGACAGTGGATGGACATTATGGGCGAAATTTATACCATGGAAAGTCTAACTTAGCACTTGAGGCTGGACATGTCTACCTTTCATCAAAAATAAACAGACTATGTGGACCTCTTTATTAACCACTTGCCAAATAAAGAGTAAGAACGCGCTAACCTGGTCTGCGTCCACAAACAGGATCTTGTCGACAGCGAGAGGAAACAGCACGTCCAGGAACAGGATCTTGTAGCCCCAGATGATCCTCTGCTTCTCCGTCTGTTGGTGTAACCAGCGAGGCCACTTGTACTGGACCAGCTCATACTGGAAACCGTATTTCTTCGCCATGTGGGGGATGAACTCCTGAGGAATAACCCGGCGAAAAAAAAAAACAAGCCAATCAGCATGAATCATAAGCATAAATTGGTTAAAAGACTTGAGGAAAATGTTGAAATCTCAGGCGTGAGTACTTCTTTTGTGTTTAATCACGTCACTGATAGCTGCCGTTTCTTTTGTGAACCCTTTGCACTGCATTTCTTTGAGTTTTTCACGCTTTAAAAGAGTGACCCTACAGAGCTGTGGTGCCTCCTTTGAATGTAAAAGAGTCACAAAACTAAACATTATCTGCAGGGTAATGAAGCTTGGCAACGTCAACGCCGCCGACATCATTCAGAAAGCGGGAATTATAATGATAATGAGGCTACGAGCCAGGAAAATCTCTGAAGTCTTTTCCCTCATCAGGAGATCTCTCTCCCCCCGCTGCAGGTTTCACCTTCATTTTTCAGAACTCCTGTTTGAAGCGCACATCACTGACGGACGGACAAAAGACTGTAGCCGTCGGAGAAAAATCTCCGCATCAGTGATGGGAAGCCAGCTGGTTTTAAAAGAAACACCAGTCGAAGAATAGAGAAAGAAAGTCTACCTTAAAAGTGGGGGACAGGTAATTCTTCAGAAACCAGAACTTGACGGGAGTCTTGGTGTTCTTCAGAACTGACAGCATCATAATCCTGAGAGGGAGAGAAGTGTAAAAAAAACGATGGTGATGGAGCTGTGAGAACAAAAGCGCTAAAATCAATGAAATCCTTGTACACAGAAGAGGAGGGGATGTTTTGGCTGATACCACGATCTCCCTTCCTTCTCACCTGAGGAACCTCTCGTACAGATGCCCCGAGGCCACAGAGAAGATGTTGATCACGTCGTCCTTCTCTTGCTTCACCTCCTCCGACTTTCCTCCTCCTGTAAACCCTCTGGGAGACGGAGGAGAAACAGCTTACTTATTTCACGGTTCTCTGTTTTTAATCATTAGTCCTCTTTGACTAGAAAAGAGTTGTCTTGTTGCACGTTTTGCAGTTGAGAAATCGGGATTCTTTGAACTGATGGAGCTGTTAGAGGATTTCTGATGAGAGCATACGAAGCCAGCCTTCCTGTCGTTTAGTTATTTGATGCTCAGAAGTGGTACAACATCATTAGGAAATGTAACAGGCAGCACAAGAATCATTGACAGATTTGTAAGCTGTAATTCAATTTTTAAAAAAGGCCCTAATAACGGATATTCTGGCGCAAAAGCAGCTGCTTCTTCCAGACCAGTCCATTACGGACTACAGCGGGGTGACGCAGCTCGAGGAAGAACATTTATGATCATTTCTTTATCATTTCCTTGAAGTAATAATCACCATATTAATCATTTTGCACTGCAGACGCGGTAGTTCTTCTGCCTTAGTGTCTCGGTCTGGTTGCATTTCCATGAAGAAATTATCCTATATGTTCTTCCTTGAGCTGCGTCACCCCGCTGTAATCCGTAATGGACTGACTGAGGTCAACCTACAAACAAGCGGCTGCTGGAAGAGAGTAGGTGAGTTGTGTTTAGTCTCTTTGCTAAAGTAAATTAGGCAAAGTTAAAAAGATGTTTGGTGGTTAGTGCTGTAGCTGGGACCCTCTATGTCCTGTTGATGAAGTTAGGTGCTGTTCTGAGCATTATTTGTGACTATAGAGTGGCGTTTTGGTTGAGGTTTGTTTATGGCTCCTTAGACTGCTGTGTATTGCTATCGTGCGGTTGCTACTAAAGTTGGTATAACTAGAGAAGCAAGCGGTCGGCAACATTCATCTCTTGAGGGGGTGTCTAACTCGGTGTTACGTGGTGTTTGACCCTAAATTAATTTTACACTGGAATATCCCTTTAACGTAGCCTTTACTACACCCCTAACTAAGCCTGTCGTTCACTCTATAAAGAGCCCTTACTGAACTTTATCACATCCATAGTAATCCTTCATTACACTTTAATCTAGCCTTTCTCACACTCATAGCTAAGACTTAACTTAGCTCATATAACACACAAAACTTAACCTTAAGCCCTAACTCAGCCTTAATTACACCCTCAACCATTCCTCACCTGAGCTTTTATTCCAACCTAGTTATGCCTTTATACCACTCTTACCTGAGCCTTTATCACACCTGTATATACATATATATTTTACCTTGTCAGAGATTTCCAGAAGCCAGTGTCGTTTTCTTCGGTACCGTCACTCAGCAGTTCCTCATTGAACTTGTCCGGTTTCTTCTGGACCTGCACAAAACCATTTTAAGTAGTTAGCTGGACAATCGAAGCTGATAGATGCAATGACTCGTTGTACATAGTGAGCACAGACACAAGTTTTTTTAATCAAATGTAGCACAAATTTAGTCATACAGAGCCAAAGATTTGAGGGTTATTCTAATATGCCAACATTCAAACTAGTTATTTAACAACTGTATGCTAAATAAGTTTCAGTATAGTCGGAAACATCAGCTCTGCAAATGATTAAAGATGAAGTAAACTCGCTCGATATGTCTCCAATAGCTCGTGGATCTTCCCACACTGACTCTTGACGGATTATATGTTTACATGGAAACTCCTTGGGACACTTTTTAAAGCTGAAGGGAGTTAATTAAACCAAAAAGACGTGGATGTAAATTTCACATTTATAGATGGTTGTCTTTCTTGTGCCTTGATCTTTTCACTTCATGGTCTCATATGTTATTTTAAGCCTTTCATTTGTGCTCATTTGTATATTTGTTTCTGGATTTCATCCTCACAGCTGTGTCAGGATGACTCAGGGGAATCCGCTCTCGTTTGTAGTTTTTAGTTTCCCGCATGTTGCCACTTTCATCATGTAAACATTTCCCAAATGGAAAGTACAGTATATTTTTATTTATGTAATTCATTTACATTCTGTAGGACTTCTTCATGACTCGAGAAACACAACAGCTCAGGTCCTTGAAATGTCAAATTTGATTCATCTTTAAGACTGATGTTAGACGCTGAATTTCCAAATTCTCTCGACAGACTAAACTGACCTTGACTTTAATGATCCTGCTCTTGAAATTATTCAGCACAACGATGATATCGTCAGAGTCTGCTGGGGAGTCGGTCCCATCATGGCTGCATTGATAGAAAGAAAATAATATTAGACGAGGGAGTTTAATTATTTAAACATAAGACACTTCGACTCAATGTTCAATGTTCTTGCCTGTAAATCCTGTAGATTTCATCAGAGCGACCTTTCCTCATCTTCAGGATCCAGGCACCTGGAGCCGCCTTCAGCTGAAAGTAACCCTACAGAGCAGAGCACAGGAGACTTAAAGTTCTTGAGCTTCAACAGTTTTCTCTTCTGAGGTGTTTCACTTCGACATGAAGGGCTCATCACTCGATAACTCACAAGGTTTGCCATGACGATTGTATCCACGATGACCGGCTCGGAGGCGGTACCCAAGGTGAACTGGAGACCACGGGGCGGCTGACCCGAACTCACGTCGAAACAGTGACCTTCCAACAAAAGGTGCTCCAACTCGTACTCTGCTGCTACTATATTCTCCACCTGCAAATCCAAGAGCCCACACAAGTCAAGGTGAGTCATTTATACGATATTCAGTCAAATATCGGCTTGGTTAACAGACATGCATCATTAATGAATCCCAGATCTTTAGAAAGAGAGTAAAATTTTGGTAACCCTTTCTTATTACCAGGTAATTAACAGGTAATTACCTAGTAACAACATGAAATTATCTGGTAATTACATGATAACTACTAAGTCAATACTGTCTAGTTTTTCTTTTTTCTGTGCAGCTCCATTTTCAAAAGCTATTTGGGGTTCTTATTTTCTATGATTGACACTTGATACAGCCTATGGGCGTGCGAAGATTGCGTAGCGTTACGCTGTTTGAGCCGAGCGTTATCACAGCGACTCACCCGCCGAATGCATACAATGCTACTGCGCAAGTGGTGGTTCCAGGAAGCAGAGAAAATCCTGGAAATACCAGAGCAATTCGGCTTCAATTCTGTATGATGATGGAAGGTTACCTACCTGGTAGCTAGACAGTATTGACTTAGTAGTTATCATGTAATTGCCAGATAATTTCATGTTGTTACTAGGTAATTACCGGTTAATTACCTGGTAATAATCTAGTAACAACATGAAATTATCTGTAATAACTGTACCGTAACAGAAAGTCTAATAAGTGATGCAAGAGTCTTATTATTGATAGAAAAATTCTGTTTCCTCCGATCAAAAGATTAAAATCTTCCTAAGGGGTTTATAATGTCCCTCTAACCTTATTTAAATCTTAGAATAATGAAAACATTTATAATATAGACACAGATATTTTAACTTTACTCTGGAAACAAACAGCTGAGTCTTTAAGTAATTTAAAGTGATCAGGAGAAAATAAACACTGATAATGATCTTGATTGAACCCACACATTGAATCACACACAAACTGCCGCCATACCTCCTCCAGGTAGATGTTGTCCAGGTCGTAGCGAGTGTGCACAGACTCCACCATCCAGCTCTCAGGGGTGTTGAGATTCAGGGTGAAGAGGGGGGACTGAGGCATGTCCAAAAATTTAGCCATGGGGCCCGGAGCGAAACTCCCGTCGACCTGGAAGGTGACCTCTGGCTCCAAGACGTGTCGATAAAAACTATAAGAAATCGAAATCATTTTTTTTAAATTTAATGTCTGAATTGACTTTTTTGATGCAAACTGATACAACCAGGATATGAGGTGTGTTTTCTGCGCTCAGTTTTTCTGTCCTCACCTCTTGAGGGGCATCTCTGACAGTTTGGACTGACAGTTCATGAACACCCGTAAGTTGACGTTCACCAGCTGCTTCAGAACCTGCAAGTGGTGAAACATGAGGGAGGGTAAAAAAGACAGGTTAGAATACAAGATGTGGACAGGGTCAAGATCAACTAGACAGATCTATCAGAGCCCTGTCCGACAAGAGACCACAATCAACCCACGGATAAGAGAGGAGCCAGTTTCTGTGCATCCCTGGTAACAGGATCCACCACAGCAACAACGTCAAAGTACACGTCCCCCTCATGAGGCCGGATCTTCACAGCACTGTAGGAGAACAGCACAAAAAAAGCAAAGTTAGAGAAATTAAAGATTCTAGCAGCTGATTTTACCTTCTGTCTAAACTATGTGCAAGGTTTTTTTTTTTTTACCTATAGCGGTCATCTGCAAAGTCATATTCGACCCGGGCTTCTCCTTTGGGTTGAGAGGAAAGCAGAGCGTCCACCTTCATCACCAGGTCGCTGGCCCTGAGAGAAAACAGCAAAACTCGACTCAGCTTTAAAACTTTACTCCAAAATGCAAGCTTGCAACAGTCCGTGTTTTTAATAAAGAGATAAAAATAACCTGTCGTCCTCGATTCCAAACTGCTGGACTTTGCTCTTGATCCGCTCCCCGGATGTTTTCAGGATGATGCTCTCCAAAAGCAGGAAGTCATCCTGGTTAAACACCTCCTCCTCCTCCAGTGGACCTATGACCTGTAATGAGAAACATTATTGACTGATTTATACGTAAAGTTTCAGGACAGTTTTCAAGTTTTCTCAACAATAAGGCCGAAGAATGTGACTCACTCTTCCATTGCTGATGACTGCTTTTTGTCCTTTCTTCAGTTTGAGCACATCCCGGCAGTAGGCAGCGTGGGAGAGCAGGAAGTCATATTTCTGACCCTCATAAGCACTCTTGAACAATGACACATCCATACCCTGAGGGAAAATCGAACAGGACAGGAAATAAGATAACTAGTCAGCACCGAAGAGTTAACATCAGTGATTCAACAAAAGGAAACATGATCATTCAGTCACCCCGACAGCAAACTCCGCGATGTCGACACCCTTCTCCAGGGCGGCAGCCGTCTCCTCTTTGGCCATTTTGGTGATGAAGTTCTTGGCATTGTTGGCAGATTGCGTCTGCATGGCGGCCCAGATCGCCCGGGCCACGCGGCTCGTCTCAGCGGATGGATCAGTTGATGGGTTGTTGATCATCCCCAGTCGGACGTTGTTGCTGGTTTTCTGTCGTAGAGCAGAAGAGGAGATTAACTCTCTTGTTTTGAGAGTTTTAGTCCTTGTGAACATTTTCTCACGATCCAAACTATAAACCTGCGCTTTTTAGTTACTAACCAGCGTGTAATCATAACTATACGGGACGAGAAAGTGAGGTAATATGGTTGATAGGGCTGGGCGATAAACCGAAAATTTACCAATACCAAAATTTACGCCAATAACCAAAGTCACCCATATCGGTGTATTTGATGTCAAAAAAATAATAAATATAATATAATAATAAATAAAAGTTTGTTTTGAGTGTGTGTACGTAGGCTATGGTGTACGTGACTCCACCCCATCCTGTCCATAAAAAAGAGGGAAAGACAGGTGAGGAGATGGAGGACGGTTCCAAAGTTGTAGCAGCTAAAATAGACGAAGTAAATGTGGGAGGGGCTGAGCAGCTTGTGGAGTAGTTATCGTCCGTTTACCGTTATGGAGGTGAACTGCTCAATATATCTTGACATCGATTTGAGGCCGTATCGCCCAGCGCTAAGGTTGATGTCAGCACCATGCTTTTCCACATTTTCAACAAAATGTGGAAAAGCATGGTACTGACATCATTGTTATGGAGGTGAACTGCTCAATATATCGTGATATTGATTTGAGGCTATATCACCCAGCCCTAAGGTTGATGTCAGTACCATGCTTTTCCACATTTTCAACAAAATCTGCAAAGTTCAAAAGTTTGGTGTCCATAAAACATGTACGCAAAGTTTCAAATCACAAGGTGAATGTAGTTTGTCATCATCTGAGAAAGTGGATGTAAACTGCTCAGATCTCAGATATCTTAATACACCACTGACAGAAATTTGATGCTTTTTTTAATATCTAAAAATCATGTACAGCTTTTAAAGAGGTATCAGAAAGAAACTTTAGAGTCTGAAGAGTCCCGGCATTAGCAGCAGTTCTAGACCTCAAAATTATACCTCTGATAAAAGCCGGTGTGGTAAATTTAACTCGTTTGCAGATATCTGCTGATGTTGTTGACAAATTGTTCCAAAAGTTTAACTGAGAGCGCTGTGAGTGCTGCCACAAAAAAACAGCTGACACTTAAAAGTGTTATTGCTCTTGGGTAGCTGAGCACTGAAAATACTTGACTATTACTGTTTTGCAAATATAGAAGTGCCGCCTCTGCAAAATGAACCAAACACACTTGGTAGACAGTGGACAGAACTAGGCAAGGTGTCAGGCTGTTTCAAGTCCTTAAAACTACCCAGAGCTAAGCAAACAAAGCCTTCGTTTCATATTTGTTAAATAAAAACGCTGTCGAACTACTCCTTGAAATTTCCTCATGCTGCATTTCAAATCCATCTTCAAACGCTCCTTTTGTACCATGTGTCTGATGGCATCATAGAGCAGCCGGCGTCCTGAGGGCTTGTCAAAGTCTCCGACCACCCAGAAGGTCACGGGGCGGATGAAGCCGTCATCTGACAACCACAAAAAGACACAAAGAGAGGCTGTCAGATGAATAATTAAGATGATGCCGCGTGGGCAATGTCAAGGAGCAAAGGAGACTCATTGTTTTCAGTCAAGATAGAAGTTGATAAACCGGATTAAAATCTGTGCAGTTGGGCTGCGAAGAATTAACACTGATAAAAAGTACCCAAATTTGAAGCTTTTAAACTTTTCAAACTAAATCAAACTTTAAAAATCTCATTCCTCATGCGGCTACGACCAAACAACACATAATGAACCTTCATGCTCTCCTACAGATGGAGGAAACAATGTTAGACAATAGTGAGCAGTTATGTAAACACACTTATTAGTAGTTACACTTCAGAACCTGCTCTACAATCGTCACATGCGTAATTATTAGTGGTGTGTGTCTTCTGAGAAAATGCAGCACAGATGGTAGCAGATCCACAAGCAGATCGAAACAATGCCAGGGATGAAGTTCACAGAAAACAGAAAGAATCAGAGCTGGAGTGGGAATAATGTGGAGGAAGAGGAGGGTGATTACCATGCCTGTTGGTGGTGGTCATCCCTGATGCAGGGAAATTTTTAAAGCACATGAACAGGAGGAGGAGGAGAGGACAGAAGGAGAATACACAAAAAGAGAGTTTAGGATTGAAGATGACTGAAAAATCTTCAATAGAGACGAAAGGAAAAGACACGAGCATTCTCTGTCATTCAGGGGTCCGCTGCGACGGTCTCACCTTTCTTGGTCATGTAGTTCAAGCTGTTGGCCACGGCGGTGCTCTTCTCTTTGGTGTCGAGAGTGGAGAAGCGAGCGTAATCGTCAATAAAGAAGTTATCTGTAAGGAGAGATAGAGAAGAATTGAAAACGTAAGAAAACATGAAAAACGTTTCCTCTTATAAGGTGAAGGATACACGCAGAAGACATTTACGTTTATGAGGTCAAACTATATAGTTTCTTAGCTGTACGTGGGGATGGTTTTTAGAGACCCAGATGAAAAATGTCAAAGTGAAATGTTTCAAAAATGTGAACATTTCTAACAACCTTCAAATCTTGCTGGTCCTCTTCCACTCACTTAAGGAGGACCCGGACTTCATGTCATTTTCAGTCAACTTTCAGGTTTGAATATTCTTTTTTATACAAATGTAAGAGCTGATAAATTATTAAAATCTACCCTCTACTCCACAAGGACTCTGGTAGAAAAAGGACATAGAAAGTTATGAAGGATGATCCTCTGAGAATGTCTTAATATCAACAGCAGAATCGTGAGTCTCGTTTCTATTCCGATGGTGTTTTCGCACTTGTCTTAACATTCGGAGAGGGTACTCACTGGTGTCGGACAGATCCAGGTATGTCCTGCTGGTGGAAAGCACTCTAGGGTTGATTCGAGGAACAACATTCGGCTGATTCATAATGAAGTCCAGGACGTCGTGATCTGAAGCCAGCTCACCCTGCAAGCCACCAGAGCACAGCATGAAAAAAGACATCGTGTATTCCTCACTGACACAGAAATGAGGGATATGCAGGAGGTATTTGTCAGAGTGATTTTCATAAAGTCACAGCAAAGACAGCAGCGTCAAGATTGAACCGGCTTTCCACTGCAGTCTTAAGTATCGGAGGAAAAGTTCTCCTCTAACTAATTTCAGATTAGACATTGAAAAAGGAGAATACATGAGTGATGATGAGCAGAGTGTCCTACAGCAAAAAGGAAAAACTAAATTACACACTGTTTGCTTTGCTTTAAGACCCGACAAAACAGAGGCCTTTGAAAAAAAACAAACAAATTCAAACATTTGGCTGCTCAGAGTGCCGGGACGACATTGAAACAGGAAAGCGTGGCAGATGGCGCGCTCACAAAGATGTAGCCTAACAGGAAAAATATTTCTCACTACAATCCAACACTCTGTACTTGTTAAAATGAACAATCCTCCTCTCCGAAACGACATCTAAAGCTTTTCTGTTGACTCGCTTTCTCTTGTAAATAAACTCTATTTTGAAGCGGCTTCAGTAAAAGAGGACAAAAATAATAATAAACATGCACATTATCACAAACAATACACCCACTGGTATTACCACCGTGTCAGGCTGTCAGCTAACTGTCCGTGACAGGTAGAGGTGTGATATTGTTGTGGTGTTTATCCTGCTCAAAGCACAGACCTTTACTTTGAAGGAGTCGTGGAATATTTAAATATGTAATCTGTAGTTCATGTTAGGATAAACCAGCTTCTCTAGGAGGAAGACATGGAGGTTATCACTGAATATAAGGGACCCATTTGTCTTTGTACAGCCTTAGCCGCCTCTCTGCCAGCTCTACCTTCTCTTCTTTTATGGAGGGGGACTTCATCTTTTGATCTTTTATTCTTCGGCTATATCAAGGTTACTTCGAACTTGTGAAATCCACAGTGTCAAGTATGAACCAAGTTTTAGTTTCATGCACTATGGGTCTAGAAAATCCTCAAACTCCAGTTTGGACTCTGACTGACCAGGTAGACGGCCCTCTGGTAGAAGGAGGTGGTCTCCAGGATCTTTTGCATGGTAACCGTCTCCAGTTCGTCCGGGTCCAGCTGCTCACGCTGGTAGGGTATCCCGTTGTACATGACCACAGGGAGCGGGCCCACCCCTGTCTGCTCGTAGTATGCTCGCCCCTCCTGAAAGAGAGGAAGAAAAAAAAAAAAAAGATGTTGCTTCTAATTCCATCAGTCTTTTACCGTCACGAGCACAAAGCTAGATTAGAGAGAAAACTTTGTGTCTTAGAAGGATCTATAAAAATGATCAGTACTTGTAATCTTTGGTATGTTTCACCAAATTTGCCATCACTAAGTAAGTTTAAAAATAACAGATATTTGCAAAAACTCACTTTTAAATACTTGAATTCAACCTCTATTTTCATTATTGTTAATCGTGCTCTTAAGTATTGAAAATGAAGGTAATATCGGGCACAAGGTCGTCCCATTCAGCCTCTCGCACCTTCCTGTTGCTGTCGTAGCTGGAATCGGCTCCCAATACGCTGCTGACCTCCACATAGGGGAACCTCTTCTCCAGCACTTTCACAACATCCCCGACACTCAACTTTCCACCCACAGCGACCCGGTTGAACATCTAGAGGATATGAGAAAGAAAAAATGAGGAAAGATGCACAGTAGAGACACAAAAATAACCAAACTTTGAATTGATCTCCTTGAGGTTTCCAGGTGTGTCAAAGAGAATCTTTAGGTTTACTCACTGAGATGACGGCTTCAAACGCACTCTGGCTGTCCACCTCGTCGCTGATGTAGTTGTAAGCTCGGACGAGCGCCACACCTGCATCCTGCATGCCGTCTATGTCATCTTCGTTTGACACCACAAACACCAGCCCTATTCTGAAAACGCACACACACACCGAATAAGGTTTCAACTGCGGGCTCCCATATGTATATCAGACAGTTAAAATGCAGGGAGTGTGCCGGGAGCTTCATCTGTATTCAAACAAACTGACCATCCCAAGATGCCACATGCAGAGAGGAAACAAAAGTCTACCAAACCTGCCTGACTAAACGGCTGAATTTAAATGGATTTTCAAGCACACATCCAAACTGCCCTGCAGAGTCTGTCGATTCTTAAAAATTCATTCACTAATACTGTGTTTTCTTTGTTTTTTTCTTTAAATAAAATCATCCTTACACTGATGACACTTCAGAACATGCATATCATGAGCAAAATACATTTTATCTTCACTGAAAATAACTTTAAAGATGCACCTCCGGTTTACAAACCACCTCCTCCCACACTAACCTGAGTGGGATGTTATTAGCATAAAACATTTCTGCAACACTCAGCAGCTCAACAGCGTTTTCTTGGGTTGGGTCCAGAATGATCACCTATAACACAAACACACACACACACACACACACAAGTTAGACCATTTCACAAGAGTGCAGAAACATTTGGATTCTGAAAAACCGTCTTTGGACAAACCAGGTTGTGGAAGTTCTTGCGGATCTGCCGGATGACTCCTGGGAAAGTGGGTCTGAGCAGCTCCTGCACGTTGTATGGCCATGAGCTGTACCTGTGGTCCGTCTCCAAGTTGTTAATCCACTAAAAATGAAAAAAAAAGTACTTAAAATGTTTAAAAGTGGAACGCTAAGCCTGGTGGGAGACAAGTGCCAGAGAGAAAATTACTTTTTACCAATTACAATTTACTAATGGGGGCCGAGAACAGGCTTTGAAACAAACCATTATTTTCACCCATCTTCTAATCTTGTTTTCATCCTTATTCTTTGAATGTTGTGATTAATATTTCTCAGTCTATTCAATGTGTAAAAACAAAAACAATGTGCAGCCAGAAGCCTTGAATTCACAGATAATGGGCTTTTTGGTAAATCATACTTTTATTTCAGGACATCTGCGAGAGGACTTAGTGTTTGCTTCTACTCATAAATTACATGGAAATAATCAACAAGTCAGTTATTATTTATTGTTATTAGAGGTGTGTGATGTATTCAAGTAACTGCAAGTGGTGAACACTTCAACAGCTGCAAAATGACAGCGATAAGTGCTTCGGTAATTATGATCCAATACTGATTCTTCTCAGACTGGTTACTCTGGATTAAAATTTCCTTTTTTTCAGGCGTATAATTTTGGAGTTTTACTTCAACTTGACGTGCGGCACAGTGGTGTAGATAGGCGGCACAGTGGTGTAGATAGGCGGCACAGTGGTGTAGCGGTTAGCACTGTCGCCGCACAGCAAGAAGGTCCTAAGTTCGAATCCGGGTCAGGGCGTCTCTGTGTCTGCGTGGGTTTACTCCGGGTACTCTGGTTTCCTCCCACATCCCAAAAACATGCCTAAGTGGGGTTAGGTTAATTGGCCACTTTCAAATTGCCCATAGGTGTGAATGTGAGCGTGGATGGTTGTTTGTCTCTATATGTCAGTCCTGCGATGAACTGGCGACTTGTCCAGGGTGTCCCCTGCCTTCGCCCGAAGATGCTGGGATAAGCTCCAGCCCCCCCCGCAACCCCGGGAACAGGAATAAGCGGTAGAAAATGGATGGATGGACTTCAACTTGACACTTCGTCGAAACTTAAGTGCAGTATTTCTCAAATTCATTATCGGGGTACTTTTACTCTACAATGCTGTGATAAGCAAAACTGTGTTTGAATAATTACTTAATTTTAACTACAGCTACGCTTTTAGAGGTTTCATTGGAAGCCCTTAAACAGTGTGTGGATACAGCTCCAGACGATTTAAACCTTACTAGAGATCAGAGCTGTTGTTAAAGGTGTCAGCTGTCGTTGACTTGGAGCCTGTTTCCCATAAATTTGGAAGGCTGAAAATGCCTCAAAATTCAATTACATATCATACATTATAGATATTCTGAACCTCTAGTTTTATCAGCACCTGAGGGAAAGTCAAACCCAGCACGCATGATAAAATTCCCAACTCTGTCCTAATTAAATGTCACATAATTTTTTTTTTTTTTGTTGGTGTCTTACGCTGATAGCAGGGTTACGGATGTCGACGGCATAGTCAGAGTCAGAGGGCTGGACGTTGAGCTTTAAAATGTCATGGATGAACGGGGTCTCGATCTGCAGGGAGCGAAGACCCTCCATCACCCTCGCCTCACTGCGCAGCACCTCGAACACACTGCAAGGACAGGGCACAGAGGTCAAAGGGCAGTCAGAGGAGGAAAAATCGCTATGAATGCTAAAATTAGATGATGTGCACCAGAGATTGAAAATAAGCCTCTTTACTTTTATTCTTTAATGGAAAAAATAAAGTAAAGGTTCCTATTAAAAATGAAAACATGTAAGAAATAAACAAAAAAATCATTATTCTCTTCACTGAATCAACCAACATACTTATAAATACTTGAATCATCACATGTGAAGCTGCTCTGATTAGTTAATGATGTTGTCAAATCAAAATACGATTTAATAATCAGTTACTATTATGTTTAAAAATCATGCTGACACAAGCCAAATAACCCCCTGGATCCTGAGGAGTGGGTTTACAGTCTTACAAGAGAGTGAGCTAAATGGACTGTTGTTTGGACTTCTTCAAATTTGGGTTTAATTCTTTCATTTTGTTGTTATTATAGTTTTGAAAAATGAGTAAACAATACTATCACTGGGAGAATAATCAGCATTTTCTTCCATAGTTGATAGGATCTGCTGCTTTTATATAATTAATTTTGTGTGCTTTGGTAGGATTCCTCTATGGCAGTGGTTCCCTGCTCCAACACACCTGATTCAAATGATTAGCTCGTTAGTAAGCCGTTACAGAGCTTGATAATGAGCTCATCATTTGAATCAGGTGTGTTGGAGCAGGGAAACATCGGCTGTGTCCGAAATGAATCACTCAATCCCTAATCCCTATATTCTTTTTTTTTTTTTTTGTTCTTTTATGCTTGCTATGCTAATCTGTGACTGACATTCTATTGCTTTTTTATTGTTGATGCTCTTTTTTTACTGTGTACTGTAGCACTTTGAGATTTCTTGTAAATGTAAAGTGCATTACAAATTAAATTTTTTATTATTATTATTTTTATTATTATTAACCCCCATTTGGGATTTTACTATATAGCTGACTATGTAGTGAACTCAATTACCGGAGGTTTCGGACACTACATGGCATGACGCAATGCATGAGAGGATGCCCACCTGCGGTGAGTGACCATCGGATGGTCACTACATTTTGCAATGCTTTATGGGAAATTTTGAGTCGCCTATATGGGGCACTGGAATTGATTATTCAGGTTTTGGACACCCCTTAAAATGGCGGTAACCCCCATGTAGTCACCTATATAGGGGTTAGGGATCCATTTCGGACACAGCAATCCAAAACATGCAGGACAGTGGGCCTTGAGGACTGGACTTGAGAACCACTGCTCTATGGGTTCTTTGCTTTTTTTAGACATTAAAAAATCTAAATTATATGAAAACATACAGTACAGGTCAAAAGTTTGGACACACTTTCTCATTCAATGTCTTTTCTTTTTTTTTTATATGACTATTTACATTGTAGATTGTCACTGAAGGCATTAAAACTATGAATGAACACATGTAGAATTTTGTACTTATAAAAAAAGTGTGAAATAACCGAAAACATGTTTTATATTCTAGTTTCTTTAAAATAGCCACCCTTTGCTCTTGATGACAGAAGTACCTTGTCAGGGTTACTTCAGGCACTCCTGTGAAGTAAAAACCATTTCAGGTGACTACCTCATGAAGCTCATTGAGAGAACAGCTAAAGTTTGCAGCGCTATCAAAAAAGCAAAGGGTGGCTACTTTGAGAAATCTAAAATATAAAACATGTTTTCAGTTATTTCACACTTTTTTCTTAAGCACATGATTCCACATGTGTTCATTCATAGTTTTGAGAATCTACAATTTAAATAGTAATGAAAACAAAGAAAATGCATTGAATGAGAAGGTGTGTCCAAACTTTTGGCATGTACTGTATTTACCAAAATAATAACTGTACTATAGCTAACCAGAGATGATCTATGTGGCATTTTTATGGTGTCTCTCAAAGTTTTACAGGCCCTCAAGAAAGTTTCAGGTGTCAACCCAGAATATTCAGCTTAAAAATAAAAATAAAAGATGTCCAAAAAAGTTTTTTTTCCCCTGTGATTGAATTCAAAAAGTGAAACTTATGCGTATTCTAGATTCATTACATATAAAGTCACCTGGGCCAAGAAGAAAATAAAACTGGACTATTACTCAGTAGTCAACAGTCCTGTTTTCAGATTCAAGTAAATTTTGCATCACATCTGGTCTTCTGTGTTTTATCGAGTCCAGAGTCTAAAGTCTACCAGAATATTTAAGATCTCTTCATGGATTTCTTTTTTTTTTTTTTTTTTTTTTTTTTTAGATTTATATATATATATATATATATTTTTTTTTTTCTTTTTTATTTTTTTTTATTTGTGCAGTGTGACAATACAAGACATACAAAACAAACAATGGCATTTGTGGTTTTGTGTGTGTGTGTGTGTGTGTGTGTTTGTGTGTGTGTGTGTGTGTGTGTGTTTGGTGTGTGTAAATAATAATGAAAAAGAAAATAAAAAAAAAATAATAAATAAATATTACAATTTGTCAGACAAGCAAAAAAAGAAAATTATACTACATCAACAATATCAATAATAATAATAATAATAATAATAACAACAATAATAGTAATAATAAGAAGAAGAAGAAGAAGAAGAAGGAATTTGTGGACCACCTCGGGTCCCTTCCCACTCGCACGAGACCCACCTGCATCCCTCCAGGCCCCCAGACTCCCACCCCAACCCCCGCATGCCCCGGACTGAATGCAGCACAACACCTTACCCTATGTCTATATATGTATTTAGTCTTTGTTATTTACTTAATATACTTTATAATTATTTATTTATTTTTATTTAATTTTATTTTAAATTATTATTATTATTATTATTATTATTATTGTTATTATTTTATTTATTTTATTTATTTATTTTTTCTTAATTTCTTTCATATATGTGCTTTCTAATGTTGTGCATTAAAACCGAGGAGAGGGGTTGTCCTGAACTATAATTTGATGAGATTGAGACCCCGTTCCTCTTCCTAATCTAGTGTGATGTGCAATAAAAGAGGTGATGTGCCATCTGAAGACAGTCCAGGGCGGAGAACTGGGGGAGGGGGGAGGCCGGGAGGGCAAGGAGATCACAGGTCATTGTCTAACAGGCGCGACCCAGCAGGGACCCGAGCAGAAAATAACAACTGTAAATGTAAGTATATAAATAAATAAATAATAATAATAATAGAAAATGACAATGACAATAATATTCATCATAATATTTGTAGTAATATGTAGTAAGAAATAGAAAATAAAAATCAATAAACAATAATAATAAAAAAATAATAATGATAATGATAAAGATAATAATAAAGATAATAATAATAATAATAATAATAATAATAATAATAATAATAATAATAATAATAATAATAATAATAAATAGATAAGTAAATAAAATAAAAATAAAAAGTTGGGAATGAAAGTGTCAGAGAACAGAGATGGATGATGTTGTGACCGGTTTGTGGCAGATTATGAGCTTAGAAAAGTGATGAATGATAACCAGGTAGAGTTATGATTATTGTCAGAGGAGTTTGTATTTTCTAAGGAGATGTAGTCTATGAGCAGGTTTTTCCAGTGTATTATGTGTATGGAGTTCCGTGACTTCCAGTTCATGAGGATAGTTTTCCTGGCGACGGTTAGTGCCACTAGAAGTGAACGTGTGTGTGTTTTGTCAAGTTTTAATGGAGATAGGTCTCCTAATAAACAGACGGAAGGGGAAAGTGGGATGTGGCAGCCCATAATCTGGGATAATGTTTCTGTAATGTTTCTCCAGAAGTGGTGAACAGGTGTGCAGTGCCAGGTTGCATGAATATAGGTATCAGTGCAGTTTAGTGAGCAGTGTGAACATTTTCCAGATGATGAGAAGCCCATTTTTTGCATTTTGTGTCCAGTCAGATGAGTTCTGTGAAGGATTTTGTATTGTATGAGTTGTAAATTCATGGATCATGGATTTCTTTCTTCAGCAGAACCTGGCACCTGCCCACTGCACCAAAACAACCAGAAACAGGTTTGCTCACCCTGGTTTTACTGTCTTTGACTGGCCAGGTAACTTTCCTGACCTGAACTCCATAAAGAATCTCTGGGGTCTCATTGAGAGGAAAGATGAGAGACGCCAGAGCCAATAAAAGAGACGAGACCCGACGTGTGATATAATCAGCAGCTTGTCACTTCTTCAGTAACACTTACAGGATATTCTGATTCATTGCACCAGTGTCAGCCGTTTCCCTGCAGCTCCGACACTTTAAGGTGAGGCATTAAATCCATGCTACATGTAATTTTGAAGCCATGATAGTGTGTGTGTGTGTACCTGAAGATGTCCTGTGTGTCCAGGTCTATGTGCAGCCCGTTGAGGAACAGAGCTGAATCCCCCGGCTGCAGACCCAGAGTCCCTTTAAAAAACTGCAAAGAGAAACATCAGTGTAGCTAAACAACCTGAACATTCACATCAAATGAGTAAATCCCCACACTGTGTTGAGTGTTATTGTCAAAGCTGGTCATCTCACGGAGAGTTAGTTTGTAAAACTGGAGGTAACAGTGAACATGTAGCCGTAACAGGCTTGTCATCAGCTTCAAATGAGCGGCGACAGCTCTGTTTAAAATCGGTCCGTTTAGAGCAATCAAACCCTGCACTAAACAAATCTAATTATAAGAGAAAGAGTGTGTGGCACCGCTGTGAGAAACTGTGTGAGTGTCTGAGCGTCTGCGCAGGCAAAAGGAAAGCTCAAAGTCGTTCTGGTGCAGTCAAATCTCATTACAGAGAGACAAAGACGTCAGATTAATCATACTCCAGACACTGCAATTACAACAAGACATGATTAACACAAATATTGTTCATCCCACCTAAACAGTATGTGTGTGTGTGAGAGAGACGTCTGTGTGCGAGCGCATGTGTCCAAACTACTTCAATCAATAATCATTTCTCGCTGCAGGACTCTGCACGCCCGCCGAATGAATCACAGATTCAGTAATTAGGACGTTTGCCGCTCACCCCCGCCACCCACCCAAACTCCTGTCTGCACACCAAGATAATGTGAGCACAGCTTGAGGAAGAGGAGGGAGGGAGGGTGAGAAGACAGGAGGAGTGAAGAAATGCGTGACAAGAAAAAGGGATGATTACCTCTTCTATTAGCGGAGCAAAGGCAAACACTTTGTAGGACACTGAATGCTTTTCTAGTCGGATGATGTCCGCAATATATCAGGTAATAAAAGGCAAGAGAAACGAAACAAATCAAAAAAAGGGAGGAGTACGTCTTCTTTGAGGCACTTCCTTTGAGACGGCTTAGAGGCTGAGGGGTTGTGCAATAAGCAATCTGTTTTCTTTATTCTCTACTTTTACTGGATTAGAAAAGTAAACAACGAAACTTAAATTATCCCTGACTGCTCAACAGCACAGTAAGCCGGAGGGAAAAGCACCAGCATGTTGATTAAGAGAGGATAAAGTTGTCAAGACGCTGACAAGTTTCTGATCCAAACTTTGATCAAATTTGAGATTTGAGGATTGGGAAAGTGCAAAATAACCCACATTAAAAATTGACGACAACAAAGGAGCTGACACAACAAGGGATATCGATATCGGGATCAGCAAAAAACAAATATTGGATTATATCGGCCTGCATCTAGAATCCTCAATATAAGCACTCCGATACAAGCAGTCCATTCCAGACTCTGCTCCAGCACTTCTATCTAGCAGCGCATGGATCCAGCATGTAGAGCCAATGTAATCACAACAACAGTGTGTACTAAGGTACTAACAAAGTAGCGAGAACTAGAGGGGATGTCGGCCGTGTGGCAGTATTTTTCATTAAAGTCCGAAAAAGACGTTGCAGCTGAGTGCAAAACTTGCCATGCACATTTTTTTTTTGCCAATATTGGATCAATATCAATATTGGTCATACTGAAGGCCACAAGATCGATATGGAAACGGAAGTAAAAAAGTTGTATAGGGACACCCCTAATCACAACTGGTAAATGCTAAGAGAAATAACATTTGGTTTAGCTAGTCAGGTGAGATTAAACAATCTTGATTAAGTAATCAGACCTCAAAATGCGGAAAAAAAACACAAAAAAAAACACACTCAACTCACATGTACAAACATAAACGCACACACAATTCTTTTGTGTCCGCCCTGTTGACAATAAATTTACAAAGTCACTTAAATAACACGATTATCGTTTTAAAAAGTCTCACTGATTTCATAATAAAACGTGATCCGCATGTTGGTGTGAAGGTTGGTGTAAATGAATTAGCGATCTTAAAAGTCCAAAACTAAGAGGACAGAAAACCATCTGCAGCGAAGCAAACTAAAAGCAGGAGGATCAAGTGTGGGTTAGTAAAGCAGAGGGATAGAGAGTGGTGCTGCAGTATTAATGAGCACTAATGACTAAGAGACAAACAGTGAGTAATCCAGGTCTGTCTGTATTAGCTAGACTTTTTTCTTTATCCAGTCATGGCAACAGTTGATAAGAAATAGTTATTAATAACCAAAAAATCATGATTACAATTTTGGCCATAATTGTGCAGTCTGTACGATAAACCACTTTAAATAATACACCAGTTTTAAATGCATAGAGGTCTTTTGTTGTAATACAATACTTTACCCAGAAGATGGCGCTTGAATACAGATGGATAGATAGTGAGTAAGACTTGAACGCTTCATAACCTTTTCTCCATCAATGGGTTATAACCATGCAAACAAGGCAGATGGTGACATACTATCAAATAAATAAGCCTCGTGGAGAGCTGCTGTGGTTGAAAAAAAGACTCCTAAATTTGAGACAAGTGACCGATGATGAGGAAAGAAGTGGGTCTCCGCTTAAGTTGGTGGGCAGTGAATCCACACACAACTACCAGAGCTACTCCCAGCTAGCAGGATCGTACTACACAGCTGCATACAATGAGCACATTGCTGAAATCAGACTGCATATTTACATGTTTATTTTTATTTAGTTTGGATATTTTGAATGGGTTTCAAATGTGCACAGATGGAGAACCGGTGATTCTAATGCTCACATTATATCCTGATATTTAATGCTGACAAACAGTCTACAGTGTCTGTCTGGTGCTGATCGTATAATCCCGTCTAACAGTCAGGCTCTGGTGATTTAAGTGTAAGTAATAAAGCTGGAAGTAGAGCAGAGTCATATAATACTGATTGGAGTTTAGTCGATTGTGAATCCTGTCTGATGCTGTAATTTCTCACTGGGGCACCGAGTAGGTAAAAATGGATCTCTAAGTGGAAGCTCCTGCTGAGTGTAACCTGATAAAATATGAAGAGTCCAGCTGTTCTTGCCGTTTCTATATTAACAAACACTATTTCATACCTAAAGAAATCACATTAAGATGCAAATTGAACAATGTGTTGGATCTCTCACCACTTTTTCCTCCTTTCTGTGCGTCTTAGATGATCTCTGTTTTATCCTACTAAGATGTATGCACTATAAAATGGGTCACAACCATAAAGGGAGGTGTATTCCCATGATGCATATCTCTTAAATGTTTTCATTGTTCTGAATATGACAGGAGGAAATCTTTAAAGGTTTGATAAACGATAAACTTAGAGATAATAGATAACCAAACAAACCTTTTGATTTTCACCAATCTCTCTGCGGATCTCAGAGTTGACCACAGTCTTGGTGATGGATCTGTGAGGGGGGGAAAGGACCAGATTTGAGCTGTAAAACTCTTTACTTCTACATACCCACGTGTAGAAAAAACTTCTCTCTAAAGCTCCTGATCGTCTGTTTCTTCTTTACCTGGCTTTTGTTGGGAAATTCTGACTGAGGTCTTTCATGACGTTGAGGGCTTCGGCAGCAGGGGCGGCGAGAATGCGAGCCGCAGTCTGGAAACTCAGATCTGTGAAGAAAGAGAATAGGTGGGTGGATTAACAGAAGGGCGAAGAGAGGGCAAAACATGGGAGAGAGATGATCGGACAGAGGCAGAGAGAGAGTGATGAGGAAACACGCAAGAGAGCTCAGAAAGAAAAGAGAGAAAGTTTCAACTGAATAAAAAGAGCATGAGCAAATTTCTCCCAGAAAGAGGATTAAGTTTGTGAAGAATCAAGTTTGAGAGTAATTTAGTGCAAGAGGTGCATGAGCAGTGGGATGATACTGCAGTATTTTAATATCATAAACTTGTATATCATCTCTTCAGTTGTGCCAAAGTGGAGGATGAAGCCTGGACCCAAGACTCGGGCGACTCAATACATGACTCAGATGTTTCTCTGGTGTCTTTGACTCAGACTTGCACTTAAACACTGAGACTTAACTTGGACTCGGGGTTCAGTGACTCAACTACAACTCTAGTACTGTTAAACTCAAACTGAGGCTTTCAGTAAAGTTGTCAATTTCGCAGTAATTTCAAAAAACAAGAGACAAATCCAAATGCGCATCTGTCAAAAACCTCATTGAGATCAGTCTCATTATTGTTAAAGACATTTTAATGCAGAGCCAGGTGGTGGATCTTCAGTCTGACACCACCTTTGCTACAAAAACCTCATTAGTTCAGCTAATTAACGCGCGAATTAGCACACAATTCCATGTTAACATGCTTGTCTTCACATCAGAGGCATTAATTAAACAATCTCAAAGCATCGGAAGGAATTACAGCGGGATTAAAACCGCAGAAAAAAAAAATACATATCAGCACTAAGACAAGGGAGAACTCTTTAGAAGTACTGACACTGTGTAAGACCATTTAGAGTTTCTGCTTTCTAGGACATGAAGAGTGCAGAGAGGATTATTTCAGTGCAGCGAGCATCTCAGTAATGGTGTTGTAGCCTGTGTGATTATTAGCCCCTGGAGGTCTCCTTCTCTTTGTAAACAGGCTGAGCTAATGAGCCCCAGCGGGCCGGAAGATAAAGACAGACGCCCACATGACAGACCGAGAGTCGAGCTCAACCCACTCTCTCATCCCCTCGCATCCTTTATTCAGCGCAGTCAAAGCAGCCTAATGCTTACATCCTGACCGGCTCTAATCAAAGAAATACAAATAGAATTTATGCAAAAGTCGGAATAAACTGCAGGGCGACAGCAAACATATGCACAGAAGGGTTATGATTCAAAGACGCACTGTGTGTTCAATGAGTAGTAAAATAGATGATGCAGCTCTAATCAATAATGCTTTTATGATGCAGCAGACTATGATCTCATAACTTCAACATATTATGGCTCAAATGTCTCAAGAAGACACTGATCGACCACTGCCATTGATTTAAAACCAGGCGGATACATTTCCAGCTGCACGTTTGAATCGCAGATGAGCGAATGATCTCCCTATTAAAGCGGCAGACGCCACAAATAACTGCGGCTCCTTTATTTATGATCTGTGCATCGTTAGAGTGTATCAAACTCATGAAACATCGGAAGAGACGCTTAGAAATGCTCCTTCTAGAAAGCGGAATGGTTCACCGTTTCCAGGAAATGATTTCGAGCAGAAACAAACCGGTGAAAAATCACAAAATGAAATCTTGCAAAACTTTTTATTTTGCATTACTATAGTAGAAGAAGAAAATAGTCCCTCATGGCCCAGACAGACAGTCTGATAGATGTATTTGGTTGAAGAACTAATTGATTATATTTGGATAAAGATCTGGGATTGCTGCCATCAGATAATTATCAACTGTAGCTATGAAACTAAACGCACCCAGAGCGCCGTCTGAGACCAGAGGGTGTATTTAAGCATCATAAAATTGATTCCACGCACTCGAGGTGACAGAAAAACTGCCTTCAGGTGCTAACAGAAAGCTGCAGAACTGTTTATCTTTAGCGTATCCTCAAAGAGCCCCACAGTTTGTATTTTCATTAGCCTGTCAGGATGGTGCCAACTTTAATTTTATCATCTGTGTCACTTTCGAGCACATAAAAAAGATGGATGTTTAACTCTGCGTTTAAGAGTTAAGCGAATGCAACAGTGTGTACTCGCTGTAAAGTCAACATAAGCAAACATTTACAAAAACGGTGTCAGGCATGAGGAGACTTCCAGGGGGAGACCCACCTTGCATTTGCCAGACTTTCAGAGGTGCCATTTCGTTTGTGCTTTCTACCAAATGTTTCCTCAACTCCTTTAACTGTTCTTTCAGCTCCGGATAGAGGGTCCTGTTGAAGCAAAGCAGACAAATCAAAAGGATGAGTGTGTGTGTGTGTGTACTAAAATGAGCTGTGGGATTCAGAGACTCGTTTGTTTGTTTTGAGGTTAGTTGATCAGAGATAAAAAGGTTGTGGTCACTGCTTTGAGGGAATAAACTGCAGAGAATAGGACGGAGAAAAAAGGCTTGGCTGACGCGAGCGTGCTGCAGCTCCTGGAGCTAATCCAAGCTTTGAATTTTTATCATTGGCTGACACAAAGTCACTCACTTCAGCTTGCCAAAAAGGAATCCCTGGACCTCGTCCACTGGATCGTTCTCTCCGATCACTGTAGCATTCACCTCCGCGCCTGAAACCACGATCAATTAACTCATTATTCACATCAGGACTCCTCTGGGATTACACTGTGGAGGGCAAGAGAGTATTGATACTGTGTGTGTGTGTGTGTGTGTGTGTGTGTGTGTGTGTGTGTGTGTGTGCACCTTGGACTTGAGTATCATCCTTTGCCTTGTACTCCTGGCTTTTGATGGCCAGCTCGACTCCGTACCCCGACAGAAAGACTTTTTTTGCACTTGGTTTCTGTAGTAAAGAATAAAAGAAGACAAAAAGGATTAGAGGGAGGAGTCTCTCCGTCAGTGTTGTGCTTTTCTTGAACCCATTTACAGCTAATGCCTCACTCCAGCTGCACTGATGGCAAACCTCATTATGTTCCCAAATCTTATGCAGTGAGAAAAAGCACAGAAAAAATCGCCCTGGTGGTTTCTGTAGTTATAAAATGCTCTATTACTTTCTCTGTCTTCTTCTGTTTGTATGTCGTAGAAAAAAATTACCCTAATCTGCTTTTTGTTGACTACACTCACAGCTTTCAAGTACAGACAACCAGCTGTTGCTTGAAGACTCCGACTCTACTCTCATTGGCCCACAACTGTTGAAACAGTGTTTAAATGTTACAACCTCTCTGATACCAAAAACTTTTGCATCTTACAGGCAGATGGTGGGAATAATTTAGCATAATTACAAGGGGAAAAAAATATATCGACTTTATTTGCATGTAAGGGAAGAAGCAATCCCACTTCAACTTGACAAAATAAATTATAGAGGCTCTTTTCATCTCAAGTGGAAATGAGGAGCCCACTTACGCTGACTTATTCTTACAAGGAACATAACTGAAGCACGAGTGCTTTTAAATCAACATCAGTACCACTGCATATCATGATCACAAAGGATGGAGGCGGAAGCATCACTCTCTCTGCCTTCATCCTTAAAGAGCCAGTGTGTAATAATGAGGGGGACCTGACAGGCAGAAACTGAACTAGTATGTTTTCATTCATAGTCGTGTTTTGGTTACTGAAGTTACTCCATAAATCTATAAAAATGCAGTTTTTATAGTAGCCTAGAACAGACGAAGCAGGCCTTTCTTGTTTCTTCAGCAGCTGATACACTAATACACGGACTAAAGGATGGGGTGGTTTTTTAATATGCTAGATTCTGCATACTTCATTGGACTACACTGTATATTTTTGAAAATTTTGCCTCAAAAATCGAGAAAATTTGACTCAAAAGTCTTTCTAAAAATGTCCAGAGGAAAACAAAGAAAAGAGATGGTGTGATCTATGTGCATATGCGTATTTATCTTCCATTTGGAGGACCTTAAGTTCTGTGCTGCACCAAATATGCTGTAAAAATATGTACCTTGAAACTATGGTTTGGAGCTTGTATATGTTTTTATTTTGGCTTGAGCAGATGTTTTTTAACGCTCACACGACTGACTTCCTGTTTGGGTCGATTGGCTCCGTTCCATCGAAGAAAAAAAATCAGATCCAACATTTATCATTAGCAGAGCAGAGAAACGCCTCTGTAATTGAGCTGAGAAGCACCGCAGCACTCTCTGTGGACCACAGTGACCACAAATTAGCTCCTGAGTGGGCACTGCGATGTAACACACACGCTTCCTGTAGAATCTAGATGGTACAACATTTAGAGAAAATGTGTGTTATTTTTTGACACTGCCCTAGCTCAAACGCATGTCCCCTCTATGTGAGTATAAGAAACACCTACAGCCAGGTAATGTCGCAGCACATAAGACGCCTGCCCTTCATGGACTTTGGATGATATGACATCATGTAGCTTCTGGAAATCTGATGTCCCAAACTCAGCGTAGAGAATGACAACAGGAGCGTCTGGATTTGATCCTGAGTATTTGTGATCTCCTTTAAAAAGATATGGCTTTGGCCTGAAAGAGAGAGTGGAGTCGATTTTTAGATCAGCTATTATTTCAATGGTTGATAATTAATTGATCATTGTCACGTTTGGGCTGTTTTCATCTTTCATTACCTCTGAGCAGCTGTTTTCAGAAGAGCCTCTAAACCTTCTGCATCACATGTCTTTTCTCCGTGGACGCTGAAAAAGGCTGAGCAGCCAGGAGGAGGAGGCTCATTGGACGCTATCTGAAGGAAGGAGCAGCATGTTAAAAGAACATGAAACTTCTTGCACACGTGCACACAGCAGGAATCAAATCATCCTCCTGGTACCTGTTGGAAGGAGTGCACTGTCGCAGAGTAGGCTCTCAGGGAAAGGGCGAACTTCAGCATGTTCATTTGGACGGAGCTGAGCAAGGCGCTGGCCTTCTTTATAATCAGGTCGTAGTACGCCTGATCTGTGTCTGCATGAGGAGGATACACAAAAAAACAGCTGTAAGGAGCTAACTCTGTGTTCTTTAGAGAGATATATTTTACTCTTTACATTCCTCTATCTGTTGTAACACAAGCAGAAACCAGGTAAACTGAGCTGAAATACAGTTTGCATCTCTCATCTCTCCTGTTATTGCTTGCATAAGTGTTTGGCCAAAACACTGACGCTGCAACTGCTGCCAAGCGGCTTGCACAAACATCATAAATTCAGCTGCTCGTAGCAAAGAGACCGAAAGTGAAAACTGGTCTAGGGTGGCAGAAGCAGCTTTTACTGTACCGTCATGCTCTCCCTCGATGTTCTGATTGGCCTCAACAAAGTCCCAGAACTTGTCATGGCTTTCCTCTGCCAGGAACTCACTGGGGGAGAAGGGATGAAGAAAAGAGTTGCTTCACTTGTGTATGTGGATATGACAAACTGTCTTAATGCCGCTGGAAATTTAAAAGCTACTTTGGGGTGAAAAATTTCGCTACATCAAATATAAGAAGTTTAAACACTCTTTAAATCACAGCCTTGGTTATGACATTAATTCATCTTGTATTTGTTTAAAATATTTAAAGTCTGATGTGATGAGCCCAATGAGTTGCTACACTTGTAAAAACTTCACCTGGCCTCCAGCAGCAGAGGAGTGTCCGCCCATTTGGTTGTGAGGGTGGTGGTGACAGCCTTTGAGTCTGCACCTCCAGACACGACAGAGAGCAGCGACAACAGCAGGACATGCAGAAGCCACATCTTCAAGCCTATGCCTGAAAAAGAGTGGAAGGAAGTCGTGAAGTAGAGAGTATGTGGAAGATCCAAAAAAGAAACCCCAAGAAATTCAGATCAAGATTTTTTTGTTAGAGAGAGCAAACTCAGACATGTTCATGGATGACAGCAGAGTGTTTCAAGAGCAGGATCCAAAAATAAAAGTGATGCTCAAAAGCTCAGTGAAGACTCACAGGGATCCAGCACATTAGTCATGGATGGATCACTAAATGAAATTAAATTCCCCCAAACAAAGAAGGTTAATCATCTCACTTTCATGTGTGTGACTGGGAAAAATTATAATAACATCAACTTGGTGATAAGATCAGTTTAAAATACTGTCTTGAGCAGGACTGGAACAGAATGGACAAAACCTATAAATTAAATTTAATTGATTCCTTGTTTCAATAACTTATATTTCATGTTTTAAATCTATAACAACCGCACTGAAGAGGCCGACTACATGTCAGTCAGAGGCTGCAGTGTGATGAGAGTGGATATCCAGAATGTCCCTGCTTGTAAACTAGGGCTGGGCGATATGGGAAAAAGTTTATCGTGATATATTTTTTCATATAATTCAATATCGATATATATCAAGATGTAAAAAATGAAATTTAACAGTGCTTATTTGTAGCATGTTTTTTGCAATACAATGAGCTACTGCATCTGTGAGGTCTTTGTGTATCTTCAATGTTTTGTTGTAAGGCGTTGCGCAAGAGAAAGCAGACTGAATGGTGGGATGTTTCAGCGGCACAGGCGTCATGGGCTCCTTGCACTCATTTTCTTTTTTTCTCGCCAACAGTGCTTTCAGCTTCACATGTTAAAGTGCGATGGTTGCGTATAGCTGCAGCCTGCTACTACACAGTTGTTTGCTACTTGGTTCTGAAGGTCCTTACACACGGGGCCGACACGAATATAGAACGCAAAAGTACGAAATATCCGGAGGCAAATTTTGACACGCCTGACTATACTACGTCATTGCTACCGCTGTTGCCGCTCCTGAAGCTACGCTGTTCCATTCACGATGCGTTACCCACGTTACTCGCTATATAGGCCGTGTATAAGCTTGAACGTTACCTTTCACATTGATAGGAGAGGGTCCGACAGGATTTGATGCTCCTTAATGACTCACAACAAGTCACAAATAACGTTGTGTGTCGTTGTGCTCACACAGTGCATGTAGAATCATTCAGCGGTAAACGAATGTAGGGGAAACAGCGCTGATATACGAGTCTGAGGTAGAACTATGTGAGATAAAAACATATTTTTTTTTAGCTGTGGCGCCTTTTTCTAGCCGTGGCAGTGCACCACGATCAATTGCATGTAGGGGAAACCCTGTACGGGTTTGAAAAAAAATAGTGACGTCCGAAATAATCGCACGACAAAAACGGTCCCGGTTAATAAGGACCTAAATTCAGCGCATGATTGGTTCAGCATGACGCAAACCCGGAGCAACTCCCCTATAGTCTACTAAAACATGGCAGAATGACGACTATCGAAAGGTGACCACTGACCATGTTTTATATTGATATTGAGGGAAATTAATTTTCGATATATATCGTTACCGTTTTATCACCCAGCCCTACTTTGGGCCAGGTGTCAAATCTCTCCTGAGAAGGTAAATCCAGTCAGCTAAAGGTCCTGATCTTTAATAAGGATGTAAAATGTGAAGGAAGGCAGAGGTACCGGACCGAAGAGGTGGAGGAACTCATAGTTACTTTGACTCTATCTTACTGACATGAGTATGTTACTGCTTTCAACGCTCTCGCTGGTAAATAAACAGTTTGGTGAATTTTATCCAATAGAAAACTTCAGCGTGGATCCTTCATCCAATCAGCGCGCAGCACAGACATCCGGACTGTTTCAATGACATTTCCCTGAACTCTACATCACTATTCTTGAACCCCACAAAACATGAACTGTATTATCTGTAGAAAACATGAAGGTATGACTGTCCTGAACCTGTATATGCTCCTAATACTGACACTCGGAGCCCGTTAGTAGTCGGTGAACACAAAGCGAGCTAAAGCTACCTGACAGCTACCTGAGCTAGCTTACATTTCCTACTCAAAACGAAACAACCCGGTTTGCTCACAGTCTGTCGATATTTAAGTCTCTCATTAATGGTGAAATTACCCTTGAAAGCGAAGGTTAATAGTTTCATTTCAGTATGAATGAATGACATTTAATCTCACCGAAGCCGGCTCCGGAGCTTCCTGCATTCATGTTGTTCCGCTGGGAGTGGGAGGGTCCTTTCAGCTGAAGGAGGTATCCACGATGCTGCCTGTTCAAAATGACTAAAATCTGACTCGCTTATTTGTGGCTTCAGAATTTGTGGGAATGGGAGTTGTTAAGGACTGATGGGTCTTTAATATATTGGAAGTAATAATGGCATAAAAGCACGTTGAGTGGTCTCAAGACTAGAAAAGTGCAATTTAAAGGGAGTCCATTAACCATCTATCCAATGGCCAGAGGCGATTACCAGTCCAGTGTAATATACAATGTACTATTTCACTGGTTTTGGATGGTAAAATCAATATTTACTAACCTACAGGACCGCTCAAGTTGGAAATCAGGAAAGGTGTCACTTTTATGGAGTTGGCATTAGTGGCGGATAGGAGTAATTTTCAATTTGACCAAATATTAACTTCAACCAATGATCAATTTTATATCAGGGCACATTTCTCTTTTCTTTAATACAAAAAGTTTTAATACAAAAAACAGATATCATCTTTTTTTGCAAAAAATGCATGTATTATACTGGAATTTGTTGGTTTTATGCCCTCCAATTTTCTCAATGTCAGGTTTACCTCTTCAAATTAACATTTAATTTAATATTTTTGTACAATTTTTTTGTAAATATTTGTTCAAAGTAATTACTAAAATATGAGAAAGTTTTTAAAAATTAATTTTGCTCATTCATACACATTAATTCATCCACTCTGTGTGTCCGAGAAACTTTTGTCAACTGTGTTACCCAGTGAAAACCCCCCTATAAATCATCAATTGTTCACTCCCAAGGCACATGTTCAGCATCATTTGATGTCATATTCTTTTTAGAGAGAAAGTTAAAACACAGTGTGGTAAGTCTTTACACTTCTCCTGCTATTACCAGAGAGGAGTTTTTGTGTGTATACAGGTCTGTATTTCCATGTGTAGAGCTACATTCTTGGGATTGTAAATCAGAGCTTAACAAGTTGGTGCATGGAGGTGTGCATATTTACTACACAGGTGCATCCCAACAAACAAGAATATTATAAAAGTTCAATATTTTCCATCAATTATGCAAGAAATTTTGCATTTTCATGAGCCATACAGATCAAAATTAAAACAGTTACATTTATATTTAACACAGAATATATGAGGATTTACCTTTTTGAATTAAAGTATAAAAATAACATTTATATTCTGATATGTTGAGATGCATAAGTAATGCATTTGAACTGTTTCTTTTTAATTGTGATAAATAGTCACCGTACCTCATAAACATTAACATTTTTGTTCCTGGAAATATAATAAAATCAACATTACATGAGTCTATAATGAATGCACATTAAAGCCAAACTTTGAAACATTACTGATATGAATTCAAGAATTTCAGGGGGATCCACCACTGAAAGGATTTTTTTCCAGTTTCTGTGTGTTTATAAAAGCTTCTGTATTTCTTAAAGCAGATGTATAGGTGTCTCATATCTATTAACAATTCAAGAAAAAAATGGCTTATGAAAATGAGGATTGTTGTATGCATGCTTGGAGTTACAGACATGGGAAATAAACCCTGTATTAAGAAAAAGCCAAAAGCTGTCCCTTTGGTTTACAGCATTTTTATGTGGTAATGAAAAAGCAGAGAAACTCAGATCCCTCTCATTTTGAAGAGGACACCTGGGATTCCCGGCGTTCATTTTGCAAACCTTTACCTTGGATTTATGTGATAGGAGGTATTGGTAAAACTTTCCAGGCTCCCTGCCGACCTGTTGTGTGGTCTCCTTGTGAAAAAAAAGAAGATGAAAGGTACAGAGACACCGTCCCAGGGTGTGAAGACATGGCTCTTGCTTTTTCATTTACTCGCTCTGCAGCCTAAATTAAATTGGACAGCTGATCCTCCAGAGGGAGCAGTTCTAGCGTTTGATTTAACATTATATAAAAAGCAGCGACATTAATTATCCTGCTGGATTTGACCTTCACTTTGATGTGCACTCAACATCTCAGACATGTAGATAGATGCACGCTCACAATCTAACATGAAAATCAGCTTCATCGCTGCGTGCTCAGGCCAAATCATCCTCTCTGCAAAGTCCGTTCAAGTATAGCTAAACCTGTCCTCAAACACACACTCTTCACGCTGCCCACAGGGCCTGCTCATCTGTCAGGAAGGTGACATCTTCAGATGAATTATAGGAGATGGTTGTCATCTTCTCTGGGGTCACATACGAAATGGCGAACCCAGGCTGTTGGCTCCCGCTCCTCGCACTATCACACGTCAGCCATTTTAGAGGTTGAAAGCCTCAACGGGGGACCAAAAACGACCTCAATTAAACCTCCATTAATATTAATACATTTTGTGGTTTCACGTGAGTTGCTGCTAATTAAATGTGTCCCTGACTGTATAATGGGGGTCAGCGGGGTCTCCTGCATGAGGCTAATTCACAACATTACAGCCAGGAAAACACTCGGCCGCTCCAGACTGAAAATCTTTAACACAGAGAGAGAGGACAGACTTAGTTACTCTGATTTTGTGACACATTAACACACTTAATCAGCAGAATTCAACATTTTTAATTAGATTTTGCTCTTTTTCACGTGTGCAAAACATTTACCGCTTACACTTCTGTGCTCTCTCGCATGTATGAGGAAAATAAATCATCCTAGATTTCATGTTCAGCCCTGACCCTGGGGTGTGTGTCCTGCTGCATTTCTCCTACATCAACATTTAGAAGACTTCTATTCAGAGGTTAATAAGTTTGCAGCGGATCAGCTCTTTACGGGTCCTCGGGTTGCAGCATCGCACGCATATACACACATTCTCAAACATGCACACAATAAAGACACATTTTCTAACTGTAATGGGATTGTGGGATTCCTCAGATTGGACTCCCACTGGTGTCAGCCTGTAAGAGCTCCGGAGTCGAGTGCTGCCTGGGAGGTTGGATTCTTGCGTTCAATCCTTTAATATCATGAGAGATGATTTGCTGCTGACCTGGGAGATTAGCCGAACCTGGAGTGGAAGGTCAGATAACAACCCCAGATGTCTGATCTAATCATATTTATTTTATTGCCACGGGGGAAAAAATGTGCACTCCAGCAGTGGGTTGAACTCCATCTCAGAGCTGTGCATTAACTCTTTGACAAAAACACGACACTGAAACTCTGCAAATCGTGTCTGTTTTGAGATTTATCCACATTGTAAATTTGAGGGTCTGAGCCACTCCACTGCTGGAAAAGTCTCAAACAGAGACAGAAAACCAAACTCCGCAGTGACCAGCTAGAGCGCCAGCAGGGCAGTCCTCCAGAACTACAATAGCCTGGCTCTGATGGGTGTAAGGGAAGCACTCAATATGACTTTATCTGCAGAATTCCATGCTGAAAATAAGCCATAATAATGTCAGAGCTTCTTTGTTTGCATGAAAGAAGCATTGGGAGCTGCAGCCAGTTTGACCTGCCATTAATGGACGACAGCCAGAGCCCCCTTACAATCACTGCGTGCAGGGTTCCCACTGATGGACCTCAAACTCTTGCACGCTCACATAAACAAAACACAGCACAGCATCTCTGCAGTATAGCAGAGCCATTATGGTGTGTTAAGTCCAGCTGCACTTGAAATGAGAGCGACCCAAAGCTTTGGGGGGGGGGGATTAAGGACTGCGTTTAGTCCAATACAGCATGTAGCAGCTGCCAGAGAGGCTGCACAGCTCCCTCTTTTATTCTCTGTTCATATGTCAGGCACAAAAACATCCTCTCTGTCCTCCAGTCTTACATGAAAAGCTCCCTCTGATTCCTCATCTCTTTTACACTCGCCTTCGCTGGCTCTTTCAGCCCCGCTCTGATCCCCCCTCCAGCCGATCGTCTCTGCCTGTCGCTGTCCGGGCAAATTATTTTCTACACGGCCTGCAGGGGTCAAAGGTAAAAATCAAGAGACCGCTCATGAAAGACGAGGGCAGAAGTCTGTGCTCTGCTCCCTCTCCTTTGCATGATGAGCCAAGGACAGGGAATGATATTTATACCGGCCTGCAGATTCAGAACGCCCACCTGCCAGAGGAAGAAGCATATTTGTGTGCGTGTACGCGTGTTATGCAGGGCCTGAGTGTCTGCAGATTGAATTAGGCCATAGATCACTGTTGACAGGGCTGAGGCTGTCATTAGAAGAGCGGGAAGGGGGGGCAGAGGCTGCTTTATGGGGTCATGGTCTCGTGGTTGGTGGTAGAAATGTCCCCTGTTTATGGATCTGACTGTGGATGGAGGTGCGGTAACCTGGAGGGCAAAAAACATCCTGCGCAAGTTGTCAAAAGCTCGCTAAGTGTTTCTGAGGTGAAAATGTGGACGTAGTTTGAACTGGAGGATGTTTCGAACGCCTGCATGGGTGATGATTAAGCGAGAGAGCGGTGAAAAACACCAGAAATGAAATGCAGTGACAACCAGGACACAGTCGGGTCTGTAAAAATGAAATATTTTAATTGGTGGCTTGATGATTCATTTTTGCAATCATAAGAAACAAACCCAGAATGATGCATACAGAAGGAGCCAGAGACAAACCGCACACCCCCCCAATTTAAAAAAAAATATCAAACAAACAAACAAAATAGTCTCTATCGCACTCTGTTTAACACATCTTCAAAAGAAAGATAACAACAGGATGGTGTTAGCGACACATGGGCTGCTTCATTGTCACAAAGGAAACGCTGTTAAGACATCAGATACACATAGTGATGAGACATAAAATATTTGAGTATAGCATTACAGCATTATTTCCTGGAATCATTTTAGCCAAAGGAGTTTTCTTCCACACACACACACACACACACACACACACACACACACTCACACACTCAGGAGCATGTTTGAGGACTGATGGTTGCTTGAAAGTGGAACACTGAAAATAGAAAAAACACTCCCAAAGGTAGAGAATCAGTTTCGTATTGAACCAGATATTGGTTTGGAGCCCAAACACGCTCCAAGTCTGATTTTGGAAAAGAAAAAAAAAAAAAAAAAGAGGTTGTGGGCAAAATGCCTGGAAGCTGCAGTGTTTTCAAGCTTCCAGTTTCATGAGTACAATGAACGGGAAGTTAATACAAAAAAAAAAAAAAAAAAAAAAAAAAAAAAAAAAGGAGATCACTCTTCCTCATATCCATTTGCGTTACTTTGAAGGCTACACAAAAAGCAGCATATTGACTCTGGATGCATCCCAATACCTTTCATCATCTCCTCCTTGTTCTCCCCTCCTTCCCCTTCATGAATCATCCCTGATTTGAAAGAAGCCGATCAAAAAAGCAGACATGGGAGGATCTGAAGTGATTGAGTGGAAATTTTACAAGGAGGCTGGTGGGCGGATAGAGTGTTTGTTCTCCCTTCCTTCTGATTTTAATGGGAAACCAATACTTAACATGAAACATATATTTTTAACACCAAAGAAGCATGCTTGCACCTCCCACTGCCTCCAGGATGACATCAAACTTGGACTACATTTGGTTTGATTAAATCTCGCTGTGACACGTCTGTTTCCCCTTCCTACTTATCATTGTCTGTGCATTAAAAAAAAAGGGTTTTCATCACATTTTATGGCACATTATTCCTTTTTGATCTGTTATCTCTTGGTTTAAATTGTTAAAATGGGCTGAAATTCAAAGACACTTTTGTTTTGTAATGCCTACATACTGTATCTACATCATCTGGAAATGATTTTATGTATCTGACACGGTGAAGCAACAAGGGCAGCATATTTTTATGTTTCGCAAAAGTCTGGAAGTCCTCACACAGATTTATCACGATGATCATCTTAAAATATGTATAAAAAAGGGTTGAATAGGGTGGATTCTGAATTTAACACAATAAGGAGTAGCCTCTATAATCCATCAAAGTATTAGATGTGTTTTTCTTTTCCATTATAAATTATTTATGACCACAAAGAGGTGCTGTCAAAGTTTTACTTTGCCGTTACAGAATCTACAATATCTGGACTCAATTTATATAATCTGCAAGAAGCATTGCAACATCCAAGACCTCAGCACTCTGCGTGTTACTCAGTCATTAATTCACCAAGTGTTTTTTTTTCTGTGTAGTGTTGAAACATCCTGTTCTCCAAAAACATGTCGCACCCAAAGATCAGCTGTTTCCACAGATCTCCTCTCCTCACTGTTTCTAGTGGACGTCCTAAACCGTGAGCTGGATTTTTGTTAAACTTGCCCAGGGTTAACATTTATCTTCCCTGACCAGACAGCTGACACCTGAGAGGTCACAAACACTCCACTTTGAAGAAACATGCAGCTGCAGGGTAGCTCAGGCAAAAAAAAGAAAAGATGTTTTGATTTTTCTTTTAAGTTTGCGAAGGAGGCACAGTCCGACTAAACCTAGAATAATGCGCACCGATGTTATGACTAGGAGGCAAAATGTCGGTCATTTTCACATGAAGGGGGTTTGTTTTGGCCATTTACTGTATTAATCAGGGACTTCGTCTCAAGGATGTTACTCATTAGTTTCTGTAAAGGGGCTTTCAAGCAAAACAATAGTGGCGGCCATGTTGGAAATGACTCCTCTGGCGAGTCCAGACACGGACAAAGGGGTGAAGCTGAAAAGAGCTTTAAACCTCCTTTGCAAACACTCAACTTATCTAGGCATAACTCTCAGTCTTGATAACTTTGAAACTGACGACTTATGTGAAAAAGAAATCAACTTTTAAGACTTAAACTGTTTTTTTCTTTTAAAACAGGCTGTAAACATTCGCTGTAAAAACGGGTCTTTTACCATGGGCGTAAATGGAAATTCATGGGTTTTAGAGCCATCCCTCTAGTGGTCACTCTGGGTATTGCAGTTTCTTGCACTTAGAATTATTTCATTAAAGGCAATTGCTGCTTGGTTTTGTGACAAATGGGTAAATAAACCATCTTTTTAAAAATCTTAAGGTTTCAAATGTAGATAAGCTACAATATTTCATCTTTAAATACACACAAGAAATTCATGAATGGGTACTAGAATTTGGCGCAGTTGATTCCCTCCTCACAGCGCAGACGTGTCACCAGCAGAGATCTACGAAACAAGAACTTATATTTTAAATAATCGTATATATATATGGTCCTCATGTTTACGGGAAGGAGACAAGAAAAGAGGGAGAAGAAAAGGTAAAAGAAAATTGCAGAGGGGAGAATTATTAGCTTGCATCACTATGGTGGTCACACGGCTGTGACATGCTGTGGGAGGGGCTTGGTTTCCCCTAAATGATGTAAAATTATTGGTCATGGAATCAGTCATTCGCCAAATCCTCACTCTCTCGATCAGGCGCACTATTTACAAAGGCATACACATATGCCGATCAAAGGCATACTGTACATACTATTTACACACACGCTCATTCTCGCACACACACGCACATGAGTAGTCAGAGAATTCACCGGGTTTTGATGTAGTATCTGGCAATAGTTATGTTAGCTATGATCCCAGAACGTAGAGGCACTGCTACCTCGCCCTGTGCGGTCTTCAGGGTAAAACTGCTCACGTTAATGAACCGCTGGTCACCGCTGCAGTGGGGCCGCTTTTCAACAGGAGGCTTGTTAAGAGAACGCCAGCTCCTGGTTGGACAAAACGTCAACAAATAAAACAAAGACTCCGAAAATACCTCCCACCACATTAAGGACCCGCACTGCTATGGTGACCGGCAGTTCCCAATCACTCCCTTAGAGAATTTTTCTGACTGAAGGCTTCCAAAGCGCCCGCCGCTCACTCACACACTGCGAGGTTCCTGGCAACAACCTGCAGCAGACTCACTCCCCTTCCTGCCTTTGATTCCTCAACACCTATGCGATGCTGCTGCTCCCTAATTGGCGTTTTTTTTTTTTTTTTGTCTGCGGGACCGGGATGCAAAGAAAGAGAGGAAAGAAAAGGAAGGATAATGAGCGACAGGAGCTTTGGAAACCTTGAACAGAGAAACAGGTCACTTTTATCCCCCCCTTTCAAGATGCAAGGCTTCAGTAATGGCTATGGTCCATTGTACGTCAATCCCATCCATCAGCGTTGACTTAATAAAACAAACATAAAACAAAATTAAAGGAATCATTTTCTTTTAGGCAGCAATATTGGTCTCAGTGTTATTACAATTCTGCTTTCAAAAAAGCATCAACACAAAAGGAAAATACAAATCAAATCATAAAATGAGAGCGACACCGTCACGCCTTCATGACAAGAGCGTGTCTATGGGTGAAATGGCTGATTTCTCTTGAAGCAGAAAGCTTTATTACACGACTGAGTCCGGCTCTTCTCCATCTCCTCCTCTCAGTCAGGTTCAGTCTCCTGTTTTCTCCCCCTCTTCTCTTTGTTCAGCTCAGCCGTTAGCATACTTTTATAGCTTTCCCTGCTCCTTTGAAACTGGAGCATCCAGGAAGTAGACTGGTCCTCTAGCAAAGATTAGTGGGGGATTCACAGACTTAATTTTATTTTCTCATGCTCCATACTAGGCCACAGAGAACGAAAAGGAATACAGGAGGAGGAGAAGGGGGGAGGAGGGAGAGAGAGGCAGGTGAGAGAGGGAAGGATGCTCAGAAAAATATCTCTCTGCTCAGTCTGTGAAGATGATCTGAGGGGAACTCAGAGAGGAGAGAGGGGAGGGCAAGCGGGTGCTAATAACAACCGAGCAAACCCCAATTATGTAAGCTGATGCAATTGACCGTGCCAGGTCTCCATAGCAACTGTTTGGACTTGGTCATTCCTGCGGCCCAGTCTGCTGTCAGTCATTTGGGTCTTTGACGCAGGCCTCGCTCTCCGTATGTGTGTCTGTGTCTGTGTGTGTTTCACATTACATATGCATGTCTGGGTGTTTGTTCTCCTTCTGCTGCTGCTACCAGCGGTTGATGATCTGGTTCATGTAGTCCTCAGTTGGGAGTCTGCTGCCCGCCTCCTCCGTTCTGCCTCCCTCTTCGCCCTCCTCCCGCTCCTCCCTCTCCCCGTCCCCGTCCTCCAGTGCGGACACGGCGCTCTGACGGCCGTGCGAAGGCCACAGGTTGACGCCCAGGCCCAGGCCCTGGTGGCTCTGCTGCAGGTGGTTCTTGATGCGCTGCTGCCGCCTCTCCTGTTGGCGGGTGTACTGGTAGCGCTGCTGGAACAGGTCCCGGGCGTAATCGTAGAGCTCCATATCCAGCTCGTTTAGCTCCTCGATGCGCTGGACCTGAACAAGAAAAGGCGGACAAAGAAGTGAGGAATAGTTACAGGTATTAACTAAACACACTACGATAAAGGCAGTGGTACCCTGGGAGCAGGAACTTTTTCTTATCTGAATGTGGAAATGCTCCATTACATAAAATTAGTACAAAGCTTTAAATGGAGCGAGGAACAAAGAAAAAATGTGTGTTGGCAATATGTAGAGCAAGATAACAGAAACGTGTTTGATGTTCGGTTGTGCGGTGCAGCTGGCTGTATTGGCGTGTATCATCTGCTGTGTGTGAATTTAACATGGGGGGGGAAATGAGTTTAATTAAGAGAATCCCTTTGAAATCTTGCAATGGCTTGCCGGGTATAATTTGTGGGCGATGCGTGTAACAACAGAGGGAACCAACGTGCCGCATCGGTGGTGGAGAATTAGAAAATGTTTCATCGGCAGCACGGGGGGACACCGGCGCAGAGCCAGGAAGACGTCGCTGAGCTCATGTTGTCAAAACAAAGACTTTATGAATCAGAGACGGGATGTTTTATACTTTAGAAACTCATTCCCGTCCAGAAGTGACAATCTGGGATCCATTAGCAGGTTTTCAGCAGCTTTGCAGGAGAGTGTTAAGTAAATATTCCTCTAATCTCCCGCTGCAATTATTTGACTTTTTGGAGTAATTAAATAAGGTCACAGTTTCCCACAGTGCCTTTGGAGGTAGTTAATATGAAGCTAATTTCACAAGCTAATTTTGTCTGAAAATGCCACATACAGCCTGTCTCCTTCTGCAAACCTTTAAAAGACAACATTTTCTCGATATTTTATGCATGATAATAACCAACGGCCAAACTTTCCCCGGACTCTGTCAGCGGGGCATATTCTATTTTCTCTCCTGCCGACTGGTTTTGATGTATAAATCACCAGTCTTCTGCGTACTGGAGGATATTTTTTCGCTGGGAAAATTGAGCCTAAGAACTCCCACACTGGACCAATCAAAGTGTGAAGAGCATGTTTGAAGCTGCTATTTCTCAGCAGCCACAGTCATCCCAACTCATTTCACAGCAATGATAGAGCGCTGTGTTTTCACTCTGTCTCCTTTTTTTTCCCCCTGAATACTTCTATACGATTATTTTTCAATTCTTTTAAAAGATTTATTTTCCTCTCTCTTTACCGAATGTGTTACGGCTGCTGTGTCAATTTCTGAGAGTGATGCTGGTTGTAAAAAAGTTTATCTGGGTAAATACGACTATGTTCCTCAAGAATAATACACCAGACTATCTTATTTACATAGAAGTATTATTATAAGTGCAGTTTTTCCAATGAGGTCTACAAAAAACAAAACAAAATTGTAGCATCACTGACCGTGGCGTTGTCCAGGTCCACCCCCGCAGCTCGGGTGCTGTTGTACTGCATGAAAGGCCTGATGAAGCGTAACCTGAAGGTCCGTTCAAACAGAAACTGGGTTTTCCTCTGGTACTCTGTCAGACCAAAGAAGGCCATGTCTCGAAGGTTCTTCTTGGCCGACTCCAGGAGGAGCTGAGCCCTCTTCTTCTCGGGGACTGTGGACATGTTGTAGCAGCCGACCAAGCTCAGGTCCGCCAACATACGAACCTGCGTGTAGAAAAGAAGTTTACAATCGAAGGAGATATTTGCCTATCTTTAATTTGAGTCAACTTCATCTCATAACGACATAAATGAGAAAAAACAAGAGTTTAACTTGAGCCAGTCATAAAACAGTCATCATTAGAGACAGCCTGAGCCTGACATCCTGTCCTGTCCTTGCAGAATTTCTTGATCTGAGTAAAAATTTGAGGGATCAGATAATCTGAATCCACTGTTTATGTTGGTGCAAAATCAAATAATCCAATCATGACGTGCGCCAAGTTTTACTCAGATTAGAAGCATTTGGACATTCGCAGAGTTGTCTGATTTCACTTAAAACAACCGCAGAAGAAGAGCTGTACTTACGCCTGTGCTGTCAACAAACCAACAAACGTGGTAGTGGCTCACTCCATCCAATTCAGGAGTTTCCCCCAGTTAAATGTTATCACTAGATGGCGCCCTTGCTTACTTATTTTACTGTTCTGTCAAAGGTTGCGCTGTGTGTGCAGATATGACATTATTACATTGTATGTACGCCTTGTTATGTTATCGGAGGAGCAGACACAGCATTTGCACTTGTGTTGATAATGAAACCTCGTGTACTGGCTTCAATAAGAGAGTTAGAGAGTGACAATTGGAATAAATGTTTACATGGATGCGTTTCAGAATAACGATCCACATAAACCACTAGGGCCTGAATGATATGGATTTTTTGGGGCTGATGCAGATACCGAGTATAAGGGGGGGAAAAATTCGATTACCGATTAATCAGCCAATTTTTAATTTTTTTGACAAAGTTATAAAAAATATATATATATACTGTAGATATCCACAGTATAGTATACACTGTAGATATACTGTTGGCTACTGCTCCTAACAACGACAGGAAGACTGACTGATCATCTCAGTAATATTCCAAGTATTTATCATGAATCAAACTCAGACCAGAAAAGTGTTTTAAACTTTTTATTTCTGAAAATATCGGCGACAATTGGCAAGTTTTGGCCAATTACCGATTAGTCTCAAACGGGCTAAAATTGGCTGATTTAATCGGCTCGCTATTAAATCGGTTGGGCCCTATAAACCACCCCCTCTATCAGAATATAATTTCTTTCCGATTGAGCCGAATTGGATCAGAATCTTCCGATCAACATGTTTCCATGACGCATTTTTATTCCGAATCGGGCATTTATTCTGATTCTTTGTGCCCATGTTAACGCAGCAATTGTGTCGTTTAAGTTCCCTGATCTGGCTCTGATCTCCACACACTAAAGAAGCAGTCTGCTCCATAATGAGAGACCACTGTATCGCTGAGTACTCTCTGGAGCTGTTGTGTTACACTACAGTGGCACTGATTGCACACTGATTTGAATTCATGGGAGCCTGCCGGTCTACCAGCATGCCTCCAGTGCATGCGTATGTGTGTCTGCGCCACATTTATAAGTCATGGGACCAGGAGTAATAACAGCCCCGGGCTCAGATGAGATAAGCTGGGCAACACGTTTAGGTGGGAGACCGAGATAGCATGAGAAAAGAAGGTGTGAATCTGAGGTGTTTATGGCCAGCAGGCAAACTTCTGAGTGTGAGTACACAAGTGTGTGCGTGTGCTTGTGTGTGAGAGTGTGCAAGTGTGTGTTAGAGTGGGAGAGCATGCTTACATGTATGCAGCTGAGCTTCGGCGTGTCTTTATGTAAGAAATCTAATAAAAGTTGGAATTTGTTGAACTATCTAGTAGAGAAAATCAATATTTGATTTATCTGTCTTAAGAGATGAAATTAAGACATCCCAGTTTTGAGCGAGTCTCTTTCATCATCTTATTTTAATAAGATTCATAAATCTGTGGCGTGCTTGGTTTCTTAGGGGACATTTAGTCTTATTCTTCTTCATTTTGCTGCAACTTTAAATTCCCTGCATCGATGTTTCTCTTGGATTTATGAGCAGGGGTGTGATGAGGTGCAGAGATGCAAGTTTACCAGGCAGCCCTAATAGAGGGCAACATCAACATCTGTTCTTTAAAAGCTTTGCACAAACAACCAAGAGGAGCCCAGAAGCAAAAAAGTTGGATGTCTCAAGGTCTGTGGGCAGCCTCCCACTCTGTACCATCCTTTGAAAAGCTTTCAGTTCACAAGACTGTAACCGGTCAATGTGACAGCCCTGCAGCAGATCACTTCTTTTAAAACTCAGAGTGTTTGGTTTGAACATTTTGTATCAGGGCTGCCCACTTTCAGCCAACGATTCAAAACATCAGTCTGAACAGAGGACTGTGAGTCAGACTGCAAAAAAAATAAAAAATCTGCGCTTTAATTTTCTTCTTTATAGATGTGACCTTGTTCCCCGTTCAATGAAGGAGGCAAGCAGAAGTTAGTTTAATAATGATTATGAGTGTTCATCGTTCACGAGGTTATTACAGGAAGCCAAATTATCCCCGCGGGTCTAATTCTCTTTACAACAAACAGAAGTGGTGATTAAAAACAGTAAAAAACACTGAATTCGGAGGTTTCTAATAAAAAGAAATCTGTGTTTCTCTGAGGCTTTTTTGTCTCCTGACGCAGGATCGCACAGCTGTTAGTAACTTTGTTGGTGCTCAGCTTGTTTTTAATTTAGGACTCTGTTCACTGGCCATTGTTTGCTGGGTTTTTACTAGGAGCTGAGCTATCTACCAGTCATAAAGAGAAATGGACCTGAAAATTTAAACCAGTTTGAATTCTGATTAAAACAATGTAATGTTCGAGAAAAATCCCCTAATGCTCTTCAGTTGAGGCCCTCAGTAGGATGTGAGACGAAATACTTATGCTCTGCTGCAATTGTTATACATTTTGTGTAAAATAAAGACATTCACTAAAATGCACTTCCTGTTTGACTTGCCAGGTCATCATTCAGGACCTTTCAAGGTTTTGCTTCTGGCATTAGTCCTGCACTAAACTGCTTACGTCATGAAGTATTGAATCGTGTTGTATTGTATTGTATCGTATCATATCTATCATATCAGATTGTATCATGTTGTATTGTATCGGATTGTATCATATCTATCATATTGTATTGTATCGTATCATATCTATCATATCAGATTGTATCATGTCGTATTGTATCATATCGTATCAGATCTATCATATCATACAGTAACGTATCGTTTCATATTGTATTGTATCATATTGTACTGTATCGTATCATATCAATCATATCATATGATATCGTAACGTATCATATCATATTGTATTGTATCGAATCATATCTATCATATTGTATCTTATCATATTGTATCATGTCGTATTTTACTGTATCGTATCATATCATAACGTATCATATCATATTGTATTGTGTCGTATTGTTCCGTATTGTATCATATCATATTGTATCATATCTATTATATCGTATTGTATTGTATTGTATTGTATCATATCGATCATATCATATCGTATCATGTTGTATGGTTTCATATCTATCATATCGTATCATATCATATTGTATCGTTTCGTATCATAATGTATCGATCGTGTCGTATTGTATCGTGTCATATCTATCATATTGTATCGTATCATATTGGATCATATCATATCGTATAATTTCTCTGCAATTCCCACCATTAAATCTCAGGTTGTAATTCAAGTGCTGCTAAACTTTTTAAAGTTACTAAAAAATGAGTGGGCATTAGTTTGATAGAAGTGTATGACAGCTCGAACTTATTGGACAAACTCACTCTTGATTGATAAAATTAAAGATGAGAAGGCTGATAGTAGTTTGTTTTGGCCCTTCACTGAAAAAACAAACCTTAACAGACAAACTTCTGATTCTGTTTTTTTCACCATACATAATATCAGAGTGACTGGTGCAGTATCTGAACTTCTTTATTCTGGTACCTGTCTGTTATTGGCCAGGTTGTAAGGACAGTCCATGAACTGCTGCAGGGTGCAGCCTGACCAGTCAGAGCCCTCGTAGCAAGAAGGCAGCTCCTCCGGCGTCGGGGTCCTTCCGTCGCACATGTGCAGGGAGGTTTTCCACGTGGCCCCGCGCTGCACATGTCGCCACTCGCTGAGGTATCGAGACACGGGGTCCCTCAGCAGAGTGATGTAGTAGAACTTTCTGTGAATGAGAGAAAAGAGAAGCATGAGAAATTGATCTTTGATTGCATACAACTAATAAAAGATCATAAATTCACCTTACCTAAAGTAAAAACAAACAAAATGAAAAGTACAGTAATGTATAAGGACATGGTGATAAATGGAGGGTTATAGCTGTAATATTTCTGCTTTACGTGCACTTCCAGAGTTGCCCATATGGTGGCACTGTCTACAATGCTTTCCCGCTGCAGTTCATCCTCATGCCATACTCTCAGCAGGAAGAGGTCTACACATAGAGGTGGCTGCCATACTTAATTCCATATTATTTGCGTTTACTAGAAGCAGCGGTGTGACGCACAGAAGAAATCTGGGACACGGACGGGAAGCTGAACTACAAATGATCCAGGGGAGGACAAAGGGGTGAGGGGGAAGGAGTTGTTTTGTCAGGAGGAGGGGGGGATCAGGTCAGCGCTCAGGCCACTCTGTGCAGGAAGGGAAACTGCTGGCACAAGCACATCTCACTGTGCAACACACACATCTCGGCGCGGCAAACATCCTTATGTCCCAACGCACACAGCAAACACCCCTCCTCACGCTTCACACTCCCACCAAAGTCTGCCTCCGAGAGATGACTCATCCCGTATCTGAGATCTGGATGGGACTGTTTCTGCGGTGTGAAACATAATGGTGCGTGAAACAGTTCAGCGTGTCTCCAGAGGGGACACTCCCACCAGAGCGGAGACCTTTCCAGGCCTTCACACTCCAGCTAATTACTGCAGTCTAATCAATCAACACATCCTCATTAGCCGCACACGCATGCAATGTTGCTCTGAGTTTGTGTGTGTGTGTGTGTGTTTATGTGTGGCTATGTGCCCACAGTGTGTCTGAAGAGTGATGGTATGGATTTATCCGAGCAACAGACGCACGCCGGTGGTCGAAAACACACAGAAACACACAAAAACACACTGCCTTCCTCTTCTCTCCTGGGTTTGCATCACGTCAGAGGAATGTTTGCAGAGGGAATTTTGTGTGCTGACAGAACTCCACGAAAAATCACCGCCTCACATTAACACACACATTCACACACAGTCTCTCTGCTTCCACTGCTAAATCTTTGGCTTCACACTACAAAGCTTCACCCGGCAAGAGAGGGAGAGAGAGAGAGAGAGAGAGGAGGGGTTGCTTGGTGGACACAAAGCCCTAAGTGTCACAGTAGCAGTGTGTGGATATTAAAAAAAGAAGTGACTAAAACCCTCCGAAATCCAGCTGCACCAGGGAGATCATGCGCGACAAAACAGCCAAATCCTAAATCTCGCAACAGCTGAGAGATGGTGCCGAACAATAAAGCAATAAAACTCTAAAGCCTGCAAACAGATCATGGGCAATCAAATAAACTAACCCCCAAAAGAAAAACAAATTTCATCCAAGGGTTGGTGGAGGGGTGGTGGAGGTGGAGGGGTCCTGCGCAACAAAACAACCACACCCCGGCTTTAGCCGCAGCGCTGAGAGATCTCCACAAATGAATCAAGTCAGGAGGCAGAGGGGGGATCATGGACAATGAGATGACTAAACCCTAAATCCAGTGGCAGCTGGGAGATCCCAGGCAACGAACCAAACAGACCCTCAATCCTGGGGCACGCAAGAGGAGGGGGGCGTAGGGGGGTTAACAGAGAAACAAGTATCTAAACGGTAAATCCCATCAACCTCAACCTAAATCTCATCCCGGATCAAATCAAGGGGGCAGACAGGGAGGGAGGAGAGGATAGGAGATGGGGTAGAGGGAAGGAAAGGTAAAGAGAGAGGAGGAGAAAGAAGGAGAGGAAAGGAGAAAGAAGGAGAGGAGAGGAGAAAGAAGGAGAGGAGAGGCGATAGAAGGAGAGGAAGGGAGAAAAGTTGAGAGCAGGGGAGATGAGAGAAGAGGGGAGGAGAGGAGAGGAAATGAGAGGATAAAGGAGGAGAGGAAAGAAGAGCTGGGGAGATGAGAAAAGAGGGGAGGAGAAGAGAAAGGAGGAGAGGAGTGGAGAAAAGTTGAGAACAGAGGAGATGAGAGAAGAGGGGAGTAGAGGAGAAAGGAGGAAAGGAGCAGAAAGGAGATGAGAAGAGGGTATCGGAGAGAGGGAAAGTTGATAGAGGAGAGAATAGGAGAGAAGAGGAGAAGAGAGAAGAAAGGAGAGAAGAGAAGAGCTGGGGAGATGAGAAAAGAGGGCTGGAGAAAGAGAGGAGGAGAGGAGTGGAGAGGAGAGAAGAGGAATGGGGAGGAGAGGAGGAAAAAGGAGTGTAGAGGAGAGGAGAGGAGAGAAGAGGAGAGGAGAGAAGTGGAGAGGAGGAAGGAGGAGAGGAGAGGAGAGGAAAAGAGAGGACAGGAGGAAAGAGGAATAGAGGAGCGGCAAGGAGATGAGGAAAGAGGAGAGTAGAGTGGAGGAGAGGACAGGAGGGGAGAAAGGAGAGAAGAGGAAAAGAGAGGAGAGGAGGAAAGAGGAGAAGAGAGTAGAGGAGAGTAGAGTGGAGAAGAGGAGAGGCACAGTCAAACTGGAGCCTGCAGGAGACCCGGGTACATTATGGAGATTCCTATGATGACATTATCAGGATTCCTAACACTCCCCAGAGTGCAGTGTGTGTTTGTGCCTAAGTGTGTTTATGTGTGTGTGTGCTTGTGTGTGTGTGTGTGTGTTTCAGAGTGAGACTACGCCTATTAAATCAGTGATGACATTTTCCCCCTTTTGGCTTCTATGCTGCTGAAAAAACACGGCGCTTTTTTGGCCCCGGCACCAGATATGAAAGAGGGAAAGGGTGAAAAACAGAGAACGAGAGAGAGAGAGAGAAGACAGAAAGAAAGACGTAGAAAGGAAGAAGAAGAGGGAGAGAGAAAGAGAGAGAGGGAGAGAGGAAGAGTAGGAGGCGGAAGAGAATTTCAATTAGTTTTCTAATACTGTGAAAGCAGTGAGGGCCCCGAGCCCAAGTGATTTATCAAAGTTATGGCTCCAGCTATAATGAAGGCTCAGGCATATTACCAGGCTAAATAAATAAATAACATGCACATAAACACACACACACAAACACACACAGATACAAGCATACATGCAAAACCCAAATAAATGATCTTAAACGGTGTGCCTGCCTGTCGAGTCTGCTGGGTCAGACTGCAGAACCGGTGCCGTGGAGACATTCTTGCCTTAAAGCCTAATGATGTCTGGCCGTGTGCTCAGATCCCTGGGTAATGATGTTTCAACACACACACACACACACGTACCCACACACACATTTACTTACCAAGCAGCCAGTCCACTCCCCTGAACACTCACTCACACTCATGCACTCTCCCTCATCCTCCGAGGCGACAGCAGGGTTTTTTTTTTTTTTTTTTCACAGGTGATGCCGCTCATATTTGAAGCTTTCTCGCACTTGTCAAATTAACTTCAAAGCTAATACGCCGTGCTCAATCTCTCCCCCGACATGATTTTAGCACATCATCCTCTGGCTGAGGGTTAGGAGTTTGCAGCCGCTCTTTCAGGCTGCGTTTGACACATTTTTCTTCTCGCAATTTCCACCTGCTTGTCTTTCTTATTTTGTTATCTGCAACAAATAGAAGAACACGTCTGACACTGGTGGAAAAACACTTAAAACGGCGTTTATCAGGTGTCAAACATGCTTCACCAATTGTGGAGATTTATTCGGCTTGTAGAGAGAGGGCTGATAAAAAGCGAGTGTTGGCAGAGGGGAGGTGTGATGGAGCCATTGTGTGGCCCGCAGTGGGAATCAGACAGAACAAGGACACTTTTTGTCTTTGAAATCTCACTTCCTTCTTCTTTTAATAAATCTCCATCACTGCGACTGAGTTCAAACCGAAGCTGTAAGAGAGAGTGGAATAAATCTAATAAAGCTGGTTAAAAGTAAAAAAAAAAAGAAAAAAAAAAAGGAGAATTAAAGGGAAACACGTCTGTTTTCAAGAGCTTTTTTGTGACCCCTCTTTTTTCACATCTTCCCCGCACATCCGTGTTGACGAGTGCTGTAAATAAGTGAGAATGGCACATGCGTGAGGCTTTCCCACCTCGACAAGGGTCCAATTACCGAAGGAAACGCTTGAAACTCTGCGCCAAAGTTGTCAAATTTGTTTGATATCAGTAAAAATAAGGGGCTGCGAGTCAAAAATGGACTAGTGCTGACTCTCTGAAAGAGATAACGGTCGAGTCTGAATGCAAAAAAAAAAAGAGTGAGTGTGAGTTTCCTGAGTGTTATCAAGAGGAAACACACAGCGCAGAGTGAGCGAGTGAGCGAGCGCCCGGGCTTGTTATGGTTTCTCAGAGCTCAGAGGAAAATGAGGCCTTTGACGCTTTTCTGCGGGTCACAAATCACCACCTCTACAACCTCCACCTTCTCTCTTTGACCTCTCTTCCTTTTCCGCTTAGATTTTTTTCCCCCCTCTCTCCGTCTTCTTCCTTCTCTCTGCTCATCACTTATTCGCCCTCCTGTGCACGTGTCTCAACGTTATTACAGTGTGCGAGTTGTTTTTGTTAAAAAATCTCAAACCGCAGCCCCACAGCAACATCCTGGCAGCTCCGCCGCAAATTGAAGGATGGTGAGGTTAAAGTCGTTTGGTTGCGCCGGTTGAGTTTTATGTAGTGTTGTTAAAAGGCTGGAGTGATTAATTAAAGTGAGGTCTACAATTTCACATGCGCAGGATGCCAATTTAGGTGACGCAAAGTGAGAGTGTTTTTGAGCAGCAGCAGCACAAGAAAAAACTGGAGGTAGTTTATGTCTGCGTTACACTAAAGATAAAACGCTGTTTTCTTCCATCTGTCTCAGGAGAGTGTGAAAAACTTCTCAAGTCTTGTTTAAACAGAAGGTTATGGCTCAAAGAGTGATTTACGCATGCAGGCACGCACATATAAACACGGTGACGCATCCCACAGCATAGACTAGAGCGGCTATGATTTATTAATAGTGTACGGATGTTTGTCGAAACCAGATCCACTGAACAGCGCGGAGCTTCCCTGCCTCTGAAAATGGACCTGAACCTGAAGAATCGGGTTTAAAAAGGAAAAGGAAAATCACAGCATAGATGTACGGAAACTTGCGAAAGTAGAAGGTGGGAAAAGAAGTCACTACTTAGATGCTGTGATTTGTGAGAGAAAGTTACATTTTTCCTTCGATTTCACGACCTAGATATGTCTCGGCTCAAAGCTAGACGACAACAGTCACTAAGTGGAGCATTTCTTTTCTGTTTGTATCAACAAGTTCACCCTCTCGTGTTATATTTCCTGGTTGTCACAGCTTGATGTTTCTACTGCATCTATACACCAAAGTAGAGCTGCAACAAGTGTCAAATGACATTTCACACTCACGCAGCTACTTAATTTGCCATTTTTATCGTTCTTTAAAAGATTATTTCTGGCCATCATCCTTATAGCAAAAGAAAGTGGAAGAGCGTCAACAAATGTGGGGAAGAGCGGCGAAGAAACGCACCAAATGGCCACCGATTGGGCGCCAACCTTATCCCCTCAGCACCCATCAGCCATGGCATTGAGACCATTTACATGTTAACGTCATAATTGAGCCACTTTGACAAGGGCTTAACTGTAGATCTCGTTGGGTGTTTCTGATCCGTAGTAGTCAGCATCGACCAAAAGTAGTCGAGGGTCGTAGCCGGGTAAGGAAGGCTCGTTGAAGCGTGTGGAGAGAGTGGTTCAACAGAATAGTCGGTGCAGCCGCTCAAGTTACTGAAAAACTTTAACGCTGCTCTGACAGAATGGTGCCAGAACACAGCGCACCGCTGTTTGTTGTGTATGATGCTGTGAAGCCACAGAGCAGTCAGGGCTCCCTGACTGTGTCCACTGAAAGCTCCTAAAATAGGACACCAGCACTAGAACTACACAAGGATCATGGCATCTAGTTAAAGTTGTTGACTTGGCTTCTGAATTTCCCCAATCTCAATCCAATCAAGCCTCTGTGGGATGAGCTGGACCAAGGCTGATCTGATCCACGGAGGCCCCTCCTCTAGAATGACAGGACTGAAAGGATTTGCCGGTAACACTTTGGTGTCAGATACCACAACACATCTCGAGGGGTCTAAGGGTCCATGTCTGGTCAGATTCCAGCTGAAACAGAGGTGGACCAATATTGGTTCTATACTGATAATTGGTATCAGTATTGGCCACCAATATAAAACTCTAATACAGATAATCGATCATGCCAATTACCAGATATGGGCCCTGAGAATCGGACACACCAATAATTTGTAAACCTCATCTATAAATACTCTATCATGGTGTAGGTGCCCAATGTGTTCGGGGCCCAGCGACGTTGCGCTCCATTTAATAGGTCCAATGTGCTTGGTTAAACGCCCCTGGCAGTTTTCTTGATTTCCATTTGTTCATTCAATCGGTCTTGAAATTTTCTCGCCATGTAATACAGAGAGTCACAACTTTCTGTATTGTAATTTTTTGATGGCTTTAAATGTGTTTGTTAACTTTTCTTCAGAAAAAAGAAACAAAATGTACGCAGGATCTCTGTTCTCAATAGATAGTTTTGCTTTTATACCACATTTCCTTCGGCAACCTAAAAGAGGCGGTAGTCCGGCTGTCGCAAGTCCTCTTCGCTAAGTAGCGATAGATTGCTTCGTAAAATACTTCCATGTTTTCCCCAAAGATCTACAACCCTATGAAACCCAACCTGGCGAAAACCACCTTGTAATGTCCGGACCAACCACAATCTGCCACGTCATCTGCACCAACTTTAAACCAATCACATAGCGTCACATCACCAGTAGGCGCCAGGCCCCAAGCATCTGGTACCTACAACAGCTGATCTGTATATAGTTTTAACAGTAAATCAAGAAAATAAATGTAATGTGGAGTATATAGAGAGTACAGAGTAATAAAATGTAGAGAGTAATAAAAATCTATCAGTATCATCTTCTGACATCTGAGTTCATAGTCGTTGAAAGCGAATGAGTCCAACCTGTGATCCACATCTGGTCCGAATCATGTGCAGCATATTTAAAGTCACACATACAGAGTTAAATGAAACATGTGATGTTGTAACTCTGAGCGTAAACTCGCTGCATCCTGGATTGGAACCTTTTCTCAAAACCAGCAGGTGTGTTTTATATTCACTACGCTTATTGATTCCAGACCAACTGCGCTTTTTACAAATACACATGTACGCCGTCTGACACAATAGTTAACTCCGGGCAGCAACTCAGAGCTGGTGCTGGCCTTTTACAACAGACGGACAAAAAAAGCAGTAAAAAGTAGATCAGTGGTGGAGGAAGTTAAAATCCTGTCTGCAGCACATGGAGCCTGCAGATCTCTAAATCGACGCCCACATGTCTGATTCCTTCAGCGATTAAAAAAAAAAAAGCTGTTGTGCCCACTGAAGGCTGTTTTTGCAGACTGGAGAGAGACAGTCAATCAATCCGAGAGTGAGAACGAGTGTGCACGCAGACTCCCAAGAAAAACACTGTTTAATACAAACTATGTGAGCAATTTGGGTTGAAATTGATGCAGCGGTGTAAGAAAACATGATTTTCTTACAAGTGGTCCAAATCAAGTGCAAAAAAAAACATTAACGCGATGGAAACACGGCTTCTCATTGTCATATGACGAGAGACCAGCTAAAAATCAGAGTGAAGTTTTGAGCTGTGAGAGTCAAAACAGAGATACTTGAGCTATTATAAATAAAAACTGGCTAAAATTCTGTGTCTATGTTTGTAAAGAACCAGACTTTCATACTCTCATCGTAGAGCTGCATGTCATATTTACTGATGGAGGAAATGGTAGGATCAGGCTGTCAAGTTGGAGTAGAAGCAGAAGAAAACCACTCCTCTGTTGATTTTCGTTATTGCTGGTTAATGATGGTTTTCAGAGTTCAACACAGGCAGATCCTCCGATCTGAGTGGGACGACAAGTTCCTGAAATATCAGAGCCTGAATGTCCTGAAATGATCCAGAAAATGTCAGGAGTTCATGTGTAAGAGAGCCTTGTGTGTGTTAGTGTGTGTGAGTGTGGGGCTGGACATCCAGGAACAGACTCGTACACTCCGGTCTGTGTGTCTCCACTCCCTTCAGTTTCAGAGGAGGGGTCCCATGGAATGTGCTGGCTGTAAATGCAGAAGATATCAACCATGTCAGCCTGTTCCCATGTGTGTGTGTGCGTATTTGTGTGTGTGTATTTAGAGAAGTGAGAGTTCAGAGCGACATGTCAGGACTTGAAACTAAATAGACTTCCTCTGAGACTTCTTTTTACTGTAATACACGTCATCATTGAGATACTCGATCGCACACGGAGCGAACAAACACACTTGGGCCTTCAGCGATCGTTCGGTTGGAGATGTATCAGCCTCATGTAGGAGACAATAGAACAATCAGACATGGGAGTTGGTGTACAGACTCAAGGCCCAAGTCTAAAATTGCCCTGTCTGTTTTTCAGTCACTGATTTCGCTGCAACAAATCAACGCTGACCCCTAAAGACTTCGCTTGAACCTTCAACTCTTGCCTTCCCCTCCCACTCTTCCCCGACTCATTCGTCATCTCGTCCCGCTTGTCCCGGGCGTCTTCTGCCCGATAGTGACGCACCAAGACAGACAGAAATAGACCCTCTGGTCCAGGCGAGCTCTCGAGGCTTCTTCTCTGCCTGCCCCGGCTTGCTCTCCCCTCCCTGCACAAGCTCTCCATCTCTTTCTCTCTCTCACCACTCTTTTCTTTGTTCGTCGATCAATAACAGCCTCAGGACTCAGACAGCCCTGCCTTGGTAGTTTGGACTTTAAACACAGCAAATGTACGACAGACAAAGTGAGAAAACAGAGAGTGAAAAAAAGAGCAGGGGAGTGGAAGAGGAGACGATGGCGACAGAGTTGAAAAGAGGGGACACAGAGGGGGCACGCTCGAAACCAAGCAGACGTCCAGGAGATTGTGGTTCAATCTGTGGAAATTCTCTGTCCCCCCCCCCCCTCTGTAAAGAAATCAGATTCTTCCGAGAAGTGATGGTTTCTAAATATTTTCCCTTTTAGCTACTCATATTTTCTCTATATCATAGCACCCTGGCTCCGTTTTTGCAGACTTCGGGATGCAATTTGATATTCTGTGTGCTGATGTGGCTGAGCAGTGGGACCAGGACAAGTAGGCCAAGTCTAGACTTCATCATGAAATAAAATCACTCACAGAGCTCACAACCAGGGCTACAAATAATATAAGGAAACCAGATATGAGACATGTGTCTACCCTTAATATACCAATTATCGAATGGGAAATACAGAACGATTTCCGAAAGACTTGTTCGAGCTAAATGTTGAATACATCGAAAGAAATTTATCTAAAAAAAATGCTTAATCATCTCTCCCAGGGATGAGCGATGATGGTACTTCCTCTGTACAAGTATTAGTCTGAGACTGACCCTCTATCCCAGCAGAGTCTTAGAGATCCTGGGAATGTGGAGAGCCGGAGCCAGAAGTTCACCAACAGAGATCGGGTTATCCTGGAAATTTGGCAACGCTTATTTGATGAATGGACTGTCACTGGTGATAAGGCTCAAGTTTAAAGTGGAACCCCACGCACACTGAGAATCATCGCACACAGGCAGCTCTATGATTAAATCCACATAGTAACTTATTGAACAGCATGCCAACTGTCGATATTTCTCAGATTTTGCGTCTGACACCTATTTTTTTTTTCTGTTTTTTCCTCATTTTAAACGTTTTCATGCTTCAAATTTAAACCTTGACTGGAAACCAATGGAAGGAACTTTTTCTGCCTCTTAAGGTCCTTTCCCACCGGGAGCATTTCTTTCGTGCGAGTATTTCGGACGTCAGTATTTTTTTTCAAACCCGTATCCTGTCAATACAAGCGTTCACATCAATATTGTTTTCCCGTCCTGCGATATTGTGGCTTTTTTTTTTTTACATCACGGTCGATTTTTCTCAAGTTTCGCAGACTGTGTGTCCACTTCTGACCAATCAGATTGCGTGTTGTTGCGACGTCAGATTAACCGGTATAACCAACATGGCCTACCGGCTGATTGTTTACGTGTCGGAGAACAGAGTGCTTTTTTGATTGTTAACCTGTAAGTCTTCTTGCTTCCACCCAGGACGCGTCTTTTTCCCCCGGAAAGTCACATAATCACATCACGCTTGATGTGTATCGTCAAGTGCGTCAAAATTTGCCTCTGAATTTTTCGCAATTTCGCGTTGTATATTTGCGTCTTTCCCGGTGTGTATAAGGACCTTTAGTTGAACATTTTATGCCTTTCAATCATCCTGTCATGAAATAAAGAAAGAAAAAAGTGATCGATCAGGCAGCTGTTTCAAGACTCTTAAACAGACCTTACAATCCAGTCAGTCGGTTAAAATCTACAAATTACTTTCAAATTCTGAACGAAGAGATTGCACATTATTACATGTGTGTAAAGTTTGCACAGATGAGGATGCTCTGACTTAAACTGCTTCAAAGACCAAAACAGTGCTGCGGCTGTGAGGAGTGATTCTCTTCATTCACTGACAGATATGCAGATTTGATGAATAATTGATTGTCTGGTCTCGAAATAAAAAAACAAAAAACAAATTTTTACCACCACAGGCTCCACTTGATGTTTGAATATGACTCAATGGTTCAGTCTGCAGTCAGAAACCTTGAGGGTTTTCAGCCAACTCATTTGTAAAACAATAAAAATAATCAATTTCTTACATTCGAGAGGCAGGAAAAGCACGTTTTGTGGGTACGAGGTGATGGATATTTAATACTGGTCTGACTCGGAGACTGTTTCAGAGCTCCTGCAGTCACTACTGAGATTGTGTTTCTCTGCATTTAAGGTGTCCTCCACAATAAAAATGCAAGTTGGCAAACCGAGCAGGAGTTGCCGTGTGACCGTGCCTGAAGGAGCGTGTGAAAACGCAGCGTATGCCATGAGTGCAGAAATCACGCATGGATCGCTGCATCTCAGCACAGAAACGCCACATCCTTTCCGCAGTGACCCAACACAGAAAAGACGGGAAACAAGGAGAAGAATGGCTCGGATGGAGATGTAGCGCGGTGTAGCCCACGGCCTGGAGATGGACATCACAGTTACAGGAATGGATACAAACAAAGAGAGGAGGGAGAGAGAGGGACAGGGGAGGGAATCCCCTGAGTGCAAAGCTATGTTCAGCAGGAATGTTCTGCCGCCTGTTCTCTCATGTAACTCGACTGGCAGCAGCCCAGAGTGCTGTCTGACAGGCGAGGGAGAGGGAGAGTGAAAAGAAGAGGGATTTGGTGAGGAAGAGATGGGTGTAGGATGAGAAGAGTTGCGCAATTGACCACAGATCATAAGTTAACGTTTCACAATTTTAAGTTATGAGGAAATGTTTATTCTGAGTGATGTGGTCACATAAAGTACGACACCCAACCGATTCGAAATCTCCAAAAAGTGCCCCTAATTTTTATAACCGACTATCTAAGATCTCTGCTAATACGAAGAAGACATTATCAGCCAATTTGATGCTCTCTGTCCTCATTCACTGATTTAATTATCTACAAAAAAATGAAGAAAGACTGAACTCAATTACCCAGAAACATGATGCAATGATTAAACAAGATGAAGGCAGGAAATGTTTGACTAAACTCATCAAAAAGTTAAAGATTTGCCCAACAACTGAACAAGTAACTGTTGAAGAAGTTTGCTTTTGTGATATTTAACCATTTAACTTCGAGCTGGAGTATTTTCATCGATGTGTCTGTTTGGTTTACGTCACACAAGAGTGAGAGGTGAACCCTGAACAAGATGGTGAAGAAAACAAGACAAAAATATTAATGTGTTGTGATTTTGTTGATACTTAAATACTACATCCTGATAGCGACAGTTAGATTTCAGAGGAAATTACTTGTTGAGGGTCAAAACTGATCTATCAATCTTGTCATTAGTCGGAATTTAGAAAAATCACTATCATATACGTAAAGACACATACTAATTTGACTCTAGGGCAGTGTTTTCATTGACGATGACGTTGATGAAAATATTTCGTCAATGTCATCGTCAACGAGAAAAAAAAAAACACTGGTTGTTTACTTTTTTCCACGTCGAAGACATGACATTGACGAGCTAAAGATAAGTCCTAGATGACTAAAATGTGAAGAGACGAATGTGCGTTTACGTTGACGAGACAAGACTAGATGGAAACGTTTTTGGTGGACGACGAACAGAGTTGCAAAATTCATGAGCATTTCGTCAGTTAAACGCTAAACATATATTCTGCAGTGCTGTTTTCATCAACGTCATCATCAACAAAAACAACACTGCTCTAGGGCTGTAATCAACCAAAGAAATTCTTGATCGACTAAAACCCTGAAATTTTCGACCAAAAACAAGGCAAACCCTCCTGCGGTAAGGGAAGACGCAGCACTGCAGGGTGAAAATATATTGATATCAGAACAAGAAGGCAATCAAACCTGATAGAAGTTGAAACGCCCAAAATAAAAACAAAATTTTTAGCAAACCACCAGACGTTAATTAACATGGACGCTCTTCCATCTTCCTGTCTCCAGCTGGTCTCCAGTGGGTTGGGCGAATTCAAAATGGTGAAAACAATGGGAGTTGATCTAAGACAGGCTGTTACCTGTGAAACGGGGGTGCCCTGAAAACACCCCCATTAGCGCTTGGTACATTCCTCCTCATGAAATTAACCATAGACTGTAAATGAACGCGGAAAAAAATCGAGTTGACCAATCAGAATTCTGGCGACTCAGCACGTATCAACCAGTAAGTCCAACCAAAAACCCCTTTGTTCATTTGTTTCATGCCTGATCACTACGAATAACATTTTTGCTCTGTTTACATCCAAAAGTAGAAAAAAAACCTGTTTTCTTGCGCATAAGGGCCGCACTGAGAGTGTCAAGACTGTGGGTGTGAAATAAAAGGACTTTCAGCAACTTTGAGAAATACCGCACTGAAAATACTTGAAGAGAAAATGTATGCTAAGCTGCAAAAAAATCCATAAAACAATCTGCTGCAGTTTCCTGCTGCTGAGACAAATAATAATGGCTATAAGTGTGAACACTGTAGTGAGAAAAAATACAGTATTCAGAGTCTGTTTCATAATTCTGCCGCTCCAAAGGAGAGGGGGTGAGAGCCAGACAAGAGGGCTTAAGGTTTTTCAAGGTAACACAAATCAACTTGATGGCCCTGTGTGTGTGTGCGCAGAGAAAGAGAGTGTGTGTTTGTGTGTACAAATTCTCCTCCACCCAGCGTTATATTCATAACCCTCCTGATACCGAGGTCAAAGCAATCACTTTGCTAATACTCTGACATATGGCCATGCTGCACTCCCATTACCCCGCCCAATCCCTCCACACACACCTGCACTGTATGACATAATCCTCCCTGTATGATGATGTCAGATTATTGATACGTCCCTGTGGCTCACTTAACGCGATGAAGAGAAATCGCCAAGAGAGATGGAGCGAAAAAGGAGGAGGAATGAGAAGAAGAAGAAGGAGAAACAGGAGGAGGAGGAGGAGGAGGCGTGATGCAGAATTTGGGGGCCAATTAAAAGGCAGGCTAACGAGGCTAATGAGCAGACAGGTGGCCCCATTACAGAAGCAGCCGCGCACACACACACTCATTAACACACTCGGCACACACAAAACATCCCCTCTGGTCGGGATTAGGGTGTGTGTGTGTGTGTGTGTGTGTGTGTGTGTGTGTGTGTGTGTGTGTGTGTGTATGTTTTCGTGTGTGTTTGTGTGTGACCCCCCTGTTTCCCCCGTTAATCAGTCACCACATACGAGACTGCAGGCAACAGGGTGTTTCTGTGCCTGAGCATTGTGTGATTTTGTGTGTGTGTGTGACTGGGGGCGAGAGTGTGAAATTGGAGTGATAAGGCAGTTAACATTCAAACCTTCCCACCTGCCCTGTGCTGCTAAACCAACACACACAAACATGTACACTAGTTTCTTTCACTCCTGTACATCTATGTGTGTGTGTGTGTGTGTGTGTGTGTGTGTGTGTGTGTGTGTGTGTGTGTTTGAAAAATTGAGTTATTTGTGTGTGAATAAACAGGATAATTGGATATAAATGTGCCAGAAGTGGAATAAAGTGTGTGTGTGTATAAAAGAGAGGCCGCAGACACGCTTTCAAGGAAGTGTCACCAAGAAAAGAGTAAAAATAGAAATGGTTTTTCGGCTGTAATTACCCAGATACAAATACGGAAGGTGTGGTGATGCTCCAGGTTTACCAAGACAGCCAACACACACACACAGAGACACACACACTGAAGCACAAATAAATAAATAAAAAACAGCAGAGTCACATGAGGATAGCTCCCAGTCCCTGGGTATCCTTGAAAGTAAAAGCGAAAGGGAGGGTTGGGGGATAAGTAGGGGGAAAATCCCCGAGGCAGGCAGGTTAAAAAAAAATTCTCCAAACAAGAAGACACAAAGAAGCAGAAACAAAGAGATCAGCTGGGAGAGAGGCAGAAGTGAAGGCAAAAAAAGGGAAGACTCAGTCCCATTACAGCCCTCAAGTCATCAAACTGGAACCTGGAAACTACAGAAAACAGGAACCAAAACAGGAGAAAGGTCACCCCGAAGCGTCATTTCTTCAAGCTGTTCCTTGTTCTAATGCAAATTTCAACCACAGACGTGTGCAGGGGAGTTATTTAGGGGATCCAATGTCTTCACTGACTGCCTGACTATTAGTGTATTTGTCAATAAAGATACTAGCCAGCTGTGGAGACCTGGTTAATGGCTACATAACATTATTAAGGTCCTTACACACCGGGGCCGACACGACTATAGACCCCGAAATTACGAAATATTCGGAGGACAATTTTGACGCGCCTGACTAAACACATCAAGCTCGATGCGATTTTGCGACTTTCCAGGGGGAGAAAGGTATGGTATGTTGTATCTGAACAGGTTAGCTTACGAGCTAAAGTTACTTAGCACAGATGAAAGTAATAACAAAGACGTTTAGCAAACTGTTAAAGCACACGAACCATCGTCATATGAGAGATTCGACGCTATGACTCTCCACAAGTTGTCCTTCAGGTCGTTATCTTTGTAATATTTGTGTTTTTTATCAAAAATCACTCTGTTCTCCGACAAGTAAACAATCAGCCAGTCGGCCATGTTGGCTATACTGGTGAATCTGACGTCGTAACAACACGCAATCTGATTGGTCAGAAGTGGACACACATTATGCGAAACTGTAGAAAATTCGGCGTGATACGAAAAAATAAATGCCGCAATATACGAGTTTGAAAAAAAAAATACTGACGTCCGAAATAATCATAATTACGTAAAAAACGGTCCCGGTGTGAAAGGACCTTTACATTATAACATCTCAGGGTTACGTCTGCACATGAATGAGTATAAGGAGCAGTGGTCATTATCTCTTGACAGAGAGAAAGAAAAGGGGGCGGCCAGGAGGCCTGGAGCCGAGCCTGAGGCTGGATTTACGCTCCCCAAACCCAGGAATCACAACCTCACCCTGGGGAATAGGAAGGGGACAATTGGCTCTTTAAGAAAAGGAGGGAAAAGTGTGAAGGGAGAGGAGGGAGAGGGGGACGCATATGAGTGATGTATGCATGTGTGTATGGGTGAGGGGTCCTCCAAGCCCAATTAAGCCTGACTGCATGTCGGAGGGCTGTGCCAAACATGCCCCACCTGTTAAGAGCGGGCCAAAGGGCTAATGAGCACTGCCTGGAGGGGCGCATCACATGCGAGACAGAAAGAGAGAGAAAGAGGGGAAAATGGAAAAGAAAATTCCAGGGATTTGGGGAATAAGATGACATTCACTTCACTTGGGCTCCTTTTTTTTTTCTCCCTCTCATTATGCTGCTGTGTCAGAGGGATTTCACAGCTAAAATTACCCTTTGTTATCATATGAAATAACACGGTACAGGCAGGATACATGTGACAGGGCAGCGCTGCATACAAACACACACACACAGGCACACACACACACAAACACACATTGTCCAATCAGTCTGACAAAAACAAGCAGCCCAGAAAATTAAAACCAGAAAAGGGTGGAGAGGCAGGGGAGCAGGAAGAAGGGGGCATAATGAAATAATAAGAGCCAAATATTGTGCAACAGGAGCAACAACAGTTTTAAAGACAGAGCCACTGTGTGTGTGTGTGTGTTGTTTGTGTGTAAGTGTGTATATGTGTGTCAGGGTGGGTAAATGTGGGTGAAAGAAGCCCATTGTTTGGCAGTGTAACTCAAGCTCACAGCCTCAGCTATGCCTCAAATGAGCTGCGAGGCTGTGGCATCCTTCCTTCCTCCTCCTTCATTCTCTCTATCCTTCTCTTCCATACTCAGTTTTACCAAACTTTGTTTTACCCTGAAACTTTTAATGAGTTTCACCCATGTGCTTTCTTCTCTTGGCAAGATTCTGATCGAGGTCAATTTTTTCTTTTGCATCTGTTTGCCACATACAAAGCAACATCTAGGAGTCTGCTGGCCTTGCTTGGTACAAAAACGAGGAACGAATGGAGAAAAAAAAAAACTTTAAAAATCTTCATTTCTAAACTAAAACAATATCTACTATGGTTTCTGTTTTTCAAAAGGGTCATATCTTCGTCACGAGCCTTCCTTGCCTTCTGGACTCTTATTATCCACCTGATCTTCTGAAGCAGCTAATTTCCATGTAATTTAAAACTCCTGTGAGGTTTCTTTTTTTTACTTTTTTGACCTTGAAATTCATGTTATTGTCTTCTTATGACAAATAGAGGAAAACAAGACTATTAGCGACAAAACTGATGATTTTTTTATATTGCAATTTTTGATGCCTTGGACTGGAGTCAGCCAGGCAGCTAAAAAACAACCCTGTTCTACAATTTTCACATGATAAATTCACATTTATGATATGCTTAACTGTAAAAAGTGGACAGGATAAGGATGCTAAGAGGAGCTTTAAACATAAACAAAAGAAAAAAATATATACAGGGTGTCTAGAGGTTTCAACAAGTCAAATGTAAGACTTTTTAAAGACCATAATGAAAACAATTTAAAAACCATTTAACATCCATACGGGCAAACAATTACAAAAGATATGAAGGAAAATCTGAGCATTTTACATTACTTCAATCTTTATTCGTATGGCACGTTATTTATTTGTTAGTAGAGTTAATTTCAAAATCATATTTAAGACATTTCATGAGATTTTAACAGAATTTTAGATATTTTAAGCCTTTTTAACCCTGTATATAAGACATTCCAATCAAAGGGTAAATAATAACATACTGGTTTACCAAGGGTAGCTATGGTTAGCAGAGCTAGCACCACCGGCCTTCAGACCTCCTTGTTGGTTCATGTCTCAATGCTCGGGTTAAAGGTCAAATGTATCAGAAAGTGTGTGAACATGAACAGAAGGACTGTTTTACTAACGTCCTCATGTCGTCTGGGCTAGAAAATAAACATATGTGCTGCTGATGGTGTCGTTTGAGTGGCTTCGTAGTATTTATTTCACTTTGCTTCATCATGTCACATAAGCTGACACATGTATTCCCTTTTGCCCTATTACTACTGTAAATAGCAGAAGGCAAACTGAGAAACCGTGACCATATTTCACATATTTATTCACAAAGCTGCATCTTGTCACTCTTTTTCCACTGGTTCAACATTTGAGATTAAGCGTCCCAATTAAGGTGTTGCCTTAGACGGAGCCAGACCAGCTGCCCTCCACTTTGTTTCCAGTCTTCTGCTTGGTGTAGTTCACATTTACAGGTAAGATAAAAACACAACTTTCATCAATTGTTCAATCACAATCATGGCAGGAGAGTGAATTAACACTTTGCCAAAAACGTCAAACTGTTCCTCCACAAACTGGCCTCAAACTAACTAACATTTACCGATCCGTTCAGGTGATGCGAGCGGCGAGAGGAATTTAATTGCTTATTTGATTTTTCCACATGACATCTCACCAACGCAAACACGCCAGTGCTTCGAACGCACACAAACACACGCGCGCACACACGATCAACTGGCAGCTGCTAACCCCGAGATTAAGGCCAGTGTGACAGACGTGATTTCAGGCTGCATCTGTGACAGAGAGAAAGAGAGCAGAACAAACAAACGCACAATAACGTGCAGCTAACAAACACTGAGCAGCAAATTGTTACTATCTAGTGAAGAGGAAAAAAAAAACACAAGAGGTGCAGGGAAAAAAAGAGGAGGAAGAAAAACAGAGGAGCCACGCACCATCTGTCGGGTGCATATTGAGTGTGCATTTGGAGATTCAAAGGCGGTTAATTCCGTATAAAAACCAAGAGAAGAACTAGAAATGCCAGGATCGTGAAAACCTTTTAGTAAAAATTTGATGAAGGGAAGAAACGGTGTATAGATCAAAAGCTCCTGCTCTTTTTGACGTCCCCGATTGGCTGAAAAGAAGAATGAGATTACAAAAAAAACAGATGTTGTGTTCGCATTTGATACAAGCGGGCTTTTAGCAGAAGCAACCTGGCCTTTGGTCAAAGCTAAAATTGAATTAGCTCTCCATTTAGCCTCGCCACAAACAGCACCAGACGACGCAACAACGGCAGCACCCGTGTTCTCCAGCTCTCTCTTTCCCCCCTGCTCCTCTCATCTCCTAAAGCATTGCGAATGACACCGAAAATAATTGAAAAGCCTGCTCAGCCTGCCACGAAACTTCAAAACCTGCTTTTCAAGAAAGGCATGGGAAAAAAAGGAAGAGGGAGAGAGATAGAAGAGAGGCTGAGAAAGAAAAAGTGAGGAGAAGAGAGGTTTTTCTTTCTGCGGGTGAAGCTGCTCATTGATATGACAGTTTGATTTTCTGGGTTCTGGTGTGAAGCGGCTTAAGAGGGCATCCCTCTATTATACAGCCTGTGACATCTAGCCTCTGCAGCTCTTCAGCCCCCCTTCCTCCCTGCGTGGATATGTGTGCGTTTGAGTGTAAGCTGGTGCATGTGTGCCCCTATAAGTACATGTGTTTCACACTGCGTGGATATGTGTGTGTGTGTGTCGGACCCTCCCCTGAGTTTCCAATCCGGGATCACATGCGAGGGAATGTGAAGTCGGAGCAGCTGTCGGCCTGGCAACGCTCCTTGCCAACTGAGCGGGATAGAAAGTTACCAAAGCATCAGGACCCCAACACTCATCACGGCGGAGGACAGAGCGTGTGTGTGTGTCAGCTTCAATAAGCATTCGTGCTGTCAGTAACTATTAGGAATATTGCTGAAGACCCCACCCAGGATGAATCAGCCAGAATCCAACAGCAGGATAAAAATCATTTTCATATTTGGAGCCTTTTAACATCAATAAAATCAGAGCTAAATTAATTTCCAGTCTGGCAGCCTCTATCGGGATCTCAAGCTCCTTTCACAATTAGTGCCACCTGGTTGGATTTGGCATGAAACCTCCTTTTTTTTCCACATATAGAACTTCGCTGGCATAAGACTCCAGCACAAGCTCAGCCCGAGTTTGAGGATTTTTTTCTTTTTTCTCGAATTGAAAGGGAAAAAACAACATAAAGACGCCTGATGGAAAGGAAAAATTTGTCTTGGCTGACATGTTTATTCAGTCGACTCAAATTAAAGTAAACAGAGGCCAAGGGTCAAAGCCAGAGCGCTCGCTAGCTCGTGAAACTCGACGTCTATTTAAAAGACAGCCAAAAAGTATCGCCTTTAATGGGCATGCAGACATAAAAAAGTTCAGCGAGGAGCAAAAACAGGTGTAGGTGAAGGTGTAACATAACCGTGGTAATAAAACACAGTTATACATTTTTTAATATCTACACCAGATGCATTTACAAGACCTCAGCACTCTTTTAAACTTGTACTTAAACATCCTGAACTCATAATAAAACTCTCCAGCTCCTCTCCCTTATCTCCTCTACCTTTGTGGTTTAAGATCTACCTCATTTTCTGACTTCTTTGCACTTTGTGACTCAACACTCTGAGCTCCTGATGGTGAAGTTCAAATGAAAGCTGTTTGAGACGAGGGGGAGAGCGCATCTGCTGTGAGGGGAAAAGAGGAGGGTGTACTCCAGTCACTGCATGGGACAAAACAAGCACAACATGGCATGCGGCACGGTAATAGTTTAATGTCTATTATCTAATTTTCAGGACTGTGGGAAGCCATAATCGTAAATAAGATTGGAATTTGATGAATCCCACAGCTCAACATGCTTGTCCAAAGGAATAAAAGACTAAAATAAAAGGGAAAGTTACCAAAAAAAGCAAAAATAAAACATAGATATCAGTAATAGGTAAACATGCTTCCTTTTTAACTATCAAAAAGTGGAGAAAAAGTTCACAAAATCACCCGTTTTACCTAAAGTTACGTTACAACCAGAAACAAGATAAGGGTAGAGACCGTGTCCTCTATTTTTGGAGAATAATCGAGTTACCTCGGAAGTCAGAAGCCCGAGCTGAAACTGACGTCACACCTGAGTTCCCACAGTTTTAGTTACCAAGTTGGAAAAAAGCAAAATCGGAGGCGAAACAAGATGGCTACATCTACGAAAGTTTTTTTCCGACTTGGTCACTGAAACGCTGGTAACTCGGTTGTGACGTCATTTTCAGCTCGGGCTTCTGACTTCCGAGGTAACTCGAACGCACCATAACACCACTGTATTAGCTTACTGAGGTCAAGAGTGCGTGGGAGCAGCCAGGTTACCATAGCGCCCTCTGCTGGATCACACCACAGGCTACATCAGGCGGCCTGATGCGCTGGTTTACTGTGTCATTATGATTTTAAAAAAGCTGGTTACAGTTTAAGTATGAATTTTTCCCCCTAAAGTTGAAATGAAAGTTCGAATTTTGGCTAAAAAGTGACAACCAAATGATGTACCTCATTTTATTCATTGTGTTTATTAACTTTACTTTCTTCATTGAGAAGAAGATCTGGTCTTAACAAAGTTGGTGTATCGTGTCGCTGATTGATTATTCTGACAATGAACAACTATGTGACACCAAACAGTCTTGAAATGCCGCACGAACGACACACCCTTATCTATGAACAAACCTTTTCAGGTCACGTCAATTTTATCAACGGTTTTGATGAACTCCAGCGCCAGTATGTCATGAGCACTCCACCACGTCATTGTTGGCGGTTATTTGTTGCACAACAAGGCGAAACCTGTGAGCTTCATTCCTTTCTGCCACATGACGAAAGGTATGCCTGCACAGTTACGCCGCGGAGAAATATCCTCGACACGTTGGCTCGCTTTCAGTTTTTACCACATCTTAGATAATTGAGACAAACATTGGCTTGATATGAACATTCCAAGCTTTTCTTTCTTGCCAGTGCTTTGTCTAAGAGACGTGGGTTTGTGTGCGGATAATTGCTTCGTTTTAATGAGTCAGAAAAGAGAAGTACGGCGGTAAAAGTACACAAATTAACCACGTTGTTAACATCTCAAGAGTTAAAGCTTGTAGTTTGGCGTTTCGCCACATCAGCGAGGTCTTTGGCAGGGATGTAAGTCACAGGAATGCCTTCAATAATAGTATCAGTGTGTGTTTGAGTGTGTATGAAAGCGCTGTAGCACATCCTACCCTCAACAAGGCTAGCTAAACAAGATTTTGTCTCCTTGGAAGATATCAAAGGCGGCTCGGGTGGAGGCTGATGTGTAATTAAATTCATGTGCCCGGCCAGGAGAAACACGTACTGACACAAAACACACGCACGCAAGGACACACTGATAAAAGAGAGAGTCAGCGCGAATCCCGGAGAATCCCAAACAAATCCCGGGATCAGATGCTGCGGTGGGAGAGCAAGAGGTGGAAGAAAAAGGAGGGTAGAGCGTGTTTGTGTGTGTGAGGACGGCTGATCGAGTCAAAGGGGTCAAAACAAGAGTGTGTGTGTGTGTGTTCATGTGCTGGTCACAAGAGACAGACTTGAGTATATTATGGCTAAAACTCAAAAGAGACCATGTGCCAGGGGAACAATACACTATGCAAATGAAGCCCCTCCATATGGCGAGAGTCAACTGAGAGCTCGACACACACACAAACACACACACAGAAACATGTCTACAACGAATTAAGAGCCAAAGGCCTCCTCTCATTTCGGTGCTAAATCTGCAAAGCCTTGTACCAGCGATCTCTGCTCCGAAAAAGAAGGAGAGGAGAGGACGAGACATGGATAGGGAAGGAATCAAACACACGCTCAATTGAGGAAAGAAAAGAAAGCAGCCAATACCGCCGTCTCCTGCTCCTCCTGATTAGCATTCAGAAGGAAAAGGAGGAAGCAGTTAGCAGTCGGGCCCTTATCAGAGCCTGCCTGCATACCTCCCACACTGGGTCACTGTGCAGAAAGCTCACCGTGTCTTTTTCCCATGTCTTCGTGCTGCCTATTATCTGTTAATCCACCCACACTGGTTCATCCCGGTGTAACAGGAAACATTATTAACTGCTGAAAAGAGATCCGACCTTCGAGACACGTGGAGAAAGCTAATAGCCTGAAAGCCTGCAGGATACGTCTGAGCGTCGGAGGCTTCGCCGTGTTGTCTCGGGGCCCCCCCCTCCTGTCTTCCTACATGCCGCTTTAGACAGCGGGCCCGGCGAGTTCACAACCCGTCCTTTGGGGGGACGTCGGTGGGATGGAGGTTTAAGGAAGAAACGGGAGGGATTGGAGGAGTAAAATATAGACTTCTGCAGAGGTCAGACATGGTCGAACGCTGACAACATGCACCAAAGAGATGCTGCAGTAATAGAGGGATTTCAGGAGCCCTGTACTTTATTTTAGAGAGTTTAACCTTCGGTGTACCGCCAGCAGCTGGCAGGAGCTTCAAACTCACAAACATAAATCCTTGTAAAAAGTAAATAAAACCATCTGCAAAGGTTGGAGGTACCCCCCACTCCCAGCTGGGGGTTAAATTCCCCCTTAAACTTTCCCCCTTTTAATGGCCGTGCAGTGGAGTGGAGAATGTTCCACTGTGTATGTATGTGGATCTGTGTATGTGTGTGTGTGTTGGAGAGGAAAAGGTAAGCAGCGGTGGAATGATGATCCCGCCATTTCCCCCCCCCCCCGAGGCCACATCTGCCCTCATTGAGCAGGCCGCCTCTGAAAAAGCCTCGTCCGACATTCCAGGAGCATTCCGCCAGCATTCATCACTCGCTCCAAGACCCCCTCCTCGAAAAACCCTCCCACGCCCACCTCCCCCCCCCTTCAGAGCCTGCTCCTCTCCCCCCTGTGCTCCCAACTAAAAATCTCTGAAGCTAGATCCAGAAATGTCCAGAATGTCGGCTGTGAGACTCTGCAGAGCCAAAGCTCGATCCCCTCCCCTCCATCTCTCCCTCCCTGTTGCACTGGGGTCATTGTTCATCCTCCGCCATTCATTCCTCATCCATTGCTCACTCCATCTCTTCTCCCTTTTCTCCACCTCTGCGGGGATTTGCGGCTCTCTAATAGAGGCATCTACCATGTCCCGCTAACTGTTGGAACAGCTGGAGCTGAGATGCGTGCAGAGTGCTGCCCATTAAGTGTGTATGTGCGTATATCCGGCGGGGTGTGCGATCCGGCGTGCGCGGACGAACATCTGTGCGGAGAGGAGCTATGGGAAATGATGTTGCGAGCGCCAGGCCCTGAAATATCTGTCACACTCTGACATATCAACGCGTCCAGCTGCATGCGTGGCTGAGGATGGCGGCGTTCAGGCGTTCCGACACACACCAACCCCGGCAGCGGCTCTATTTTTTATCACAGGTCATAAATCAACCATCTTCTAATTGTGGCTGACTTTCCTGGTCCCTGACAATCTGCTCCTTGACAACCGGCCCATATAACTGACTAACAGTGCCCTCAACAACTGTCGTCCTGGGTAAGCGGGGCGTTTATCAGGGGCCTCCATCCCCTTTCAGAGAGGATCCTGCCTGGCAGACCCCTGAAAGTTTGATAAGCCGAAGGTGGGCATGAAGCTCCATATTTAGCTGCTGCTGTCAGACTCTGATTTAGCACCGCAGGTAATTGCTGAGATTCAAAACGGAGCAGGCAGGGAGTGAGTTAGGGGGTGTGTAATGGGAGGCAGGGAAGCTAAATTATGCTGAATAGCACTGCAGTGATATCCCCCCTTTTGCTGTTGAAACAATGCATCGCCGCCAACCACTTTTCATTGAGACAGCAGCATCAAAGCAAGAATAATGGATCCTCGCAGAAAGCCCAGCTCGATAGTTGCAGAAACAAAGCTCTCATTGTAATCTCCGGCTCGCTCTCTCCTCTCGTGCATTCATCCCACTGTTAATCCTTTTCACATTACTCTGACTCTACTGTAGGCCATAACAGGAGGGGAATTAGAAATCTACTGTAGATTTCTAATCTGTTCCATACTGTTAGGCGCCCATGTTCAATCAGCACTTGGCGGCAGAAGAAAGAGAATACGAGAAAACCTGCAAAAATAAGTTCGACGGATACATCAGTGTCTGGACCAACGCTCGGCGGAAACATGCTCGGGCTGAGCATGTGTTGCATCAAATTTCCGACCATATGTCCTCATGTCTTAAAAGTTTTTTTACTTGAAGGCTTATGTGATCACGGCTGGAGAATTTAATCGCTGCTTTTCCATGAACAACTTCTTTCTTAAAGCTTGAAGCAGACGAGGAGGAACCTTGGAGTATTTCAGTGATAGACTATTCTGTTTAACTCAAAGTGAATATTATATTTGTTTGCCACCTGGGAGTGTTGTGAAGTAAATCGCAGATAGAAGCAGGAAGACACTGCGGTAGCTCAACTACAGTGTGCCAAAAGGGTCAAAATAACACGCACTGTACTAGTTAAAGGCTGCGTAGTGTGTTATTTTCATGGTTGCAAGCATTTTAGGAGGGCTGGGATGATATGCTTTTCTTCTACGATTTTTTGGATTCCAATTCAATTTAAATTGCAATTCTACGATATTGTCGATTTTCTCGATTTTTAGTCAACATTTTTAACTCCAGTAAAACAGCTGAATTATTATGATTGTTAACTGACTAGTTCCAGGAACCATATTTCTCCCAAAATTACACATCATATTTAAGTCAGTTTTTAAAATTTTTTCCTTAAAATTAAAAAAAAAAATCCATTTTTTTGACAAAAAAAAAATCAAATTTTTAACAAAAAAATCATTTTTTTTTAACAAAAAAATCTATTTAAAAATTGTAAAAAAATTATGTGAATCGATTTTTTCTCCCACCTTACATTTTAGTGTTTTTGCTAATAGATTAGACTTGCTTTTGTTCAATCTGTATGGACAAAAATTTCAAAAATGTCAGAAAATTGTAAAAAAAAAAAAAAAAGTAGTCCGATATTTTCTTTTTCTGTCTTTTTCTTTACCCAAAGTTTAAAAGAAACTAGAAGAGACATAGTAGATTGTGAGTCATCACCTAGTTTTTCTGTTTACCCTTTAGCTCTTTTTTCCTGAGGGTGGGGGGTCTTGAGAAAAAAAGCTAAACTGATGTAGTCGATAAGGTTATTTCCAACCCAGGCTTCAAAAACAAAGAGGTGGATTTCCCATCAACCTTAGACAAACTGTGCCGTGGAGGTTGGAATTCCTCTCCAATTATCGCTCACGCTTTTGTGGGCTCTGGTGTTTAGTCTTTTTTTTTTTTTTTCATTTTTTCTACACATCCACAGAGAAAAATCTCTCAGTGATTGCATTGATCCCCCCCCCCAACCCAAACATGTGATAGCTGGAGGTTTATTCGGTGGATGGCCTGACCGCAGGGTTAGAGAGAAGTGACCACAGACAGACACAAAACTACAGGATGCTATCGACTGCAGCTCCACAGATCCATAGCCACTGGACTGGAAGTGGCCTGTGGGGGAATAAAGGCCAGCTGGAAAAATAGATGGGGGATTGTGATGTATAGCATCTCGTAGGCGCCAGGGGGCCACAGTGATGATGATGAGCAAAACCGATTTCACAGGGTTTCCTACGCTGACGAAGAGCAGAAGTCCTAAATCCAGTTTGAAGGCAGAGTTCAGAGTTTTGTTTGCAAATCGCGGGGCGAAGGGGCCAAAGAGCGTGTGTGCACAGAGAGCACTGAGACAGACAAGGATAAACCAGGAAGACATAATATGAGCAAAGACAGAGAACAACACGTCTATACATACAGATAATAAGAGGTCCTGCTCTGTGTCACACCATCCGAAGTCCAAACACACTCTGACTATAGTCTGTTCCCCTCACACACCACTACATTTAAGGAAATTATAGGCCAAAAATATCCCCCTTAAATTGAATAAACCAAATTAAATTGAATCCTTATCTTGTCCTGAAAAGTTAATGAACAGAATTAAAGTAGAAACAGGAAATCTGGCGAAAGGGAGATGAAGAAATCGCTGTTCAAAGATTCATTTTCTCCAGAACTTTCTGCTTTACTTGGGTGTATCTGTGAAGGTCAGCGAGGATTCACTTTGGAAAGTGAGGGGGAGTAATTCGCCGTCGACAGCAGACTCTCAGTCTGAGAATTCAGCTGTACTCGTCCGTACTGGATGACCATGTATGTTACTAATCATCCCTGCAGGGGGTGTTTAAAATGCTCTAAACTATCAAAAGTCCTGAAGCGCTGGAGCCTCTGGCGTCCATTATGTGATTAGGAGAGAATTCACAGACCTCCGGGGGCAGAGAGAGGTCTGCCTCTGAGGCTGCCAGGTATGGCCCAAGGCCTTTATAGGAGATATTTGAGATGTGTGATAGCTATCAGGGGGTCTGAGGGGGGCATGGTATCAAGACACTTGGGCCTTTGAATGCTTCCTTTCCTGAAGGAGCATGACCAAACACCTTCCAGCGAAAGAACAGATTTCCCAATCGTTTAAACTGCAAATGTTTTAGTTTTCTGTTGAGATTCAATATTTCTTTTAGTGGTTCACATTTAGATAGAGCCATAGCACTAAATATAACCTCTGCACTGAATAATACTTCTTTTTAGATATATTTAATCCTGCTGTAAAAGTCGGGATTTTTGCTGCGTTCGAGTTACTTTGGAAGTCAGATGTCCGAGCTGGGAATGACATCACACCGAGTTACCAGTACCAAGTTGGAAGAAAGCGAAATCGGAGGCAGAAACAAGATGGCTACATCTATGAAAGGTATTTTAGCGCTTGCCTTGTCCTCGCTTATATTCAGACAATGCAAGTGCTAAAACAACTTTCGTAGATGTAGCTAGCTTGTTTCCACCTCCGATTTTGCTTTCTTCTGACTTGGTAGCTAAAACGCTGGTAACTTGGGTGTGACGTCAAGCCCAGCTCGGAACGCAGCATTAAGCATGGGTGTCAATAGGGCTTCCTTGGCTTTTGGAGCCAGCCCCTAGTGGACACTGAAGGAATTGCACATTTGCGTTCTGCATATGCTTCACTTTTTAACACGAGAGCTTGACGCTCAATCTGATCATGTGTAAATTGTTAATATAATGCCATCTCTTCACACTTTGCACCATCCATTTGCCATGATGTGAAAGTCACACTCGGGAAAAACCAATAGGATGTTGTTGGGAAGTTCAAAGTAAAAGTTCAAAAGGGTAGTGCATTTGGAGCTTTGTCAAACTGCAATCTAAATGTGAAAGGGTCTATTGATTGCTCAAAGAATAGCGGGTTATGAGAGCACTCCAGTGATGAAGCACTGCCCTTTAATAACCTCTTCAGACACATGATGGACGGTCGAAAGGACAACTAGACGTTACAAATGGGTTCTGCCGGACCTTTTAGTATGATGCCATTAAACGCTTTGTCAAATTAGCTTCTAAGAGGTTATGATGTGTTACACAAGATTAATTATAAATGGTTGTCAATGGTAAACTAGGTTACTTAAAGACATATCAGTTGAAGATCTGGATCCAGGAAAGGAAGTAAGGATAACCGCATTGTATGTTTCGCAAAGGAGGTCTGTATGAAAAGTTGATTTGTATCGTTGTAGAATAATGTTCCTTTGTAATCCAGACATTTTTCTCTCAGCCCTTGCACTAGTATCCACTCAATATCGCACTGTCTTATGGATGCATTATGTAAGATCTCGGACAAATGGATTTTTCTGTTCTGACCCTTCAGGGCACTCACTTGTGAAGCTAATGCCGGTGCTTTAGAGATGTTCCCTTCCCCTTTATACTCCTGCTGGTTTTTTGAACACAGAGCAGAAATGAAAATATCTAGGCTCATTTCCCTACCTTGAGGGGGGAAACATTAGCTGCCATTTATTCTTACGGTATTAAAAAGAGCTTCTACAGGCTTTCCTGAGCAAGACGGCCCCTCCGAGTAAACATGAAGTCTTAATTTGGTTTCGCCGGTGTTTGCTGTGTTTTTGCTATTTCTCTGTGCCCGGGTTAGATGTTTTCAGATGACTTCTGAATATAGGTTACTCTGCTTACTCTCAGTCTGCTGACACTCACAGGAAGTCTCTGCCAGGAAAGAGGCCTGCAAAAATACAAAAGCACCTTGCAGACTTTTAAATCTCTGGCTGTTTTTGCGGTTGCACTTTGGCAAGGAAGAGTACTAAATTTCAAGCTGGATTTTGCATGATAAAATCTGGATTTTGGACACCGAGGCAAGTCTGTTAAGTGGACTGCAGACTGTCCAATTTGCACTAGAAATGGTGTTTTTTACCCCTGGAGTGAAAGGATATAAAACAGTCTGTTGTAACTTTCCAACAGTGTTCAAGTTTTCCTCAGAATTAAACGAAGGGGACGTGCTCGCAAATGTTTGGATACCAAACAAGGTGTGGTGCGATTTATGCCGCTCGCTGTCGGAAAGAGAAAAAGCCTCTCTGATACCTGTAGCTTTTTCCGCCTCGCAGCAAGGAGTGGGTCCGGTTTGATCCGGTCTGATCCAGTCCCACTCCGGCCCAGCAGCAGCAGAGGTCAAGGACACCCCAGCGCAACCTCCGCCTGTCAGCGCAGGTTTGGCAGGGGAGGGATTAGGATGCAACACGGGGGGACAGATTAAGGGGTGACACACGCAGAGATCTGGAGTGCCAATCTGCTGAGCTGCAGGGGACCCCACCCCCTCCTCCTCCTCCTGCTTTCAGAGCAGGTGGATTGGAAGTGATCGATGTCATACTCGTGCACATCAAACACGCTGGCACGAGGAGGGTGCACACAAACAGGCAGATGCTCAAGCTAATTCCCGACTAGTGCTTCAGACGTGGAATTTAATTTGAACCCTCTCTCTGTGACGTCCAAGTCTGTTACCTCACCAAACAGCCCCGAGTCACGACGAGTAGAGTCACTAAATAATGCTGATGCTCACTTTGCTATCTTTGCATTAATGCGCCGCAGTTTGAAGTCACTGCAGAGACGAAAAAAAGCCCCACAGGCCTGGCATCGGTGCGTCTGAAAACACAGCCCGAGGAGCTTTAAGGCTGTGAAAACAACTTGTGCCACCTCTCAAATTCACTTGTTGAAACACTGGCTTTCACATTATCCAGTTACAGTTTGATTGCAGCTGTGTTCTTACTCTCTCCCCCCGCAGTCGTGCTTTTAATTCTTGTCTGGCAGTTTCATCTCATTATACTGTTAATCTTAATGGCTTTCCTTTCCTCACTGTTTTGTAAAGCGCTTCAATGTGTTTTGAAAACTGCTGTAAATGTGAACTTCGCTGTAATTCAAGTCTCGCTGCTCAAGTAATTGTCTAAATTGGAATTCATGAATATAAGAGGAAACATTTTACTTCGGCTCTGCCCGCTGTCTGACAGCTTAGCGCAGCAAAGAGCACAATCAGTGCCGGATGACACAGCATTAACGCCGTTGTTATTGGGGAACGCATTTCAGCGTAACAACTTTCACTATAAGGTAATTCAGCGTCCAAATGCTGACATCAGTGGAAAATGTGCACTACACACACTTACAATTCGCCACTTGGGGAATGTGAGGTTGTTGATGTTGGAAACTGTTAAAACACACACATACACACACAGAGGCAGAGGAGTAATGCGCATGAAAGCTCGGGGAACAAAATCCAGATGAGCTAATGACGCTCTTTGAAAACGGAGTGCATGTGCATGAATGAGCGAATGCACATGACCTCCAGGGACACGTGTGCGCACACACGCAGACTGTCCCAGACACAGTTTGTTATGTCCTGCGCCCTTATCAATTCACAAGTCCAGCTTTCAACAGGCCCTCATATTCTCTCTCTCTCTCTCTCTCTCTTTTTCGCCCCCCCTACTTCTTTCTCTCTCTCTCTCTTTCACTCAACCCTCCAGTTTGCCACCATTCAGGAAACAAAATGTGAAAAACACGCTCGCCTCCAAACACTGATTTAATTAGCTGATTTAATTAACTGATTACCAAAGTTCCATCTCAATGCTACAAACAGCAGCCAGCATTATTAATCTTTACAGCAACACCGCCGCGCTCTCGCTGCTGAAGCTGCAGCGCTGAATGAAACAGGACAGCTGCCCTACTTACGCGTTACATGTTTATATATTCTTACAAATGAAACGCCAACATCCACGTCTATCCATTATGAGAGGTGTGAGGTAAATATGAGCGCACCCACGCATGCGAACGCACACATTCCCACACACGCACGCGCACGGGCTAAATCGAGTCAGATGGGACTGATACTGTGGGAAAAAAAAAAAAAACACACACACACTTTTTTTTGGTTCAGAGACTGTCCCACTGGTGCCCATAAGCTGTCACTTCTGCTCTCCTGCTGCGCTTAATTCTGTGACAATGTGTGTAAGTGTGAGTGAGTGAATGAGTAAGTGCGTGTCCTCGTGTGTGTGTGTGTATGTGTGTCTCCATTGTCTGTTGCTGTTCTCAGACAAAGGAAAGAGAGGGGCCCGGTTAAATTAGCAAGTTTCATTCCATCAATGTTCATAATTATTTCATGGACTCCTGAATATTTTATATACTGTGAGTGTGTGTGTGTGTGTCAGTGTGTGTCAATGTGTGTGTGGTTTTGTATAAGCATGCCCTTGCTTTGTGTATTGGCGCGCACAAGTGTGTTTATGACTGTGCGAGTCTGCAAACTGCAACTGTATGTGTGTGTGTGAGTGTGAGTGTGTGTGTGTGTGTGTGTGTGTGTGTGTGTGTGGGAGTGTGTATTGGGACATTAAGTATTAACTGAGCTGGGGGGCTCGGAGATGAACGTCCGGGTCTTCTACTATCCCAGCATGCTCCGCTGCTCTCCTGTCTCGCCTTTCCAGGATAGGAGCCTGGGGAGCTGTCAAGACGCACTGCACTGCTTTCTCTGTGTGTGTGTGTGTGTGTAAGAGGAGGAAAGTGAGTGTGTGTTAGTGTGTGTGCGAGTGTGTCTTCTGAGAATGGGAGGCGACTCATGCAAAACCCAGATGAGTTAATAATGCTGTTTGAGAATCCCTCTTCAAACACACACACTTTCTCAGAGAGACAAGTGCATCCACACACACACACAGACACACACGGGGAAAATACACACACACACACACACACACAGACTAACAGGCACACGTGGGACGCTGCCTGGCTCCCTCCCTGCATAACATGTTCTTGTCTGTCCCCTCCTATTCCCTCTCGTTTCCCGGGCGATGGGAGGGGAAGAAAGGGAAACGCAGGAAAACACAGAAGAAAAAAGACAGAGGGGAGGAAAGAATGTGTCGGTTTCGACGCAGAGCTGACATGAAGCAGGTGTCGCCAGTAAATTTCACAACTGCCATCCTCGCCGCCGCCACAATTCCTACTTTTGAGCATGTTTTTTTTTTTTCTGCCTCTTCTTCTTCTTCTCTCTTGTTCTTGATTTCTATCTGGGTCATCCTTTCTTTAATTTGACTGCTGGTGTAAAACAGGTACAGAGAGAGAGTCTGAGTGAATGTCTGTGGAAAAGAGTCCAGCATCTCAAACTCTCCATGATTCCCATAGGTAACACTCGTCTCCCCAGCTCCACATGGAGAATCTGCATGTGTGAGTGTGTGTTTTTGTGTGTGTGTGTGTGAGTGTGTGTTTGTTCTGTTTGCCAGCCTGAGAAGCAGAGCGGCACACACTCTGGCTGGCACACTTATGATAGAAGCTCCATTGTTTTGGCTGCTGCTGCTGTTGTTGTTGTTGTTGTTGTATCGGCTTTATGAAGAAGACAGAACTTAGACATTGTGGAGAAGAAGAGGAGGAAGAGAAATCGAAGAAGTAGAACCAGAGGAAGGAGAATTAAAAGATGAAAAAGGAAGGAAGATGAAGAGGGAAAAAGAGAAAAAGGAGAAACTGAGGGAAATCAGAAAATGAAGAAGCAGTGGAAGAGGAAGGAGAAGCAAAAGGAGGACAAGGAGAGGAGACGGGACAGAGGAAGCAGAAAAAAGAGAAGCAAAAAGAAAAGGAAAGGAGGTGTTGAGGACAATGAAGGAAAAAAGGAAAAGAAAAAGACAAAAATAAAGGAGAAAGACAATCTAGATGCTAAAGAACAAGAAGACAAAATGGAGAGAAAAGACAATGAAGACCAAGTGGAAAATAAGGACTATGAAAGAGAAAAAAAAAACTTCAAAAAGAAGGAGAGGATGACAATGAAAAAGTAAAAATGCAGAAAAAAACAAAGACAGAAAAAGACAAATATGTTAAGGACAGCCGAGAAGGACAGAAGACAAAGAAAGAAGAAGGGGAACAAGAAAAAAGACAAGATAAAAGAGAAGAAAAAGAAGATAGAGACAGGGGTGAAGAGGAGTAAACGAGAAAAACAAGTTATGAAAGACAAATAATAAGCTAAAGAAGAAGAAAATGAAAATGACAGAAAAAGAAAGAAGAAGAAGGAAACGTAGAAGAAGTCGTCAACAATTAGAGAGAAAAGGAGTAAGAAGAGAAAAGGAATAATGAGATAATGAATAATTATGTTAAAGTAGAGTCTAGAGAGAAGAAGAGGAGGAGAAATTAATGTCTGTGAAAAGAAGAAAATGAAGAATAAATAGACAATTAAAAATGATTCAAACTCGAACGAGGAAACAAAAAAAAGAAAAAGATGGAAGAAAAAAAAAAATCGGATAATCAGCAAAAAATGAAGATGAGAAGCAGATGAGAACCGAGCAGATGAAGACGAATCACTGCTTTTATTTGGTCATCAGTGTCCCTCCACTGCACCCGAGACCAGCTACACACACGTATACACATACACACACACAGATGAATATACACACACACTGAGATGTGCAGGAGGAAGCTGAGCGCTGGACTGGAAACACAGATTTTCAACAGATTGTAAAACTGAGGACCACTGGAGAGAGAGAGAGAGAGAGAGAGAGAGAGAGAGAGAGAGAGAGAGAGACAGAGAGAGAGAGAAGATAGAGAGAGAGAGAGAGAGAGAGAGAGAGAGAGAGAGAGAGAGAGAGAGAGAGAGAGAGAGAGAAAGAGACACAAAGAGTGGTGGGACAAGAAGAAGGAAAATGGAGGTTAGAAAAAACGCAAAAAAGGAGAGAAAAGATGGGTGGGTGGTGAAACGTGGAGAAACACCTTTCCTGTCTCCACCAGGGTGCACACACTCACACACTTCTACACACACATACACACACATACACACACACATACACACACAGATCCGTACAGGTGCTGTTGCTGGGCTTGGCTCCGCTGCAAAAATGAGATAAGGGACCCGAGCGAAACGCAAACACAAGACAGAGGAACGGAGAGAATACTGAATGATGGGAAATTAGAGGAGAGGTGCTTCAGAGGTGAGAGACATCACAAGAGACAGCTCGGGGAAAACAACGTCCTCCAGGTGATCGCACACACACACCCACACACGCACGCAGGAGCTACACAACGCTCACACTTGAAAAGAAATAACAAAACTCTCCCTACAGACTGAGAAGAGGCCGGTCCTGATATCCCACACAAGACAAGAGGACCTTTAGACCTTCAAAGTTGGGTTAACATGTAACTAGACCGGCGAATCAACAAGAGGAGTGAGTGTGTGTGTGTGGAAAGCTACAAGGACACCACAAACTGTTTGATTAACAAACCTGCAGGGCACAGCAATGAGTCTTATGACAACAGTTGTGATTTAGACAAACACACAATCACAAATTAGGAAGGAGATAAAAAAATAAAAAGTGTCTTACCTGTTGCAGAGGAGGGAGGTAATGACGACGTGACGGCCATGAAAAGACAAAAAGAGAGAGAAAAACAGGGACGGTAAATAATGAGTTGCATTGGTATGGGAGGCGTCCAACAACAGAGTGACACTGTGTAAACACTAGGCGACCGTTTAAAATCCCTGAGCAATCACCGCCTCGGAGATCAATGGCTCCAAATGCCACTCCTTGGCTCATTTAAGCGACGCAGAAGAATTAATTTGACAGACTGACGAGTGGGAAAAAATGAACCAAAAAGGCGAGCGAGGAGAAGGATGGGAAAGGAAGGACGACAGACGAAGTGTGTGACCTTATTTTTTCTGCACAAAAGGAGTGACAGCGAGGCCTACGACGGACAGGTAGACAGGGGTTTAAATTGGGAAAAGAGAGGGAGATATGGACAGGCAGACATGTCGGGGAAAAAACAGTCGGGAGTGACAGAGACGGCGTGCCAAAAGGAGGGGAGTCTGCGCAAGTGCGGGGACAGGAATGCCTGACACCTCATTAGAAATGAATGAAAGATGCGCGCTCAAAGAGGCTCAGGAGGAGGGGACGATTGCTCAGTGAAAAATCCCCTCCCTAGAGGAGGTGACCAGATGGACAGGTAGAGACAGAGGGAGGAGGGAGACGCAGAGGAGCGATTCCCCCCGTTCGCTTTAGTCCTCCTCCAGATCTTCTCCAAGCCTCAGAAACAAATCCAAGTTGGAAACCAGCAGGTAGAATCAGATGGAGACAAACAGAAGGATGGAGAGAAGGTGACAAACAGATAGAGAGAGAGAGAGAGGAAAGGGAAAGTAAGAAAAAGAGAAGACAGAGAGAGGAAGAGTGGATGCTGTGTGTGCGCCAGTGCCTGAAATAGGCCTGATGGCAGCTGTCAGCTTCTATCTGATGGAGTGGAAACGAAGAAGAGCCAGAACGAGGGAGAGAAAACTACAGAGAGGGACAGAGAGAGAGATGAAGAAATGACAGAGAGAGCACAGGTACGAAATGGAGAGACGGGTAAAGACACATGGAGACACAGAGAGAGTGGGGAAGAGAAGGGAGAGATTGCATCTCTTATTCCACAGGGAGCACATCTCATCCCAGATATCCACAGCAGTCAACACTGTCAGAAACCATATGTTTAAGACCGTGTGTGTGTGTGTGTGTGTGTGTGTGTGTGTGTGTGTGAGAGCATGTGATGGAGTCACACTACTTTCACCTCCAAGTTTAAATTAATCAAAAGGAGATGTGGCAAAGCTGACAGCTTAAGTGTGTACGGTCATACATATGTATCATCTCATTAAAATGCAACATTACTACCAGGGTACCACACACATATAAGTCAGTCACACACACACACTAACGTACACACACAGGTTCGAGGGTACTTAAGTCAAGGAAGAATGACATGTCCTAACCCCGGGACATTGAGGCTGCGAGAAATCGAGGGTTTACACGAGGATAGTGGAAGTAAAGGTGAGTTTCAGCTGCTTTTCTTTATCCACATTTGGATTATTCTAGTTTATTACAACCTCAGTCTTCATTTTGACTATATTTTATCAAATCTGTCTGGATAATCTGAGGCAACAGTGGGGAAAAAAAAAAGTGTCAAGGGAGAAGGAGAAATAGCAAAGACCCAGAGGAACAGAAGAGTTTGTAAATAAAAATCGATAAACTCGTCCGTCTGAGGAGTTTCGAACCTCTCTCTCGGGTTCGTCTGGATGTTTCAGACAGTACTCAAATCTCAGACTTTCCAGAGCCACAAAATCATATAGATTTTTTAGTTTCCCCGCCTGCATACTCGATCATTTCAAAATAACAAATCGACCCCTGAGCAGTTTTATCATAAAAATTCATAACTTTCACTTTTCTTTATATATATAATGCAGATTTTTCCCACACTGCGCATAAATAAATGTAAACAAAAGTTGGCTTACAGGAATATTCGTGTGGGAAAGGAGCGGAGAGTGTAAAAGTCTGATTTTTCTGTCTCCTGTGATTGTGTTTAAGTCGAAGATGGATGAAAGTGTTTGTCGAAAAAACTTTTGTGATGACTCAAAGGAACAGATTTGACCCCTCCGACTCTCCGTTCTTTGTTAGTCAGATATTTGTAGCTCGGGGAAGGACTTCCTTAACAGCTAAACAAACATGAAGAATCAGCATCTGCTGCGGATGCGGATCACAGCGCTCATTAACTCACTCCCCTTAGAAATTGGGCCTGTTATCGTGCTAATGTACAACAAAGGATTAACCCGCTATTTGTGCAATGAGATTCTGAATAATTAACATCCCTTTTTATTTTATTTCCCAGGCGGACAATACGGTGACTTGAAATACTAATTGAACCACTGTGAAAATGTCCCTGCCTCATCTATTCAAGTTCGGTGTTTGTGTGTGGAGCTGGGATGGATTGCGGTCGGATCGCCAAACGATTCTCCCTTCAGAGGTGCAGTGAGACGTACTGGGCCCACCCCCTCAACAAGGTCCTGGACTGATTGTTTTGGTCCCCGGTGAAATTACATGGCCCGATTTCTCATACGGCCCAATAAGCTGAAATAAGGGGAAAACGCTTCGAGTTTGAAAAGGCTGCTGCCGGTGATTTAGCTGTAAAAATGGCCTCGGAATCGCCGGGAGAGTGGCACGAACCGGAAGTGTTTACAATCGAGTGGTGACTTGAGATGAAATAAAGTAGATGAGACACAACGGATGAGATGAAAGCAGCGTCTTAAATAAGATGCAGAGCTAAGTGGTGAAGCAGATTAGTATAAGAAACCGCTGTAGACGCCTGTAAACTGTTTACTCTGCGGAGTCGAGAGGGTGCGAAGTGTGTTGTGATTACGCTTTATGTAAATTAATTAGAGGCAGATGAAGCTATAACTAACTCACTGTGCTGGGATATTGTTGTGAAGCATGAATATCGCTTAGGTTAACAAGTATAACTGAGTGATGAGTAAAGAGGCGCAACAGTGATGGGAAAACTCTTACACACGCCAGAAAAAGGCGCTAAAATGAGAAATTTTCGAGCCGAAATAACTCTAATAATGAAGTTTTAAGCGTGCATGCCTCTCCCCTGCATGTTTATCACTTGGAGATAACTTTGACCTGTGTATCTTTTTATGATTTCTCATAACCGCAGCCTCCCCGTCTTCTCACGGCCTCTCTGTGCACTGGGACTGCACGATGAATCACACGCACAAAAGGCCATTCAATACTGAGTGCTGCACTTTCCAAATCACCTGATTTATTTATTTATTTTTTTATTAAAAGAAAGAAAAAAAACAAAAACACATCTCAGACAGCTTCCTACTCAACTTAATTTGGTGCTGTGAAGAATCTGCTGGCCGCTAAACAAAGAAACGCGCAGGAGAAAATCCCTTCACCGAGTAAATCCTGAACGTGTCGCCTTCTCACGAATTCACTTTTCATTTGAAACATTGTGCGTTATGTTAGAGCAGGGAAATCTCAAATTAAGCGTATCCAAAGTGAAAACACCATGATGTTTTCATCGTTGCACAACTGTTTTTTTTCTTTCTTTGAGCATCAGGCTCTTCTGCCTAGATATAACCTTAGAAACCATTAGATGTCATATGTACAATCGGATCCTTTTGCCAGAGTTTGGATATAAAATCACAAACTAGAGCTTTAAAAAAACAGCTGCTCCTCAAAAACCCTGACAGGAGGAAAAGGAAAACGTTGCGAAGGGTGTTTTGATGATGAACGCTGGATATTTGATGTCCTGGAACTAAACTCCTCACGCAGGCTGTAATTATCATGATAATGCTGTCAAAAGTGATGAATCAAAGCAGTGTTTATCCAAATAGTGTGCCCGGGAGTGCTGTTGTAAAAGAAGTTGTAAAGGGCATTGTAATGGACCCCTGTGTGCAGTTGTTCACTTGAAGCACTTCAGACAAGGCTCCAAAAGGCCAGAACAGCATGTCCGACCTTTTCACCCCAACCCACACACACACAGACTCACACAGAGACACACAAACAGTCTCTCAAACGCCAAAAGGTCTGACCTCTTTACGCTGATTAACATTCCTTGGATGGAGGAGGGGGAGATGAAGAGATACTTTCCCCTCACCTTCTTGCCCTCTGTTTTCACTCCATCTTTGCGTTTCTTTTTACTCTCTTTACCTCCGACTGTTCGCTCTCGTTTTTTGTCTTTCTTTCTGTTTGCCCACTCGAAACGTAATTATCCCTCCCTTCCAATTTCCTCCTCAGCGGCCCCGCTTTTATTAAGCTCTTTCCGTCCTTCTGACTCCATTTCCATTTCTCTCTCTGTAAGGTTAATGTGTCTGTGCATGTATACGATGGTGTGTTGTTGAGGCATGTCGCGGCAGGCGCCGTTACTCAACCTGACTGACTCACCACATTGGACCGAGCACGAGCACGTCATTCACACACGCACACACACATACTGATTTAAACAGATAAACATGCCCTCACTCTGGAAATCGGGACAGTAAAAGCAAGAAAACGAAAAATGGGTGTTTCATTAACTGTTCTACACCTCCGCTGCTTTATTAAGACCTGTGACTCATAGACGACTCCACACCTGCCCTCTAAAGTCTTCTGTAGCTGCTGCTGTGCACAGGCACGTGGCACAGCGTGAGTCTGGGGCACTAAAAGGATGCCCAATAAAGATTTTGTGTATGGTAGAGCTGCACAGTTAAGTGGTATCTCTATTTATGCTTTTGCAGTGAAACATTATAAACTTTGGAGTATTTTTGGACTTTTGAGGGGTGAACATTTGCAACAAATACACTGTGAAGATCTAGCAATGCTTTCTTACCGTCTCCACACACCAAGCGCGAGTAAAATCATTCGCGCGAATGAATTACATGTTAAGTCAATGGGAAGACGCGATTAGTCGATCCTACTACTCTGATGGCGCAAATGATGCGAACTGGGCGGGAGCTGAAAATGTCTCAACTTGAGCAGGTATTCGCTAATCCGCATTAAGTTTTGCTGGGTGACATATGAAAACAGACGGTTGTTCACTGGTATCTAGAATGGAGGACAAACTGATTGTGTCGTAGATGCCCTGAATTATGTTATACCTTTTCTTTCAATTACCAAAACCGAATAAAAAGGAGCTTGCCTGGAGACAAGTGAGCGAGGAGGTCGGATTACCTGGTAAATTGTACAAAACTTTTGTCTACCACTTGATCCCGCCGGTTGAATTGACAGGGATTACCATTGAAAATACTGTTGACACGCGAATGAAGTGAATTTGCGTGAACTAAGCGAGTAGATGGTTTCACTTGGTGTTAGCGCCCCATTAAACCGCGCCAAGACAAAGAATAGCCCCAAAATAATGACATGGCAAAGATCTGGTTACTGGAGAGTGCACATCAGGCTAGCGGATGATGGTATAACTTTGTTCTGGATTGGACAAACAAGACTATAAGGGCAAATTTGTAACTTACAAGTTACTTTGGATGCATTTAAGTCAGCAGCACAAACACAAATTGGTTTTTCACCATTGTCTTTTGTTCGAGGTGCATTACTATTTAACAGAAAAGTGTCATTTGCATGAATGAACGGAGCTCTGACGTCACTATTTTCGGAAATAGTCTGGCCGGCGCAGCAACAGAAGAGGCAGCGTTTCCAAGAGGACTCCACTTGGGGAAAAGTGTGTGCGATTTTAGCTGCTAAAAATGCCTTTTCCACGTACAGGAACAGCCCAAATGCAACTCTTGTTTACTGTTTTCACACCGTTTTACTGCAGTCAGATGAAGCTCAAACTAACTTGTAGTGCCAAAAAAAAAAGTTTGCACTCCGAATTTTAAAATGTTAAGATTTTCAAAACACCTTTTTGGTTGCATCAGGGCGTTAAAACTACAAAGTAAGATCAAAGCTGACTGAGTCTGTATTCAACTGTGCTCCAGATTAGTCAAATGCGGACTAACGAGTATTATAGGTGCCTCTAATGCATTATCCCTTGACACTCTGTAAAAGAGACTTGATAAGCACACTTTATTAAGTTAATATAACTCCACAGTATATGAAGTTAAAAAGGCAGAGTTCATAAAGGAGCTTTTGCACCATTTACCAGTGTGTAATAGTGATTCAGATGTAAGCAGCTTTTATACGCTTTTTCTCACTTAAATCTTACTTAAGGCAAAATTCAATCAAAGCTGCTATAACGTCAAGACTTTCTGATGATCCACTTTTTGATATAGATGATTTTGTGCTCTTGGAAAAGATGAAACTGGAGATAGAAAGTGTGTAACTAAAGAGTGCAGCTCAAAACCGTTAGCTTGATATTTTTGGTTTCGTATCCACAGTTCCTTTTTGTGTGTGTGTGTTCTGACATGCTCAGTTTCTCCAGCTGGCCCTTGTCTGCTTTTGGCACTCTGTGTGAAACACTTTGGGACTTTGAACAGTGTCGCATCATGGCCAAGAATCCCCGGAGAGAAAATCGAATATCACATGAGACTTCCTGTTTTAAACGAACAAACAAAAGAGGAAATCTACAAAAGGTGCGAGACTTTCAAATACCACAGCCAACACATCAATGATGTTGCGTTCACACCAGAAGTAAACAAAATTATTAACTCGCCCCATTCACCCGTTATATCGCGTCTAAACACAGGTTATTGCAAGACAGGAGGGGTTCCTAAATGTCACATCAGTTGGAGTTTGACCATGTTGTGTTTAAACATGCTCTTAAAACAGGAAAATTCATGAAAATTTTGGGTATGGGCTTCATGTGTTAACACAAACAACCCAAAATTTCAGCCCAACTTTGTTCAGACTTTGTCCTGCCAGCCCTAAGTGATATTTCTCTATCAAGTCGGTAAAGCTGATGTAAGAAAAAAGCAGGAAATTTTTGGGAAACTAGCTTTGTTAGTTGACTGACTCTTCTGTTGTGTTGTCCATCATCATGTTGTACATATCCTGCCTTCTAAGACTCAAAACCAACACCCCGTCACCACCACTAGGACCATTAACCTCCTTTCCTAACAAAAGAGACTCTGCAAGGATCATGTGTGAACAAGCCACTCCGGGAAATCTCAGTATAGAGCAGCTGGGAAAATTTCAAGCATTTTTCAGGAGTGCATGTGTGAAAGAGGCTCGACTGATGGGACTAAAATGTGTTTCTTTGTTTGTAGGTAGAAGATTTCTCATTAAATCTGATCATCAGAGGACAAATCTGGGTGAATGATTGACTTTGGTATGAGTCGATCACGTAGGGTTGCATACTTTCACTTTCTAAGAGCGAAAACGGTAAGTGGAGCAGGAAATAAAAGCATGTTTTATAACCTCTTAACCTCCTTTGACATCCTGAGGAACAAAACAAATCTGATAAACTCTGTGAACACTGTTTTCAACGAGCGCACGCCGCGATAAACACTCATATAAATAACATAAAAACCTGCGTGTTGGACAAGAAAGGTTAAAGACTTCTATATACGCTTGTACAAAAAGAAGGTGAGTCATAAAGGGAAGAAAAAACCTTGTCTCCTGCATATAAACAGGCCGAGGCGAGCGACACTCGGAGCGTGACAGACTCTCACTTATGACTCCTTACTTGAGGGAGAAACAAATAAACAACAGAATAATGAAGAGACAAAAAGCGGATGAAAAGCAACCCGGCACACCTACGAGCGATGCATCTTTACAAGTCAGGCAAGCGTGTGTACAAGACCACACAACCGCATGTCAGTATAAACCACTCACACAAAGAGATAGATAGAGAGAGTGTGTGCATGTCTGTCTGTGTGTGTTTGTGTGCGGCTGAGTGTGAGCCAGACTCCAGCTGAGAGGGGAAGCAATAGCAATTCCCACTGACCTGAAAACCAACGCGCGAGCCACCTCAAAAATACGGAGGGGAAGGCGGAGAATGTCAGTGAACACGAAGGAGATGAAAGTATGGAAGGTAAGATTTGGAAATAGTGGAAGATTTCAACACACGCACACAAAGACACACACAGGTGCGGTGAGGGATTATGGGAAGGAACAGGCCTCGACAACCCTTTGTGTCAAAAAAAGAGAGAGAGAAAGAAGACTAACTGACAGAGAGGAGAAGAAGGGATCAAGTTTGCAGCGTCTGCACACACCCAGCGGCGCAAAAACAACAACAACACAAAAAGAGAGTGTGTGCGCGAGCGTTCGGGGACTTTGTGCGAGTGTGTAGCAGTGTGGGAGTGTGTCCTTTTTTTGGCTTTTGTGACTCCCAAGGTTCCCCGCGGTCAAGAGCGGATCCTCTTTCTCTCTCGTGCCCTCTTTTCATACACTGGTTCCCCCTCTTCTTTTTTATACACTCACTCCTCGGTCCCCTCCCTCTCTTTTAGCGCGGCGCTGAATGGCCCCCTCTTTTTCCGATGAGTGACTGATGAATGGAGGAGCTCTTTGAAGTCAAGAGTCACAGCAAGGCTGGTCAAGCGTGAAGAGATGCCCGGACAAAAGACGGCAGAGGAGGGAAGGAAGGAAAGGAAAGGAAAGGAAGAGAAAAAAAAACCAAGGGGAAGGAGGGGGGTATATTCAACAAGGGAAAACGTCAGCGGCGAACATCCATAAAGTCGACGAGGAACGGCGACTCAAAGAGAGCGCGAGGGAGAGAGTGCGGTTCGCACTTTTGCATGAGTGCCTCGCAGTATTTGCATTGTGGCGCTCAACATGCAAAAAGGCAAACATCACGCAAGCAGGAAATCACCCCAGACATGACAGAGTGACAACTTCCTGGAACTGGACTCCTGCAGGGACAGGCAGGGGGTCTGTGGGTACTCACCCCCAGCCTTCTCCCTTTATTGCTGTGGACTCTGAGAGCAAACAGATTGCTTATGGAGTTGATTTATGTGACAGATAAACTTTCTGTTTAATGACTTTGGGAGGTTTCTTGTTTTTCTCAGCTCTTTACAGTCATTGTTTTGGTTTCTTTTCCCCCTCTGCAAATGATTAGCCTTTTTTTCTTTTATGGCCCTGGTATTTTCCCTTTATTTGTTTGTTTACTATGTAATTTTAACTACTTCAGATGCGCCCAACTGCAGGAGTAACAAGGACTTCTGCCTTTGTGTGCATAAGAGTTTTTTTTTTTCAGATGGCTCCTCCGGTTAATGAACTCAGAGAAATTGTCTTCAGTTTTCCCAGGGAACATTGCTCGGGCGCAGCTTATTTCACAACAGCAGTCAACACAGAGGGCTTCTCAGCGTTTCATAACATTTGATAGAAACTTCTGTGCGACCATCAACAATTTCTCAGCTTTCTCACAAAGGCAGCAGCCTTGGAGTCTGTGTTTACAGCAAATAATCTGAAATATTTCAGAAGTTTGTGGCAGAAATTTGACAGCCTTAGAGATGGATGTTTAATAGTCATGGTTAGCTAGTATTAATAACAATAATTAGAGAGCATGTCAGGGGCTGGCTGACATGTAGAGCCAATGTTAGGTCTTTTTTTGTTTTGTTTTACTCTATCAGCCTCATAAATACATGAAATTGTCATTAATTGGCGCAGTTATCTGCCTTTGCCGAATCTGCTTCTTTGTAATAGTTGCTGTTTAGTTTTGATTTGTACGCAGAGATGATGGAGGTTTTAAAGTCTCACAATGACTGAGTCAAGTTCAGCTGCTGTGACTAAAAACAGCTGGATGACATTAGACATGTTGAACTAAGAAGTGTTGTCCTGTTTGAACGTTAAAGGGATATTCCAGCGAAAAATTAAGTTCGGGTCAAACACACCGTAACACCATGTTAGACACCCCCTCGAGAGATGAATGTTGCCGACCCCTTGCTTCTCTAGTTATACCAACTTTAGCAAAGAGACTAAACACAACTCACCCACTCTCTTCCAGCAGCTGCTTGTTTGAGAGAGACCTCGGCCAGTCCATTACGGACTGCAGCGGGGTGACGCGGCTCAAGGAAGAACATTTATGATCATTTCTCCATGGAAATGAAACCAGACCAAGATACTAGGGCAGAAGAACTATCGTGTCTGCAGCGCAAAATGATTAATATGATGATTATTACTTCAAGGGAATGATAAAGAAATTATCATAAATGTTCTTTCTTGAGCTGCATCACTCCGCTGTGGTAATGGACTCGCCTGACGTCTCTGTACAAACAAGCGGCTGCTGGAAGAGAGTAGGTGAGTTGTGTTTAGTCTCTTTGCTGAAGAAATCAGGCAAAGTTAAAAAGATGTTTGGTGGCTAGTACTGTGGCTGTGACCCTTTATGTACTGTTGATGAAGTTAGGTGCTGTTCTGAGCATTATTTGTGTCTACAGAGTGGTGTTTTGGTTAAGGTTTGTTTATGGCTCCTCAGACTGCTGTGTATTGCTATCGTGCGGTGGTTACTAAAGTTGGTAAGTTTCTTGGTAAGTTTCTAGAGAAGCAAGCAGTCAGGTACATTCATCTCTCGAGGGGGGGTGTCTAGATTAATTTTACGCCGGAATATCCCTTTAAGTGTGGCTTTGCAATCATGTTATTTCTATTTCTGTATGTCCCCTCAAAATTAAACGTTGTCAGAACATTTTTCAGAAAGAGGAAGACCGTCCAAGCAAAGTCATGTCTATATTCTTTTACAGTTTTGGCCTGATACAGATCTGAATACACTAAAAAAATCTGACTGTGAATGAGCCTGTTGTCTTCTATAAAGCACAGATCATTCTCAAACTTTTCTTTTTCTGGGTCTAGTGTGGAGATTTCATGAATATGCTACAATTTAATCCAGTAAAAACAGCTGATGATAAATGTCACATATTTCCTCCTCTCGATCTCACTCTGTCAACCGCCCCATCTTTAAAAACAAACCCTCCCCTCTGACTGCTGACTTTTGACCTCTTTTAATACAAACTACATCCTGTTGCATCTCTCCTGCTTCATCTTTATGGCTCTGTTTTTGGCAGGCGTTCAGCAGCTGGGATTGCTCAAGAGCACTTTAATGTGATAGGAAAGATCAAGAAACTGCATGCAGTGGTTGAGAAACAGTTTACTCTGAGCTGATATTATGTGCTAAAAACGAACAGAAAACAGAAGTTTCCATGAAGACGTAAACACATTTGCCCTCTTTTGACCTCACTGAGCTTGTGCTGAACTTGAAGCCCATAAAGTAACACACACAAGCTTTTTTTAAAACTAAAAAAAACTAAACTGAGTCCTTAAAATAGTCCAGCCTCAGAGGGTTCAGCTCTCCTCCGACGACAAAACTCCAAATGTCAATTCTTTGTGCCTGTCAAGACCTCCTTGAGGACAAATCTCAAATATTGATGTATTTTGTACCACTTTCCGTGTCGTCTTCCAAATGTGACAACATTGTGCTTTTGCATGCCTTATAAATCCTGAAAATGATGTAATAGATTCTTTCGCCCCTCTCTGACGGAGGAACATAAAGTGTGAAAAATGGGAGCCGGTGGAGGTTTAGTTTCTCTCCGAGACACGTTGACAGGCACCAGAAGGCTGTCGGCAGTCATTTGAAAGAAGATGAAGGATCAAACTGGTGACTTCAGCGTTACAAGACTACTTCCTAAACTCTTATCAGGTTTCGCAGCAGATTTTTACACAAGTCAAAGGGGGCTGAGCAGGTACGGAAAAAACAGCTCTCTAGTATTCCCGTTGTTATTTGGCAATCACCCCAAGACCATCGCTTTTCTGTCTGTGCACACCAGGTAGAAAAAGCATCAGAGGCTAAAAAAAGAGGGCTTCTCTATAGTACACTTCCCCAGAGAGAGAACGAAAAAGAGAGAGAGAGAGAAAGAAGACTACACTCCTCCCGTGTTTATCTCAATCTCACATCGGATCAGATCACTGGCGGATAAAAGCACTTCCTGACACATCACTTCCTCTCCCTGGAGGATGCTGACACGCGCTGGGAAGCCAAAACGACGCGCTGGTGGCGGGTAGGATGAAGAGGAGGAACTTTTTTTGACAGAGCCGAAGAGAGAAGCAGGAGGCAAAGAAAAGGGAACCAGAGGTGGCGGAGGGGGGAAATTAAAGTACAGAGAGACAAAGAGGTGAAACCTACATAATCGCGGCCCAGATCCACAGCGCTGTGTGGGGCGAGGAAGAGGAGGAGGAGGAGGCAGACAAGGAGGTGAAGAGACTCTAAGAATAGTATAACTGGATTAGCTTTAACAATGACCTTTATTCAGCAGGGCGACACTCCCTGGCTCTCTCTCATTTGCTCCTCACTGCTGTTACAGGAGAGGCTTGTCCTACTTTCAAATGTTAAGTTCGGCTCATAAAAAGAACCGTGTTAGGATTTCCAGGTGAGGAGACTTAGCTTTTAACTCTTCTCTGACCAGATCTGTCGCGTACAAAAGAGGTCACGCATTCATTACATTATTCATCTGAACAAGACGAAGTAAATGTTTCATAAAAAAACTTGCAGGCGGTTATTTTTCGCTTGTTAAAGACACGGGCCTGCTGCAAATTTGGTCGTGTGAGGTAGGTTGTCATCAGCTCTTTGAAATGACATTTAAACATGACATTTAAAGTCACTGTGCAGCTGCTTGGTTAACATGATCTTTGTGTACTGAGGTGTTATGCTAGAGATGGTCTCCCTGAACGAAGAGGGTCTGAGGACTACATATGTGGATGTTTCTTTAAGACAACTACAACAAACGGAAGTATAATGCGGCGTTCGAGTTACCTTGGGAGTCAGAAGTCCGAGCTGAAAATGAAGTCAAATCAGAGGCCTGAAACAAGATGGCTACATCTACAAAAGTTATTGCCTTATATTTGGACAAGTCAAGCGCTAAAATAACTTACGTAGATGTAGCTATAGGACTGGGCGATTATATGATCGTGATTAAGTTCAGTTCAATCACAGTGATCAGCTATGAGCATATTTACTCAATCCAACATGGCGGAAATGTGCGTCACAACAGCCAATCAGAGTCGATCCTGCTCACTTCTGTAAGTAACCGGAGAAGTAAACAGAATGACCGAATGGGAAGCTTAACGCGGAGCTGAAGGCAGCAAGATAGATGTCAGCCGTGACTTTGAGTCATCCTCCGAAGGTGTTATTGTTGAGAACGAAAATTATTTAACGTTTGTTGTGTGGCAGTTGGTGTATCTCCAAAGTGACATCGAGAAATTACTCTGATGCGTAAGGTATGTCGGTGTCTGTTAAATAAAACGTTGAACTAATCTTTCTTCAGTTTTTAGTACATATAGTTTAAAACTGGCAGTTTGAAAACAAACCGTGATAATAATCGAGATCGGACAGTATAAAAAAATATATTGTGACCTTTATTTTTTTCCAAATCGCCCAGGCCTGTGTAGCCATCTTGTTTTCACCTCCGATTTTGCTTTTTTCCGACTAGGTAACTGAAACGCTGGTAACTCGTGTGTAACTTCACTTTTAGCTCCTACTTCTAACTCCGGAGGTAACTCAAGGCGACTTTAACTTGTCTGCCTCTGTTGTCAGCGTTGTTGTTTTCTAAAGTATCAAACCTAAGAAGGGTGAGTTAGTAGATGTCAGTTGCCATCTTCCATAAAAAGTAGAAATACTAAGAAGAAGAAAAAGAAGACGTGGAAGAAGAAGCAATGCAACAGTAGCGAGCTAGCTGTAGTGTCACTCCTAAACAAGGACCGCAACTTTGACAACTGATGTACTAAGATTACTAAAGCCTAAAAGTCAAATTTCAGAATAAAAGCCCCACAAACAATGTCTTTCAACATCGTCAGCTCCACATTAGAGTAGATGCTGAGTGTACAGTTTCTCAGCCTCTCAGTTTTTTATCACCAAATGACTTTATTTCCAGTTTTAATAAAGACAAAAGCATCTCAAAAGCTCTGATCTCATCATCAAATCAAATTCAGTCTGTTTATGCTGACAACTTTTCAAGTGTAAATGAACCAGATTAAATGTTCTTATCTCAAATTCCAATTACTGGCTCTTACTGTTGCTTCTCTTCAGGAGATGTAATAAAAGATAGTGAGATAAGTGTGCAAAAATAATGTTACAAAGCAACAAGCTGCCGCATTTATATGAAAATGTATGTGATTATGTTTAACTTTCTTCTTTATCTCAATCAATTAAAATCAATGCATTGATTTAATGAGAGGAAATAGTCTGATTTTTAGTCAAAGAACGGGAAAAACAACATTATATATTTTCCTGACATCTGCAGCCGCAGGGAGGAGGAAGACTGAAGAGCAATGTAAGTAACAGTGGCACTTTTCATCTGTGGTTTACCAAACACACACACACACACACACTGACACACACACACACTCAGACACACACGCATCAAATCACCATACAGACCTGTGAACACAGAGCACACAGGCCACACTTTCACACGGCAAGTCACTGGACACATGCAACCCCTGCTTCAATGCACAAATGAAGGCAGGGCACTCACACTCAAGTGCACACACACACAAACACATACACACACATATATATACACTCATACTCAGGGAATGTGTGCGGCTTCAAAAAGGAGCAACTCTGGTGATCCACAGCTCTACCCTAGAGCGACGCACACGAACTAAGTGCAGCTGAACGAGGAATCTCTGCTCTTTCTGTCTTTCTATGAATGGCATCAGCACTTTTCTGGCGGGTACGCACACATGTGTGCACAAAAGAGCCCCGAGAAGTACCAAGATGCAGAAAATTAAAGGGGGATGATGGGAAAGGCTGCAGACACAACACTATCATTCATTCTGTTTTGGGTGGGGGGGTTTGGTAAAAGTTAGCCTGCTGTGTCTGAGACAGTCCCAATCAGTTGAAGCTCCGCCCATTGATTCAATGAGGCAGTATGGGATTTGCATTTTTCCCACAATTCAATTAACACGCCTGTCAGCCTCTGCTCTGCGTTCACATGCCTCCTTTAACCATCCTTCGCTTTTACGCACACACACGTACACACGCGGACACTTATCAGCCTCATGAATAGATGCATTTAATCATAAAACACAGGCATGTAGAAAATTGATGCATTTATTTGTTTGTTTACGCCGCACTCAGACTGAGAGATGAGGAGAGGCTGCGGGGGCCACATCCTGTCTGGACTCGTCACATTTAGGGACATGAGGAGACAGGGCTGTTAATGGATGCAGGGAGCCGTCCACGGGGATGTCTCTCTCTCTCTCTTTCTTTCTCTCTTTTGTCTTTCTGAAGAAGGGAAGGAAGGAGCAGAGCCATCAAAGAATAGGCCACCCTGGAGTGTGGGTGTAAAAAGACACACATATACACACACACACTCAGGGTTGATATGCAAAGAGATGAGACCAAGCTGGATTTATAAACCAGGACTGGGATCAGGCTCAGACGCGGTGACTTTGCCGAGGGGCCGGCTAATGACTCCAGCTAGCCTCTTGTCTGATTAATAGCCTGTAATCCCATTCTCATGGATAGCATAGCATAGCATTCCTCAGTACTGTTCATTAACCACTGTGGAAATGCCCACTAATCAGTCTCCCTCCTTTCTAGCTAGCAGGGCTAATGCTAAGCTAGGCTAATCAATAGGCAGTAATCCTGTTGGTGGGTCTGCTGCAGCGTAGCGCCCCTCATTACCAGCCATAGAAACGTCTGCTAATCATTCTCAGCACGGTTATTTGTCCACAGGGCTGCAGAATCACTCTGGTGGTGGTTTGAGAGGGGATGAGGGTGGAGGGGGGGGGCGACATTTGACAGTCGGAGGCATAGGGTGGAAGAGACAGAGTGACACGCAGAGTCACAGAGGCTGTGTAATGATTAAGAAACACATCAGTCTTGCTCTCCTCTCTCTCTCTCCTCCTCGGTGGCCTCTTTGTCGAGCTGGATCGCTCTGAAGAGACTCTGCTACGTGTCTGCGTCATTCAAGTTTAATCAATCAATGGAAAAACCCCCCTCCGATCTATAACGGCTAATCAATAATGAAGGCTTCCGGGCCTCGCAGAGCGCCGATGCAGACAGGCATCAGCGTTCGAGCGGATCCTTCTCCTTGTCCTGTCTTTAGAGTGCAGTGAGGTGAAACAGCTGGGCCGAAATCAATGGAGGAAACAGTCTTAACTTAACTTGACCCGAACGGGATGGTTTACACTTACTGTTGACACTGTGATCTTCTTTAAAGGGATATTCCAGTGTAAAATTAATTCAGGGTCAAACACACCGTAACACCAGGTTAGAAACACTACAAACAAGTGGCTGCTGGAAGAGAGTAGGTGAGTTCGGTTTAGTCTCTTTGCTAAAAAAATTAGGCAAAGCTAAAAAGATGTTCGGTGGCTAAGACCCTATATGTTCTGTTGATGAGGTTAGGTGCTATTCTGAGCATTATTTGTGGCTTTAGAGTGGCGTTTGGATGAGGTTTGCATGTGACTCCTGAGATCGCTGTGTATTGCTATCGTGCGGTCATTTTACACCGGAATATCCCTTTAAGAATACCTGCATATCTCCCATCAGTTACAGTGGTTCGGTTTCACTGACCCTAATGTGTCCGCTCCACCACAGACAGTATTCACAATCAAGTCAAAGTAAAGCCCGGTATGTGTGTGTATAACAAGGGGCCCTACAGAGGTACCATATATCCTACTGAGCTATAGTCTCTCCCCTTTGAATGGTGAGGCTGCGTTGAACATTGCCGTGACCCGAGGCTGAACCTGAGTTGAACTCTAGTTGTAGAGGAGAAGCAGCGATGTAGCTAAGAGAGGCCTGTCAACACTTGCTTCAAGCGACTGCTGGGAGAGAAAACACATGGGGGCCATATCTCACCCTTTTTTATGTGTGAGATCGAGGGTGAGTCGGCCACCCTTTGAGCACACTGTGAAGGGCAGAGCATGAAGCCCAGTCCACTTTCTTGAGCGCATTATCTGTTTTTTTGTAAGCTGATTGAGCTCAGACATTGTTTGAGTGAGCAGTTTTGATTTATGGAACAATTAACAGCATTTATAGAGTTTTTGTTGAGATATTTATTCCTAAAGCATCAGGGACCAAATGAGCTGCTTTGTTGAGACATGATCCTGCTGTTATAAATTCTACTAAAATATGCCCCTGAGCATTAAGACCACTATTATTCAAATAGCCTATGGTTTTCTATTTATTTAAAATTATCCCCTTTTAATTTTTTATCTGCTTGATTAATGAACATCATTAAGTTTCCCACCTGTGGCTGTAATTCCTTCAAGGACTAGAAATTTAAGAAGCTACCTAATGATTAAAAAGCTTTAAAGGGGGAAGTTTTACGCCATTAATTACAATGCTTTCTGCTTTGAATAAGATATACAAAATAGGTTGATATCAAGCAATTTTATCAACTTTCTCTTGCATCTCAATTTTCACTGTTCAACATTCAACTAAGTAGCCATTTGCTAACTTGTTTGTAGATTGTTTTGGCGCGTGACATACCAGGTCAACGGGGAGAGCTGAAGGGGAGCATACCGCCACCTGTAAGCTAATTAGGGGTTAGGGTTGGGGTAAGGGTTAGTGGCAGCGATGTAGGAGAGGGGCGCATTTGAGGTAGAAGTGAGAGACTGCTTAGGAACCAATCAAATGGTTTGGGGGCGTGGATTTCCTATGTCATCCTAGGGACAAAAATCTCGCCACCTGTAATGGCTCTCTCCTGGTGCTTGTTTAGTGGGACAACCACTGTATTCCTATACATGGAAACAAAATGGATGATTCCTAAAATCTACTTCTTTCCTTAATGTGAAAGTGGAAATTCAGGGACTAATTGTAACACTGAACCAAAAGAAGACCCAGATGCAGACTCACATGCGGGCAAAATCAAAGTACATTTATTCCACAGGATCCAACAAAGCAAGGCAGAGGTATCCAAATCGACAGGCAAGAGGCTAAAAACAACTAAGAAGAGGTCAAAACACTCAGTACGTTTACATGACACCTTAGTCCGACTATAATCGAAGTTTGAGAACTTCGTTTGGAATCCGAGAACTCTGATTAAGACACCCAGATAATGCGATTGGAATTCGGTTTTCTTTACCATGAATACTCGGAGTATAATCGGACAATGCATGTGCAAGTGCACCACGCCCCCTTAACCCCAGAACAAAAACACCAGAGAAGAAATGGCGCTATCATTTAAAGAACTTTCGACTAAGAAGCAACTGCAACATGTCTGAAGCATGAAAGAATGTCCACATTTGAAACGACGAGGGGAGTGCTGTTATGCTTTCCCTCCTGAAAGAAATGGACATTTTCAAGTATACGGATGGTCGCAAAACGAGGAACAGAGACTTCTCTAAAAAAGGTCCGGAAACAGCGCCGCTGAAAAGACTCATATCACCCCCTAGTTTTGGGGAGGACACATTCACATCAACATTTCAATCTTTTTCGCGGACAAGGAGAGAGGTCCGATTTGGCGAAAAAACAAACGAGAGCTAAGTCTGATTAAGCTTTGCATGTAAACACACTGAGTGAGACAAACACTAGAAATTTATGCTTGAACTCTGACACTTTAGGACAAGACGAATTGGCACAGAGGGGAGGGAAAGCTGGGTTTAAATACACCAGGGCAGTGGAGTTAACGAGACACAGGTGAGACACATCAGGGTAGGGTAATCAGGGGAGTGGGTAACACAGGGAGGAGGAAGTCAATGGACCTGAAACAAGAGACAAGGGTGAGTATCAAAATAGGAAACACAAGACAAGAAACATGAGGGATGAAAAAAAAACAACTTAACTAATCAGGAGATGTGACACTAATCTTGGTGCCAGTTTAGTGTGATGGTGGTCACTATGTTTGAGCATTTGCTCCACTAAACACACATTCCTAAGATTTGTTGCCGTCCCTACCTAAAGAAAGTTGTCGTAATGTTTGTGAAGAACCTGTTGCACCCATAATCTGAGTATTTCAACTTTTAAATGGACAGTGCATTAATCTACCCACATTTCCCCTGAGGCGTTTGCTCATGTATCAACACTAAATTAACTTGGTGTGTTTGCCCATTTCCCCCCTCACACTTGATTTACCATAAATCAGCCGCAGCTGTATAAACCGCCACCGGTAATCCCACCAAGACCCTGGTTTCTATCAAGACAAGCTGGCTTGCCCCATCATACTTGAAGGCAATTTGAGCCCAGTAAGCAGGCAGGGAAACACCGACTGGAGAGATGTGGGAATGCTGGTCGGGAATGCTGGAACATTTGCAGTCGCGGGATGAGCGGACATAACCGGCTTTAGAGCGCCTGGCCGCCAGCGCTTAAACCTGCCTAATCTGATTGGATTAACACCAACCTGCCTGGCTTTGCGTGAACGCGCGCACACGCACATACACACACATACACGCAGACACGTTCAGATTGGTTCTATATGCCAATCAGACAGGGCTGCCTCTGCAGCTCCCTGGAGTTCATCTGGATTCCGGGTTGTGCTGGCTGACTGGGCCGGCTGATGGCACCATGCTGGGTGACCACACGCACGCGCCTTCGCTCTCACGCCACACACACACTCGCACGAACCCTGAGCCATTTTAGAGGGCAGTGATTTGTGCTGTGAATCTGAAACAGACCCATTGAAAGAAGCGTAAAGCCCACTGCTTGACAACCGTGCTAATTGACTAGCCCCCTCCCCAGCAATGTAACTAAATGTTTTCACCCCTCCATCTTTTATCTCTTCAATCACTCTCTGACAGCTCTCCACCTTTTCCATACTCTTCCTCATATTACTCTCCATCTCTTCCTCCGTCCCTCTCTCCTCTCGCCCCCCCGCTGTCCTTGCTCCCCCACATACTCATACATGTAATCATTCATTAGAACCAAGGCAGTTGTCCATTAGGCAAAGCAGCCATTTTGGAAATTGCAGCAAATCTTCCATGAAAAGACATTTCCTCTAATGCGGTAGTCACGCTCAGAGGGAGAGGGAGAGAAAGATGGCAAAGAGGAGAAAGGAAGATGAGGGGGCAGAGATGGAGAGAGAGGAGGCGGGAGAGAGCAAAGTGAAGGAGGAAGATGGTAAAAGAGAGAGAGAGGAGAGAGGGAGAGAGCCCCCCGGCCATAAAGCCACCAAGCGGAAAGCAAGCCTGCTGTTTGATTAGAGAGTGACACCATCATGGAGCGAAGGAAGGAAGGGGGGGAAGAAAGGAGGGATTGGAGGGAAAGTGTTTGAGAGGCGAGCAGAGGGGATGAAGAGGAGGCGGGAGTGTAAAGAGACGGAGAGAGAAAACAGGCAGTGATTTGAGAGGGCTGAGATAGAGGCAGTAAAATTAGCCCCATCACTTTGCTTGCTAAGACGCTCGATGACACACTACTAGGATTAAAACCAGGCACACTCACACACACATGGGAGAGACGTGCGCGCACTTACATGCACGGGACAGATGGTATCCCCCATCTGAAAGTGCGCCTCTAATTTGGGTAAAGTGATAGGAACCTCCTTAACCAATTAGAAGCTCCATATCTAAGGCCCTGCATGCCGGTGTGTGTCTATTTTTCTCATGAACTCATTAGTGTGTGTGTGTCTATCTATGTGTGTTTGTATTTGTGTGTCCCCTGGGATAAGTGAGGAACATTAAAACTGATATAAGAGGTGGGAAATGACAAATCCACTCTGAGCGGTGCACTGCTGAGTATGGGAGTTCTTTTTTTCCCTCCCACAATGCCACTGTTCATCTCCATCTCATCTCATCACCGATCAAAGTGCGACCTGTCTCTCCTACCGCCGCCCATTCATCTCTATGCCGCTACTTAATGCGCCTTCCTCTAAAGCTGACACATTTGTCACCAGACCAAACTAAGCCTAATCCATCGTAGCATTTTTTTTCCCCTCTCGCTCGCAATTTATGATATAGTGGATATGAGAAAGCGCCGCGTTCAATCCAATTTCTTGAATGTCTCCAGAAACTTTTTATGCTCTCTTGAAGTCGACACTTTCTCTTTACGGCTCAGGGTTATAAAGAGCCATCTGTAGAATCAATAAATAACGCAGCCGTGAAAGTGAGACTCAGAAAAGGTTAGAGCGTCGATTACAGTTCAGCAGTGGACATTTGGGGATTGTTATTTTAATGTAACTTGCATAAAAGTCAGACAAGCTGTCTCTCTGATGGACTTGGATCATGCTCACAATGAATGCACTGCATTAAGCACAGATCATAAGCCAAGTGATGAATAGGTTCATCTTCAAATCTTAATCAGTGAGAAACATACTGTGGAAACTCAACTCTTTCTCTTACTACCTCATCAGACTTAAAGCTCCTGTAAGGAATTTTCTCTTTGTGCCAATTTTGGCGCCCCCTGCAGCAAAAGAATTTCTTTATATAAATTGTCACCCTTATCCCTTTAGGTATATATTTTTTTAAGTATATTTATTGTTTTTGGTATATCATTTAAGTTTGAATTTTAGTCTATTTCAAAAAAATCCACACAGGAGCTTTAACATAAGCATGGACATGACGGAACAACATCCATGCAAAGTGAAGCCAGAACTTTCACAAGTTTTCTTCTGAACCATCATCCTTTTTTCATGATATTGCAAGCAAATAATAAGACTTAGATTGTAAAACTAAGATTTACTTGTTAAAGCTCCTGTAAGGGAATTTTGGTTTCTGACCATTTGTTTCCCCTGTAGACATAGCATTCTTACCTTATATAGTCATCGGCAAATTTAAGTTAAAAAGCTTATCCTGTGGACATTTCACAGTCAAATGTATTAATTTTTAAACATGTTTTGGGTACAAACAGGATTGACTCTGACACTTACCCCCTTATACTAGTTTCAGGTGTTAAAAAAGTCAAAATAAATCTTGTCACTCTTGTCACTGAGGGTGTTGTTTGCTTTTGTAAAATTCCTCACAGGAGCTTTAAGTTTCTTGAAATAAGACACTATCCTCACAGGAGCTTTAAAGGTAAATCATGCTATCTGCATTGGAAGATATTTGAACTTATATCAAGTTAAAAAAAAGGACTCACATTCTGCTTGTAACATCCTGTTCTGGGATGGTTATCTAGACTTGTCGAGAAAGCAGATCAGTTTGAGTCCAATGAGATGGTTTTGATGAGATATGACAAATAGAAAGTCTGCGAGTTGAGTTGAGCTTTGCAGTGTGTTGAGTCATTTAATTTGACATAAATTAGAAATGTTATAAAGGGTTTCGACCTGTGGGGCTCACTAACCAGAATTTTTCTGACCTTTTTCTTGCATAAATTGTCAATTTTCAAATGATCATTTGCTTCAGTGGAGATAAACTAGTCGATAAATTTTAAGTTTTCACCTTGAAAAAAATCCATTGTGTGCTTTCTGTCTGTTCCTGGGGTTTGTTTTGTAACACTCATGAGCTGTATTTATAAAGATGTGTATTCTATCCTAAATCAAGCTGGTGGAAATGGTCCTAATTCACATTTTATTTTTGCAGCCTTTGAAATGTGTGCGTAAAATCAACCTGACAGCTGGTGGAGAACACAGCTGCAGAGAGATGCTCGAGCTCGACCTTAGCCCTGCTGCTGCTGTGAAGTCAAAGTTTTCTCTATATTCTCACCCTCTTTCCTGTTTCTCCAAGTTTACTCTCAGCTCTGAAGCACTTCCTCCACAGCGCGGGCAGGTATGTGGTATATCACACAAGTAGAAAAAAAACAACCCTATAACTGTCAGACCACCGGCGAGAGCTGCAGACTGTTTACCTCCACCACACTGACAATACACACACAGCTGACCTGAAAGCTCTGCGTGCGACGCCGCGCCAAGAAAATCCTTCACCGACACCGTTCTGTAAACACAGATGATCTTTTTCACACTTTCTCCGGCCTCCTCGCCACACTGCTACTGCCCTCTGGACAAATGGCCCCCGAACAAGTGTTACCACAGTGAGACTTGATAAATATTAAAGGGCACAAGGTTTTAAACGTGCACGAGAAAAGGGGAGTGAAATACAAATAGAAGGACAGAGTTTGCCTCGAGTTGTTCTTCAGCAGCTCATCGTAGCAGTTCTTGTCCCCGTGTGTAATATGGAGCAGTGCTGTTTTTCTTCAGGCTGCTATTAAGCTTAAGGTCCCTTGTTTCTCCTGTCAGGACTGATAGGATAGTTGATTACACCAAGGGAAGGAGGGAGGGATCTTCCTCTCTGCTTTCCTGTCTCCGTCTGTTCCCTTGGCCTCTTCAGGTGCACACAAACACACACAAAAACACACACACCCGGCTTTGTAACAGCGCTCACAAAGTGATGAAAGGCTGTTCATCCTGCATCCACTGTGATATCTCAGCTCGCCATGCAAAAAATAAGGCCCGGACACGTTATCACCTCTGACCAGGGGGGAAACCGCAGGAGTCAGGACTGACGCCAGCAGCAAATACCAACGCTAGTGTGTGTGTATGTGTGTGTGTCCCAGCGGTAATAATCACCCGGATTAGAGCGGAGCCAAACCCCCGCAGGGTCCCCCCTCTTTCCCCCCTGCTTTACCGACACAGCCCGGCCCTGCCCTGCCCAGCCTATAGCTCTGATTCCCATTCTGAAGAAGGCATGGGAAGCAGAGCAGCCGGCCTGACATCCAGACAGAAAAAGCAGAGAGGCGAAAAACTCTTCTTCTCTTTGAAATCTTATGGATTTTTCTTCCTCACCCCCTATTGTCCTATCGATCATCCAAAAAACAAAATAAAACACTGAGCAATCTCAAGCAATACAAAGACACATAACCCATTCAACAAGCATAGCCTTTAACCACAGGGGTGCAGTGAAATGGAAGCTAATACAGCCGTCAATATGTCTGTGTGAGGGATGCAATATGCTGAAAACAACAATGGGGAGGCACGCTGGAGAAATGGGTTATAACTTAATAAGGATGCGCATCGTGTCTGGATACCTCACAGTCAATGTGAGGGATTATTACTGAGTGGAAATGTTGCCTCCATGTATTACAAACCCGTGCCTGAAATAAATTCAGCCCAAATCTCAGCGAATGATTCAGTGGGAGGGCACCCCTGATATCCGCTCCTATCAACAATTGTCTGAGTCGCTGCTGAACTCGCACTGTTGAAACGTCCATCAGCATTTGTCTCTCTGAATTCACTGTTTTTGTTTCTGTTTATTCTGAACCGAAACACTCTCCCACCCAGCGAGGAGAAGGACCTTTGATATAAGACAACACAGCAACCCATTACAAGCATGCATACCTTGTGGTAACTTCACTGTGTTTGCGGTGCAGTCAGTTATTTGCACATAACCTCACTGTGGTGTCTACAGATGTGCGGTATCTTCTTTAGTATCACTGTGAGCAATGGGAGCTGCTTACTTGTGTAAATATTTGATATGCTGTGCGCAGAAATGCCTTAAAATTAACCATTAGACTCAAATAATTGCCTCTCCAGAGAAATAGTCCTGCATTAATGGATGTTTTGTAAACCAGACAAGAAGCAGCAAAGCACCCATAATTTGGTCATTCTCATTAAAGCAACAAAAATAAATCACATTTGGCTGCTTTGTGAGTTTACAGTGACCTCAATGTACCTTCTGTTTGGGTTTTTTTTTCCAACTGTGGCATTGCTGTAATCCTCAACTAACACCACCAAAAAACAACCCGCTAATCCTGTTAAAAAGTTTACCTGATAAAACCCTGAAAAGAAAGTCAAAGAGGGGGTCGGATTGTTTTGAGGGTGGGGGGGCTGCTACAGGTTAGAATCTACACCTTTCTTTGCAAACGTGTCCCAGTTTTACCTCAGGTTTTTCTGCTTGTTCTCCTTCTTGTTGAGGACTCCCGGCACGCAGTTGGTGAGCTCGGTCCAGTCGGCGTGCAAGCCGCAGCTCCAGCCGGTGGAGAACCGGGAGAAGAGCCAGGTCTCCTTGCGGTTCGGCCGGTAGCAGGTACACTTCTTCTGGCCCGGTCTGCAGTCGCACGGGACCTCCAGACGGACATTCTGGACCAGGTGCCTGCCGAAGGTAGTTCCCCCGGTCTTCTGGATGTGCAAAAACACGATCACGTCCTCGCCTTTGATTTGGAAATCAATCGTCCTCTCCAGGTCCCTTACGGGGAAGTAGTATTTCTTAACGTAGTGGGGGTCCGGAGTGGGGAAGATGTCCCCCTCGTCCTCCTCCGTGAAATAACCGTGCGGGGAGCCGAAATTGATCACCCCGGGAGCCACGTACTGATAGAGAATCAGCATGAAACACACGGATCCGACGACGATCAACAAAAATTTGCTGCTCCTCTCGACCATGTTCCTTCCCAGTACGGTCCCTGCAGTACGCTACCATTTCCCAGTCAAGCCGACAACAGGGAGCACGGCGCTCGGCTTCTTCATTCTCGCTCTCCCCCGCCTGCAAGGACTCGTTTTCGGGGCTCAGGAGTGGCTCATTCCGCTTCGAGACGACCGACGAAGTTGGTTCATCGTTCACCGAAGACTGTTCAACACCGTGAAAGACGCATTGTAACTCGCTGAAAGCCCCCCCGTTGCCGACCCTCCCCCGTGTACTTTACTTTGGTTTCCAATCCACACAACAGGCTCACTGCATCACCATGGAGTTATGTACCCAGGATGCAGCGCGAATCCTACCTTTTCAACCTCGCTCGCTCCCTCTCTCTCTTTCTGAAAACACAGTGAAAGGGATAGTCGCTTTAATTCATTGGTTGACGTGAACGACTGCGTCATCCCGGCGGCCAATAGCTACAGGCCATTGATAGAAATCTAGATAGCGGCGTAGCTAGATAGCAGTAGCCTTCAGCTACATAGAAAGTAGTCTACATCGACTTTAAAACAGAAATTTACACACAAATATTTCTCAATAAATACATTTCTACGGTGGCCGAGAACCGCCACTGCTGCAAATAGAAAAAATGCAAAAAAAAGAAGCCACAACGGAAGTTACCAATAAAAAAAATAGCTTTGTGTACCTTTTAATGTGTCATTTAGTCAGGCCATGTTGTGCCTGAGTCGTTATGAAGTTGAGGTGGAGGATGCCGGTGTAGTGTTATACACCAAACATCGGACGTCAAAGAGACGTGCAGATCAAATTAGTATTGGGTCGGTCCGTCAAAGACCACATCTAGACGTCAGTGCAACGTGCAAAGTAGGTTAGAAATTTCAACGTCCAAGTTGGACCTTTTTTAAACGTCTCTCTGACGTTTAGAATTTGGATGTCATCTGAAGACTGAATCTAGATGTCGGCAAAACATGCAAAATGGATCCAAGATTTAGACATCATTATTGGACCTCTTTTAGATGTTGAATTGATGTCCACATTTGTAGCTCATCGTCAAAAAAATACGTTAAATAGATGTCATTTCGACGTCACATTGCGCAGTGAGTAGCTTCAGTTTAACTTCATCTCGACTCAGGCGCTACATGGCCTAACCAAATGTAGTGACTTCTTTTTTTTGGCACTCTTCTTTTATTTGCAGCAGTGGCAGTTCTCAGCCACCATACATAGCGTGACTAACTAAGTTAATTTTAAGTATTATCACAAAACCAAACACTTTGCTGCCTCCATGGCCTTAGGTGATAACTGCAACGATGTGGGCCAATCTAAGCTTTTTTTACTCTAAATTTATTAATCAGTTGTCTTGAACCACGTTTTTCTTCATATACCTTTTGTATTATACCCATGAACTCATCATATGATTTAGCTGGGAAAAGCTATTATCAAAATCTATCAGATAATAAAAATGATTTAAAAAAAACGACAACATAATGTTTGTTGAAAGCAAATTAATTTACAAGACCAGCAAGAAAAACACATCAATCCACACTCTTAGTAAACTTACAAATATGTTTTGGCTGATTCACTAAGGGGATAATTCTTGAGTGAATAGATGCTTCAGTAAGGGGTTAAACATCCATGTATTGGACATTTTAAAATACAGAAATATATTTTTAATTTTTTCCCCTCTAGACCTTTTTTTCACTATGCCCCTTTTTGTGTTTTTTATTTAGCACAAGTTGAATTTTTTTATTTGACTTTTTTTCTCTTTGACAAATAGTTTCAACACACACAAAAGATTTCCAATCCAATTTGAAAGAATAATACAGTAATTTTAGTTAAAAAGAAATAACATCAAACCTCATAAGATATATTTAACAAGACAACAAGAAGCAGGTTTTTATTTTTTTATTTTAGGGCATTTTCTTATTTTCTTCTCAGCAGCCACTCTTAATAATGCATCCAGGCTACTCAGGCTGTTTGAGGAGCAGGGGCAAAAGCCGAAGGTAAAACTGTCTGTAAGCCTTGGGGCATTGGCACACACAAAAAAATCTTGTGATCAGTGGAGATCTGCTTCTGGCAACATTTTGAAGACTATTTTGTGGGCTCTTCTGAACTCTCTTGGCCATTATTGAGTCATTGGGAAATTGCAAAGGTCTAGTTCTAGCCAAGAGGTGGGGAACTTGGGCAGAAGTAGCCTGGAGGTTACAGAATTTATAAATAGGCATTCGAACCCCATGGTAAAAGCTTGAGGGACAAATAATAAGGGGACTACGGGTTGTGCCCCAGGAAATTTCAACTTCCTACCAATACTTTTTGGCTGATTTGGATCAGACCTGCAATAATTAGCAGTAAAAATATTAACTGTTTCTTCAGGCAAGGTTACATTGTCAAGTTGCCGTAGGTCAGTCTTGGCCCTGAAGCCTCCAGCTTGCATGTGTTGCATTAACCATTATCCCTTAACCGCTGTTTTTGGTAATGTTACTTAGGAACACACAACAAAGACAGGTACAAAAGAGCTCTTAAGTGGCTTCAATTTGCTCTGAACAGAAGGCAACGACCGATGGCAAGGTCAACAGAAGTTTCTCAAAAAGCTTCAAATGCAGCAAAATAAAAGTATCATACATTCATACAAAATAAATAGTTTGCATAAACAGATAATGCAGTCTTGGTCTGTGTATTATCTGTCCATTCAAATATTCCATTCATAGACTGTATAAAGAATGGACAGCGTCTGCCTCCTTGCTGGGTGAAGCCACTCCAAGAACTTTGATTGACACCTGATACAGCCTATTGGCGTTCAGGGATTGCGTAGCTCACCCAGGGGATACGCTGTTTGAGCCGAGCGTCATCGCAGCGACTCTCCCGCCGAATGCGTACAACGCTACTGCGGTTTCAGGAAATTAAGAAAAATCCCAGAAATACTCAGTTCTTTTTGGCTCCAAATCCGTTTACAGGTGGGAGGCGGAGCTAAGTTGTCCATAGTATATACAGTCTATGATTCCATTCAATCTAGTGAATGAAAAACAAAAAACGAGTCAATATTTTATTTGTTTTTCTGTATAACCAAAAAATAAAAGAATAGTGTTTGTTTGGGTATTTTCAGTTCAAAACAGAATATATAATAGAGATGAAAATGAAAACAAAATAATAAATCTACTTTTCGTTTTTGGGTTTTTCGGGTTTTCTGGACAAAAACTCCAGGCCAGAGCGGTAGAAAAAGGCTAACCTGCTGTCATGGAGATGGACGCATCCTACGTGTTTTTAAAAGCCGCCAGGACAGTCACGCTGAAGGAGGAAGATACGACTATAGAAAAAATTACAACCAGAGCTCTGTTACGACGTAAGATTTTGGCGCTCGAACCACTCTGTCGCATCTTTCGCCATGGTAGCTGTCGCTGAGGATGCACATATGCTCAAAACAGGCGCACTCAAAATCAGTAATTGTAAATCAGATTTATTATTTTGTTTTTGTTTCCACCTCTATTATATATTCTTTTTTGAGCTAAAATACGGAAAAAACACTATTTTTTTATTCCTGGGTTATACAGAAAAACAAATAAACAAAATATTGACTCGTTTTTTGTTTTTTCATTTACTAGCTTGAATGGAATAATTGAATGGACGGATAATACATGGACCAGTCTTGAAGGAACTTGATTTGTAGTATACTTTATTGTACATTGCATTGAACATAGCCTTTTATACTTTATATTTTTTCTTGCATGCCCTTATTATTTTTTTATTCAAGTATTTTATATTACTTTCTGTTTAATGTTGCACCATCATGCCGAAACAAATTCCTTGTCTGTGATTCCTGTTCATTGATAATGGCAATAAAACCCCTTCTGAGTTCTGAGCAAAATCAGCAAATCATTCCAACTCCATTGCTTTTGTTGCAGCACGGCACCCTTTGCCCTACCACAAAGCATTGTAATGGTAGCTGAACTATGTTTAACACAAACAACATAGCAAATAAGTCAATAAACAAATAGTATTTTGAACTTTGAACCGAGGCGTTTAGTGGTGGTTTCGACTTTTGGAGCTCAAAAGCTGACCACACTGATTGTTGTGAAAACAGCTCAAATGCCCGACAACCATCAGATCAACCACTCTAAGTCCCTCACGTTGCTCCTCGCGTTACTGCCGCTAGTGGTCAGCACTGAGTCCTGCTCCTGCATCCCGTCTCTAATGCAGCCGATCAACTTGTCAGGCATATTCATCTGATTCCCAGCGGCGATTACTGTCAAACATGTTTTGACTAATCACATCTATGAATGGAAGAGAGAAAGGGACATGTCTCAACAGCTGTATGTTGTTCAGATACAAAAGGCTCCTCTGACGAAGCTGAGGTGTGATTTTTTTCCCTTCCCCTGAGGTTGAAAGCTGCAATTTCTCAGGCGTTTGTTATTGCACATGTTTATCGTGGTAATAGGGCAGAGCAAAATGACTGGTCTGCGTGTAATCTTGGTAAGCTTCCAGGCCTGATTCCCACATGTTTCTTAAATGAAGCTCAATCAGTGAGATCAGCTCAATCAGCAGACTCGAGGGTGTGAAACCAGCAGTTGGTTGTGGCTGATGGCAAATGAGCCTGGTAAGAGCTGAGGGTATATTTTCACTTAGAGTGGTTTGGGTTGATGATGTGATGTGTGTTTAGTCAGACTGTAATTGCTCTGTGTGCTTACCCACACTTTCAGCTCCCATGATTTCCCTTTGGACACTGATCTCTGAAGGCCTGCACTCATCTTCTTTCTGAAACCTTCCATAACTTTTAATTTATCTCAGGTAGGTTTTTTTTTTTAAGGAGGGACAGATGTTCATGATTTTAAGATACACTCATTAAACTGTGTCTGTGTTAGAAAGTAGCTCTCCTTTTAGTTTTGTACTTTATTATTCAAATTTGTCAGTCTTTGATTACAGGAGATTAATCAACTTTTCTGGAAACCCCTGTCAGGTAATGAACTACCAATGACAGGGTTTATAAATGATTGATATTGGCGGACTGTTCAAAGGCCTCACAGATAATTGAATGAAGTTTACTACACTCGAGTTTTCTCAAATCTGACAACTTAAGTTATTCTTGTTAATATCTTGCAACTGATCCATGGAGCCACAACGTTTAGTGTATACACCCTTTGGATAGTATGATTAAAAGTTTTCCTTATTTGATGGCAAGTAAGATTTGCATCTACAAGCGTCTCGACTAAAGATCCTACCGTAAACCACTTGACCATGTGAAGCAAGTCATAGAAACTCTTTTTTTGTCTGACCTTATCAAGACCACTGTGATATCTAAATCAGACAACTGATTAAAAAGACTTAATCTCATCAAATAA